GGAAGTCGTCACCCTCACGTCGGACCTGTCTCGCAAGAACCTCGAGACCGACTTCGAGCGCATGGATACCCCGCAGGGTATCTTCTACCGAGTGTACTTTGACATTTACCTCACACTGGACGGAAGTGAATTCAGCGCCGAGTTGGTCTGCCAGAACGAAATCATGGGTCGATGCCGCGCCAAGTTCCGGTAAACGACTCACCCAAAAACGAAATTCTCTTGCGATACCAGCTCTCCAAAAAAACACGCGAGGAAACGCGATTTCAATTCGCAAGTTCCAAGCCGTACATAACTTGTTTCCTTTGCCAGTGCTTATATAAAACATGTCATGTCATGCCTGCCATGCCATTGCCGATACAGGCACTGGACTGGAGCGAGAGATACCCATGGCCTGGCCGAATCCTCCCATTTTGATTTTTGATTCCGGGATGCCCACCCTCTTCCTCTCCCTTCTTTCCTCCCACTGGGCAGCTCTACACTGTACCGTACCGCACGGCACGGCACTGCACTGCACTGGAGAATCGGCGTTGATCTGATACCTCGTGTTGCAATTTGCAATCGTTTCCTTTCCCTTCCTTGGCTTACATATATGCCCTGCACCGCACCGCAGCGTTGGATTTGTGATATCTTCTGGTGTATTGTTCCGTCTCTTCTTCTATTTTTCTTCTTTTGGTCTTCTTAGATACCTCTTACCTTTATTTGATTGAATGAATTATGAGCTGTGGTTGATTGGTTGTTTAAGTTCGCTTTTATGGGTTTCAAGGTGCCAAGGTTGTGTAATGAATGGTACTTGGTGCCAGTGATATTCAAACTTGCTGTCTGTCTATAATCTGCCTTTCACGAACTTGAAGTGATACTTGTTACAAGGTTTCATCACCAGTACACAAACCAGAGACACGTCCGAGTCCTGCAAATACTCAATTGAAAAACAAAAATTATTATCATATCATGATGCTGCTTAGAAGTCTGGATTGGTGAAGCGTTTCTTGGTGCTAGTTGAGGAAAACTTGAACATTTGAGAGAAGCCTGCGGCCTTGTGCCCAGATTTTCAAGTTACTTAATTCCGCCTAGTAATATCAGTACTAGTATTAGTACCTATCTGTCTAATTCGATTGAGTAAAGGCGGGCACATCTGGATACTGCGGAGTAGTACATAGTGTGTGCCTATGTAGTAGATTGTTAGGATGGCCATGAATGGAGTTATACTACCTAGGCAGTAGCCACCATCATCAAGATAATAATGCATAAATCCACGGGTCTATGTGAAATGTGAAAAATTGGGTTTTTATAGAATAGATACATTTTGAAAGGGGGTCGTGTCATCAAGATCTTGAACCGGAGTAAAGCTCACATGAATTTGAGACCACCTTTAGGTCTCTAGATTGATACTCCGTCCAAAGCGCGCATACAAAGCAACCTTGAGTTGCTGCATTTCCTCACGCACCTCACCCATGGAGTCCTCGAGCTTGGAGACTTCGGTGTCAATCTGCTCTGTGGATGTGGTGAGCATGGACTGGGCGTCTTCGAGGGGCAGCTGGAAGAAGGAGTCTCCGATTTTGTAGCTGGGATAGTTAGTATTGATTCTGCCTGCCAGACTGCTGGTGTGTGCTCTTTGGAATAGAGACGAGGGGATGGAGTGGAGGAAGGGCAGACTCACGGGACGAGTTCATCTTCATCGGCTAGTTCGAGTTCCATGGAGATTTCCTCCAAGTCTTCTTTGTCCTTCTGTTAGGGTTTTAGTATTTTCCCATTCGCATTGATGGCTATTTCAAACATGGAAAGCCAATTGCCTTTGATCTCGAGATTGGCGGGGTTGCGGGTCATACCTGCTTGGCCTTCAGCTGCTCCTCCAGCGTGGCTTCGCGCTGGTGCAATCGACTGAATCGATTGATCTTTTCCTGGTCCTCGCGACGGACTTCATTTTCGTCGCTGCCACCGAGGCCTTCTTCCTCTCGCGAGAGCTGTGAGAGTTGGGAGTTAGTGGGATGTGTTGTGAGAGCTTGAAAGGCATTGGTGCGGGGTGGGGAGGGGAGGAGAGGGGGGGGATGGAAGTCAGCTAGAAAGAGAGCAGACTGAGATCAGTCTCTAGATACTTACCATACGAGGTTGCATCATGTTGAACTGTGTGCGTGTCAACAAAAGGAGAGTTGATGGAAAGTTCGTCGGTTGACGCAGTTGGTCCGTGCGCAGGCGGAGGGGCAGCGGAGAACAGACTGACTTGGGTATACTTATACTTATACTTATACTTAGTTAGCTATGGTTATAGCTATAGTTATAGTTAGTTAACTAGCTCTAACTAGAGTTATAACGCGAGTATATTCAATAGCTACCTAAGCTGGGATTGATTATTCTCACCAGTGTAGTAATACTGGTACAGTAACTTAGCTGTAGATACCATCACCACAGATAGCTCTACATTTATTGTTAGTTTTGACTGGCTATTGCAATAGAATAAATGACAGGAGATAATTGAGGTCTCATCAATTTACACTCCTAAGAGTATAACAGTATAGTATAATCACTCTATGGTGGCTGACCTGAAGGTAGCTTAGGCAAGACAATCCGCCGGAGAAACAAAAGACCTCCGCACGCCGTCATCGCTTCGTCTCACTCCAACTCAGCCCCATCACCCAACTTGAAACTCCAGGATTGCCCCCAGAGCAGAGCTATCACATCCTTCTGCCTGCTCCTCCTGAGCCGCTCGAGCTTCTCGGCCCATCTTTACCTTCAGCCTCAGCTTCAGCTTCTGCGCCTCACACTTCCAATCCCCTTCCGCTCGTGCTCTTCCGTCGCCAATCCGAGCCACCTTCAGGATTCCCTCCGTGACTCCGACTTCCACTGCACACCACCTCCCCCCCAACATACACCCCAGCCTTCCATCATGCGAATACAATCCAGCAAAACACCCATCCTCCTATCCGCGCTAACCGCCAGCTTCGCGACCGCGCTCACCTTCGATTGCGCCCAAATCAAGGTCAACGATTACAAATACGATCTCAGCGCCTTGGGCGGCGTCCACGAAATCTACCACCTCAACAAGACCGAAGCCTACTCTACAAACACCACCTATGTCCTCGACATCTGCTCCCCGCTAGGCAAAGCCTCCAAACGCCCGAATGGAGCTGGCAGCTGCGAGTACTCTAAAAACAGTACGTCCCACCCACTCACACGAGCACAAGCACAGCTCTCTCTACCCATCAGACACCGACTGACTAATCCTTCCTTCGCCTAGTTTGCGGCTTCGAAGACCTACAACCAGCCGATGGCAACGGCGACCAGAAATTCGGGTTCCCGATCGCAGGACTCGATCCGATGGGCGGCGGTGCCAAAGATCCGCAGTTCACGCGACTGAGTGAGATCGAAGGTTCTGAGACCGAGGGTCTGCGTCTGAAGATCTCCGGTGGTTCCTGGAAGGGCGAGCATAATGATCAAAAGGCTAAGGATGCGGCTGCCGTGATTGATTTCCAGTGTGATCCGGACCGGTCTGGGTTAGAAGGTATTAGTACCAAGGAGGCCCAGCCGGAGGATGAGAAGAGTGAGAAGAGACGTCGGGCGGAGGGCGAGGGCGAAGGCGAGGGCAAGGACGAAGGCGAGGGTGATGGAGAGAACTCTTCCGACCAGAGTCTTCAGTACAAGAGCTTCTCTCCGAATGAGGATGGCGTTTATGTGCTCAAGCTTGAGTGGCGTACACGCTATGCTTGTGATGATTACCAGAGGGGTAAGGAGGCTAGCTCTAATGGCCATTGGGGATTCTTTACGTGGATGATTATCATGTGAGTGTTGAAGGGACAGATCCTCTCCCTGTGAGACCAAAGCAAGTACTAACCGCACGTTTCTCACCCAGCGTCTTCCTCTGCGTTGCGGCATACCTCATCTTCGGCTCCTGGCTCAACTACAACCGCTACGGCGCTCGAGGCTGGGATCTCCTCCCGCACGGCGATGCGATTCGCGACGTGCCATACCTCTTCAAGGACTGGGGCCGTCGGGTCGTTGATACCCTGCAAGGCTCCGGAACGAGAGGTGGGTACAGTGCGGTGTAGGAAGGACCACGGCATAGCTTTCTTCTGTACGATGAGAGAGGGAACTAGCGACCTTTGCACTGCAATTTTGTATGGCTTCGGCCAGGTTTATGTAGCTTATGCGGCTGATTGGGTTCATTCAAGTTTACCATGTGTACCACGGCAGGCGCTACTAGTAGATGTGAGTTATAGCAACAATGTGATTATACGGAGTACATGATTGGAAGTTAGCTACTACAATACTAGTAGCCAGTTGCCTTTATTTTTGCGTTTATCTGATAGCAGGGCGCCAAATGCTCAGGTGGGAGGTCATCGGACTGCTGTCGATATAAAGCTGGGAAAAGTACGAAAGAGCAAGCTCTCGAGACAGCAATGATCTAGCTATTGGCCCAGATGATACTCAGTGCTCCATCTAGTAGTACTGCAGTAGGGTTGGCATGTTTACGATGAGCCTCCACACCCCGGACATCTCGTCATCGCCTAGGGTCCAACCGCCAGCTGTCTCTGCATTAATGGAATTGATATGAATTACGTGAATCGGAGTATATGTTTTGAACATGTTACATTTCAGTGAAAAGGTCAGGTAATTAGTATCAATTCAGTCTGGCATACAAGACATACGAGACCGGGCGATCGGATTGAGATCCCCCGCAAAACAACGCACAAAAAAGCACGACATTGAATATAAGCCAAAGTTAAGTAAAGTCGGTGAAGCGATGCAACGATGAAACAGTAACAAATGGACCAATGGAAGCGAAAAGAGTACCTTCAGACGAGTGATCGGGGCGAGTGATCGCGTCATCGGGACTAAATCTTTCTCATGGGGAAATCGGGGAATGTAACAACGCATCATTAGAAGACCAGCATTCTTTCTCCTTTCTCTCTCCCCTCCTCTCGTCTTCTCCGTTCCTCTCTTCATCATTTCTCCCCTGATGGTATACCTTGTATACCTTGTGTATCAAGGGAACAAGGTCTAACCCGTTAGACCTTGACGGCGAACTGCTTCATATACAGATAATCCTCCATGTTGGCATCAACCGTCTGGCGGATCATGGCCGCCGCTTCAGGCCCATACTTCTTACACCACTCCTCATCGAACTGCTCCTCCGTCTTCCGAGCATGTTTCTGCAACACGTTAGCCCAATCCATCCCATTCCACCACCCCCAGAAACGGAAACTTACATGAGTTCTCGCAACCAGACTACTCGACTCAATAGCATCATTGTGAAAACCACGCCACTTCTCAAAAGCATCACAAGCAACCTTATAATCCTCGGGGGTATCCCAAATCAGCATCTCAGGCGTATAAGGCAACCCAACACTGTTGCAAAACGCCTCGATAGTCGCAGCCGGTGCATCGAGCATATCATCCGCATCAACGACACAGATCTCATCAATCGTCTGCTTAGCCTTCGACTCATCCTCAACGCTAAGATCAGACCTCGTCGCCACGCGTGGCCCGACAAGACCCTCCCGCCGAAGATAATCGAAGTGCCGCCGCAGCTCGTCGTACCCGGCTTCCAGCGGCGAGTAGTTATAGAACCCCGTCACTTTGTCCAGCGGCGGGATCGTGCAGCGGAAATACGAGGGCACGCTGAAGTGCGGGTCGCGGATTAGAAATGCCCAGTGGAAGCGCTCTTGCAGGGCTCGAGGCATGACGGTTGGGTTGCCGGTTTCTGCGGGCGTGTTGTACGGGTACGGTCGGACGTGGCCGTTGGTGTGGCCGTTGGTATGTCCGTTGGTGTGCCCGTTGACAGTGCCATTGGTGCCGTTTGTGACGCCGTTGGTGCTGCCGTTCACCGCGCCGTTGGTGTCGGGTGTGACACCGTTGGTCGCGGCGTGGCCGTTGGCGTGGGCGTGTCCGTTGACATCGCCGTTCACGCCGTTGGCTTGGACCTCGCCGTTGGTGCCGTTGGTGCCGACGCCGCGCTTGATACGGTGTAGGGACGGGGCTACGCTGGCGGGTAGGTCATTTGGTGGGAGGAGGTAGTGGTCGATGTCCTTGATGAAGACTCTCTTGCCCTGCAGAAGGTAAGTATTTCGTTGCGGCAGATTTCATTGACGTGTTACAGGTGCGAGACCCTGTTGCCAGGTTCTCGGCTCTGTGTTCTGTGCTCTGTGCTACAGATATATGCCGGTGAATGTGAATGTGAAGAGGGTCCCCGAATGGGATTGGGGGGGCTCAAAAAAAAATCTCATCCGTGAAGGATCGAGAGTCAAATGGCAAAGGCAAGAACGAGATTTGGGGAAAATTCAGGGAAGAAAGGATCGGACCTCGGATGCTTCTCGTTCAATTCTCTCCAACACGGTGAGATATGTTGACTCGCTGAAGCCGCTCTCCACGCGAGCTTGTTCGTCGTCTTCAAAACGGTCGGAGAGACGCTCTGGACCATAGTAGAAGGCGTCACCGAATGGCTCATGTATACACTGGATGGTGGAGCGTTGAGTCATGAAGACCTGTAGATCAGTCAGCACTGGACACATAGATGAGGTAGGTGGTGTAGATGCAGCCACTGGCAGTTGTGAATAGCTGCAAATCAACCAGAAACAAGAGTGAAATGGGAAAAATGCAAACATACTCGCTCAAAGGCCGTAGAGCAAGCACGAGGGTGCGTTGCCACGAAGATCGGTTTAGTAGACATGATGAGGGATCCAAAAAAAAGGATCAATATTCTGAGTATAGAGACTCTTTATAATATATTCTCAGCAATTCTGAATGAGAGCAGAGAAAATAGGAACTTGTAGCCTGAGTGAAAATCAGGGCGAAAGGCAAAGTGGAATAAACTCGTGGAGCAGACCGAGCAGCAAATGACCAGTCCGATGACAGGCAAAAGTCAGCTCTCTCTGGGCCTGGTTGCCCTGTACCGAGCACTCGGCAGTCAAAAAAAATATATAAATATAATGTAATACTCGATCGGCTGCAGAAAATAAAGCAGGCCGAGACAGCCGAGTCCCCGAGTGTAGCGTGCAGCAAAGCAGCAAATACAAAGTTGTGGTGATGGTTACAATATGGGGAACGATGGCGTGAGCAGAGGGTCAGGGTCGAGTTTTATAGCCAGGGCTCCAGCAGGTACGAAACTAGGTCATAGTTGGGAATTTCCACTCCTAATTTCCTTTCCTAATGGAAATAAATGGGTTCGGTGGTCAACTCAAACTCAGTCTGGATAAGCTCGGGCAATCCTACCGGGTTTTTCCCAAACGACCTCGGGTGGACACAGCCCTGTTGCCACAGATCGCTCCATCTCGTCCGTGGGAACTGGAACTGTGTTGGGTCGACTCTACGCCTATCCGATGCTCGCTCTATACATACTACAGTACTACACTACACAGTATGAACAAGAGAATAACGGTGCCCTCTCAAGCACCGGGATATGTACAAGATGAGGGGAAAGATTGAGATCTACATGATCTAGTATCTTTTATCCTCCTCCCACGATACCTACAGTAGTGTGTGGCAGGTTGTAGAATAATGCCGCACTTTGACAGTGACCATAAATACGGAGTATCTATACTGCACGAGAATATCATGGTCATTGTCGCAGGGGTCTGGTCCAGAACAAAGTTAAGGGCAAATCAACGACAAGACAATTCTCGCCCCTCTCTCCGCCGGCCCCGCCGCAGGAACCTTCCGCTTCTATTTTCTGCGCCATATCCGCGTCTCATACCTCTCGCAGTGGCCCCAGCGAGAGAGGAAGGGAAGAAGAAAAACCTTGGACTGGCTACTGCGCTGCCTGGTCGTGTCCAATCGCGGCCCCACTAAGTGGGTGGTGGGCGCTCGATTGAAGCGATCCTCCGTCCTGGATGCACCGAGGGATGGATCCCTCCTCCCGCGACGGTCTCCACGATGTCTGGGCCTTCGTGCCCATAGGGTGGATTCTTTTGGAGATTTTTGGCCATCCGGTAAAATCCCGTCTGTGAGTTGAGGGGTGGAGTATGTAGGACCGAGGACGGAGGAGACTGCTGCGGGCATTGTCAAGTCCTTTTGTCTTGTCGGAGTTCAAGTTCAAGTTCTCTTTTGTTTTTCTATCAGGACTTCATACTCAACCCAGTAGTCGAACGAGGTCTGATCCCGTTTATTCGTTTAATCGTATTTTTGCATGTTGACCGGTCGTATTGACGTCATGTTCATGTTTTTCGCCGCTTATCGTGGATATCGAGATATATTCAAGATGCCCGGGGCGTATGTACACACCAGGCCAAGTAGATCGAATAAGTTCAGCCACCACCTTGAGGCAGGATAGAGTGATTACTTACCATCGGGTTAGCTAGGGTTTCCATGGAAGGCTGGGCTTGAGTCCATCGACCCGATCGTAAAAAGAGGGGTTGGTTGTTCCGCTCCTAGGCTGGCGTCAGCGGCACCGCGTCATGATCAAATCAAGAGTTGCCATTTCATTTTCCGGATCCGACCTCGTCAAGTGGACTCAACGGCCTCCACATGGGGATATAGGAAGGAAACTTTTGGCTGTCATCCCGCCAATGGAAGGGATCGCAGGTATGGACTCCCTAAACTGAATGAGAGGGGAATCTTCTTCCATCAAAGCATAGCAATTGTCTTCTTTGGGAGGATCATGTGACCTGATGGAAGTGGGATGATGTGGCTGTTCTGTGTAGGAAATGTGGCTGACTCAATACCCAGGTGTGGCTGAAGATAGTTATATCACGTGATGGCAGATCATTCGCGAAATCAGGTGATGCTTCGAGAAGGCGGTGGAAGTACCTCGTGGCTAGTGGTGTCGTCACTAGAACGTCTGGTTGCATCGATAGTTTAGCAGCCCAAGAGTATATCTAGTGGGCTGATCACCTTCACGTTTCACCACTTAACTTGATTCCAGTCGCACACACAAAGCATACAAATACACATACACTACAACAACACACTTAAACAACTCCCCACTGATTTTCCACCACTACTCCGTTCAACATGAACGGCGCTCAATTCACAGATCGGGCAAACAAGGCCTTGCTGGATGCCAGCGGCTTGGCTGAACAATATGCCCACTCGCAAATCCTACCCCTCCACCTGGCTGTCACTCTTCTCAACCCAACTCCAGATGAATCCGAAGATCAACAGCCCGTGGGCCACTCCTCCCACGAATCCTCCTCTACCCCGCTATTCCGCCAGGTCATCGAACGTGCTCATGGTGACCCTCAGGTACTCGATCGGTCACTAATGAAGCTGTTGGTTCGTCTGCCGAGTCAAGACCCGCCCCCAGAGACTGTTGCCGTCTCTCCACAACTTGCAAAGGTCCTCCGATCCGCTGCCGACCTGTCAAAGACACAGAAGGACAGCTTTGTCGCGGTCGATCACTTGATTCAAACGGTTGTCCAGGATTCTCAGGTCGAACGTGCCTTGCGCGACGCCAGTGTCCCCAACCTTAAATTGATCGATACTGCCGTGCAGCAAATCCGTGGATCCCGGCGCGTCGACTCCAAGACCGCCGATTCCGAAAGCGAAAATGAGAATCTCAAAAAATTCACAATTGACATGACTGCTCTCGCTCGCGAGGGTAAGATCGATCCTGTCATTGGTCGCGAGGAAGAGATCCGCCGTGTTATTCGAATCCTGAGTCGTCGAACAAAGAACAACCCTGTCCTGATTGGTGAACCCGGTGTTGGTAAGACAACCATTGTAGAGGGTCTGGCCCGCCGAATCGTCAATGCCGATATCCCTGCCAATTTGGCCCAATGCAGGCTCCTGTCTCTCGACGTCGGCTCTCTAGTTGCCGGCAGCAAATATCGCGGCGAGTTCGAGGAGCGAATGAAGGGTGTCCTCAAAGAAATCGAGGACTCCAAAGAAACTATCGTTCTCTTTGTCGATGAGATCCACCTTTTGATGGGCGCTGGATCGAGCGGCGAAGGCGGCATGGATGCGGCCAATCTGCTGAAGCCGATGCTGGCTAGAGGCCAGCTGCATTGTATCGGTGCGACCACTCTGACCGAGTACCGCAAGTACATTGAGAAAGACCAGGCTTTCGAGCGCCGGTTCCAACAGGTTCTTGTCAAGGAGCCGTCGGTGTCTGAAACCATTTCCATTCTCCGTGGTCTCAAAGAGAAATACGAAGTCCACCACGGTGTCAACATTATGGATGGTGCCATTGTTGCTGCGGCTACCCTGGCTGCTCGCTATCTCACAGCCCGCCGTCTCCCCGACTCGGCAGTTGACCTCATCGATGAGGCTGCCGCTGCGGTTCGAGTCACCCGTGAGTCTGAGCCCGAGGCACTCGATACTCTGGATCGAAAGCTCCGCCAACTCCAGATTGAGATCCATGCCTTGGAGCGTGAGACGGATGAAGCTTCCAAAGCTCGGCTCGAAATTGCCAAGCAAGAGGCTGCAAACGTCACCGAGGAACTGCGACCTATGCGCGAGAAGTACGAAAGCGAAAAGAAGCGTAGTAAGGAAGTGCAAGATGCCAAGATTAAGCTCGACTCCCTGAAAGTCAAGCGCGACGAGGCTGAGCGCTCCGGCGATACTCAAACAGCTGCCGATCTCGAATACTATGCTATTCCTGAGACCAAGAACCTCATCGAGCGTCTTGAGGCTGATCGAGCCCGAGCTGATGCGGAGCGACATGCTACCGCTGGTGAGGGTGGTGAGGCTCTACTCGCTGATGCAGTTGGACCCGACCAGATCAACGAGATCGTCGGTCGCTGGACTGGTATCCCTGTCACGCGACTCCGCACCACCGAGAAGGACAAGCTGCTGAACATGGAGAAGAAGTTGAGTAAGCTTGTGATCGGTCAGAAGGAGGCAGTCGTCTCTGTTTCGAACGCCATCCGACTGCAACGCTCCGGCCTGAGCAATCCGAACGCCCCTCCCAGTTTCCTCTTCTGTGGTCCTTCGGGTACGGGTAAGACTTTACTCACCAAGGCCTTGGCTGAATTCCTCTTCGACGACCCCAAGGCCATGATCCGATTCGATATGTCAGAATACCAGGAGCGCCACTCACTCAGCCGAATGATCGGTGCTCCTCCTGGCTACGTTGGCCACGATGCCGGTGGCCAGCTGACCGAAAGTCTTCGTCGACGCCCCTTCTCCATTCTCCTCTTCGATGAGGTTGAGAAGGCAGCCAAGGAAGTTCTCACCGTCCTCCTACAACTCATGGATGACGGACGTATCACTGACGGCCAAGGCCGCATTGTCGATGCCAAGAACTGCATCGTCGTCATGACCTCCAACTTGGGCGCAGAATTTCTTGCCCGCCCAACGACCAAGGATGGCCAAATTGACCCGCAAACTCGCGAGATGGTCATGGGTGCACTTCGCAACTACTTCCTGCCGGAATTCCTCAACCGTATTTCCAGCACCGTTATCTTCAACCGTCTCACCCGGAAGGAGATCCGCAAGATCGTCGACCTTCGTCTCAACGAGGTCCAGAAACGCCTTGAGCACAACGGCCGTAATGTCGAAATTTGCTGCAGCGAGGAAGTCAAGGATTACCTTGGCGATGCGGGTTACTCGCCAGCTTATGGTGCCCGACCCTTGCAGCGACTCATCGAGCGCGAAGTCCTCAATCGCCTCGCTGTCCTCATTCTCCGTGGCAGTATCCGGGATGGCGAGCAGGCTCGTGTTGTTCTTCGCGATGGTCACCTCGACGTCCTGCCTAACCACCATACTCCCACTGACAGCGACGGAGATGAATCCATGAGTGACTCTGACTCCTCCATCGCTGATATGGAGGATGAAACTGGCAGCATGGATCTCTACGATGAGTAAAGATCAGATCGAGTGTTTGATTCGGTCTCGACCTTTTACCAGTTAAAGCACATTGTGCAAAGCGAAAAGTTTATCTACATTTATCACGATTATCACGAAATGAAGTTGCTCTTATGTTTCATACTATTTTGGCATGGTGTTGCCACTGAATTATGTTCGCACTGTGCATTTGTTCCTATAGTTTCCAGCTATTTCCCCATGTTTGCTCTTCCCTTTAATATCTTTCTCTTCTGGGGAGGCTGGCTGCTTTTGAGTCTTATTAGACGCTGCTAATATATTGATTCTCTAAACTTTTCCCCCACATTTATCGTAGACAAATTCACCTCCGTAGCAAAAATAGCAACAAATCTATTTCCGAATTGTGTGATATTTCCTAAATCAACATCTACTAGTACGCTACAGAAGCGTTGCTAGGTCTGTTATACTCAACTTGTCGACCCTTCGTTTGGAACAAACGAACTCTGCAGGTAACCAATCCTTAACTTTTCCTCCGGGTATCCCTGAACATTCCACAAATGCATCATCCTCGTCCCCTAGAATCATCAAACCCACAGCAACACCTGATAACCACGCCATAACCATCCCTTCCCCTTGAAATCCTGCCGAGATCCACTCGGCTGCCTCCTTTTTGTCACCTTCTCGCGACAGAGTCTCTAGTTTCCGTTGAGTAAGACTATGCTCCAGCTTGCCAACATAAGGTAGAAGATCTGGCGTAAATCCCATACAGCCAGTCCATGCTTGCTTCGGCCGGGGAGCTTCATCGACACCCCAGCTATTGGTACCGAACATAGTAGGCATGATGCCATACAGATACGCAAGAATACGATAACTGATTTGGTCGTCTCTCCAGATACCAAACTCCTCCATTCCCTTTTCCTCTGACTGAACCACCCCACCCCCAACCATAAGCTCGCCTTCACCGGGTCGTTGGCTGATATAGTCGAAACCGCGCTTGTGATGAATACACCATGATCGTGAACCTTCAAGTGTTGAAAAATAAGCTCCAGGGCTTTGAGCAGTCATGTGTCCCCGTATCGGGAAAAGTTTCCCTTTTATTCCCGGGATGAGATTCGCGGCGAATCCATCCGTGGCATGTACAACATGTGTTGCACGGATGTCTCCCCTTGGTGTGGTGACCACAAATGGCCGGTCAGTGTCTTTATATTCGATTTGTATATCGGTAGCGGGGGGTCCTAGTCTCGATACATAATCTTGAAGGGAATGACGCGAGAAGGGATGAATAAAGGGCAGTGACGAAACGGTATGGCGAAAGCGCCGCAGCCCGATAGGATATAATTCCAAAGCAGTGTTGGGGATCAACATTATATTTCTAAAGGCTCTTAGTATGCGACTAAGAGAGGAAGGCGGGTCCATGGGGAATACTTACTTCACAACCACTCGAACCATCATGGACGAGAATGTCTTCAGCTGTGTCGGGGACATCTTCCCTTGATTGTTGTACCATCTTCTTTGCCTCGTTCCATACCTTCGCATCGGTGAAGACGTCTACCGTCTCCACTTCCCTTGCCTCTGCGGAATCCAATCCCATCTGCTGTACCATATCAAGTAGGAGTGGCATATGTCGTCTCTGAAATTGTAAAATTTTCTTCGCGCTATCGATTCCGTATCTTGATTTGAGAGAGGAATATTCCAAATACGCGGCGCATTTGATATGCCCTCCATTTCTTCCGGTAGCACCGCTGCAAGTCTCCCTTGCTTCGATCATGACTATCTTCAAGGGCTGCTTATCTCTCTGGTCGTTCCGGACACCATTTAGAACCGAGTATGCCACGCTGGCACCGGATATGCCTGACCCAATAATTACAATGTCGGCGGTATCTGGGAGAGTCTCAGATTGCATGTTGACCAGCTCCGGGAATATCGGGTCGTTTTGCCAGAATGAGGAGGTGGGGTTCGAGACCGGCAATGTTGGGGTCCAGACTCGAGAAACCAGATCGTCGAAACATCGTTTTGTGGTGGATATCTCGGATAGGAGTTCTCGGAGCTTAATGGCCTCGTCGTATACTTTTGAATAGATTTGGCCCATGGTGCGATGGATGTTGGAGGAGTGAGGAAGGTAAATAGATGTCCCAAGATTCGGAGGAGAAGTTAAAAGACGATCTCGGGAGCGGTGGGTCAACGGTCCAGGAAAGAATCAATCATCCTTCCACTGGCAGTGTCGTACGGTGTACTTTCTGGTGTTCTGCCATCGGAATATCTTCAAGTTGTATTTGGTATAGTATAAATTCATTCACTTCAAGTATACAGAGCTTTTCTGTTTTTGTGTTCGTCGTGAGTCGTCCACCTGGGCAGACCTATAGCTAACTAGTATTATCTGCATGCAACAGTCAGTTGCTGGTATTAAATACAACGATCGGGTGAAATACTAGTAGTGGTAATGCTAACTATATCCCAAGGTTCAAGGTTGACACCCGTAAAACATTTCCCCCAGAATTTCCGAGCAAACTTGACATTTCAGGAGTGCTACCTAGGTACTACCCCGTCGATCGAGATAGGATAGGTAGAGAGTCTCGCCAGAGGAGAAGCAGTAGTCATACCATGAATGACCGTCTTCCGGCAACTATATCCGCTCATAGTTGATGAAAGAACACCCAATGCCCAACCCTTCAACCCCCTTGCAAGGGTTTCATTCGCAGCCTCTCGCCCTAACAGCTGGGTCAGAGTGATTGACTATCTTGATTGGAGCCACATGTATCTTCTAACGCAATGTCAATGTTTTATCGAACAAATTCAAGCGGTGAGCGGCTCTTCAATATTTTTATGTGCCAGTTGCCCAAGTCTTGGGTAATTAGCGCGAACAACTGGCCGACTTTCCATAATAGCATCCTCGATAGGTTGACCCTGCCCAGCGCGTCGCTAACCATGCTGCATAGTGAAAAATCTGATCATTTTCAGGCAGTCACATCTGGCATGTACTGACGCAGCTATGCACAGCTAAGCACCTGATCAATATCATCTATTGGCTACATCATGTCCACTAAACAGGTTTGTTCGATTTCTCAGACTCGGGTGCCCAGCTTAAGTAGGGCAGAGCACGGGAACAAGCTAGAATATTGAACATGAGCCGCCTGGCCCTTTCCCTTGGTCCTATCAAAGCACACCGAGCCCATGGTCATATGCAAAGCGTGGCAATCTATTGGATGCAAAGTTATTTCCAGGATGGTGTCGCGTGGCGCGGTGCAGTAAGCTCGGGCCGTCGCGAATAAGAGGATTATCCATTGCTGAACGAATGCGGTCATGGTTGACAAGCAGGGCTATCTTCCCCGCTTCTTGGAAATTGCGTCTTTTTCTAGGGGACCATGTAGTCCTCATGGCATTACTCCGTCTTTACCTACTTCTATAGATTGAAGTCGCATTCGTACTTTGATATGCATATAAAAATTAGAGTACTGAACATCAACAGATCCATCACATCTCAAAGGTCCCATGGATCCACAGTTCATCGAATCTCCTGAACCGTTTGATCGTTCACACCACAACCTTGGGTACTGACAAGGGTATTCCGGCTGTTGGTGCGGGCATCGGTTCATGTAGCGTAATCGGCAAATCAGAGATGCTCACACTCTCGAGAATCAGCGCTAGTGATGCAGTCCCGACCTTTTAATTCACGCATGAGCCCACTGGGAGATCGAGGCTGCAAGCCTTGGGCCCCAAAGCATGTCATTGTCCACGGCTCACCTGCATTGCCGTCACCCGGGCAAACATACGAACCTCTTGATAGCGAATAGCCACCCATCTTCCTTCACCGATTCATCTGATAACCCTTGCTCTCCTTCACACCATCATGAAAATCTTCAAATCAACCCCTGCCCTTGACAACCTCAGAGTCATACCGACTTTCTTTTTTCCCATGATGATGACTTGGAACATTTTGCTTTCCAGAAATCGGGCTTTGTATTCACCATGAAAGAAATCTATAAATACGATAGTCCTCAGATTCCAGAAAAACAAAAATTTCTGTGAACATAACTACTCTCCTTGCAGGTCTCTGACACTAGGCCCACGCAGATCCAAGTCTTTCATTCAATCCAATCAAAAATTTGAACCTCTTCCTGCTAGTGAGTGTCCTTCTCTAGAATGAGTCTCGACATCGTGATGGATAACACACTGAGACCTATTTTAAGTCTCCATCCTTCCGACAATCCCAATCTCGACATGCCGTCATCCGAAATCAAGCGAGGTCCACCAGAAAGCGTTTGCCGTCAGCTTCTGCTCAATTCTGACATACCAAATTTTACCCAGGGCCCTATAGGAGGGGCTGATCAGTACCCCAACTCTGTCGATCTTGAAGTCATGATATATCACGTGGAGGATCACCCTAAGATCAAAAGAATCTTGGGAAGGGCATTCATCGTAGAAGAACTGAACTCTACCACGTGCTTTATCGAAAGTCTGAAGGAGCGGCCAAATGGAAGAAGGCCCCCAAGTGCTACTATAAAATATCGCCTCAAACAAAATGCATTCTATGAGACCGATTCAAAGATCGCAGCCAAAATCAACATTGAAGTGAAAAACTTTGTGGACGTTGTATGGGACAATGCGGAGCCCGTGGGAAAACCACGTAATTCAGATCACGAAGGCTCATTCCGACGTCTTGATTCGGTTTTGAAAAGCCTTGCTTTGGATTCATATAAGCTGCGAGAACAAGAGTCCTGCAAAGAAGCCAAGAGAAATCGGGTTTTCAGGAGCCCCAACGATGCTGCTTGGTATTTCGAGAAATCACTACGGATCTGGAACCTCGACTACAACCACACCCGGCCATCAGCGGAACTCTTGATAAGCTTTTTTCAATCAAACAACATTAATAGTCAAGCTGCGGTGAAAGACTGCGTTTCTGATTTCTTCAAAGACGCTGGTCGCGACGAAAATTACTCAGCGGTTGCGCAATGTTATGAGGGCATCGACTTTGATCATGGCTTTTATCTCGTCGACTGCGCGATATTCGGGAGGAAGAGTGCGATTGTTCACTGCTCTACCAATGAATCGATCACGCCTAACGAGAAGCTTCGAGCAATAATGAGCGCTTTTCTATGGATGAGAATTCTTTATCCACGGCGGGAATGGCAAAGCAGGCTTCTCAAATTTCCATTTGAAGACAATCTTGAGGAACATCTTCACGGGTTAGTGGATATTAAGCAGCAGGAGGCATTGAGGGATGATTGCGAGTTGGCCGACGAAGATCAGACCCATATTGATTGGCTGTGGAGCTGGTTGAGTCAACATGATCAACGACCAATCAAATTGGCCTTTTTGATGGCGAAAAATCGCATGGCAAGAGACGTGCTTAATGAGATGGAGGTGGTTCATCGTTTTATTGAAGAAATCACGGACTACGCTCAGTTGGCTCGCCGATCATATTGAACAAGGATAGACGGAAGTTGTGTGAGGAAGCGAGTCGGGACCTAAAAGTTTTGTCATTGTTTTTCTTTCCCCTGTTTTCGCTAGGTTGGGGGCCAAATAGAGCTGAACACTCGGAGGGCTGAGTCTCGAATTTGTCATAATCCCTGTTAAGCAACCACTAGTAGCCAACTCATTTCTTCACTGTACTTATAGTTGAACATCAAGTGTGGCCGAACTATCTTCTCTCAACTTGTGCCCCGGCAGTCGGGAGTAAAACAGAACGTGCGGCAGGATAATCGAAAACAAATCAATGGCTGGATTGTTTTGAACCTCCTCGTTTTAAAAATCTCTTGCCTGACGCAGAGTAGACAGTAATCGATGTCGCGGCTGAGATGCGACAGGTCACAAATACAAACGGAAACTCTTGTACCATGTCTAGCGCCGAGGACCAATACCAGACCCTGAATCCAGTGCGGTCTGGTCTGAAGAATCGAATACGGCAGTACTGAAGCCAGTCGGTCGGACAAAGGAGAGGTACAACAGGACGATTGTATGGTCAATGAAGAACCAGAACAGAAGTTACTTCACGATGAATTTGATAAAGATTGGTTGGTGTTCGCAGCTGGAAACAAGCTGTTTGGCCACTAGTTGTATGCGCAGAATTGACCGGTGCGATCGAGGCAGATTTACCCTGGTGATGGAGCTTGTAATACCCCGTTACCTAGTGAATGATGGGTCAAAAAGTACCTTGCCAGATGGCCCACAATCTCCGGGTTGGAAAAAAACTCGACAAATCTTGCCTTAGGATAGCAAATATCATTGAACACTGTGAGAGCATCTTCAGAGTGTTGATACCTAGGTATCGATCAATTCTGTTCCATTTTCTTCCCATTGGCTTCTGATCTCGCGGAGTACCAGCAGCTGCCGAAGTTCAAGTTGTGAGTCAGCGGTTTACCCCTGAAATATGTCGGAGAGCCAGACAGCTAGGCGTGTTGAAAATGTTGCTCCTGTTGCGGGCCGGGCAGCAAGTCTCAGTGAGTTGCCATATTTCGGCTTTTTGTTGATGTTCCGCTGATGATTCATTCTCACAAAAATGCAGATATTGCCAGTGATGAGTTTCGTTTGATATCCGAGGCCTTGGAGAACTTGGGCAGGTGTCATTCCGCGACACCCTGGGAGGAGGACTTGATCCTCATGATCCGCAATATCGGAAGAGCGGTCGACGCAGATCGCGAGTCATTTGTGAAGAATCTCATAGATCATGGATTCATGTACGATCGAAACTGGATCAGAGTTCGCACGATGTTGGTCTTCACGACTTGGATCTTGTATGATACGACTCGGGGCGCGTGGGAGGGATGGAGTGCGAATGAAATGTGGGAAGAGTGCAAGAGGCAAATGATACGCTACAAGTCAGGTAAGCATGTTTTGGCGCAGCAGCAAGGTCACATTTATAAGAGACGAAATCCCCTGCCGGTCCTTGCTGCAAGATGTGCATTCAATGTGATAAGCAAATGTGGTCTGACATCTTGACATATAGCCGTAGCCTACCTGGAAGACCTCAGGACCCTACATTCGCCCCCCCCTCCACCGTGGAGCCAGGATCTACTCGTGACGTTCAAGTAGATGGTAACTCCCTTCCCGCACACCATCTGTGACTCTCCGAGGCCAAAACAAGAATTCAAGACAATGGTGGAAATGTGTTCTTCGTACTCCGTACCCTGTTACAGGAGAGATGATGATGGAGGGTCGAAGACGACTGTTAGTGGTCAGAGCCCCCTGCATGCAGCCCTGGATCGTCGGGGTCAATGATTCCGTTGGCTGAAAAGCCTGATGAGCATACATGGTACAGAGTATGTACATGCGCACATATGTACGGAGTACAGTATGTCCATATGACTCGGGCTGGGCGCAGGTGCTTGCGCAAACAAAGTCAGCATGCAGAGTACAGACCGATTTCACTTGCGTCACTTTTAATTCGTGTCCCAATTCATCATCTTAGCAAATGTGAACATCTTTGATTGTTTTGCCTAGGATACTGTAATTTCTACCCCTTAGGGAGGCATTGAAAGAATACCGAGGTCAGCGGGGTTTCCTCGGGAATAATTTGTTCGGAACTCCCCGGGGCTAGCATCTTTGACCCTTAGCAGGTACCTACGCCCATTCGATACGGGAAATCGCCCAAAAAGCAACGGTAGGCCGTATTGACGGATTATTCCACGAATCAAGACCCTCAAAGGCACTGAGAAAGAAGTGTGATTTATTGCAATCGACTTATCACATATCGGTCATTCTCAACCCCTATGGGACGCCCTCGGGCTATGTACACGGCACATGAGATACTGGTCCCCATGGCAAATGTGGACTGATCCTCAATTTCCTGATTGTATGGCTTCTATCCGTTCATGACTACTCTTGTTATACCACAAAAATCGACAATTGGATCATGACCAGCCAACTGACGGAAATGTCTCATCAAATTCAAAGCCTAGTGTCCCATTGTCCAGATAGTCTGGCCAGTCTACAAGACTCTCAATCCCTTCAGCAAGTATTCCGGTATCGGAAGAGGTTTCTGTGAACAGTTCCTCTATCTCGGTTATCATGCGGTTGTGATCTTTGGATGCTGCGTTGCCCTCTTGAGCCATTTCCGCGAGTAGCCTTTTGACTGGCTCGTATGGTGCATTGAATATGAGGCTAGCGAACGCAGTGGGTCGCCTCTCTATGATTAGTCTCGATATCAGATGTACCGTAAGACCAGAGAATATGTGGAGAGAGTCCCAGAACCCAAATTTTGCTATTCATAGGTCAGTACGGAGTAAGGCGCAGTGGCTCGAGATTATTTTGTAATTTGAGTCTAGCCTTGAATGAGATAGGAGCACATACCTATGCTATGGCATTTTGAAAGGGCAAACTGTATTGCGGTATTGTTTGTTGCCGCCTGTAAGCACTGGGTATTTAACCTCTCAATTTCGCTGTTAGGAGTTGTTGCACTAGTATTCTGAACGAGATCTTGAAGTTGTTTTAATAGCAGTGGACGAAGAAGAATGATAAAGCACTGCAATTATTAGTCTCATATTGTGGGGTTGATATCGGATATTTCTTCATACCTGGTTGTAACGTAGGAGTAGTGACGCAATCGTACGCATAGGGGGACTTGAAATTGCCTTCTCCGTAAATGTACCATCTTCTTTGAAATCCAGGCCAAATGAAAACTCCGCCTTCCAATTTCTCAAGGTTTGAAGGCAGGGCTCAATAATTTCATGTGCCTCAAATACACTCCCGTAGCGAAGCTCAGATATTGTTTTGGTTATGTGGGATTTGATACGAACAAGTTTGACTTGTGCGGTAAGATACCGAGAATCTGAGAATTCTTCGGCCTCACCAGGAGGCAATCCTATGCATTCCACGATCGCACTAGTATCGTCATTCAGCGCGCAGGATGGTGCTAATGATAGCTCGGTACAGGTCATTATATCCATGCAAACTGCCGTCCACCAAATGCGTTTGCGGTGTTCTCGCTCCAGTGGGGTATGTAGCACCGATGAGTTTGGAATCCCCAGGAGATTCGCTAGTCGCAGAGCCATTCCGGCATACGCATACGCTGTCTTTCTCCGATTAAGAGAATAGCAGTAGAATGTCTATGAGAGATGAGCTTTGACCTCATGAGATATCAGCTTTCATTTCAGACTTACAATGAGGTTGAGAGCTTCAACTTGTTCGATTGTCGGTTCCTCGTAAGACGGCCGCAGCAAAAGTAGTGCCTGTTTGAAGAATTCAATTCCTGGTGGTGTAATCTGTCGTGAATTTTCATCACAGGGGTCATCTGCTGGCAATCCTGTTCTATCACCGACGAAAAATGAAGGCGCAACACCGTCATTATATGACTCCCCCAGAGCCAAAACAACAGAGAAGCAGCAAAGCCATATTCTATCAACTGCCTGTGGCTGTGATGAATCATAGGTGGCGTCTATTTTGGCGCGGAAAGACTTTTTCTTATACCAGTGATAGTCCGACCCCATGAACGATTCAAACTGGCCCAACAGATAAAGAGCATATGAGTGTGGTGGAAGTTTGACGAAAACCTTGGCATCTGCGACAGTTAAAAAATGTCAATAAATCAGAGTTGTGTATATCTCATACATACGGTTACTGTCATTTTCGAGTGGGATATATGAGTAATCTGAATTTGCAGATCGGTCATCATTGTCATGAAAATTGAATCGGTCAGGAGTCGAGCTGGTTGACAGGGCAGAAACTCCCGAAATGCCTTGCGATCGGGTAGAATAAACACCTTTGAGCTTGCGAACAAAGTGCTCCGTTGTTGAATTCTCAATAAATCGATCTGGAATGGCCTGTTCCTCTACGCCATTCCTCGACGGAGTTGTGAACTGGTAGCCAGTCTGAGTCACAAGTCTCTGATTATTGCGAACGGGCTGCCGGATTTGCGCAAGACCGTTCTCTAGTCTTCGCAAATAGCTCTCTGGGATCGTTATTGCTTTTTCTCGGGATGAGTATACGCAAGTCCTCTGGCTTGAACGGCATTTTGTACACGGTTGTTCTGTTCTCGATTTGTCAGTTTAGCGTCGAGGACTACAAATCTGAGACGTACCACCACTGCACTTCACTTTCTGACTGCGACAATAATGGCAGGCATGGATAGATCTCCCTTTGAAACGAGGCATTTTAGAGTATCACGCGTAGAGACCGGGAGGATAGGGAGGGGAGATATTGTCGCCGCCGGATGGTGTGTTTTAGGTGGGGAGAGTGGCCAACTTGAACGGATCCCCGCAGTGCCAACTTCAACTTTCGGCTTGATATCCGGTAGAACCACACTCAACGCGCTATCTGTTTTAAATAATTTATCGCCTTTCTATCTTATATTTTCCTGTAAAGCTATCTGTTGCGAATAATTCCAAATTTGAAGAAAGAAAATGAGAAGAAAGCAATTCTCTAGAAGAAAGACAGAGGTCTTATACTGGTAGGGGGCAGTTGTAACCTAAGACTAGTATCACGTACAATTATCTATAGCTTCCCTGGAATGATTCTTTTGTTTCTGCCCTTCCATCCGTCCAGCTCTCCCAAGTCTCGCTGTGGCCACGGATGAGGCTCTTTGCCAGTCTTTGGTGGAGTTGCGCCAAACCGCCACTTCCACAGATCCATATAATCCTGGTCCAGCTTTCCTTCTAGCATGTCCACGACGTATTTTCCAATAACCGGCATGAACTTGAATCCGTGTCCAGACCCCGCTGTGGCAATATAGAGGTTCTTCGCCTTAGGGTAAGGACAGATGCGAAAGTTGACATCCTTGGTATCTCCGTCCCTTCAAGTTCGCAATGTTATGTTAGCTTCCAAAGTTCAAGTACGGAAGAAGTGGATCAACATAACTAATTAACACCTACCAGCACATGCGGGTTGAAGTCCACTCTCGGTCTGCAAGCTCTGGAATCATATCACGAACAAAAGATCTCATTTCCTCTTCGATTTTTCTGGGAACGCCGTCTTCCGGATAGTCTTCATGGGAATGTCCGATGGAAGCGCCCGGGATGAACGAGTTATAGTAGTTCGTAATAAATCGGCAACTACAAATCTTGAGGAGCCCGTTCTCATCTGGAGGGAATAGGATGCCTGTCGGACTGTATAAGCACCAAAAATTCAGTTTCCTGTCGACCATAGCAACTCACCTTGCTCAAAATCATCCACAATCGGCAAGTTCTTGTACTTGATGACTTCTTCGGGTGTCAATTGAATCACCCCCACACAATGCGACCGGGCAATTATTTCATCTTTCGAATCAATAAGCGTCGCAGTATTTGCGCCCGTGCAGATGATGACCACATCGGCCAGGTGTACCTGTCTATTGGCCGCCAGAGCCCCGATGCAAGTGCCAGCTTCGTTATAAATCAGCTGCTTGACAAAGCCCGCATCCCCCGAGATATATTTGACCCCATTGGCTTGGGCTGTTTGTGCAAATCGAAGAAGGGCTTGTCCGGAGGGAACCTACGAGAAGAAGAAATGAGTAATTTTCCAATAGAACTTTCAGAACTTGAATCATTTCGATTTCCACTCACCCAGCCGGCTTGCGGACTCCAAAGGTTCAGCCAGCCATCAAAAGACCCAGTGAACTCAGGCCATTTTTCTTTCGTTTCCGTGACACTCATCCATCGTGCAGATTCTTTATCGACTTTGGTCGCAGTTTCATACGCAGCTTTGAGGAAATTCTTGGCCATCTCGTGTGCAGACATGATCCATCCGGTTCCTCTAAACATGCCCCGGAAAATCGAGTCCTGGTCTTTCCACACACTCATTGCCTCTCTTCCAAGTCTTGTATAGAGAGGATTCGGATAATCAGTTCGAATGATCTTGTTCAGGTCTGTCGCCGCAGCATCCTTCGATGGTGCTGCATGGCGATCGAGAACGGTCACATTGGAATAACCTCGGTGGGAGAGATGGTAAGCAGTAGAAGTGCCGAAGGCGCCTCCGCCAATTATGAGAACAGAAGGCTGCGACATCTTGAATAAGATCGTCTAAGCTAATACTTTCAAATGTATTTCATCTGGCGGCATCGTTTGCTCCATTTATATCGCTGGTCTCTTCTGACTATGACTTGAAAGTGCGGAGATCGTACTGAGGTCTCTTTCCATTCACCGGAAACTACGGCTGAGAACTACCTGGAGAGCCAGCGTAAAATTTCTTGTCGTTTTGTTCAAAAGTTTATTCTTTCTAGTAGATAGCGCCGATAGTCCGTTAAAACGGCCGCTACGGCGATGAGAACCAAAGGCATAGGCAACCCCGCTTCGGAAGGTGGAGTATAAGGCTGCCTGCCCAATTAAATCATGGAGAAAGCCCGTAGCGGCCGAATGGTGATAAGCTGTGGAGGCATATCCAAATGTGCGGGGAAGGCTATCTCCTATGCAGCTGATTATACTAGTAATCTGAGGTTAAACCGTTCGAACCGAACTGTCCGATGGTAGATAGAATTACAAATACTAGTAATACTACCTACTAGGGAGTGGCAAAGACAGCCCTGTGGTAGGCGGAAAACTTGAAAAGGATTGAATTATAAAGTCGCACACAAGCCCTCTATAAATGCCATAACCTTTTCTACTTCTTTGAATCAATTCTGTAACTCACCATGACGGATGTTAAGAAGCAAGTCGTGCACCATTCACATGGCCCAGAGGAGAAAATAGAATGGGGCTCGACTGTTTCTATTCACCCCATGCCTCCTACACTACAAGGGCTTACAAGTGAAGAAATTGCATCTTTGGAAAACGCTCTGGTCAGAAAGCTGGACATCCGACTTATGCCGATGCTGGTCTTGATTTACATCATGAATTATCTCGATAGGTACTGGTACTATTTCATACAAATGTTCAAGCACATCCTACCTAATAAAATATTCAGAAATGCGATCGCAGCAGCCAAATTAAGCGGAATCACGGAGGAGCTAGGTCTGACTTCGGTTCAGTTCCAGGTATTTAAAATTACGAAGCCCCAAAAGTCTTACTTCTATTACTGACTTCATCAAGACTTGTGTTAGCATTCTATTTGTCGGGTAGGTCTTTGTCCCTTACAGCCCAGTTATCAGTACTGATAGCTTCAGGTACATCCTAATGCAAGTCCCGTCCAATTTATTTTTGAATAAAATTGGAAAACCCGCACTTTATCTTCCAACATGCATGATAATATGGGTTAGTCAAACTTGAATGCCTGGGCGGGCGCCATAAGAACCAATTTTTCAATTGTCTAATATTATTTAGGGTATCCTATGCGGCGTCAGCGGTGCAACACAAGGCTATGACGGTCTTGTAGCATGCAGGTATGAATCCAGTGTTGAATTTTTTCTGCGAACGCTGAGCTAACTTGAGCAGATTTATTCTCGGCTTCGTTGAAGCAGCGTATTTTGTCTGTCAGTCATTCCTCTATTTCAATATCAGGCTAGCTAACATACAATAGCCAGGATGTATGGCAACCCTGAGCGCCTGGTATACCCGAAAGGAACTATCTTTGCGTACTGCTATTCTCTACTGTGGGTCTCTTCTATCAGGGGCTTTCTCCGGACTGATAGCCGCCGGTATCAATGACGGAATGAATGGGTAAGTTGGAACGGTCCATCTTTTTTTATACATCACTAAATATCACCCAGAGTGAGAGGCCTCTTGGCATGGAGGTGGCTATTCATAATCGAGGTACATCCCGACTGTTTGTGTTCGTAATTTTCCTTATGCAGACCTTTGACTCCAGCAGGGCTCGATCACAGTTTTGATCGCTTTTGCCGCATACTTCGTTCTGCCGAATTTCCCTCACAATTCGACTTGTATAACTGAGCAACAACGAGAGCTCGCCATCTGGCGACTAGCAAAAGATATCAGAGAAGATGAATGGGACTCTGAAGAGAAACCTACGTTGATGGGCGGGTTTAAAGAGTGTATAACCGACTCGAAGACTTGGTTTCTCGTGGTTCTCAACCTTGGTGCAGTTTCCAGCGGTACAATAAACAGCTTCTTTCCCACCGTGGTAGAAGGACTTGGAGAAAGTCGAATCCACACACTTCTACTCACGGTGCCTCCTTATATCTTGTCCTGCATTGTTGCTATGGCTGTTTCTCGAAATGCCGACCGGACAGGTGAACGCTATTTCCATTTCACTCTACCCCTTTGGGTCTCCATTGCTGGTTTCATCATATCTGCAGCCACGACCGAATTCGGTCCAAGATATTTTGCCATGATGATTATGCTTCCTGGCGTTTATACTGCTTTTATTATTGGTATTTCCTGGGTGGCAAATACGCTTCCTCGGCCATCGTCGAAACGAGCAGCTGCGCTTGCACTTACAAATGCGATAGCAAATTGCTCATCGATCTATAGCCCCTATCTCTACCCAGATAGTGGCGCTCCTCGCTTTATTCTAGCCATGAGTGTGAATGCGGGGACTTCTCTGTTGGCAATATTTACTGCTACCGTTTTCCGATTCATCTTACAGAAACTAAATCGGAAACTTGACAGAAGGGAGCTAGAAGGTGGAAACAATGGAGGTTTTAGATATCTCCTTTAGATGGCACCGCCCGCATCTTATGGGGAAAATTATTCAATATCGAAATGTCTCCAGCTTGCAGAAAGATATGTTCTTGACAATGGCTTGACTTATTTAGTTTATCTTTCTAGCAAAGGTTGAAAAACGAAATACAACTGAATACTTCCATTAGGAGTAAGAAGCGGATCGGTTGTATTCGGGGCTTGGGAGGTGGAGACTTAGGCCGGGATCATGATAGACCAGCCAGATTTCGTGAACCCCGATTAGAGGCTGGTCACCACCTAGAACTCTGAAGCTTTGGCAGCCTTGATGAACAGCTCGATTGACTCCCGCTGGTCGTTGTCGAAGGACGCTTTTGCTTCAGCATCAAAGTTCAGACTGTAACACACCTGGGCAGCTACTAGTAGTAATTAGTTTTGGGTAGTTACCGAGTTATATACTAGTACTAGTATTATACAGATATGCTACGCATGGAAGAGTAAATATTTCAAGTTCTCAGGTGTTCCAAGGTTGGGTTTGTCTGTAAGGATATTATTTTAAATACTAACTATTTAGTACTACGTTCACTATTAACCACTGGAACTTGCTTGTTTTGGAAAGACTTTATCACACAGATTCAGTAAGTTATCACTGTCCATCAAATAGATCCCGGATCTTCTCATTCCCATAATTCTCCAGAAGAGCAAGCTGCAACATAATCCGTGCTTTCTGCGGATTTAAAAATCCACTCGTCATCTGAAATGAGTATATAGAGTCGCCCCCAGAAAATCCATCCTCAGTCCGCCGACTAAACACCATTGGAATACCAGTCTCGTTATACACTCTCTGCGCAACGTCCAGTCCACTCTTGCTCCATCCGCCAGCTCCTACCCCAGCAAAAATGATTCCTCTAGCGCCCGATCGAACGGATGCTTCGATGAGAGCCGGGTTTGCGTCTTGATATCCGTACAGAATATCGACTTGGGGCAGAGATTCTGCTTCCCCAGTGCTGAAATGTGGTTTGTTGCGAGGGGTCGATGGAGTAGAGTAGAATTTGGGAACCTGGTTAATGAAAAAGCCGAGTTGGCCTTGTTCGGTAGCATAAAATGTATCGAGGGAGTTTGCGTTATTCTTCGTCGTTGTATATGCGCTTCCGATCCGGCTAATGACCGATGTTAGTATTGATTGGGGATATAATCACTTCAAGTTCCATTTACTTACTCGTTCAACACAACCAGGACGCCCCGATCGCGAGCTTCATCGGAGCCGGCTAATTTCACGGACTGATACAGATTCAAAGGACCGTCGGCACTGATTGCGGTAGAAGGCCTCATGGCGCCAGTTATAACAACCGGCTTATGAGTCTTCACTGTCAGGTCTAAGAAGAATGCCGTTTCCTCAAGTGTATCGGTCCCGTGTGTCACGACAGAGCCGTGAGACGATGGTGTCGCCGTGTCGGCATTGATGTATCGGGCGAGGTTGAGTAGGACGGTGGAGTTGATTGATCCGCTATCAACATTTGAGACCTGCAGACCAGAAACATTTGAAATATCGCATAATTCGGGCACTGCCTCTACGAGCGCCTCAATGGTGACTCCGACTTTATAGTTAGTAGTTTGAGTATTGGTCGTGCCTTTGCTTGCAATTGTCCTTCCGGTTCCAAAGATTGTCACATTGGGTAGATTTCCATTTTGATGGGTCTGTCGTTTGCAAGAAGTGGATAGCTGCGGAACGGCGGCCGAGGTGGACAAACAGACCTGGGCGAGAAGGAGTAGAAAGGGTGTGATTTTAAACATGGTGAAATATTCAGGAGCTCCACATAAATATAAATTATTAGAAAGAATGGGTGAGAAATGAGTTGTGTTAAATATTCAGAATAATTAAACTCCACTGAACTGATAACTAAATATCACCAGATTGGGAACCGTAGCGGCCGAAACGGGTCTAGTAAGATCTCGACCAATGAGAGTTGAGAACCGTCCACTATCAGCCAATTCAACAATCACATCATCTTGATTTCTAAATGTGATCACATACTAACCTTGGAATCATGAATCCCAAGTTCTTGAAGCTGGATTGCCATGAGACATTACAGCTAAAACTTAGGAAGGGTCTACACCTAGGCTAGGCAGTAATAGTTGTAAGGCTTAGTCAATGGTTGGTCTGCATTATAGCTTGTCTGCGGTTGTTGTTAATGCAAGTTATATGTACAGAACATGTTTGGATCGAACAGTGATACCTAGGCCCGGGCCCAGATAGATAAATAGAGGAATAAATTTGCACCGAAAAATCACCTCTTAGCTGGTATAAGAAATCCAAGGCCACCCTAGAGGATGGAAATTCCACAGCAGCGAATCCGTGCACTGTCCACATGCGCCTGGCGTCCCCACCAGAGCGTAACGAGCTGCTCGACAAAGATCCGGTCCGTGGCGCTCCACACGTCCAAACCCATCTCAGCCATATCGGCAATCGTAATTGTAACTGGGTCATCGTTGCCTGACTCCTCTTGCTCTGACCAGTCATTGTTTTGGCTGGCGTGGTTCACATTTGATCGCTGCCGCAGCAGAGGGGCGTTGTCATCATCTGTGTGAATGGATTGTCGCGACATGGAAAGCGATAGATCCGTGTCGTCATTCTCTGCGTCATCGAGATACGGAGAATCGTGGTAAGCATCTATACACTCTTCCCCGGATTCAGAATCGTGACGCGCAATGGCGCCGGCCAATGTGTAGAAGATTTGCGTTGTCAGGCGACGGAAGTAGGCTACCAGAGCAACTTCCGGTGGCTCTTGACCACTATCCTCGCCGTGGAAGGAGCGGCGGTTTGTGGAGTTGGGGGCTGGGTATGCAAGACTTTCCACGCTTGCCAGAAGTCGTGCGTCTTGTTCAATCTGGTGCTCCTCTTCCTCCTCGGTGAGGCCGTCGCGGTGTTCGCCGGCGGACGCCCACCAGATGAAAGAGTTGTAAGCGAGCCGGGTCCATGAGATTGGCTCGACAACTGGGCTCGAGGAATATGTAGAATCGCTGTCAGATGAGTCTGTATCAGAGGACGTAGGACGGTCGGCGGCGAAATTTCGTAGGCCTCTGCGAAGCATCGCATAGCGGCGGGCGTCGCGTTGTGTGGCCTTGAGAGCAAAGTTTTGCTTCGATTTCTGCTTGCCACTTGAAGGGTGCATCAAACTGATCTCAGGGTAGACTCGCTCAGTAGCATGCTGGGAGTGGGCGGCTGGAAGAGTAACCAAGACATCGTAAAGTTCAGGTTTCATAGTCAAAACACTATCGGTCGAGCAGGCAATCCAGCTGGGGTCCTTGTCCGGATCTTGACTCGATCGTGTCGTGTCAAAAGATGCAAGGTGGGGAATGTCATGTATACCAACGTTGAAGAGGGGACGAGGTCGAAGTGGTGGTATGTATCCAGACGGGAGTTCTTGTAATAGAGAGTTCGGTAGAGATGCTAGCAACGATAGGTCATATACTATGGGAGAGTCAGAAGGCGTTGAGGAGAGGTTGAACACGGGGAGCGTTTTACCATAATTGCAGGGTATATGAACAGGTGCTTCGTTCATGAAAAGGATGCGTTTACGCAGTAATGCGGCACGGTATAGAGGGAATATCAAGGGACCAAGGCAATCGAGAAAATCGGGAAGTGATGAAGCCGGATGGAACGGTGTCAGGGCCGGCCTGAACGTCTCCAATACCATTGCATCGCTAAAAGCGCGACTGCGCGACAAGTTCTCCGGTCGGTCGCCCGGTCGGAAGCGAAGGTTCACTGGCGAGTCGACCGGCGAATCGGCAGCAGAAGAATCGGTTCCTCCAATCTGAAAGGCATCCCAATAATCCGACAAGGGTTGTTCATTGGACATATCCGCGGCATATTTCCTGCCAGGGGCATAGGTGTCAGATGGGAAGCTTGCCACTAGGCATTGGGGCGGGGTGAGATAACAAAGCACTCACAGCGTCAAGTCTCTCAATCTTGGAGCGTGTCGCCAGCTCTTCCCGAGTCTTCCAGAGCTCAAAGGAACGAGGACGCCGATCGCAAACATCTTCGCATTACGCTCCACCTCGGCGGCGGGCTGGTTAAGGAATGAGCTGATGCCGGCATACTGGTCGTGAACGAAATAGCTAGGAAGAAAAGCGCATTAGCCTCATGTGCAAGAATCCGTTGTATGCGCATGGACCAGACTCACACTAGATCATCCTTCACGTTGTGTAGACCGGAAGGCAACGACTTGTATTCGACCACGCCTTCGACGTCAACTATGTATGGGGCGCGGATGTCAGCCTGACGCGTCGCAACAACTCCGACGGACACTCACCTCCCGGGGTGGTTCGTTTCCATGAGACCACATATCTGTGACGGCATGCGCATTAGCATGAGGAATCACGATGGGCCCCTCCTGAGTTTGGAGAATGGAGGGGGAGTAAGGCTTACCCGGTCCTGATGTCGAAGCGGATAACGAACAAGGCAGCGATGCCTGGGGGGGATTCCATGGCGGCGCGAGAAGCATCAATGGCGGACTTTCTATGAGAGTCAGGAGCCATGTTGGAGGAACTTCAAGTTGAACGAGAAGAACCGCGCCATTCGGGAATTCGGAAAGAAGAGCAATAGATAGTAGACTCGGGGAATCACGGTGGAGGTGGAGAAGGAGGACCTTCGGGTGAGACTGACCGCTTTGGATATAGTAGTATACTATGTAGTATAGTAGTACCTATGGTATATTGCATCTCATGTTTTCAACTTTTATACTATTTATTCTTATGCTCGGTATAATAATCTTGGTATACAGAAGACCAATGGTAATGATCAGGAAGTTTGTCATTGCTAATGTCAAGATTGTTTCAAGGTTGAAGGGACTCGGCAGTATCTCTCTACTATTTGCACTACTATAGCACGACTTTGATATCCAACCCTAGCTAGTAGAAAAGTCGGATTTGGAGTCAGTCATTCAAGTTCAAGTTGTCTGTACATTTCGTAAACACCGGTACTACAGTCATTACCTACCTACCTTAGGCATAGTGACTAGTATCATATCATATCAACTCCGTACGGCCCTCCAATTGGCTCATCTTAGCTACTCCACCCAACTTGAAAGAGCAAAAGACATGCAAACATTCAACTTCTTCAAGTTTGCAAGCTCGATCGATTGATCAATTGATCGACGATTCGGCTAAAAATACACTTCACTCGATTAATAGCCCGGCCTCACATCAGTCCTGCTCTTAAACAAGCTTTTCACACGACTCAGCTGCCAGTCATGTCGGCTTCCTCCCACCCTTACTACCCCCTCGGGGCGAACATTGTCGGCTATTCGCCCAACCAAACCTCCGTCCTTGAGCTACTCGTCTCAGCGGGTGGAGGATGCGCGGCCTTGCTTGGATTGACTTTTGCCCTGGCCAGTTATGTGCGCCCATCGCTACGGATGGCTGATCGGATCGCCATCTTGTGGTTTGTGCTCTGTATGACATCCCCCGGAGATGGTGCCCCCAAAGTTGGAGTGAAATATTTGGAAGAAAAGCCCTGGAGAACCAAACTAATAGGTGAAAAAATCGGAACGCAATAGCCGGCACTTTGCACTGTTTCTTCGAGGGCTACTTTATGATCCATCATAACCATATGGCCTCGAAACAGGATCTTTTCGGGCAGCTCTGGAAGGAATATGCCCTGTCCGACTCTCGATACATGACCTCGGACACGTTGGTGTTGTGCATGGAGACGATGACGGTGGTGAGTTGTGTACTCCGTGCTTCGCAGCTATGCCCAATACAAGTATAACCCACTGACTAGTCTCATATTGTGTTGTCAGTTACTGTGGGGGCCTCTCTGCTTTGTCGTCGCCTACTTGACCACACGGCGGCATTCCCTGCGACACCCGATCCAACTGCTGGTGTGCATGAGCCATCTCTACGGGGATACGCTATATTATGCGACGAGCCTCTTCGATGATTATGTCAAGGGGGTGCCGTACTGCCGACCGGAGGGGTACTATTTTTGGCTGTATTACTTTTTTATGAACTTCATTTGGATTGTGGTTCCGGGTTGTATGCACATCTATCCTATCAACGCAGATACAGGCGCAGACGGACACGGAGACTAACTAATTATTGATAGATTACCTTTATGACAGCATCTCGACCATTTCGGCCGCGATTCGGGCTCAACAGGTGTCAGCCGAGAGGCGCAAAAGCCAGTAAAACACCTCTTTCGTCATCGCTAGCTGGGTGGATTTTGTGGATGCGTGGATGTGGATGTGGATGTGGTGGGGAAGGGAAGTCCCCCCCCCGATGGGCACAAATCATGCTTGGCTTGGTCGAAATGGAGATGGAAGAGGGATCTTTCAAGTTCAAGTTCAACTTGCGAAGGGAGAAGACAAAGAGATATGGTTGATCTAGTAGCGTATATAGTACCGTACCTCGTATTCTACACTATAATGGTAGATTAATATCCCACCCAGGTGGAAACAACTTCAACATCAATCAGGAATGCTAGTAACTACCTAGTAGTAACTGCTACTAGTAACGAGTTATTACCTAGGTATTACACCGCTCCCTAGGTATACATGCATGCACTGGAGACAGTCCAACGCAGAGCAAAGTGCAGATGGGACCACTCGACACGCGTCGCTTGAAAACCGGTTAGGGCTTCTTCTACTGTCTTTTCTCCATCTGCCTTTTCTGTTTCTTTTCCTTCAATTTCTCCCTTTCTCGGACTAAAAGGTCAAGGTCAAGGTAAAGGCAGGCGAAGCCAAGAGGGCGAGACCTCAGCTTTCTTTCAGGTGAGCCTGTGAGTGAGCCTCCCGACCAAATCACGCGCGTGAACCTTGCATCAGTCAAACCTTGTGGCCCCCTCTAAGAGACTCTAAGAGAGACTAAAATCAGCTGGTTTCCAGCTGGTCAGGACTAAATTGGTGCTTATTGGGCGTCGATCAGCGGTTTCCCCGGCAGCGCGTTTTAGTCTGGGCGCTTTCGCCGCTTTCCACAGTGCTTTGGTCTTATCGGGCGGTGGACTCCAACTGCGATCATCTTGTTTACATTCCCACCCCGCCACTGATCCCTGCCAGGAGCAGCAGAAGAAGAAGCAAAAGCCAAAGACAAATGCCACAAGCTCGAGATCTCTGATCGTCCAGATCAAAAAAGGGAATCTTCCGAGCCCAGCGTGGTGAGTTACTCCTACCTGAAGGTAGCTCCCTCCCAGCGCCCCCAGAGTGTACCTTGTGTCAACAAACACATATCGGCCGCCCGCATGCTCAACATAACTCGATCGCCTTTGATGTGAATGGTAGTATTGATTCTGGAATTCAACATAGCTATCGATGCCATCTCCTGCGACGCCGCACCGGCCGGCGAAAGGTGGAGGCACCGCCAAATCCACCCCGACAAAGCCGCTGGATATTGGTCAACCGCTGGGCGTCCACGATACAAATACCGTTCGTTCAAGAGTGCGCAAATGGCAGCAGCAAGGTGGAGGAGTCATTACGATCGACGATGGAACCTACGATGACGACGAGGAGAATGCGGGCCAGGAAAAGCCCAAGCCCAAGCCTACGCCAGTCAAGATCAAGCCGGATCGAGTCGAGAAGCCTGTGAAGGATAAGGAAAAGACTGCCACGGCCCCGGCGATGCGCAAACGAAGTCACAGTACTCCGCGAAAACGAGTCATCAGTGATGAGCATTGGAGGAGAAACCGATCCACGACCACGGTTTCAACGGCACCACGTCACCTCCCTATCCCGAAGCGCATCAATGAATATACGACGAATGACGGATCAGAGTCCTCGAAAACGAAGAAGAACAATAAAAGTGAAGATCTAGACAAGGGTCGTGATCCCCCTCGTTCCAGACCGCGGCGCGACACTGTCGCTTCTCGATCCCCGACCCGCGACAGGAAGCGCGCGAATTCCCGCAAAGATGTCGACTCCGTCGCAGATAGTGATACGGAGACGGATCTTCCTCGGTCAACAGTCATGTCGGATATCCCCGAACGCCAGAAGAGACAATCTCCGCCTCCCGAGGACATGGAATGGGCGAAAAGCGAAGCCGACTTCACCGAGTTGTCACGGAGGCGCGCTCGGGGGCCAGCAAAGGCACCACCAAAGGGGGGAATCTTCGCGCATATGCTGGACGAGTCAAGGAAGATGTTCACCAGACCAGAGGCTGAACCACCTAGGCCCGCCCCTCCGCCAACCGGAAACCGCGGAGCCAAAATTGAAGCATGGCTGTCCGGGACCTCGGATCCTTTCCTGAGACGGCGAAGAGGGAAAGAGTGACATGCCTGGTCCTCTCGACATAAAGTCAGCCCGGGCGCGGCGATCCCAGAAAATCACTGACGAAATTGCCTCGAGCATTGTCTCGCGGTCCGAATTGTCGGTGGAGAGCGAATCACGCCCGAAGAGCTCCCACAGCCGACACTCCAAGGAGAGGGATCGCCCTTCATCGTCCGAGAAGCCTCGCAAGTCGTCAGATCGAGATGCTACATTGAATTCTAAGCGGTCCAGCATAGAGAAAAAGGTCGAGAGGCCATTAGCGCTTCGTATTCGAGAGGACAAGAAGCTTGACAAGCCATACGAAGACAGCCTTGCGCCCTCGGAATCCGATCTCCAACCCTTTTCGGAGGGATCAGAGGTCTCTGCAAACAATGCACCTGTTCCGACCGGCCCCAAACGGCCTTTCCCAACTACCGGAAACCACAGACTTTCAACGATCGCATCCAGCGAGACCCTAAGCACCGTCCTTGAGGGATCATCCGATCCCAGCAAAACAATATCTTCTGAGAAGCGCATCCCCAAGACTCTCGAAGAGGCAGAGGAAGCCGCCGAGGAGAAAGATCAATTCGATCCTGATTCCCTACCTCAAGTGACATCGCAACTCAAGAGACGACTCACCACGCATAATGATCTGATGTCCGTTCTATCGGGTCCTGGTCGGAGCAGAAGCAATCGATCCAATCGAAGCATTCGCTCTAATAAGAGCCGCCTAGCCAACGCAACTATTTCCGACATCATGGTCGAGCTATCCGGTGACGAGACGAAGTACATGCGCGAGCTGAAAACTATTGTCGGTGGTGTGATTCCGGTTCTACTGACCTGCGTGCTGTCGCGTTCCGATTCAGCTATTGCCGCGGGTTTATTCCGTCCCTCCATGGATCCGACAGATGATGTAAACTTCTCAAAGCCCATCGTGAATATGGGCGTAGCCATTGAGCGGCTGAAGACGTTGCACAAGCGAATCCCGCAAGATAACGCCGATGCATTGCTGACCTGGGCTCAAGGGGCCCAGCGGGTGTATCGCGAGTACCTCAAAGCCTGGAGACTTGGCTTTAAAGATGTGATTGTGAACCTTGCACCCCTGGAAGAAGACGAAGCCAATCAAGAGGCCGAGACAAGGAGTTTGGACGAAGGCCTGGAGCGCGACGAGAATGGCGATGTGATTGGCAGTGATGGTGAGAAGGTTGATGTCGCTTACTTGCTGAAGCGACCCTTGGTTCGCCTCAAGTACCTTCACAAAACCTTCAAGGGAATCAACATTCTACAGCCTTCGCCCAAGGCGGAGGAAGTGGCAGGGGCTTATCAAGATCTTGTGAACGATGCTCGTAAACGAGCCCGAGACGAACGGGCGAGGCTGGAAGATGAGTCTGCCTCCAACATTGATGCAACTCGTGCACGAGACCCTGCGACCTTGGGTGTACTCCAAAATATAAAGGTTGACCACAGTCGCCGTGTCAGAGCTCGTGATTTCTTCAATTTGTCTTTATATCACTCTAGCGGTCAATTGGTTGACTGCCGGGCGGAATTGCTGTATCGAGACAATACTCAAAGCAACGGTCCTGGAGGTGATCTGATGATCTGCGAGATCGATCATTCAGAACGCTGGCTTCTGTTCCCCCCAATGGATCTGCGATGTGTTTCGGCCCGTTCTGGCGATAGCAAAGGCGAAATTGTACTCATGCTCCGCAGTGCCCCGGATGCAGAGAAGTACTGGCAGGAGCTCATTTCGCTTCGCATTGACGAAGTCGAGGTTGGTCTTGAATGGATCCAGTTATTAGGCTCTGATCCCATCCCTCCGACAATATTCCGAACTCAAAGCTTCATCAGCCGAGCCAAACAGCACAGGGCTCGCAAGTCAGATGTTGAATCGCCACCACGAACCAATCCCAGCGATGTTGATATTCCCATTGGTGAGAAGGCTTTCAGCAAACGCCGTTCTTTGACACCAAAGGAGCAGTACTCCGAACCAAGTACGGTTAACTCTGCTGTTACCGAGGACAGGAGCTCCGTCTGTTCGACTGCTACCCGTGAAACTGAGTATACCACCGGAGGATCGGAACTCTCTATAAAACAGTCTCGCCCCGGTCTCCCGCTTCTCCCCTCTACTGTGAGCCCGGACAAGTCTCCGTCTGGCTTGAAGAGATCCAAAGCGAAGCGCATGTCTCGCTACGGAGATAGTCCATCAGAAACACCATCTTCTCCAATCGGTGTTCCTGACAATGCCGTGGCTTCTCCAGCGCCTCAATCTCAGCCCCGGCCGCAGCCAGAGCTGGAGTCGGAAATCCAGCCCAAGACACCTCAGCAAGCAGAGCCCAGATTCTATGGCGGTAGCAAGGACACATCTAAAGATTCACGCTTACCAAAGCCCAAGTCTCCCCCAAAGACACCGCAACCCTCTCGTGGAAGAGAGTCCCCGGAGGAATCGCCGCGAGTATCGTCTACGCCCTCTGCTCACCTTCCCCAGATTCCCAAACTTCGCAGCGCTAGCAGCCAAACTCATATGTCTAGCCCGACTACCATTGATGCTGACGAGGAAGAGGACTACCCTCCTCTTGAGTCTCTACCCGATCAAGAAGAAGAAGTTCCAGAGACGCCCACGAGGACAAGAAGAAAGTCTCGGCGCAAGTCCAAGCATGACGATAAGCACGGCGATGCTCCCCCGCCACCACCACCTCATCGTTCCCCAAGCTCAAAGGTGAACAACAACCAGCCTGTTCTCAGCCCTTCGGCTGTTCGTCTCAAACGCCGTGGATCATCCCCTCTGAAGCACGAATACGAACCTTCCACTGCTTCCGACTACTCAGAGACCGACTCCGATGCTTCGACCGTGCGGCACTACTCTTACTCCTCGTCCGAATATTCAAAATCTGATTCCGAATCCGAATCCGACTATTCGTCAGAATCAGAGGACGATGCCCATCTCCCCAAGCCAAAGATACACGACACCGCTACTGCTACGTCCGAGACAAGCTCTCTATCCCCTTCCAACTCTGCATCGCAGAGTGGCTACCGTACAGTCCCCGTGCAGCCTACCAAGTCGACCAAGGTCATTGCATCTCTTTTCGCATGGTCAGATAAAGGCAGCTGGGAAAGTCTGGTTCCCGACGAGTGCAACATCGTCGTTAGCCCGGGCCTCATCGAAGCATTCAAGATGACTCCTGATTCCAACCCTAATTCGTCAGATCGTTCATCACGATCGTCGCGTCCACTCATCTCTATGGAATTGACACCCCTCGTTCCCCTCCGCCGCGGAACCGCTATCGATATCAGCATCCGCTCCCCTCCAACTGACCGATCCAAGATCACCTCGAGCAACAATATCATGTTCCGCTCTCGCACTCCCGACGAGTGTGACTCACTTTATGGCCTCATCAACCAAGCTAGAATCAATAATCCGACCTACATCGCACTCCAGAACGCCCGCGGCAGCAGCTTCGACAACCCTATCCCGAACTACGAGCCAGATTCCAAGTCTGGCGGCACCTGGTTCGGCTTCCCTCGCCGCAGAAAGAGCTACCGCGCCTCCAGCTCCCCCCGTTCTCTCGCCGAAGGCTCCGAGAGCAGTGTCGGCACCATGAGCTCCGCCTTCTCCGCCCTGAAGCGCTTCGGCGGCGGAAACAAGATGTTCAACATCTCACGCTCAACTGTGGAATCTCGCAGCGGCCGCGAGGGTAGCATGTTCTCCGGCGAGGAGGACTCTAACCACTCACCTTCAGGTGGAATCGGCCGCATCGCCGCCGCCATCAAGGGCGCCGACGGCATCGGTCTTTCAAATGCTAAGATTCGCATCTATCTCCGCGAAACCGCCTCCAAGTGGCGCGACATGGGCGCTGCCCGCCTCACAATCATGCCCGCTCCTCCAAAGAACCCTCCTTCTCGCCCCGGAACAGCCGTCAGTGGTCGCAGCGAGGGTAGCGGCACGCACGGTGATGGCGCCGGCTCCTCGCCTCCAAGCTCCGGCGCAACTACCCCCCGCCGTGACGTCGAAACCGAGAAACGTATTATAATCCGCGGCAAGACCCGTGGAGAAGTCCTTCTTGATGTCTGTCTACCTGAAAGCTCGTTTGAGCGTGTGGCTCGGACTGGAATTGCTGTCTCTGTTCATGAGGATACTGCCGGCGGCGCTGTCGCGAAACAGGGTGGTGTCACTGCTAGCTCTCAGCGTATTTATATGCTTCAGATGAAGAGTGAGGCGGAGACTGCTTATACCTTTGGCCTTGTTGGTAAACTACGATACTAGGAGTGCGAAGTTTGCTGATATTAAGGCGATGGAGTTCAAGTTGGCTGGGCTGGGATGGAATGGACGGACTGGATTGGACTGGGGTAGGGCTGGGCTGGACCTTTGATTTCAGCATTGAATTTTGGTGCATGGTGAATGGTGGGGTGGGAGGTATTTTTCTTGTGCATGACTATTTTGACTATTTTCACACCCCCTATTTTCATTGTTTCATTTTTTTTTTACTACTACATTAGTATCTTAGATATCTCCGTGTCGTCTCTCGACTATTTTCTTATGTACATTTAGATTTCATGCCAATTTATTCGGCCTGTGGATTCTGCAATCTTTCCTTCCGACTTTCTTTCCTTGTAAAGAAAGCACTTCTCAAATTCCCAGGTACCGACTAGTATCCGTAGCTAATGCAGCAAAATGGTGGCGCCCAATGCTTCCTCATAGTATGTATCTAGGAGCCCAGAGCACCTATCAGGAGTATCTTACAACTCAGACACGTGCGAGCCAAGCATCCAAGCGTCCCAGGCGCCTTAAAGCACCATATTAGTATTAGTCAGAAGTAGTAAGTAGCCCTCTAAGCCATACTTAGATAACCCTCATTGGTGGAAGCAAGAGTACACATTCCCGATTCTTGACCTCCGAGCTAGGGTTGCAGGGCCACGCTTCTGAATATTAATCGTGGATCTATGATAGGAGGACATCCTCACGTCGCGCGTTTCAGTCCCACAAGACCCCTCATGATCTATTCTAGGACTCCAGGGTCTTAATTTAGCCTTATTTAAGACGGAGCCCGATCGTCAGCTTGCCTTGAAAATTGTACGTTGGCGCTTCTGGAATCCCCGGGAAATCTCCAGTTGGTAGAGTAGTCTATTTCAACGCGAAAATGCTGTTCGAACGGGCTTGGCTGGCTTTGCTGGGATTTGGGGCATACCTCGTCCTAAGAAGTATTTACCGTCTTTTCTTCCACCCTTTGCGGAAAATCCCTGGGCCCAGACTGGTGGCTATTACCCATGGGGTTGAATTTTATTACAATTGCGTGCTGGATGGGAGGTATATCATGGAGATTGAAAAAATGCACCAGAAATATGGTATGTCTTCGTACAAATACCAAATAACATGCAAATCCGGATGCATTCAATTTATTCACCTCAACAGGTCCGATTGTCCGTGTCAGCCCTCATGAAGTGCATATCATCGACCCTACCTTCTACGACGAGATTTATGCACCCAGCAGCCGTCGACGAGATAAGAGCGTAAGAGTAACGAAAGCCACCGGAATCGGTGGTTCGATGATAGCAACAGCACCACACGACCACCACCGCATCCGCCGAGCCTTTCTGAGTGAATTTTTCTCTCGCCGCTCAATTCTAAACATGACACCAATGATTGATAGGTACCTACTGAAGCTTGGAGATCGCCTAGGCGAGCTCCACGACAGCAAGACAGTTGTTCGTCTGGATAATGCCCTGAATGCGTTTACCTCTGATATTATCACCGAGTATTGCTATGGGAAAAGCTGGGGGTTTCTGGAAGATAAACGCTTCAGGAGTGATACTCGTGGCGCGCTTTTGGAGACGGCAAATACTCTACACATCGGCCAATTCGCACCGTGGCTTATCATGCTCCTCCGTAAAATACCCATTCATATACTCCGCCGCATGCAACCGGGCAAAGCGACTATCTTCGAGGCTATGGAGGCTGTATATGACCAGGCGGTCTCTTCTTTCAATGTCGCCCCTGGGAATCCCTCGGCAGAAACAGAAAAGCGTGAGAATCGCAATATGTTTGATAACCTGGTTGATCCTGCTGTCCCGGCCTCGGAGCGGACACTCGATCGTCTTCAGGATGAAGGACTCGTTGTGCTCGGCGCGGGGACGGAAACAGTGGCGCACACACTGACTATGTCGATGTTCTATCTTTGCAAGAATCAGGATGTTCTGCAGCGATTACGCACGGAGCTGAAACAAGTTCTACCGACACCGTCTAGTACTGCCAGCCTTGTGGAATTGGAGAAGTTGCCTTATCTAGTCCGTGTCTCGTCCCAAATCGAAGCTTACAATGATCCCAAAGCCAAAGCTAACGGTGTCTCTGAATAAAGACAGCAGTTGTATACGAAAGCCTTCGTCTAGCGTATGGTCCTATCGGTCGTATGCCTCGCGTTGCACCGACTGAAACTTTGAGATATGGGGAATATGTGATTCCTCCCGGTGTATGTGATTTGATTTGATCTGATCTGGGGTCAACTGGTGTGAAATCTACTGACAAACTATGGTAGACTCCAATGTCTGCTATCAACTATTTCATTCATCGCGATCCAACTTTCTTCCCTAACCCGGACAAATTCGAACCTGAGAGATGGCTTCAGGGTAGTGAGAGTGAGGACCTGAAGCGGTATATTGTCAATTTCACTAAAGGGAGCAGAGGTTGTCTGGGGATTACGTGAGTTATAACTATCTCGGCATAGCCTTTGGTTCAAGTTTCCAAGGTTTCAAAGCTATTGATAGAAGATTTATTGACTTTATTTCCAGATTGGCGTATGCGGAGATCTATAAGGGTATTGCTGGACTTGCACGTCGCTTCGATTTCGAATTGCATGATACAACAATGGAGGATATGAAGGTTGTTGGTGAAAGGGTTTTTACTATTACGAGGCGCGGTCAGATTCAGATGTACGTGACGGTCTCTGATTTGGCCAAGATGTGACTTCGGACTTCGCCAGCCGGTCAGGATTGGGATTGAGATGAATGGTGTTTTGATTAGGCTGAAATTGATGGGTTTTGATGCCAATGAATTGATAAGACTTGAGGACAAATTGACTTGGCATTGCTCTGTAAATGAGTAAGTCGTATCCAGGAACGTCACTTGGGACAACTTGAGATCTATACGATGCCAATTGATTAAATGTATCTCGCTTATTTCTTTTCTGGTGGTGGACTGCGTGTTTCCACTTCCGCTCCACTGGTCTTCTTGAAGATATACCCGATTCGGTTGCACTCGTCTTTGAGTAAGGACACAAGCACATCATCATCGACAGCAGCAGCAATCTCTTCATCCTCGTCGGTACCCGATGCGAGTAAGGCCGGGTTGATATGCATGTACTGGGCGAGCGACTGGTGCATTTTCTCTTTTTGATCCTTGACCTTGCCTCCTTCTTTCTTCGTCGATTTGCGGCGCGATTCCCGAATGGAACGCTCTTGCTTTTCCATGTCGACCTCTGAAGCTTTGATTAAGGCAGGAATATCCAATTCAGGCAAATCTGCATCTGACCCGATATCGCTCAACTCCGAAAGCTCTGAATCGCTGTCGACCTTCCGTTCGGTCGGGGTAACCACCCCGGATGATGGTAGCGATGTAATGCCTTTGCCCCCACACTCGCATCCCAGTAGATCGTGTGTTTGACAGAGGCTTCCCTCGTCGAGACGAAAGAGATCCCGTAATTCGGCGGAGGAGAATTGGGAAACACTGTCCTTGTTCTCCATGACACTGTCGGCCAACCCAAGTTTCGTGACCTGCCGTTGCCATATCTTTTCCTCCAAGCTACCCTTCAGAATCACGCGATAGATGCGACAATGATTCTTTTGTCCATCACGGTGAATACGAGCCATGGCCTGGATGTCTGTCGCAGGGTTCCAGTCCACATCGAAAAGAATAAGTCGGCTGGCACCGATGAGGTTGAGGCCTGTACCACCTGCTTTTGCGGATAGGAGGAAAGCGAAGCACGATTCAGCAGGCAAACGGTTGAATTCGTCGACAAGTGGCTGTCGTTTCTGGGCGGGAGTACTGCCGTCTAATCGGAGAAAAGGCAGACCAAGAGAGGTGAGAAGTGTTGCTAATAGATTCAGGGTAGAGGTATAGTTGGAGACCAGCACGATTTTCTCCTTGGTTTTTGTACTCATGCTATCCAATATTTGGTCCATTACCCGGACTTTGGCGCTTGCCGATGGAGAAAAATGACGCATGAGGTTGGGGGGTAACGACTCCAAAAGGGCAGTAATAGTTTCGCTGGGCTTCTTGTCATTGTTCTTTGCGGATAGCAGGGATGGGCTATTGCAGAGTTTCTTCAGGATTGTGATCAGTTGGAGAGCACTTTCGGCATTTCCCATGGCAGTCTGGAAAATGGGTGATGCAAGAACGGCTTGGTAGATGTTGGCCTGAGCGCGAGTTGGGTTGCAAAAGAGAACATATTCGGATTTTGGCGGTAGATACTTGGCCAGGACATCAGCAGTTCTGCGAAGAATAAACTTCGAGGTTAATTCCCTCAGTTCTTCACCTCGGGACTCGCCTTTCTCAATGTCCTTGCCAGTTGCTTCCGGTTGTCTGCTTCGAACGATTGGCGTTTCAAAATCCCGAATAAACGATTTGAAATTTCCGAGGACGCCAGGGTTGACTAGATCGACTGCTGCGAAAAACTCTCGCAGGTCGTTTTGGATAGGGGTTCCAGAGAGAATGACCCTCTTTGCCGCGTTGAGGGATTGAATAGCTTGTCCACTTTTGTTTTGTAGGGTTTTCAGGCGATGACCCTCATCTGCAATGATGATATCGACACCAGATCCCTTGGCTAGGCCCTCTTGCACTGTTCGGAGTTTCTCATATCCTACAATCATGATGCTGTAGGCTTTACCCTTGGTAAAATCTGTCAAGCGTTTACGATTGTCATCCATAACAAAAACGCCAATCCGCTCATTTCCAAGCCACTTGCGAATCTCCTTTCTCCAGTTCGTGATAAGAGTCACCGGGCAGACAATCAAGGCTTTTTGAATGACCGGGGCGTCTCCGTAGATAGGGTTCTGCTTTAGCAATGTCCATAACAAAGTTATTGTCTGTAGGGTCTTTCCCAAGCCCATATCGTCCGCAAGAATCGCACCTTCTCCGTTGAAGTCTCGCATCCCCATCACACACTCATAGAGAAACTTAACACCCTCTCGCTGGTGTTGTCGCAGGTTCTTTGACAACAAAGGATCCACGACAACATCCACGATCTGCTTTCCTTTTGGAACCGATTTTGGGCGAGGCATAACCAATGCCCCCGCCGCCTTGGGATCATGCCGCGGGACTATCTTGTCTGCGCTGATCGGAATAACGGTGTCCTCCAGCAAAGGCTTTTTATATGCGCTCAATCCGGACTTTTTAGCACCAGTTCCAGTTTCCAGCGCTGAAGAGTTCCGCTTCAAGGAGCCGGTAGCTATGGCGAGCGAGGAGATGCGTCCTTCAGTCCTCCTCGATGTAGGCAGCGGTGTTTTCTTGGAAGGTACAGGGGGCGACGGTGCGGCTTTCGAGTCCGGGGCAAATTTCCTCGAAGACAAGAATTGCGCGCGGGGTATCTCGGAGTCGACTTCGACTTCTTTCCCGCCAACATAGAGCATGGTCCCTGGCTCGAGGCTCGATTCGTACATGGCACGTCCCATTTCCTTGCCGCCTATGTCGCGTAGGTAGACGAACCCTTGGCGGGATGCGAGTATTCCATCTCCATCCCAAGTTTTGTTCTTCTTCGTGCTCGGCTTTCTCCTGTATCGAAGACCTGTTAGCTAATGTTCTGGATCGGAAAATGCACGAGGGGCCAGCCACAGGGGAAATTGACTAACCAGAGCGCATTGAAGAATCTCTCAAATGAGGCATCTTCTTTTGAGACGGCGCCAGGTCGTGCTTTCACCGTTGAATCCTTGCCGACATTTTGAACTTGCAGTAGAGGCTTTCGACCCGCGAGCGTGGCAGGTCGCGTTTCAGAGTCGACCGCCGGGTCTTCCTTGTCAAGACGCGGCTTCTTGGTGGGATGCTCCTGCTCATCTGGCTTTTCAGTGGATTTTTCCTGGTTCCTGATCAAAGGAGGTTTAAAGGGCTTGAAAACCATGGCGTTTGTGGAAGATCAACAACTTGAAGGTGCGCGGTGAAAGTTACGCGTGTTGGAGACGCGGAGTCACGTGTGGCCGCGGTCAATATGTGCAAAACGAGAAGACAAGCAAGACATCATTTTCAATGGAATTAAAATAGTTTCTTAGTGCAAACTTCAAGTTCAGCCTTATGGGGGAGGGCTCAAGTTTATTTTTGGACAGGACCTTGGAAAGTGAAAAGCATAATTTTATCAAATTTTCTAGGATATCAGTTCCAAACTTGAACTTTTGATCCTGTCATCTAGCAAAAAAGTATTATTTGTGGTGTACTAGAAGTACTAACTATATACAAGACACAGAATTCCAACACTAGCACGATTAAGATGATATACAGAAAGAAAATATCACATCAGTCACATAAAAAACATGCATTGAAAACATGCGAGGTCATGACAAATGCAAGGGGTTGGATTAGAAACGAAACAAAGTGGTATATGCGAACAGGAAGCCCTCCATTTGATCCTCCATCTAACACGACAGACTGCAATGCCAGAAGACTTATTTGGCGTCAGCGAGGACATGCTTGTCGGTGATGGGGATGTTTTTTCGGTCCCTCGTATGAACCCTGGCGGACGAACCACCAGATGGCAACAAAGATAGACAGACCACCGGTCATCAGACTAGCGTAGTTCATGGTCTGGGCCGTAGGATTGGTGTCGAAGGGGAAGCAGAAGATGATGGCGAAAGCAATAATGTAGATGCAAGCGAGAGTGTTCACAACAAAGCCAATCTTGCTTTTCATGAAGAAATGACCGGGAACAAAGGAAGAACGGCGGCTTAAGATATGAGGGAAGATCGCCATGAAGTATGACAGACTAGACAGTTGAACGAAGCATCCGACGAAAGCCTGGAAAGCGGTCGAAGATCCCATATAGATACAAGCTAGAACAGTGACCGTGCAGCCACAGATAAGAGTAGCGTTGAAGGGGTTCTGGAATCGGGTGTTAATGTGACCAAGCCAGTTGGGGAACGGAGTCGCGCGATCACGAGAGATGGTCCACAGAGTGCGACCGGCGGTGATGTAGCAGCCGGCGGCAGTGATCATGGTAGGAATGAAGGCGATGACCAGAAGACCGACGGCACCACTGCTGGTACCAGTAGCCTGGCGGTAGATCTCCGCGAGAGGAAACAGCGGAGAGTTCTGAACGTCGTCGAGATTCTGGATGGAGTAGAAGATGGCGATCATGTAGCAGATACCGGTGATAAAGCCACAAACCATTTGGGCGAGCACGGCCTTGGGGATGTTGCGGCTAGGGTTGGGGATCTCTTCAGCCAAATGAGTCGAGCAATCGGGGGTGCCGACACTATAGGCGCCGTTGAGCATGCCCATGACGAAAACAAAGCCTGATTGGGTATACTGAGTTTGGTTGTCGAAATAGCCCCATACATCAAAGTTCGATCGGTAAGGGTTTCCATTGACATGGGGCATCACAGCGCAGACAATGATTGTGATAAAGACACCGGACAAGATGAAGAACATTCCCAAGTTACCAATCATGGGCAAGAAGCGGTTCATGAACAGCACGATACAACAGCAGGTCCAGGTGCAAAGCAACATGGCGACGAAGGTGTTCCAGGTTGCGGGCTCAAAGCCAGGGTGCATGAGTGCATACATAGCGACGACCTGTTGACCCATGATCAAGGACATCGAGGCAGCACCTAGAATCCAGGCCAGACAATTCCACCACCCAGCGAAGAAACCACAGACGCGACCATATCGACCAGCGGTAATAGTTGCCCAATGGTAGACACCACTCGACGAGGGCATACCAGAGGCCAACTCAGCGATAGAGGCAGCGACAAGCCAGTAGCACATGGATACGACAATACTGTGGACGGTGTAAGCTAAGACATGGTCTTTGAAATGTTATCATGTGTTGGGTGGCGAGAGAGCATACAATTCATAGATAGTTCCAGCCAGTCCACCGTTACTCAATGCAGTGATCACACTACCACCTTGAGCAATCCATGTGTTACCTGTAGTCACGGCGACGGCACAGATGCTCAACAGGCTGAAGTTGCGCTCGAGCTCCTGTTTGTGACCAGAAGCGTTGACCATTTCACCATGGTTGCTGTTGCTTTCCTCGGCGGCCAGCTCGGCGGAGGCCTTGGTCTTCTCATCATATTCAATTGACATGGCGAATTCACGTGGCTCGGCTTCCCGAGTCGATTAAGGGAGAGCTTAGAAGATGAAATCGGTATATACGGTAAATGATCGGATGATCCGAACGGAGCGAAACGGACCAAGGGGGTTTGCGTTCCGAATCTCACAACTGTCGGCGTGGACACACTGGGGTTCCAAGGAGAGAAAGGGGGATGAGGACTTTCGTTCTTCACCTGGACCGAAAGAATGAGGGAACCAAAGTGAACTTGAAGTTGAGAAGAAAAGAAAAGGAGCAGTAGCTCAAGGCTATATTATTTTGCGGTGGTGGAGAACTGTACAACTCCCCCGAAGGGGGTATCGGGCACATCGGTCTTGCTCAACTTGAACCGTGAAAGCATTCCTGTACTCCACTCTTCCTAGCCACTCTAAATCACAGAAACCCCAATCTCCATCCAATGGGCTACCGCGGGGCACCAAATGGAGTGGCCACCGGCATTATGTGGGTCGCGGCAAGGGCAATACACTAGGCTCATTGGATGTCTCCCAAGAGGCGAGTTGAGCCAAACTCCAACGAAACTCAGCCATCGACGCGGAGAGTCAGTACGCACCTTACCTAGAAGGGGAGCTTCAGCAGAAAGAATTTTCCTGCTCGGTACAGGCCACTCAATTGGTTCCTTGGCACATCATTCCGTACCTTCAGCTTATTCCTGGCCCTATGAAAGTACTGATTACCTTATTCTTGCTTGATACTCCGTGATCCGGGGGCAAATCCTCTCCATTTCTGTGGAGGATGTGCCGGATCAGTGGATTAGGGAGGGAAAGAGATGAGGGGATCCCCTTTTACATTACGCTATATGGGGAGTTGAGAGCATTCTACCTTCGTCTCAGTATAGGACACTTGCGCATGTTATGCATAAACATGCGACAACCATGTGGAATAGAATTTTCTCTGCCCCTAGTTTTTAGTCTAGGTGACGTAGATTCCGTCTTCCTTCCGAGGCGCATGTTCTTCTAGAAAGAAGAAAAAAATTGGACACAAGCGGAAACTGGTTCCCATCCACATGGCGTTAACCAAAGTTCACTAGACATACTCGACGTCGACACTGATTCCTTCATCAAGTACGGAGTCACTAGGTACTTTTGGGGGCCATCAAAGTGAGACAAGATGAGCCCTTTTGCCTGTATATGCTTGGTTGTCGCACTTGGACCTTTTAGGAATATTGTCTTGAAATTTAGCTAGCAGAGGAGGACCACATCGTAAGGCACTAGCCACTAATAGGTCGACAATTCTATTGTTAGACGAGATCGAGATCCCACACGTTACATGTAAAATGGCCATGCCAATGCCCGTGCGAAATAAAACATAAGAGGCCTGGAGTCTTGGCCTGGTCGAGGCTTTTTTTATGCCGGTCGCATGTTGCATTATGAACGAAGAGCGATCCAGCTTGCGAGAAACCACCCCATCTGGCCCACAGATCTACACCTAAAAAGGCCTCCCCCGAGAATCACAAGAACCATAGGCTTGCTCTCCAATCTGTGCGTCGTAACTACGGAGTACTCCGTACTAGAGTGGATGATGAGTCCACTCCTAGAAGGCTGAATACCACAACACTCTGCTCTCGGTATGGACATGGCCCAGATTGATTTAGATTTGGCAGGATCGAAGTGGCGTTTGGGCTCTAGATCTAGAATGGTCGCCAAGACCTCCGATTTCAACACTGGTTAACCTTTCTTCTGTCTGCTACAATTTCTGGGATAATCAATAACCACTATGTACAAAGTGCTCCGTATATCTGTAACTGTAACCATGCGACTAACCATTTAAAGGGGACCAAAGCCAAAGGATTCCTTCAGTCCAGATACACAATTTACCTGATTTCAGCTTAGATTCTGGAACTAGCAATTAATTCGTCCGCTCCGCTAGCGTTGCGACATCGGGCTGGGCTGAGCAAGACGAACTGTGAGATCTCCTGACTCTTACAGTAGTCTATATCCGAACCCGATCCGATCGGATTTAACACAACCTCCCTCCTTCCTAGGTTCCCTCTTTATTTCTGCCTCTCTCCTTCGGTTAATGTATGGAATGAGAAACATATTGATTGGCAAAGAAGACATGTACGAATTACTTGATCTTGCATTACTCTAGTCGCCACGCTGAAAATCCTCCCCCCCACATCCCATCTACAAGCCCCGTACGGAGTAGTGATCTCCTCGTCTCCACCATCAAAATACCTCAACTGCAAGGGCTCGCTAACCAAGGCAAGTGCTCCACTCTCTTAGCGGCCCCGCCTTCTGAAGTTTAATAGAGTTGTGGACACTCTCGACCCCCAGGCCGTACACCCGCATCGAGTAAAGCATACGGACGCTCGCCGGAAGTATGTTGCATTCGATGATTTCCACTGGCCAAGGCTACTCCAACTCATAACTTTCACGCGATCGACTTGCCCACTTGTGGAATCGCCTCCGCAGCCACCCATCGAGACTTGCCCCGCCTAGGAAGGCAGGTTTGAAATCGGCTTTGTCGCCCAAATGCTATTGTACATTCGACGGAGCATGGTCTCACTCTTATATCACATATCCTTAGGACCTACCTATTTGAGGTATTCCATTTTACTTTAATCTATCTGCGGTCATTTTCCGCTATCCCCAAGTAGACCCGATTGAACTCTCTTCATAGTTTTACTGTGCTTACTCCGAAGTTGAACCTTGAGGACAGATGCATCGTCCAAGGATTGCCTCCTAGATGCGGAAGGTCTGTAGCCAATCTTTACTACCGCAGCTGGGGTGAGTGGAGTATGTCGGCAACAATTCCCAGGTACAAATCATATTCGACCATCTGCCAGCAATCAAATTCATTTCCCATGGAATTCAATCCAAGGTTTTTCTCCTGAGCTAGCCATGGAACTGGCAACCTCAATTGCCTCCCCCACCTGGCTCCATGGTTGGTCGAGTGCTGTCAGAGGCAGATCCTCAATTACCAAATGCAGCGACCTATCGGAGGCTCGTCTCGATCTGTGCGCCTCTGATAAGCTCTGTTCTTTACTCCCTACGCTGACGGACTTCGGTCATGCATCTCCCCAATAATTGTCCACATCACGCCCGACGAACTAATCTCGTCACCCACACCCCTGGCAAATTGATCTTCCTCGGCAGTGGAAGCGTTCCCGCAAACTTTATACCCATGCGTTAGATTATCCCGGTTTTCCAGACTTATCTTATAATAAGATGTGGGTGCTGCACCTTCTTCTGAACCCCCCCCTCCATCCGGCCCGTCGATCGTCTAACTCTCATCAAGGCTACACTCAGATACCATGTCTGGCTTAGGAGGTGACTTTGGCGTCCGGTTTGCCAGGGAAACATGGGCATTATACGCCGTCGGTGTCCTAGGCGCTGTTCTGCGATTGTAAGTTGGAACATCTCATTTTCAAATGGCACCGCAAAAGCTTGAACTCATTATAACTAACACGTACTTGATTAGTACTGCTCGTATCCGTCGATTAGGCATTCGCAACCTTCAGGCCGATGATTATCTCATGCTTTCCGCTGTCATCTGGTACACACTTCTCTGTGTTGCACTCAATCAAGTCGCCTCAGGTGGAGGGTCAAATCTGATGACCCAGGAGGATATCGACACCTTGACTCCCGCCATTCACGCCGAACGAGAGAAGGGAAGCAAATGGGTATTTGTGTCGGAGCATGCCTTTGTTCTGGCAGTTTGGAGCATGAAAGCTTGTATGCTGGTCATCTATGCTCGTATCACTGAGGGTTTGCGCCAGCGTAAATGGATCAACTACATCGCCATATACGTTGTTCTTGGCTTCGTTGCCACCGAGTTGTCTCTGTTCCTCATCTGCCGCCCAATTACCAATTACTGGGCTGTTCCAACACCCAATTGTAAGGAAGCGTCGCTCCAGTGCCCTCGGTCCCCGTCCATTAACAAATTACAGACCAATGTTCCTCGTACCAGCATTATGAGATCGTTCAAGGATGTCTTTCTATCTCCGCCGATGTTTTTATGCTTCTTGTCGCCATTCCTCTACTCGTACAAGTCCGTGTACCAATGAAGCAAAAGCTCATCCTGATATTGCTCTTCGGAATGGGCATCTTTGTCATTGTTGCCGCCGTCCTGAACAAGGTCTACTGCCTGGTCCCATCGCTCATCTCTTACGTCTACATGAATTGGTATTTCCGCGAAGCAACTGTTGGCATTTTGGTTACCAATCTACCCTTGATCTGGTCCCTTTTGAGGGACGTATTCCCCGCGCTCAAGAGTTGGACTGGAGGGTCGAAGAGGGGCACCGATCGATACAAGTCAGGTCCTTGGACGAGCAAGGGATCCCGACCATACGGTCCTCCAAGTCAATTGCGCTCGGGCGACTTCGACATGCAGAACTTTCCCAACCGCAGCACTGCTGCCACGCCGCAGAAAAATGGACCCGCAGTCTCCGATATCAGTCTCGGGGGGGTCCGACGAGCGAGACATGAGCAGTGATGATGGCTCCGCACGAGCCTTGCGCATTCGGCAAGACATTACCGTCACTGTGCAGCATGACTCGCGACCACCAGACTATCAGCGCAGTAGTGCACATGTCACCCAAGGCCGCGAAGAGGTTTGATCGAAATTTGGAGTTGCACAATTTACTTCATTTTTCTATCACTCCGCGACATACAATGTATCATCTGCGCCGATCTTACAGATCTCAAAGACAAAAGAAACACAACCCAATTTACGAACTATACGCACGTGTGCGCCCGATACCCTAATTTTTAGACTTTTCTGTATATACTTTTGGTGAGTTGCCCGGGAGTTCTCTTCGGTCAAAGCTCGGGGGGATTGGCCTGTATCGAACTTGAACTGGGGAGTTTGTCGGAATTTCCGGTCATATTATGTGCAGTATACTAGATCAATATACCCATCATTTTCGTCATCTTATGCGTCTACTACTAGTGTACCTATCTAGGTAGGTACTACTCCGTACTTTACACTACACCGTGAAAAGAGCATTCTGAGGATCTACCTCTCGCCAACTGTCCCATGGATACATACAGCCCCAGCATAACCCGTTCATATCACACACACACCGATTGGATAGAGTCCATCTGACCCGCTGATCTCCCGATTCTTGCGCCTTGCGTCAACGACTGTTGATCTTCTCTAAATAGAGATTAGTTCCCCTGTGCTTCAGTTTCCAGCCTCTCTGAGAGGCTGGAAAGCACGGGTGTTACGCTGGTTCAGGAGAGTGGCCGTAGGTTGTAATTCCCACATCTGCAATGCCATTGGCCACAAAAGAGTTCCCCTGCAAGTACCGCGATCTTCACCGGAATTCCCGACTCATTCCAACGTTCGTACCAACCCCGAAAACCTTCTCTTGCATGCGTTCTCGAAGAATCTCAAAAATAAGAATCGAAGCATGCGACACCGTCTTCGATTTCGGACGCATTCCTATATCCGGCCTAGCCGACACCTCCGCCATTTTTCCCCCGGGCTGAGATTCATCTGGTTCTTTAAATTATATCCACTTAGGAGCAATGACCGGTTCAGCCTGTCACCTAGCCTCGGCCGAGCAACACGACTCCACTTTGTACCTTTTGGTGGTTCCCAGCCCATCCGACGAGCGCCACCTTCCCAGACACTGGCTTGATTGACTCTTAGAGTGGTTTAATGACATTTCCCCCCGACCATGGATCACTCGGTTTCTCCATCCCATACCTTGGTTTGTGAAGCAGAGCTGTGGACATTGATTTTCCGGGTGTGCATCTTGGGGCCGCTTCCACTTTCCAGAAACCGAAAAAATCAAGCAACTGGAGGGATCGTCCGGGGAGATGATAAGCGGTCTGGAGAAATTATCAAATCGCTATCGTCATCGGCCGAAATTTGGCGGGCGTATCTGGCCAGTTCCCACTATTTCATCAAGAGCCCTTGTGAGGCATTTAGAAATCCCTCTCTGCATTTCAATTTTTGGCCCCTTTTTTTGTTTGTCTTTTAGATGTGGGCTATTTCTCTTGATGGGAATGCAACGATGTTTCACCTTAGCTCTTCCAGAAAAAGAACAATGTCTGGCCACGCAATCGGCCATCGCACTAACTCGCAACAGAGTTTCGAAGACCCACGGCGCCCACTGCGCGGTCCGTCGGGCGTAAGCGACATGTAACTACTAACTACTCCGTATACTTCTCGGACAAAAAGTAGGTAAACAATTTAGATACGGATACTCCGTACATCGGGGCTAATTTTGTCGAGACATTCATGATATCTCGGATTTTTCCGACATTGCTTTCTTCCGATATCGCTGTCGGTGATCACGAATCATCTATGTGGGGTGCTTGAGATTAAGGATATCATACATGTAAATGCCTACCAGGTACTCCTCATCAGTGAATGAACAACGGGAAATTGAAACCCCTGGTAGGCCAAATTAATTCATTTCACTTAATCAAGATCGAACCAATAATCAGCGTGAGTGAGCATATGTACTCTGTATAATTATTTTATTTGTTCAAGGTTCCCTCCACACCTAATTCGGTTAACTTTTGAACTAGACCAGATCGGAGGAAATAGCGTAAAACAATTTTCTCTTTCTTACATAGCATCGATTTTAGAGCTGGCTGTGCGTTGATTCGTGTGGACACAGTCCACCCTAATGCAGGTCCGTGCCTGTGTGATGGTACAGTAGCTACGGAGTGTTCTCCCGAGTACGAATCTTGTTCGCCGGGCTTGAACCTATTAAAATCATTGTTGGTATTTGGGCGCCAGGAACAAACTTTGAGGAAGAAATCTACATACTCCATAGAGCAAGTTGATTCCTTTCCTATTTTAGAAGTCTATCTAGAGGAATGTGTAGTTACGATGATCTACGATATGCAATATGGAATCATTACAAACAACTGTCACGCCGTTCACGACCAACAAAAGAGAATTTGTTAAAACCCGATACTCTAGTGTGCCGCGGGAAAGTTCTATCAAGTATTTCCGTGGACTGGTAATCGATGCCTTTATTTCCATCCAAGCAGGGGACTGAAAATCACCTCTGTTGAAAATAGATTCTGTTGGGCGATAGCATCTGGCAAGGCATTCTGCTTGGTCAATCAATGGAAGCTCAATCCCACAATATCCAAGAGAACCTTGTTTCTTCCATTTCCACGGGTTTGAAGCCCCAAAACTATTGAAGCTTGATTGCTATGTATCAAGATAATCGGCCATAACTGGACAGCAAACGCACGGACGGAGTTGTTAAAGATGTGTTCAAAGTCCACTGGAGCCCGATCCCCGAAAGGCAAATTGAGAACGCCGAATCCACAACGGAGTAAATATCCAGAATTTTCCAAATTGACCTCTCTAAACCCGGAATGTGCTTTCCATTGCAAGAAGATACAGTCGGGAATTTTTCTCTGTGGCCCTTGATTCTCTCAATAGAAGGCGGTGGGGATAACGGAAGCTCACGGTACAGTAGACCGAGAATACCATATCCCTCCTATTTCTCTACTCCATAGCAGAACATACTTTTCAGACTCTACCTCGGCTTAGAAACTCGGTACTTTGCAGTCTAACCCTTCGCTCATCGTGCTGTACATCAGCCCTGTCTGACTCGAGTATTGCCACGAGGTGAACGGCCTGCTGAGTGCAGATCCTTCTTCAAGGGGCAGGAGGATTGATCCTGCATAGATCGGCGTTCGCTTCGTCAACCTGGAGGGGTAATTGCTGAGGCCAAGGCTGAACATTTGACACCTTGTACTCCGCACGGAGTAAACTTGATACACACCGGTGTCTCGCCGATAAAACATCCATCATATGTCTTTCGAGTCGCTATCGAGTCGCTCCTTTTTGGGGCTGGAAAAGTGCCATGTGTTCATCACTGGAGCCAGTGGTGCCATTGGAGGCGAAGCTGTGAGGGAATTCTTAGGTGGGTACCCTGTTCTGGCTTGGCTATACCAATTGCATCCCGCACCAGACTCTCCTGGTCCTTATTTCGGGCTTTTCGTCGTATTGTAGTATACTGTCGCTATTGAATAGATTTCAGTCTCTTTTCATTTAACAGAAAGGCCTAACTCCTACTCTTAGATCATGGATGTCTTGTCACAGCCTACGATAGTCAGCCACTCCAGCTTTCTGGAATCGATGCAGAACGATTCTCAAGGCTCCACCTCTTGAATGGGGATGTTACCAATGAGGATTCCGTCAAATCTGGATTCTTAAATGCCCAAGAAAGATTTGGAACCGCAAACATATTGATTGTCAACTCTGCTGCGGAGGATTCGACAACGAAGGTTCCCATTTGGGAGTTGTCGCTAGATAACTGGAAGAAGAATTATCAAACGAACGTTCAGGGCTCCTTCCTGGTCATCAAACACTTCCTTCGATCTCTATATGAGGCCCAACAAACCTCGGGCACCCAAGTTGGAAGTCCCGCGATCGTTGTTACAGAAACAGAAAACGGAACAGGACTTGCTGCGGGCAAGGCTGGTCTTCACTATGGCTTGCTCAACGGTGTTCGTGACGAAATAGTCCGCCTCAATGCCGAAGGACGCATCAACGCTGTTGCTCCTGGTGTCTTGGATGGGGAGCATGGCCCCGAACCGGCTGATGTAGCACGGACCATGGCTTTCCTTGCCTCGAAGCGTGCAGCCGGCCACATCTCCGGGCAATGCATCCGGGTTGAGAGAGGCAAGCAAGATCCTATTTCCAGTACAGCTCGACCTTCGAAGTCAATTGTCAAAAAGGATTCTATAACATCTATTCCCAGGTCATTGCCAAAACCGAAACGCAACAAGATTCGCGTAGCTGTTTCGATTGATTTGGATGCAGTTTCAGGCTGGCTCGGAACAAGTCAGCATTCTCATTGTCGATGACCGCAGAATCCAAGTACGCTAACGATGTCTTTCGCTTCCAGATTCCCACCCCGACAATGTTCTAGCTGACTACTCGGCTGGGTTCTTCGCCGCTCGAGTCGGTGTCCCCCGCCTCCTTCGCATGTTGAAGAAGTTAGATCTTTCTGAGCGTTGTACTTGGTTCATTCCCGGGCACTCCGCGGAGAGTTTTCCCGAGGAGGTAAAGCAAGTTGTTGCTTCGGGGTGTGAGGTTGGCCTGCACGGCTACGCACACGAGGGCGCCTATCAACTCACCCCGGAGCAGGAGCGTGATGTGCTTGTTCGATGCATGGAGATTGCTCAAAACCTGACCGGAAAGAAACCAGTCGGCTATCGCGCACCACTTTATCAGCTGCGCGAGTCAACACTTGATCTCCTTGAGGAATTTGGCTTTGAATACGGTATGTCGCTTGAATATCTTCTTACATGCAAAACTGACCATTGAATTATCTAGATGCCTCTCTGACGGATCATGACTGCCATCCATTTTTCGCACCACGGCGCCCCCCGCTGCAACCTATTGATTTCTCCAAGCCTGCCTCGACATGGATGCATCCGGTCAAGGAATCGCCAACTTTACCGGACCGACGCCCTCTTGTCTGTGTGCCTTGCAATTACTATATGGAAGACATGACACCCATGCAGTTTCTTCCGCACACTGAAAATTCGCAAGGCTATGTTGACGTACGTGTGATCGAGAATCTCTGGCGGGACCGGTTCTTGTGGATTCGGGACAATGAAGAGGAACCTGTATTCCCTGTTCTCATGCATCCGGATACTAGTGGCATGGCCCATGTCATCGGCATGCTGGAACGGACTTTGAGTTGGCTGAAGGAGTGGGAACGTGAGGGCGAGGTTGAATTCTTGCAAACCGGGCAAATTGCGCGCTGGTGGAAAAATAAAATGCTGTCGAAGCAAACTACATGAACTTACTAGCCCTGGAGTAGTATGATATATGTGAATCGCAATGAAACAATCCGTACTCCGTACATCTATCCAATCTCATTGTTTTCTTTTTGGGTCTCCATAGCCGCGATTGGCCCAGTGTTTCAATAGATGCGTTGTTGTATGGAGTACGGGGTACCTACAGAGTAGTACTGGTAGGGAACTCGGAGCACTCCGTAGAGTAAGACCTTTGTAAGTAATGTTAACTTTGGAGGGCTAGTTTAAATTCTGAGTCCATGATGTGATCGAATTAAATCTGCAGGAACATCACACATACTATTGATTTACCCCGACGATCTGTGTAACCAATTACTTGAATCCACCAAACTGTTTCATGCTGCTACTGGCTCCGCCCTACACCAATCAGAGCCAGAACACGATGACGATCGGCATAATACTTATAAGAAGCACCTTTTGCCCCTATGCCTGTACTTGTTTTTTTGGCCCAAGCAAGGGAGGACCAACAACCACTGCCGTTCAGTGTTACCGTCAAGCACATTCGACCTTTTTCATATTAGAGCACCATATTTTGAACAAAGCGAACCTGATACCCCATCGTCTATTGCCTCGATAACTACAATGCGGCTGATCCATTTCATCTTGGCTTCGAGTCTGGCCACCTTGGCAAGCCCAGTGGCAGCCAATCCTGCGCGCCTAGACTTACTTGAAAACCGAGCCGAGCCGTCTCCAACTGTTGGCTACTCTGATATTCTGGAGTCTGGACACTATGGACATGGACCACAAGTGACACGTCCCTCTCCCCCATCGTCGCATCAAGACCAACAAGACGACTAGTCTGTCGTTTCCAGGAAGTTATAAATGCTAGACCTGATGGAAGCGCAAGCGAAGTTCTCAGATGCACGGCATGGAATGCAAGGGCTGATGGAACAATGACAAGTTTCTGAGTGATTGGAACCCCCCTAAGTAGTCCAGGGACCTAGGCTTGGGGGATTATCAAACTGTACCATCCGAATTCTGTCTCTGTGTGATTAAACTGCGGTGCGTACAGCAATACTCTGGAATCCAACATCCAAACATCAAATGCTGCTTTCAGTATACCAACCAATAACGATGAGCTCATCATCATCGTCTCCGATGGTCTCGAGGGAATTTTTGAAAGTTACTTGGTAGGCAGAGCCGTAGATGCTTTCTGTGGCCAGAAAATAAAATTTAGGGGAAGATTTTCGTAGTCTCGTCTAATCTAAATGATATTATTTCCGAATGGTCAAGGAAATACCGCGTTCCAAGGTTACGGCGATCCAGAGCTGCAATCGATCTAGTTTCTCTGATAGCCTGGCAACAATACCTCAGCACTAAGAATGTCTCGGTAAATTTCAAGTAATTTGAACCTCACAACTTCAATTCGGAGTACTGAGTATATCACTGGGTAACTACTAGGATCCTTTGGTAGTACCTAGGTATCATGTGTACATCCATCTCCACCAATTGCTAACTATACCTAGGCATTCCAAGGTTACTGACAGGTACTAGTAGAAACTATTCAAGCCAACTACTAAGTACCTAGTAGGTAGTTACTTCCTAGCCCTGCCTGAGTATTCTAAAGCTACTAGTATTTCAAATACAACTTGAATTCAATAGTGGTCTGTGTCCAAATTGTATAAAAACATTAATCATTTTGGGGAGTAACCCCGGCAGGAACATTGGGTCGTTTGAGGTGGCTATGGAGCGCTGTGGTCGCGGTTACGTTGCAAGGCTGGTAAGATCCATGGATATTCATCAAAAAAGATTAAAGGCGTATGTGTGTATGTACAAGCAGCTCCAATCAGAATCAGACATAGGAAATGGCATAAGGAGGGTCAGATTGATGTGCAAGGCATCCCGAAAAACGAAAAAAAGAAAACCGGATCCTGGTGAAGGATAAACCAAGAGATGCAAGTCCTGTAAACTAACACTCAAACGCCATAGCTGGAATCATAAAACCAAAATCGTCGTTGGGGGGGCTTAATGCAAAAGAGCGAAGGCATAAATAAATCAGGAAGAATGTGTTGCAACCGAAAAAATGCAAAGAGAGAAACATTATGCACCAGCGCCGGGGTATTTTGGGAAAAGACAAGAACCGGCTGAACAATCAAGCCACAGAAATTCATATACACGAGTCTCCTTGACTCGTGTATCAACGTCGGAACATGCGAACAGGAGCACTGAGGTCCCGGCGTTCGCTCACATCGTTCTCACCTTTCGAATCGGCGCGCAGATTCGGAACACGCTTGGCGGTCCGGCCAGGAGTAGATTTAACGCTTCCGGTGGACCCAACAGACCGTCCAGTAGCTTCATTTGCGCTAACGGACCGTTGCTTACTACGAGCACGGCTGCGTCGCGCCCTTATTTGGGCCAACGCTTCCTCCCGGTTAATAGGAGTATCATGAACTAGCCCAGAAGAGCCCTGTGATTCGGTTGCTTCACGGAGCGGAATTCTTTTCGTCATCGACTGATGGGGCTGATACTCCTCCCGTTCCTGGCGCCGGGAGGGTCTAACATCCATGGGTTCCGGGGCGGATACGGGCTCAACTGTAGCAGGTTCGGATGGTGTAACGTGGATCATCCGCGAAGGCACGGGCTCCGCAGTTGGGGTGTGAGATTCGACTTGGTGAATCGAGGAGGCTGCAGAGATTGCTGAATTACGCCAGTCACGGTGGGAACTGGAATGGACATTGGAGTGCCTTTCGTGAGAGGCGAACGAGTCGGTTCGGCGGGCCCTGACGTTATCTCGTAGCGGTGACGGGTAAGTCGTGAAGGTTCCCGTCTCGGGAGAGAAGGTAACTAACGGCTCTGCGGGCATAGGCATCTTTTCGGGTGGGTCGGTCGGTTCAGTCTTGATGGTTTGGGTTGCGAGTTCGGGTTGTTGGCGGACTGGGGTGTGTTGGATAGTGGCGTGGTGGTGGGTGGGAGTAGGGGGCTCGACGCTGGGTGTATAACTGGATTGGACATCACTATGAAAGGGTTCGGCGTGTACTGGGACAGGAGGAGCAACCTCCACACGAGAACGAGATTGACGAGCTGCCTCCTCCTGTGCCTCTTCCTCTGCCTCTGCCTTCGCTGCGGCTGCTGCTGCGGCTTCTGCTGCTGCTGCCTCCAACTGCGCCTTCTGGAACTTTTCGTAGTAATCCTCGTCGTAGATGTACCGGCGACCCTGGGTTTCGGCGATCCGGCAGGAGCATCGCTCGAACTGACACTCGATATTCATAAAATGTACCATCTCCTCGGCTTCCGACCTCCGACGACGCTCAAGCTCCAGCTCATCTCGCAATTCTTCTATCGCGTCATTGTAGGATTCAGACGAATCGTTCTCTGCGGCAACTTGATCATCCCCTGCGGTGGTTGTACATTCGGACAGTCGTTGTCTCTTTGGAGGTGTGGCTTCGACATCGAGGGTTTCGAGTTCTGGAGCTGGAGATTTCACGGAACCAGCGGCGGCGCGTTTCGGCCGACGCGGGGTTGTCAGGAATGCGAGGTCGCCCTCTGCGAGTGATAGTCTTCCAAAATCTTCCTTGCGGATTTCGTGGGCCCGAACTTGAAGGGTATTAGAATGGTTGGAGGCTTCCATAGAGCGAAATTTGCCCTTGAGAACTTCGAGCTCCTCTGTAAGGCCAGCGAGAGCATATGCACGTTCGAAGGCCTCTTGTTTGGCAGTATCCTTTGACTCGCGTTCCGCCGCGACTTCATCTTTTAGGGCCTTCGCTTCAGACTTGGCATGCTTCAGTTCTTCCTGAAGCCTCACCAGAGTCGATCCCGCTCGAAACGCTTCCTTGCGAGCCTTCCGAATCTCCTTTTCAAAAATTGAGCGTTCGTGGGCTTGACGCTCTTTGGAACCGTGCAATTCTTCCATTAGAGATTCAAGTCTCTCACTAATGCGACGTTCACGAGACTGGGCTTCAGACAACTCTTCTTGGACTGATTCCAGGGTAGACTCGGCCTCTTCACGACCAAGGATGGCCCTCTGTAAGGCGGCATTTTGGGCAGCGGACTGCGCCTGAGCTGCCGGGCTGGCCTGACGAGAAAGATTGTTCAAGAAGGCCACTTTCGCTTGGACTTCCGAAACACCCCTCGTATTTTTGTGGTGCAAGGATAGAAGGTCGGTGGGGAGGGAGGGCGAGGCGGGAATTGTTTGTTGATTCATTCGTTCCGGCGATACCGGGTGTAGGACCTTGGTGGGACTGAGGACTGGACGCGTTGGAGAGTCCATCGCGGATGCAGTCGATGAAGTATTAGGACGACGGATGTCAAAGGGTCATGAGGGCGTCGCAGGTGGGTTAGTCGAGAGGAAAATCGCCGTTGAAGTGACGCACCCACATTATCACATTACTGTGTTTATTGCCCTCTTGGGATGGGTCATGTGACCGTTGCCGTGGTCACCCTCGCGCCTTCCCCTTTTGGGATTAGCGTCATATCACGAGGTCGTACATCACGTGGAGTGATCCGGCCCCAAAGGGGATTAGCCTCGTGGGATGGTTCGCTCGTGACTTGTCTGTGCGGGCATATCGTAGGTGCGTTCGGTTGACCACTTGATACTTTGTTGGACAGGAAGAAAAGACGAGTGATCGAACAGTCATGCATGAGATTGTCACTTTACAACTGGGTCAGCGGGCGAACTACTTGGCCACGCATTTCTGGAACCTCCAGGTGAATTTTTTGATTTGAAATTATCTCCTTGCATCTCGAGGTGATATATTCTAATATTTCGGTACCGCAGGAATCATATTTCACATACAACGATAGTGAAGAAACCCCTATTGACCATGATGTGCATTTCCGACCAGGATATGGAGCCGATGGCTCAGAAACATATACTCCCCGGACAGTTATCTATGACCTAAAGGGTGGATTTGGTACTCTGCGCAAATACAATGAACTGTACGAGCTGACCGAGGATTCGGTAGCGGGCCAAGGCCTCTGGTATGTTATTACACCCCACACGATGTACGGGGCGGATAATTGACTTCTTATGCTAGGGATGGAAAAGAGGTCATTCAGAAACAGGCCCCTATCCCACAAAGTGATTATCAAAAAAGCTTAGATCAGGGCACCTCAGCACCACAACTTACCTCAGAAACGGTGCGATACTGGTCGGATTACAATAGAGTATTCTATCATCCACGCTCCATCGTTCAATTGAATGAATATGAGTTGAACTCACAGATCATGCCCTTTGAAGACTGGAATGTCGGCGAAGAACTCTTCAATGACCTTGACAAAGAACATGACCTCTTGGACAGAGACCTGAGACCATTTGCCGAAGAATGTGACCAGATGCGCGCCATTCAAATCTTCTCTACTTCAGATGACGCTTGGGGTGGCTTTACTGCTCGCTACATTGACCGCATCAGAGATGAATACGGCAAGAAAAGTGTCTGGGTTTGGGCCATGGAAGATGGCAACAAGGTGCAAAGGGTATGACAGGAATCTCCACTCCAAAGTACGACAATGACTTTCTCTGACCGAGTTCACAGCACCGACAACTCAAAAGGGATACGAACAAGGCGAAGTCACTTTGCTCGATCTCGCCACAGTCGACTCTATATGTGCCTGTCATAGACATTCCGCAGAAGCTTCCCCGCTCGATCCAAGTGGACCGGCAGTCGGAGTGGCAAAGGACGGCATTGTTAAGTTCTGCACTCGAGACAGTGACGATGCCCTCCAGACTGCGGCCCTATCACGATTTTGAGGCCTCGCTTGCGGGCGACGACGGAAGGCATAATATCTTCGAGCTCCAATCGACCATCAACCCTGAGAATGAAAACTCAGGTGCTAATGATGATGAAATACCGAAAGCCAAAACGGAATTCGATATCGACTTCACTTACGATGGAGAAAAGGGCAAATCTCACCATATCTTCAATCAAGTCCAGGTCTTACGTGGGAACGACTTCGGAAAATCCACCGAATCCGCCCACGGAGACATTGGGCATCTGCGAAAACTGCGATTGTATCACTCGGAGTCGATGCTCCAGAGGTAGCCCCCCCCCCCCATGCCTGATATGCCTGATATCATGTTTTTCTCTTAATTTCCCACAGAGTATTAATTAATTTTGTCTTAGCTACCGAACCCCACTCCATCTTCCCATTCTCGACAGCTTCCCGCACGGAATGTACCCCAAATCTCCGTCAAATGCCGGGGTAAGTGTCTTAGCCGCATTGACCGCTTCCACCCGGACGGCCGACAGAGTCAAGGCAATTGAAAGTACGGCTGCACGAATGTTGTCAGTGGATGAACGGGAGAACCTGGTCAATGGGCTGGGTGAGATCCGTGAATGCTATGAGACAGGTTGGAGCAGTGGATCCGACGAGGAGGAGGACTAGACAGGAACAGGACGGATCTAAACTTGTCGACTTCATCCTGCCTATTTGGGGAAGTGGGATAAATTGAATCTTCGTCGGCGTCGACCGCTTTCCCTGCAATGATTATGGATCCAGAACCTTCTGCGTTAGAGCGTGGGCGGACCCTCTCTTGGACACATCGAGATTACCCCGGCCAATGCCACTATTGACTATTGAAGGAATTATGAATTCTGGAAGGGCGTCCGTCAACTGCAAGTTCTCCGCTTCTCCGCCTGATCAAAGCCTTCAAAGTCACGATACGAAGTCTCACAACGCCTCCCAGCGATTCGTAGGATGTTACTTTCAGAGTAGATAGTGTGGTTCACCGACGCCACCATTTCTATAATTGATCATAGCCGGTGGTTCATTGTCCATTATTACTATCACTAGGCGAACGGGTGATTGTCATTTGAGTGTGGCGCAAAAAATCGAAGCCCCCACGACAATCTGAGTGAGACGGTACTCTCTCCGTTGCCCTGGGTGAAGAGCTGACCCCCTCTCGAAATGCCTCCATTTTCATTGTTACCAGCGGTTGATGATCTCACCCGGAAGTCGGCTCACCGTTGAACCCTATGTGGCCCGTCTGGGCATCGTAAGGCAGTATTTACATACCAGCCTCCCTAAAAGCTATCAGTGCGGGGATTGCGGGCGCTCCAGATCAAATGGCAATACGGAGCATGCATACGAAAAGAAGACTATGGGCAACCGGAAAAGCAAAAAAAAAAAAACAAAAAACAAAAAAATCCACATCAAAACGGCCAAAAGCATTTTTGTTTATTTTGATGAGGAAAGGCACCTGGGAGGGATCTGGGAGGACAACCATGGGACAAGAAGTCCGAGACATCCCATGTCAACCACGTCGGCCAAGCAGGGACCAAGTACCCGTACCCAGTGAGAGAAACAGAGGAAAGGAGCAAGGTCAACAACATGGAATTAACGTGACATCATGAGATGGCCATGGCTGGTATCGCACCAATCGCGGAGGCCGCTCGGAAATATCCCTGTTCAAGCATTAGTGCCAGCGCACTGTGCCACCTCCCCAAATGGCCGGCCCACTCGAGCCTGCAGCTTCCTGGTCTTGATGGCCTTGACCCCGTACATCTTGTAGTCTTGTAGTCGAGGCCCTGGTCTCTGTCATGTAACGTTACTTGCAGGGGCCACTATCAGGGCAGACGCAATTGACTCCCGGGTATCGCTGCTTAGCTCTGTCGATCTATGCAATTTCACGGCTCCATGCAATATTTGACGTGGCAAAGAGATGGTCAACGTGATTGGGACTGCAGGAACTCGTGGCCGAGAGTCCTCCGTACATCCATATGTACTTAGGCTCGCTAGTGACCAGCCACCCCCAGGACCCTGAAAGTATACGGAAAAGGCGCAGACGCAGACGCAGACGCAGACACAGATACAAGAAAACAACAAGGAAAATAGGGCAACCGGCTAATGCCAATGCTAGTGCAAATGCACAGACGTCACTTTTCTCCGGGTGGTCTTACCGAGATCCCAGGTCTCTCTTTTTCTCCGCCTTGAGGGTTTTCCAGAGCACGCTAATTTAGCGGTTATGAACCTTGGTATTGGAGACAGCCAAAGTTACCGTCTGAATCCTTATTCGTGAGGTTTCCCCACATTTAGTGCTCACTCATCAACAACAAATGAGACCTACCATGGGGTTCCATGGGTACTCCAGAAATATACACTAGCCTATGTATCTAAATCTGGATTATTTTAGTGAGACCGTTGTCCGAGCACCCAACGTCTAAGCAACAATTGACATCCCCTAGGGTCTCATGACGTACGATTCTTATCCGAACGAGGGGACAACGAAGAGGGTGGGGGACTTTCAATCAACTCTCGTCGATCGGGGAGAGCAGCAAGATGACAGGGGTATTCCATACACAATATACGGAGCACTTTACAAATAGAGGGAAAGAAGAAAAAAAAAGCCTCACTGCACAATGCATCAGGGCGAGGGCCACTTTCTCAGGGCCCCTTGTTCCTCCAGCCCCCATCAGCCCTGACCGAGTTATCTATCAGTTTTTGTTCCCGCCTCGCAGCATCTGCCAAGGTCGTCATGCATGATTGGGGGGAAAGTGGGTCGACTTCGATCGGTTCCGCTCAAGCGTCGGCCTTTTCGAATGCTTTGAGTTTGGCGACATGCATCCTGGCTCTATCCATCAAGCGAACCAGAAGGCAGGTTCATCTCGAGAATACTAGCCATTGGCCCATACCCGGCTATATGTCGCTGAGCCAACCGAGTCGGGGGCCTGGCACTAACTTTGGCCCTGCATTGAGACCCAGTTCAATGCACATCGCGAGTCGGCTTCAACATCAAAGACACGGAAACTCTACCCACGCAGATGGCAAACGCATGCCAATTTTGGTGAATCATGCAAGCCAAGAAGTGCCTCTTTTGAGCCTAGTATCGTTGGGTACCATTGTCTGACTCTCTATTTGACGAATCGAGATGATGGCTCCAATTATCTACCGATCTTGGATAGCACCTGATGTCAGTCATCAGAGACAGACCCGCCCCCGGGCCAGGGTCTTGCCATGGACTAGTTGCTGCACCTGCGCCATGAGCTGTAGGCTGTGGGCTATGTGCGAGACAGGAATCCTGTCCCACCAGATGAGGCTGTGGATATAAATTCAACCCGGATCCTCGCCTTCTTTCTTCGGCTTTTCTGGTTCTGAGATCAATCCGTGATAGGAACTCTTTCGCTACGGTTCCTCGTTGTCCTTCGTTCATCGGATCAGACCATTCAAGTAATTGTCCAACATATAATCTAGCGTTCCCTCGTTTGTCTGATAGGCAATATGCGTGGAATTCCAATTCTCGTCCTCTGTGCCGTCACCATGGCCTCGGGCAGCGTTCTGCCCCGAGATGCCAATGGTGACATGCGCCTTGCTGTCCGTGGTGGTGGTGGCGGCGGTGGTGGTGATGAGGGTGGTCATGGAGGAGGAGGCGGTGGTGGTGGCTACCCTGGCAATGGCGGCGGTGGTAACGGCGGCCACGGGGGTGATGGTGGCCACGATGGTGATGGCGGCCACGGTGGTGATGGTGGTTACCCTGGCCATGGAGGAGGCGGTGGTGGTGAAGAGTCGACACCGTGTGAGACTACTCCTACTCCTACTCCTCCCCCCAGAGACCTCGACTCCATGTGAGACCACTACCACTACTCCTCCCCCGGAGACCTCGACTCCATGTGAGACAACCACCACTACTCCTCCCCCGGAGACCTCGACTACTCCATGTGAGACCACTACCACCACTCCTCCCCGGAGACCTCGACTACTCCATGCGAGACCACTACCACTACTCCTCCTCCGGAGACCTCGACTACTCCATGTGAGACCACTACCACCACTCCTCCCCGGAGACCTCGACTACTCCATGCGAGACCACTACCACTACTCCTCCTCCGGAGACCTCGACTACTCCATGTGAGACCACTACCACCACTCCTCCCCGGAGACCTCGACTACTCCATGCGAGACCACTACCACTACTCCTCCCCCGGAGACCTCGACTCCATGTGAGACAACCACCACTACTCCTCCCCCGGAGACCTCGACTACTCCATGTGAGACCACTACTACTACTCCTCCGCCAGAGACCTCGACTACTCCATGTGAGACCACTACTACTACTCCTCCGCCAGAGACCTCGACTACTCCGTGTGAGACCACTACCACTACTCCTCCTCCGGAGACCTCGACTACTCCATGTGAGACTACTACTACCCCGTCTGTATCTCCCACTACTCCGTGCGAGACCACCACTACTCCTCCCCGGAAACCTCGACTACTCCGTGTGAGACCACTACTACTCCTCCCCCAGAGACCTCGACTACCCCGTGCGAGACCACTGCCACCCCTCCCCCGGAGTCTTCTACTACTCCATGTGAGACTACCACCACCCCACCCCCAGAAAGCTCAACTACTCCGTGTGAGACCACTACCACCCCTCCCCCGGAGTCTTCTACTACTCCGTGCGAGACCACTACCACAACTCCCCCTCCCGAGTCTTCTACTCCCTGTGAAACCACTACCGTCGCCACTCCTCCCCCAGAGACCTCGACCCCATGTGAGACCGAGACGACGACTCCTCCGCCTCTACCTACAACCATTACTACCACTTACACCACCACTACCTGCCCAAGTAAGTCTACACTGATATGAGTTCCAATTGATCAACAGTTGCTAATTTTTCCAGTCACTTGGGCCACCGTCACCAGCGGAACATCCACATATACCCAGCCCATCACTCAGACTAGCACTTTGACCATCACTTCCGTCGTCACTTGCACTGAGGGCTGCGTTCAGCCTACAACCACCTCGGTGATTGTTCCTCCCTCAAGCCCTGCTCCCGAGCCTACCTCTCCTGCTCCCGAGCCTACCTCTCCTGCCCCCGAGGTTCCTCCGGTGCAGTCGACTACCGCATCACCCTCTTCCCCGGTCACTTCCACTGCTCCGGCCCCGGCAGCTACTACTTCTCCTGCCTTCAATGCTGCCTCCTCTCAATACAAGATGTCCCTGGCCGGTCTGATCCCCGGTCTGGCCATTATTATGGCCCTGCTTTAATGACTTCCGCCTGAGTCTTGATTCAAATTTTCCTTCCAGCCATCGTACATTTCATACAATGGAAGTGAAAGCCGATCCTAAACAAAACACAAAACGATCAAAAAAATTGGATTCTAAGGGGAAGGCGTGGATGACCGAGCTATTACCCTAATGCCCGTGGCCTGCACCCTGGCAGGCGGCGGTGATTGATGAGAACCTTTATGACTTACGTTCCTTACTAGTGTAATCGACCGGCTTAGTTTAGTATAAAGTGTATTTAGTTCAGTAATTGACATAATATTTCTCTGAAATTCCGAGGTCTGTAACCAAGAAGAACCCACAATATATAAATTATTGGAATACTGGCATCTTTATAGTTCGGAATCATACGGAGATCCTGGAATTAGGGCTATCTTACATAACCCAGACAAACAGTGCAAACCCAAGCAAGGTAAGCATAGCTGGACCCGTGGCCTCACAACGGTGCGCCTCATTGAACTTCTCTTGCCAGGTGGCCACAGCATCCCCCCTCGCCCGAATGGCCTAGTCATTGTGGATTCTTTATTCCATCCATTTTCCAATATCCCAATCACCTCCATACTCGACCACCTACACCACCTTTGACACGGATTCAATAGCTTTTACACCCGACACTTCAACTGGCGCAAGGCCAGCTTCCACCGACACACCTCTTGGCGATCTGGTGGAACGCTTTGAATTCTGCTAATAATTTCTCCTTATACATCGCTGCCTTCAGGTTCGTAAAATCCCCAAGCCATCCGTTACCCCTTTCAAAAGCGACATTGGCTTACCTGGTTCGGTGCAATGTGCAGCATAGACATAGACCATGGCTCTCCCCGGCCGACAACGACTACCAACCTCCCCATTTTTCTCCCTCGTGATACTCCCGTTCCTAGTATTCCTCCTCGGCTTCGGCGGCTCAGTTTCTGCCGCCGGCTCCAGCGTCATCGGTCTCGATGTCGGTACCGAATACTTCAAGGCCGCTCTCGTGAAACCCGGCGTTCCCCTCGAAATTGTGCTCAGCAAGGACTCAAAGCGCAAGGAACCGGCTGCCATTGCGTTCAAGCCGACGAGAGAAAGCGACGCTCCCTTCCCCGAGCGATTCTACGGTAGTGGTGCGCTGGCCCTGGCGGCTCGGTACCCAGATGATGTTTACATGAATCTCAAGACTTTGTTGGGCGTGCCCTTCAACGATGGAAACGATGATACGGTCAAGGAGTACTGGAGCCGGTATCCAGCTCTCAAGCTTGAAAGTGCTCCCGATGGCCGTGGCTCAGTGGCCATGCGCTCGAACCGACTCGGCGAGGCGGAGAAGAAGGATGCGTTCTTGGTTGAGGAAATTTTGGCCATGCAATTGAAGGAAGTCAAGTCCAACGCGGATCTCTTGGCTGGGAAGGGATCCGATGTCCGAGATGTCGTGATTACCTACCCCGCATTCTACACCGCGGAGGAGAAGAAGAGTCTCTCCATGGCCGCCGAGTTGGCCGGTCTGAAGATCGAAGCTCTTATCAGCGATGGGTTGGCTGTTGGTCTGAACTACGCCACCAGTCGCACTTTCCCTAGCGTCTCGGACGGTGAGAAGCCAGAATACCATGTTGTTTTTGATATGGGAGCCGGCTCGACTACCGCAAGCGTGTTGCGCTTCCAGAGCCGTCAGGTCAAAGACATTGGCAAGTACAACAAGACCGTCCAGGAAGTCAATGTTTTGGGGGCTGGCTGGGACAAGACGCTCGGTGGTGACGCCCTGAACGATCTCATTGTCAACGACATGGTTGAGAATCTTGTCCAGGAAAAGAAGCTCAAGGGCAAGGTCACCGTTGAGGAGATTAAGGCGCACGGAAAGACCATGTCGAGACTCTGGAAAGATGCGGAAAAGGCTCGCCAGGTTCTAAGCGCTAATGGCGACACTAGCGCAAGTTTCGAGGGGCTCTACGACGAGGAGGTCAACTTCAAATACAAGATCACCCGCGCCCACTTCGAGAAACTGGCTGCTGGTCATGCAGCTCGCATCAATGGTCCTTTGGAACGGGCCCTTGAATCTGCCAACCTAAAGCTCAACGATATCGATTCCATCATTCTCCACGGTGGTGCCGTTCGCACTCCATTCGTCCAAAAGCAGCTGGAGAAAATCTCGGGTTCTTCGAAAAAGATTCGGTCCAACGTTAATGCCGATGAGGCCGCTGTGTTCGGTGCCGCTTTCAAAGGAGCTGCTCTCAGTCCTAGCTTCCGTGTTAAGGAGATTCGTGCCAGTGACGCCGCTTCTTACCCTGTTATTCTCCAGTGGAAGTCAGATGGCAAGGACAGAAACCAAAAGCTGTTCACTGCTACTTCTCAGGTCGGCCCGGAGAAGCAGGTTACTGTTAAGAACCTGGATGATTTTGAGTTCAGCTTCTACCAACAGATTCGGGATGGAGATAACCTTCCCGTCCTAAGTGTTGAGACTCAAAACCTCACAGCCTCTGTCGCCAAGCTCAAAGACAGCTTTGGCTGCTCGGCTGCAAATATTACCGCCAAATTCAACATTCGTCTGAATCCCATCGATGGTCTCCCCCAGGTCACCAGTGGCAATGTCAGCTGTGAGGTTGAAGCAGAGAAGAAAGGCATTGTCGATGATGTCAAGGGCTTCTTTGGCCTCGGATCCAAGAAGGGAGATCAGCAGCCCCTCGGTGAAGACGAGGCAAGTGAATCAATTACCCTTGAGCCCGAGGTTGAATCATCGACGACTTCCGCAAGCGCTGCTTTCACTACCAGCGCCACCAAAGACAGCGGCAAGGCCACCGCGCAGACTAAGCTGGAGATTATCCCCATTGCTCTCAAGTCTACTCCTCTTGGAACCAAGGCCCCCCTCGGTCGCCGAGCTGGGCCGTATTCGTGGACGCTTATCTGCCTTCGATTCTTCAGACCGTGATCGTGTCCTGCGCGAGGAAGCTCTCAACGAGCTGGAATCGTTCATCTATCGCAGCCGTGATCTTGTGGACAACGAGGAATTTGCCACGGCCATCAAGGCGGACCAGCTGTCTACATTGCAGGACAAGCTATCCACTTCCAGCGACTGGCTATACGAAGAGAGCGACAACGCTAAGACGGCAGACTTCCAGGCCAAGTTGAAGGATCTGAAAAGCATTGTCGACCCTGCACTCAAGCGCATGAAGGAATCCACTGACCGACCCGCGCGTATCAAGTTGCTTCAAGACATGATCAAGAACGCCGAGTCCATGAAGCAGCTAATTGAGGGTCAAATCAAATCCGACGAGGACACCTACTCCTCTGCCCTCTCTGCCTCGAGCACCTCTACCGAGCAAACAGAGACCAGCTCCTCCACTCCTGCCCCAGCTGCCTCTGGCGATGATTCTCTGGACGACCTTGATGATGACTCCTACTCCTCTTCGTCTTCCAAGACCTCTACCAAGACTGCTGTTGCAGCCAAGCCTACCGGCCCCAAGTACGCCCTCTTCACACCTACCGATCTCTCCTCCCTTACCGAGATCTACGATTCTTCCAAGCTGTGGGTTGATGAAAAGCTCGCACTGCAAGAGAAGCTCACCGAGTCCGATGACCCAGCCTTGACGGTTGTCGATATTGACTCTCGTCTGCGTGAGTTTGAGCGTGTTTTGAACCGCATGTATGAGCGAATGACTGCTGCTTCCAAGAAGACCAGCTCCAAGAAGACTAAGAGTAAAGAGAAGAAGCCGGAAGCTGAGAAGGCTAAGGGCAAGGAGAAGGAGAAGGCCAAGTCCACAGACGACACCCGTAAGGATGAGCTGTGAACTCCGTGAGAACCTCTGCATTGCATTTTGGCCATTTTTTATACCGCGCACTGGAAGTACAAAGCATGCTTCAACTCCCCATGTACCATTTCATGTCTTAAAATAATAGAGAAAAGAAGTATTATGGAAGCCTGCCTGTGCTCAAGTTTCTGAAGACAAAGATAAATCTTCCGTATTGCATTGGAAATAAGTAAGCATACTCATGATGAGAATAAAGTGACGTTCTAGAGTCCCATTTGGTGCCCAGGTGCCTCAAGGGTCTTAACTCGGGTTTGGGTTTTGGCAAATTCGGTGTCTGGCCGAGTCCATAAATCCTCGTATCCAATGAGAGCCTCCGGGTGTCCAACAACCTCGTCGTTTGGCCAAGGCGCCTATAATCATGTCCCCACACATAGACGTGGCGGCCCCCAACAAGGATTGATAAAGGGGCAGGCAAGCCAGAGGATGGAATTATGACCCTGAGGCCACGCTTTGACATATTAACCTCCACATTCTTCAGGGTGGCGCTCATCAATCATGCAGTCTGTTATTAACATGAGCGCACGGCGCCCACACGAATGCATCTTTTGCCAAGCGTCATTTAACCGGCCGGACGCGCTTAAACGGCATTGGACGACATGCAAGATCCGGATAGAGCGGTCGTTGGAGATACCGCAGGTCTCATCAAGGGCTAAAGGGAGGAAGCCCAGAGCGTGCGATAGATGCTCTCGACTAAAGAAAGCATGCGTGCCAACAGCACCCAGCCAGTCATGCCAGGCATGTATCACCATCAACGCGGCTTGTTCGTACCGCCGACGAAATTGCCACCGCGAAGCTTTTGAGCAGAGGAGAATCGGTATATCCTCGGCACCCATGTCAACTCGAATGGATATGCAATACCGCTCGATACTGAGCGCGACCGGTCAGCAGACGGTTCAGAATTTCTTCCAGGAATACTCGCTTGGGACGTCGCAGATACTCAGGCCAAGTGAGATGGACTTTTCAGTCCTCACGAGTTTTCCATATTTGGGCAACATAGTCACTGCGAGTGGTATCGCGAACTCGTTTGAATGTGGAACTTTCCAATACCGACTTTTTATTAGACAAAAGGTTTGTACTGAATTATCTCCTTTAGTGTTGAGATATGTTCGAAGCTGGCCCCGCATAAGAAGTGTCTTTGATGGAATCAGTTGACTTATTGACTTGTGATGACTTAGATGCCATTTTATAAACTGAACGATCTCGATGAATATCAACCTCTCTCCTCCGATGTTTCGTTGCAAATCCACGACAACAAAGATACTGCTGATAAATTTTCTAACCCTTCATGGCCACAGCTTGGAATTGAAAGCCCACTGGTATCGCCGAATGTGCTGTTGAGCGACCAGGATGCCACTACCTTGAACAGATCTTGCGAGATAGTCGACAAGGTCCGAAGCGCAATCATGACAAAGACGGCAAGCAGCAAGATCTTAATATCCTGGTCCGATCCCGTTGAAGCAATGTGTCTACAATTTTTCTCACCGACGAGCATAGAAAGGTATCTTACGCTCTTTTGGTTTGCATGGCATCCAAACTGCCCTTTTATTCACCGGCCCTCTTTTCATTCGACAACTTCTCATCTCAACCTGGTGATTGCAATGGTTGTCATCGGAGCATGCATTTCTCCAGTCGAGTCTGATCGTGCAATGGCCAGTGTCTGGTTTAACGTGGTTGAGGAAATGATCTTCAGCGACGAAGCCTTTTTAAGAAATTCAGTGTCTGGACTGCGAGGCGGAACCACCATGAATACTACATCAGACCGCCTGAGCACCATGCAAGCTGGTTACTGTGTGTGCTTATACCAAACATGGGAAGGAACTAGGGATAATAAGTTGCGCGCTCGCAGGGATCTTTATAATGCAGTTATCTGGGTAATTTTGATTCTCCTTTCTGCTCCTGGCACAATCAAATACTAACCTTTTTGGGAAAACATAGCTGGCGAGAGACATGGGTCTCGGAAACGCTACTCTAAATACTGTCATCACTGAAGACATGGCAAGTTTTGATTGGCGAGAATTCATATTTAGGGAGTCTCTCATCAGGTAAGGTCTATGCCAGACAAGCCTGGCGAGCAAAGACTAATCAATAAAATTCCCCACAGATTATTTTCCTGGATCTTTAACCTTGATGTGGCATATGCCCTGTTTTATCAAGAGTCTCCTCGAATGGCTATAAAAGAGGCTGACATAGAGCTTCCATCGCCGGAAATGTGTTTCCAAGCCGAATCAGCGGAGGAATGCTTCATCGTATTGAAGCTCTGGAGGACGAACATGGCTCCCCAACAGAATTTGACAATCTCATCTTCTGTAAATACCATTTGCAGCAACTCTCCTCAACGCTATGGCAATGTCTTTTCATCCATGGGCGTTGTGAGCATGTTCACCATCGTCTCTGGTAAATTTCTATCTTTTCCCAGCTTGCGAAATATTTTTGACACCTTCTCTAGCACTCTACTCGCTCGCTTTCCAAAAACGAAACTCGATGTTCTCTATGATTGATACAACCACAATACGTAGAGGCCTGCAACATTGGAAACGACTCTGGCCGTCTCAGTCTCGCAACATGGAGCTTGGGCAGAGCTTCTCGGATTCGGATCCAAACCGCTGGAAAACACTCGGCTTCATGAGACACGCTCCCGAGTACTGGCTTGTAACTTCATTGGTACTTGATCAAGTACAGGGTCGATACTCTCAGCCAGTGAACAATAATCTACCAGCGCATGATGACACTGATATGATGCAGTTGCACGGATTGATTACTAGGTACCGAGCATCTAGGTCGAAACCAGCGATAGACGGTTAGAGCCAGTGTGACACTATGATATGATCGTATACTACTTGTGAAAATAAACTGTGAGGGTTTGGCATTGTACATCATCTCCAAATTCTGAGTCCATGCTGGCATTCTCGAGAGGGGCTGGAACCGATCAGGATTCAAAACCGGCCGGGCCCGGAGAACATAATAAATCAAGTAAAATTAGCGAGGAGAAGAAAGGTTGGGAAGCATTCAGATACGCAATGACTAATAGTATAAATGTCTCCAAAAAAGGGGAGAATGCGCTGAAATAAGGCCATTTAGATTGAATTCTAGTATGGCTCGGTAGTTGGCGAAGTATACAAATCCCGTTGTCGCGGGAGTAGAGCCCCACCAACCAACCACTCTCCATCTCCACCCTCTGGAATTCCCCCAGAGGAACTTCAAGTTTCCCCGCATTTTCCGATACGACGACAAAAATGGGTCCAACTTCCTTCCTGGTTATGAATTAATTATGTGCCCATCATGGCAGTCAGCAATGACGACAACACGTGCAGAGTTCGAGCCGGCCTTTGAGGCCTCCCTTTGCACGCGCTGATTCTGGAAATGAAAGCCCAAACAAGGCCGGGTCCAATTATCAATGAGAGAAAACGTCTACCCGGTCTAGGCATAATCCCGTGCGTCTGAATAGACCACTCTTTCGGTGAAGGCTCTGTGGCGGCGCAGCTACCTATGTCGATCCGCCTGGACTGGCGCGTTGTGGCGATGCCCGATTCGTCAAAGGGACAATGACTTCGGTAGATAATGAGGGCATCAAATCCCGTGTCGTGCCTTTCTTTATATAATTCTTCGTCCACCTAGCTTCCATGGTGAAAATCATTCATTTCAGTGTTCAACACATATCACTCCCTGGCGCTCAACATGCATGGGATAACAGATCATCTTCTTCATGTGCTTTCTCAGCACTGGTTAGCCGTTTGTTTCGGTGGAATTCTCCTCTGGGGTCTCAACAATCGATATAAACATGGTCTTCATCGATATCCAGGACCCTTTCTGGCATCCATTACAGACTGGTGGCGCCTAGTTGATGTGTATGGCCGTCGATCTGAAGTCACACATCGAGCTCTTCACAAGAAGTATGGAGATGTCGTTCGTCTTGGACCGAATACACTTTCCTTCTCTAGTCCAAAGTCCCTCAAGACTATCTACGGTTTGAATAAAGGATTCAACAAGGTCAGTCCTTCTGCTCAGTCTTAACTAATACTATGTTGGGGCTTGTGCTAATGATTGCAAACAGTCTGAGTTTTATGTTGTGCAACAGTCTATTGCAAAGGGACACCGTCTACAGTCTCTTTTCAGTACAACAGATAACGATTTCCATGCAAGATTCCGTCGATGTGTCAACTCGGCTTTTGCAATGTCGGCTCTGGTTCAGTACGAGCCTTTTGTTGACAATACGACCAAGCTATTCTTAGAACAGACGAAGAGCATCTATGTTAATAATCCCGAAGGTTGTGACTTTACTCAATGGCTACAGTTCTATGCCTTCGACGTGATTGGAGAAATCACCTATAGCAAAAGACACGGCTTTGTGGAGAAGAACAAGGATATTGACGGTATCGTTGCCTATCTATCATGGCTTTTCCTCTACGTCGCCCCTGTACGTGACAGATCATTTTTTTCTCATTTCACCTTGGGCATCTCCTCTAACTTCTTCTTCTAGATCGGACAAATCCCTCTCCTGGACCGACTTCTACTTAAAAATCCCATTTACCTTAAGCTCTCACAATGGGGCTTCATCGATGCTACATTCCCAGTTGCAAGATTTGCGGGCAACCGCATGGCAGAACGCATGCCCGAGCTAGCCAATGGTGATCTGAAACCTGTTGCTGGCGCGAAATCGCTAGATCTTCTGTCCAAATTCATGGCCGCGCATCAGTCGCACCCCGAGTTTATGAGTGAAACCTTGGTTCAAACTATGGCTGTGAGTATGGCATTTGCCGGCTCAGAGACAACAGCCATAAGTCTTTCGGCGGTCTTTTACTTCCTTCTCAAGAACCCCAAGGCACTAGCCTGTCTCCAGGCCGAAATCGACCAGGCTGGGCGTGATGGAGCCTTTGCGGACTCTGAAACGGGTCTGGTTACTTGGCATGAGAGTCAACGTCTTCCATACCTCGATGCTTGTATAAAAGAGGCCTTCCGACTCCACCCGGCTGCCGGTTTGCCACTAGAGCGGATTGTACCAGAAGGCGGGGCCGAGATCGCAGGCCACTTCGTTGAAGGTGGAACTATTGTAGGTTGCTCCGCATGGCTCATCCATATGGATAAGGGTGTTTTTGGTGATGATGCAGAGCTTTATCGACCTGAAAGATGGCTATATAATGAAGAGCTTTGCAAGACAGACATTGGAAAGCAAGGGGAAGAGTCCCGAGTCAAGGAGATGAATGGTACCATGTTCCAATTTGGAATGGGTAGCCGGACATGTATTGGGAAGAATATCAGCCTTCTTGAAATCTATAAGCTTGTCCCCAGCATGTTGAGAAGATTCGAGGTTGGTCATACTTCTTCCAACATCATAGACCTCGGTAATATTGCTGACAATTTCTTTACAGATACAATTTACTGATCCCAAACAGGAGTGGGAGCTGGTGAATGCTTGGTTTGTCAAGCAGAAAAACTTTACCACATCATTTGCGCTTAGGGATATTGTTGTTCCCCAGGGGATGAATGAGCACGCAGTACCTGCCTAATAGGAGATTTTTATTACCTTGCTAGGCATTCTGAAGTATGAGCGAGTCCGTTTAAACTTTTTTTTGTCAATATCAGTCATCCATTCTACAAGAAACTCTGCGGTCGGCTCATGCAGACAATCTAGCATATCCGTACACTAGCCCGGTCTAAATCTTGCCTTGAACGGAGATGTGTCCAGTTGATTCATCTAGGAATGCCACCTAGCCTGTTTTGATTCAGTCGGACATTGTCCATGAAGAGAAAGAAAGTTCTAATCGTCAAACACACACATTGGGCAGATAGCCGGCGCTAAGCCCAACGTAATCAGAATTTCTACGAAGTAGTCAGACCATGCAAGGTTTACTTAGCAGATTGAGAATGTCAGAAAAACCGAAGATAGGAAGAATTCGGGGGCGGAGCTCAGTGGACCCCATTGGCAGGCGCTTATCTGCCCGACTCCACGAGGCTTTCCGCTAACCCTTGGGAAGAACACAGCTTATCTGCCGGCATTCCCAGGGTTTACCCGGACTATGGGTGTGTCATCGTGGGGAAACACGTTTATGTCCCTGATAAGCCTATTTTTTGATATATGGGGAAGGGGTTCCCCTCCAAATTTGAAAATATGCGATTCCATTGACTCCAGATTATTACAGCCATGTCAGAAGAGACTCCACACAAGATGCCAGAAGAAGCTCCACACAAGACAGATGTCCATACTACGATAGCTAGTGTGGACATCGATCCACGCGTAGAGCGTGCGCTGGTCTGGAAATTCGACCTGCGTTTGCTCCCCGTGCTGGCTATAATGTACCTCTTCAACAGTCTCGATAAGTCTAACTTGGGAAATGCCAAAACAGCTGGACTCGAGAGTAAGTTTCTAGCGTTATACATTTTCGGGGCTTATAGGTGATGGAATTCTAATTTTTCTGCCTCATAGAGACTCTCGGCCTACACGGAAACCAATACAACCTCATTCTCAGTATTTTTTTTCGTTCCCTATGTCCTCACGGCACCCTTCCTTGGTCTCCTTGGAAAGAAGATTGGACCCAATATTGTTCTTCCCTCTATGATGCTGGTCTTTGGTACCTGCACCATTCTTGTGGTTACTGTCTTCAACTTCAGTGGCCTTTTTGCCATTCGGTGGTTCTTGGGTATGGCTGAGAGTGCTTTCTTCCCGCTGGTCATCTATTATCAAACAACGTTAGTCTTCTTAAACTTTGTTCATCGGGTCCGAGTTTTTCTGACCTATGCCAATCTAGTTTCTATCGTCGTGGAGAACTGGCCCGCCGACTCGCCATCTTTTACGCAGCACAAAGCATTGCCTCTGCATTCTCGGGTCTACTCGCTTTCGGTGTCTTCCGTATTGAGACCGGTCCTCTAGCATCGTGGAGATATCTATTTCTTATTGAAGGCTGTGGTACTGTCATTTTCGCCCTTTTCGCCCTATGGTATCTGCCCAGATCGGCTGCCGAAGCTACATTTCTTTCGCCCGAGGAAAAGGAGGTCGCATATCTGCGATTGCAAATTGACAGTTCCTCCGTGGTTGACGAGAAACTCAACATTCGCGACGCATTCCGCATTTTCAAGCACTGGACCAGCTGGGCGATTCTGGCAATCCAAATCTGCCTTGGTGTCCCGCTTCAGGGTGTTCAGTTGTTTTTGCCTGTGATCATTCAACGCCTCAATTATGGCACTGTCAAGACTAACTTGTTCACTGTGGCTCCCAACGTGTCAGGTGCTGCCATGCTGCTCATTTTGGCATTCTGCAGCGACTGGACACGATGGAGGTTTCCATTTATTGCACTGGGCTTCTTCTTTACCTTTGTCGGATTCATCATCTACGCAACCATTGATGTGCAGAACGATATCAACGTCGCTTATTTTGCTTCCTTCATGATGACCTGGTGAGTTTTATCCAGATTCTTTCTCCACATTCCCGCTTGCTAATTTCGTTCTAGGGGTACATCTGCACCTTCAGTCCTCCTTGATGCCTGGTATAATAACAACATCGCCAATGAGGGTCGTCGTGTGGTTTTGACCAGCATCGCCGTTCCCGTGGCCAATCTCATGGGTGTTGTGGCCTCCAATATTTTCCGTACTCAAGACGCGCCGAAATACTTGCCGGCATTGATCACCACCGCGAGCTTTGGTGGGACTGGAATTATCTTGACTATCTGTCTCGGAGTTTGGATGATGATGGACAACAAGAAACGGGATCGTGCTCAAGGCTTGCATGTCAAAGCGAAGGACATACCGACCGAGTATCTCCAAGACGGACCAGCCAGCGAAGCTTTCCGCTGGTTTTATTAACACGTCCCGATGTTTCTTGATTTCTTCCTTAGCCACTGTAACTATAGAATACCTATTACGATTATGAATAATGTTATGAATTCAATTTAAGTCCCCCCATATGAAATTATCTCAATGCAGAGAATGATGTTCATCATGCAGGCCGTAAGGTCTCACCAGCTACTTCCACTGCTGCTAGTTGGTGGATTCCTGTCTATCTTTATATTGATCCAATCGTTCGCGGACTCTAGCGCCATTCCATAGTTCTTCCGAGTCCTTCCCTTCATTGTTCTTCCTCGGCATGCCTACCTGCTCTAACGCGAACGACGCCGCGACAGACCCATAATAAGCAGCTTCGATAACATCTCCAGTTTCAAGGTAACCTATAGAGTAGGCACCTAAAAATGCATTTCCAGCCCCAGTCGGATCAACCACTCCGGATGCTTGATTTTCTCCCACGGCTGCTACATAGAATGGAGGCAGCCATTTAGGATCAACATCCCGTGACTGCACAAGACAACCATTCTCACCAGCTCGAATAACCACCACTCCATTTCCATCGGGGCCAACACCACTGCTGAGCACCTCTAAAGCCAACGTTTCAATCTCGGATTTCTGCGTCTCTTTAGAGTACGAGACCCGAAAGGTAGCAGCAAGCTCCAAGTGGTTTGGGCTAAAGACATCGACCAGTTTTGCGACTTCAAGACAGGATTGGAGGTTATCTGGGTTGGATGTAAGAGGGGATGGTTCCCAGATGATTAAGGGACGACGCGATATCCCCATCTGCGCTCGAATTGCGATGAGTTTTAAAATTCGCGGTTTCAGGTCCGCGGGGCTGGCAAGGTAATGGAAAGCCTTTGAGCTTAGGACGAGGTTGTCACGCAGTTTCTCTTCTTCCGTCAAAATTAGAGGGGTGGTGTACTTGAATTTCTTGGCTAGACTGAATGGTTAGCATACTGTAGCTAGTCATGCATCCAAGGTGTTTCTATGCCATAGGATATCCCAATTTTTATTGAAAGTGTTTGAAACTGAGAGGCCCTGAAGATGAGGTGACAAAGAAAGTCTCGTCTTACGTCCAAAAGTAGTATCTTGATATTCGAGTAATCCTCGAGTAGAATCTTTATCTGAACTCCGCTCTATGACCAATTCGATATCCCAACTTTGAAGGAGATTTGAAATGGAATCTGGAAAGTCGTTCCCAACATGAATTGGCCACGCTAAGGAACGACTGAGCTGGTGGGGTAAAAACAGACGAGCGCCCAATGTTGCTAGAATGATAGATATTATTTCAGCCAGAGACCTAATCATTCAGTCATGGGGAGGTGGTGCATAAAGCTAACCATAAGCTCCGGATCCGCCCAGGACATTCGTGAGGGGTTCTTGGCCGGGGAAGTGAATCTCATCGAGAACCACAGAGCCGAAGCTTGCGAAGTAGATTTCTTGCTTATCCATATGGAAGTTTCGGATTTTCTAGATCTCCTTTTTGGAGGGGCAGAAATGATATTTCTGAATCTCTAGGGGTTGAAGATTTGAGACGGTGTGGAGCATGTCGAGGTGGGGTCCCCGTCAGCCCGCTCCCAAGGGTTACGGGGTATCATTTCGTAATAACTACAGCATGTCATATTTTCGAGGAATTAAGAGATATCGTAGCTGAATTTGCAGCAGGTGATGAGCTTGAGTGTGACTCTTTGAATTTGAAATAATACAAAGTCGCTGATACGCTGTGTTGTGCCTAATGAGGGAAAGGGTGGTAGAAAAAGGTGGCCCTTCAGGTGATGTACATGGAATAATAAAGCAGGGGGAATCGAAGTGGGTATTGGTACAAGACAAGATGAAAAGGGGGGAATCGGGTGATCGTGAAGAGTACAGAAGGCAGAGGGGAGCGAGAAAAGAAGAATGACCAAATAGATCAAGCCCAATCCATCCGCGCATAATCAGCGTCAACCTCCTCCAGAGGTCGCAGGAAAGTAGCTTCTTCGAAATCGTCGATATCCATATTTGGCTGGCTGGGTCGTCGCAAAGCAAGCATACGACGGCGCTGCTGGCCCATTCCTGGTGCTAATATGTGTCGACCAGTAGGGGCGTCGCGAGAAGCAATATTGCTCCTGTCTTCCCAGGCGGCGAATTCGTCTGAAACAAATGTCCGTTTCTGGCTGTTGTTCATGTCATAGTTGAAGGAGTTTGTAGATGCGACGGATTCTTGACTGCTCGGTGGGAGAGAGTAGTCGTCCCCTTCATCGTTCACGATGTGACCAGACCTAGAGCCGAAGGATTGATCGTACTTAGAGATGCCGGAGAACGGGGTGAGTTCATCGTTGCTGTACATGCCTGCAAGTCGTTCGGCGGTGGGGGTCTTCGCAACAAGAGGTGGAGGAATGGATTTCTCCTGCTTCAGCGACCGTTGGGTCTTGTATCCGTCTGCCACGGACTTGCGGACCCGCATTCCGACCGAGAGAAGGGAAGATTGCACTCCTTCTGATACGACGGGGGTTGCGGAGAAGGTTGCGGCGGCGTAGTGGTTGTGTGAGACGGGTGTTCCATCAACAATGTGCGACTCGGGTTGTTGAGATTGGAAGAAGCTTGTGATTGCGGGTTGATAGCGTCTGCGCTTGGAGAGCGCGTCGTTGGAGGTTGACATGGTAGGTTGGGCCACGAGGGAAGGCATGACGTAGGAGGTTGAGAGGGGTAAAGGTGCAAGGGTTGATTGAAAAGTCGGAGAAAGGAAGCAAGGGAGGAGAAGAGAGGGGAGAGGATAGTTGCTGGGGCAAAGAGGGCGATAAGAAGTCGAAAGAATCGGACCCTCCTTGAAGATTTGGAACGCGTTGACGCGGAGACGCGACGAGATCACGAGATCAATTATGCCCCTTTGGGTTAGGGCTTAGGGCTAGGTCACGTGTATGCTGTCATATGTAGGAGATGCCGACCCCCTGATTGGTCAAAAGTAGAAGTAAAACATACACCAGTATATCTACAGAGTAGACCGCGAGAGTATTACTATGAACTGGCCTTATTTATAAACCCCTCCCTACAGTGGCTTAATACAATTTGAAACCAATCATCCTGTCATTATTGTATCACTATCAAAATGATAGTCTGGTTGCTTCATCGGCATTGCAGTCCGTCGGGAATGCATCGCGGTCTTATATCGCAGTCTTGCATCCATCTGCTTCCAAGGTTGGAAGGGTTACTTCACTGGTACTAGTATTAGTATTAGTATTATGTTATCGTGGGAAGCAGGCGGCAAGATGTTGGCACCACCCGGGCAGGTAGATGATAATCCATGCCAGTGGATGCCAACTACTAGTACTAGTAGTAGTACTTACCTACCTAGATACCTACTAGGTAGGTATATACCTAGTAGGTAGTAACTTGAAACCTTGGATTGTCACGGCACTGAAACAAGTTGAACTTGAAACTTGAATAAACTTGAACTTAAAAAGTCAATAGACGCCAGATCCCATTTTAGATACCTAGGTATATATAAACTGCATGCACAACAACTAGTATTTACTACCCAAAGGCTAATTTCCAATATTACCTCTCTTTCCACCTCTCTTCTGTCGGTCGTGATGCGCCTTGAGCACAGCACGCGTCTCCACCAAACTGCGCTTGTTCTTACTTCTCGCCTTACCGATAGTCATCAGGAAATTCTTCCGGCGAGCCTTTTCCTTGTTCGTGCTACTCTTTCCTTGTTCCTCCTTGCGCTCCTTACGCTTAGCCTCCTTGCTCTTGTGCTCGGAGCGCTCCGTCTTGCCCTCACGGGCGTGAGCAATACGCTCCTCACGCGTCTGCTTAGCAGCAGACAAGCGCGCGAGACCCTCAATCTCCTCTGCAGTCAAGGGGTCATCATTGTGACGAGCGGCGGCCTGGGCGTGACGAGATTTCGATCCTGGAAGAGCCGCACCGACAGCAGCCTCAGCACGGAGCTCGGCAAGCTTGGCCAGATCCGCAGGAGTCAGAATCTTTGTGGTGGCAAGTTTGGAAAATTCACTCAATGCATCAGCTGCAGCGTCCTTCTTGGTTTCCTCATCTTGCTTGTTCTTCTTGTTGGGAGGGGCCTTGCCCTCGTCCTCGGAGTCACTGAGATCGATCTCAACATCGCTTTGGACGTTGACCCAATCGCCAGAATCATCGCTGTCCTCATCATCCTCGACGTTCCAGGCGGCCCAGTTGTTTTCTTCATCCTCCTCCTCGTCATCCTCACCGTCAGAAGGAAGTCCCATCTCGCGACGCTTCTTGCGGCGCTCCTCCTCCTTCCATTTCTCCAACAGCTCAAGGCCCTCGATACCACCGCTCTCCTGCTCACCGAATCGCTTGGCAAGCTTGTCGCCGGAACGGAGACCCATGGAGGCTTCCTTGCCACGATCCCGCTTCTTGAGCATCGACGCGCCAACATCCCGGTACAGACTGAGAAGACCCTTCGAAGCCATCATGACACCCTTGTCCTTACTCTTCTTATACATGACAAGATCTTGCAGCAGCGTCTCGTTCATAGCCAGAGGTTGCCTGACGCAAATCTCTCGAATGGCGTTCAGACCGGCGGTGGCTACCTCTCCAGCAGAGGCCTCAGAAACGAACTCGTTGGCAATCTTCTGAACAAGAGGCTCAAGAACATCAGGAGGAACCAGGTCATGGGTCGCCTGGGCCAGAGATGCCAAGAATGAGGTGACGGAAGGTTGACGAGGGGTGAGGAACTTCTGGAAGTAGGAGTAGAGCGACATAATATGCAACCTGTGCAGACCCACAAGACGAGACACCAGTTGCAAGACAATGAGCTTGTTCTCCAGGTTCAGCTTAGCCTTGGAGGTCTGCAAATGCCGGGTGAACAGAGCGTCGGCGAATCCCTGGGGGTCGTGCAGCAAATGGAGCGCGGAGAAGTTGAGAGGGTGCGGTTGATTCTTCTTCTTCTCCTTCTTCTTGTGAATGGAGATGGCCTTCTCAGCTACACGGGCCTTCTTCTTGGTCTTCTTGTTGATACCAAGCTGGTGCCTGATACGACCGACATCGACATCGTCATCACTGCTCTCATCCTCGGCCTCCTCGCGCTCCTTGTCGCCACCGAGGAAGAAGCGGACACCTCCAATGATGACCTTTTCGTTCTCGGACAAACTTGCTTCCTTCATAATCTCGACTGTCTTGGCGTCGGTCCAGATTTGACGCTTCCACAGCTCTCTGACCAATTTGATGGCCCAGAGTGCCTTGGAGCTGGTGCGATCAGATGAGACTAGGTTAAAAAGGACGGTCTGCATAGTGCGGTTGAGTTTGTGGTTCTTCGTCTTTGTGTTGGCAGTCCGAAGTTCAGACAGGATCTTCTGGAACAGTAGAGCACGCAGAGTCTTGCTGGGCGTAGTGATAAGGATGGGGAATAGTGTTTGGAGGAGTCTGCAACCAGAATACTCGTTAGAACATAGATTCCAGAAATAAGATAGAATGAGAAAATTGGGTGAACATGCGTTGCGGAATCGAGCAGATCCTTCTTCTTCAGCATCACCAGACTTCCGACCAACTTCTCTCTCAACTCTGGCTCCAACACCAGGTGGTGTTGCATCAGCATATCGATGAGCTGCTGCGGGAAGTCCTTCAAGATCTCCGGGTAAGCGTCGGCAACATGCGAGATGAAGTCAATCAGCTCTCGCAGAGAGATAATTCCAGTGTCTGTCGCGGCCGAAGGCGCGGCCATGAAAATTTCGCGGTGCGACTCATATTGGTAGAGCTGCGCGCGGAAATCCTCAATGTATGACCTGAGCGCAGAGAACGGGTTAGATATTTTCGACTGCAAGAAAAGGGTAGAGGAAACAAATCCAATGGCACTTACTTGGGATCTCTGCGAATCTTGTGTTGTAGGTTAGGCCTATGAGGGGCGAGTGAGATGTCAATAGAGCGGTTCGTTGTTTCTGCCTGAGCAGGACTCGCCGTTGCGGGCGCATTGGGGCACCGGAAATTAGAAAAACTCACAGGTCAGCCTCGACCTTTTCCAGGGCTCCAAGCTTTCTTTTCACCATGTTGACTGGTTGTGGAGAGAAATGGTGGTGGTGGAAGGAGGGTGGTCACGGTTCACTTGAAGGTTGGAGGTGGACCGAAACTTTTTTTTTCGCCGTATCGATAAGCGACCACTCCGACTTCCACGTTAACGCCCGGGGCCAATGGGGTCTACTCCTACTACTCCAGGCCCAGCCTTCAACAGCGGTGGCTGGAACTTGCATAGAATCTCAGAACCTCGGTCAATTTCCAAGTTCCCAAGGGTTTCGACATTTTCTTATTTCATGAAAAAATATATTTCCTACGTTAACTACTTAAGGCATCAAATAGATAATTTTGATTTGCATTGGAAGAGGAAAAAATTTTTCATATTGAAAGTGGCCATTACCACCCGAGACTTTCGTGATCACATCCCAACTACTTGGAAAAAAGCAATCCGACGGCGTTCCTTTTTTTGGACACTGCTTTTCCCTGGCCGTATCAGATTAAGTACAGCCGCGCAGATGTGTGCAATTCCACTGAATCCCGGCGAAAACCCCCCGTCCACTCCAGAAGCCGTAAACAGAGGACCAAACGGAGAATACACCCCACACACCCTTTACCGGTTGCTCTTGGCAACACGCTCCAGCTCGTCCTTCTTCTTGATGGCGTAGGAGTTGGAGGAGCCCTTGGCGGCGTTGATCAGCTCCTCAGCAAGGCACCTGATAATTAATATGATTAGCAAATGTTCTGATAATATGGCCCGGGTGGCTTAAATGAGAAAAGGGTATCGTACTCAGCAATGCTCTTGATGGAGCGGAAAGAGGACTCGCGGGCACCGATGGTCAGGAGAGAGATGGACTGGTTGACACGGCGGAGAGGAGAGACATCGACGGCCTGGCGACGGACGGTACCGGCGGAACCAATACGGGTGGCTAGAAGGAGATATATTAGCAATTATTCTCCCGATGAACATTCTGCAACTGAGACTCCTTTCTTGGAAGCGAACTCCTTCGAAAAATCGAGCCTGTCATCGCGATTCGGGTCCAACTTACAGTCCTCACGGGGGCCGCAGTTGACAATGGCATCGACAGCAACCTGGATGGGGTTCTGGTCGGTCATGATGTGGATCTGAATAACAGAGAAAATATTAGCGCCTGGGTCGAAATTTCGAATGGTGTATCGGGTTGGGAAAGACGTACGATGTCGAAAGCGTGGGAAACAATGCGCATGGCCATGAGCTTCTTTCCGGAGTTACGGCCGTTCATCATCAGGGAGTTGGTGAGACGCTCAATGATGGGGCACTGGGCCTTGCGGAAACGCTTGGCGGCATAGCGACCGGCAGTGTGGGAGAGGTAGACGGGCTGACGGATCTGAATGTAGTCGCTGGAGATGGGAAGAAAAAATATCAGCAATTGCCCTCGGATTTGTGTTGCGCTCCGAATGCTCAATATGCAAGTTGTTTCCTCCCAAGCCATCTGCCGTGTTCTTGTTCGACCGAATTTGATATCACAACGCCCCCCCAAATCATCAAATCACAAATCACAACCCAATTGTGGACTCGACAACAACCATATTTGCGCATTCGGAGGCGATTGAATTGAAAGGGACTCACGTCAGGGAGATGTCGCGGATCTCGACATCCTCGTAGGACCACTTGTTGAACTTTGGGCAAGGGTTAGTATTTTTCGAGATTGAATGTTCACTGAAATTTGGAGGAGGCGTACGAGCAGGACGGAGCCTTCGTTCACATCCTTGGGCAGGATGGAGTTGACCGCGACGACTTCCCCGGCGTCGGACATGTTGACAGTGTCGAGGGAGGGTATGTGGGAGGGTTTGTCGTTGGGTGGTTGCTTCGACAAGTCGTTGAGGTCGGCGATCCGTATGGGAGGAAATTGGCGGTGCGCTCGCTTAGGCATTGTGTGGGGGTCACATGAGTTAGGGCAGATCTGGCACCAATCAGATGCCGAAGGTCATGTGAGTGTCACCTGATGGGGGAGTTGGGCGGAATGCTGACTAACAAGCTACCCGGAGACTTTTGTATAGTTACATGTATACAAAGTAGGGATTGTGAGTATATAATACTAGTATATACTAGTAGATTGGGTATATATGTACATAAAGTATATTCAATTCATCTATTCATCTTTCACAGAATACACAGATTTTATATATTCACAATATTCATCCATTCTCCTTTAATTCCATCCCTGTCTCCATGTACATACTGTCCCTCTGTCCTCCTCCGTACCTGAGAAACCCCCCCATTCCCGCCATTTCCATCCGGGCCACTTCCACTTCCACTTCTACTCCCACTTCCTCTCCCTCCCCCGACAAATTTCGCTTCCCTCAATTCCCTCTCCGTCCCTCAGTCTGGCCACCACAGTCTAATCTATTCTTGTCGATATTATTGTCTCAGCCGCCGCTCGGCTCCCTTGACCGCCCTCGCCCTTTAGTCCCCCGGGTGGGTGACGTTGCGCTCGCGCGGAGTCTATCACTGAGACAATCGACTCGTTAAGCCAAAGGAACTACCACCATTCCGGCTAATTCGACTACAAATACCGACTGCGCCCCCACGGCCGACCTCCCCTGTTCCTCCTTTGCGCCCTCGGACGCTCATTGCCATGAGGTGTTCCTGTCCACACGACAGCCATTCCTCTCCCCGCGCGCTCGATCCACATTCCCTCAAACTGAGGCCCGACCCGTGTCTAAATGTCGGACGAAAGCCCCGAGCTTCAATCCGCATTGCGGACCCTGGACCGAGAACTAGAGGTAGACACTCAGCCCTACATGTCCGTGAAACTGGTGCTGACCCGGCATAATGCTTGACAGGAGGGTGATATCACCGAGAAAGGGTAAGCAACGGTTACCCGCGACGTTGGGATCCTCCGGCTTCTAGCGGACACTCATCTAGCACCCTTGACTCTCCTAGCGGACACTGTAACAGATGGGGACAGAGTTAGAGCTAACGCTGTACTAGATATCAAAAGCGACGTACCCTCCTACTTTCCCAGTTCCTTGGCCCAAATAAACCGCTTGACCTCAATGCCCACGCGCCCTCAGGCCACGAAGACTCCTTGAGCGGCTCCCATAATGGCCCTCCCGCGATTCTAAATGTTCGGCCACCCACTGCCGATTCATCACATCCTACCATTTCGTCCCCCACGTATGCCACTGCGTACGAAGGTAGTGGAGGGTATGGGTACGACCACACGAACACGAAGAACCCCTCCCCGGCACCCACCGGAGGGTCCCACGACAGAGATAGCACCGGCATGCTGCAGACATTCGACCGAGCGCCATCTGCAGCGTCATATGATTCGCTTTTCCTCCCCAGGCCTGGACCCGGGGGATCTCAAGGCCCGGATGGCTCTCGGACGGCCACCTTAATGAGCCAGAACTACGCCTTCAACCCTGAAACACAACCCGATTATGCGCAGCCTGATTATGCGCAGCCTGAGTATGCTCAAGAAGAGTACCCCCAACAAGAATACTCCCAGCCTGAGTACGCCCAACCCGAGTATTCCCAGGCGGAGTATGGCCAACCTGAATACGCGCATGATGACATGGGAGCCTACGACCCTGCATCGGGAGGTGTCACGCGGCAGTCAACAATGCTTGACTCGCAGCAAGGATACTTCTCAGATTTTGCCGGTCAGCAGCATGATGATTATAGAGATAGCTATGGTGGTGGAGGATTTCACCGTTACTCTCAATCCGGCGAAGCATTCTCTCCGACGGCAAACATGGCGCCGCCTTTCATCCCGCCATCAGAGCTGACCCAGCACGGCCCTGCCATTCAACATTTACTTCCTCTCGAGCCCCGAGACATCCCGTTTGCCGTGAACGATCCGCATGAAAAAAATACCCCCATGTCCTCTTTCGACAACCTTCCGGCTGTTCTCCGACATCGCGCACGAGCCCATCCGAAGCAACCAGCATACTGGGTATTGGATCAGAAAGGCAAGGAAATTGCATCTATCACGTGGGACAAGCTGGCTAGCCGTGCGGAGAAGGTCGCCCAGGTTATTCGCGACAAGAGCAATCTGTATCGTGGAGATCGTGTTGCCTTGATCTATCGCGAGACCGAAATTATCGAATTCGCCGTTGCTCTTTTGGGCTGTTTCGTCGCCGGAGTGGTTGCCGTGCCTATCAATAGCCTTGATGACTATCAAAGTCTGAACCTAGTACTCACCTCAACCCAAGCCCATCTTGCCTTGACAACGGAAAACAACTTGAAAGGGTTCCAGCGTGACATCACTGCACAAAAGCTCAACTGGCCTCGTGGCGTCGAATGGTGGAAGACAAATGAGTTTGGAAGCTTTCATCCCAAAAAGAAAGATGATTCCCCTCCGCTCGTTGTTCCCGACTTGGCTTATATCGAGTTTGCTCGAGCGCCGACAGGAGATATGCGTGGCGTGGTGATGAGCCACCGTACAATCATGCACCAGATGGCGTGTCTCAGCGCAATCGTCTCGACTGTACCTACCGACTCGAGCTCTAAGCAGTTCGCCAAGGGAGAGACTATCATCAGCTACTTAGACCCGCGACAAGGCATCGGTATGATTCTGGGGGTTCTCCTGACTGTATATGGAGGCCACACAACTGTATATCATGAAGATCGAGCGGTGGAGACTCCTGGTCTGTACGCCCATTTGATCACCAAGTACCGTGCGACAATCATGGCAGCCGATTATTCTGGACTGAAGATTGCTGCGTACAACTACCAACAAGACCCTATGTCGACGAGGCACTATAAGAAGAATTCCGAGCCCAACTTCAGCAGCGTGAAACTCTGTCTGATCGACACCCTCACGCTTGATTCAGAGTTTCACGAGATTCTGACCGACAGATGGCTGCGTCCAATGAGAAACCCACGAGCCAGAGAGATCGTTTCACCAATGCTATGTTTGCCAGAGCACGGTGGAATGGTCATCAGCATGCGCGATTGGTTGGGTGGCGAGGAACGAATGGGATGTGCACTCACACATGAGATGGATCCGGCAGAACGCGATTCCAAGAAAGATGATGCCAAGCTCGAGAAATCTGAGACCAACACTGGATTTGGTAGCAGTCTTCTGGGCGGCGGATCTCGCGTATCGGCACCCAAAGAGACCGGAAAGAATGACTTGGCTGAGGTGCTTCTTGACAAAGAAGCACTAAAGAGTAACGAGGTTGTTGTTTTGGCGATGGGTGAAGATGCTCGAAAGTATGCTAGCACTATGCCGCATGCAGTCCGGGTTGGTGCCTTCGGTTACCCGATCCCCGATGCCACACTTTCCATCGTTGACCCTGAAACCAATCTTCTCTGCACTCCCAATGTTATTGGTGAAATTTGGGTTGATTCACCTTCTCTCTCCGGAGGTTTCTGGGCCCTACCGAAACACACCGAGGCAATTTTCCATGCCCGTCCATACAAATTCGAAGATACAAACCCGACCCCTATCCTTGTGGAGCCCGAATTTCTTCGAACAGGTCTACTGGGCTGCGTGATCGAAGGTAGGGTATTTGTCCTTGGTTTGTATGAAGATCGACTGCGCCAAAAGGTGGAATGGGTCGAGCACGGCCAAGACGCCGTCGAGCATCGATACTTTTTCGTTCAGCACTTGGTGGTCAGCTTGCTCAAGAAGATCCCGAAGATCCATGATTGCACCGCATTCGATGTTTTTGTGAACGATGAACATCTACCGGTCATCGTGTTGGAGTCATATGCAGCGTCAACAGCACCTACAACATCCGGTGGTCCACCCCGCCAACTAGACCAGGTCTTGCTAGACTCGCTCGCAGAGAGATGCATGGAGCTTCTTTACCAAGAGCATCATCTTCGTGTCTACTGTGTCCTACTCACGGCTCCAAACACACTTCCTCGAGTGACCAAGAATGGTAGAAGAGAAATCGGCAACATGCTTTGCCGCAAAGAGTTTGAGGCAGGCATGCTACAAGCTGTGCATGTCAAGTTCGGAGTTGAGCGGTCTGTTCAGAATCTGCCAGTGGGAGTTGATCTCGAGGGTGGTATCTGGTCTCCTCTTGCTTTGGCTTCAAGACAGGAGCTGCTTGCATACTCAGAGAAGCAATATTCGGGTGTGGACTATCGCGATGTTGTAATGGATGACCGAACATCTACGCCACTGAACAAATTCAACACGATTGTCGATCTCCTTCAATGGCGCGTGTCACGCCAGGCCGAAGAACTGGCTTATTGCTCTATTGACGGCCGCGGAAAGGAGGGCAAGGGTATTACTTGGAAGAAATTCGATTTGAAAGTCTCTGCGGTGGCAACTTACCTGAAGAACAAGGTCAAGGTTCGACCGGGTGATCACCTCATTCTGATGTACACCCATTCCGAAGACTACATCTATGCTGTCCATGCTTGCTTCTGCTTGGGAGTTGTGGTCATTCCAATGGCTCCAATTGACCAAAACCGTCTAGCCGAGGATGCCCCGGCATTCTTACATGTCATCAACGATCTAGGTGTGAAGGCCATTATTGTGAACTCCGAGGTGGATCACGTCATGAGGCAGAAACTCGTATCCCAGCACATCAAGCAATCGGCCCAAGTTCTGCGAATTGGTGTGCCCGCTATCTACAACACTTCCAAACCTTCCAAACAGTCTCACGGCTGTAAAGAGCTTGGCTACACCGTGAAGGATGCCTGGCTACAAGGCAACCCAACTGCCATGGTTTGGACCTATTGGACCCCAGATCAGCGACGCATCTCTGTTCAAATTGGGCATGATACCATCATGGGCATGGCTAAAGTACAGAAAGAGACATGTCAAATGACCAGTATGCGCCCGGTGCTCGGTAGTGTACGCAGCACTTTGGGTCTTGGTTTCCTTCATACATGCCTGATGGGTATTTATGTTGGAGCTCCCACCTATTTGGTCTCCCCTGTCGACTTTGCTCAGAACCCAATGACGCTCTTCGTGACGCTCGCCAGGTATAAGATCAAGGACACTTACGCCACAAGTCAAATGCTGGACTACGCCATGAGTACTATCTCCGGCAAGGGCTTCCAGCTTCAAGAACTCAAAAACTTGATGATTTCTGCAGAGAGTCGACCTAGAGTGGACATCTACCAGAAGACCCGCTTGCACTTCGCCTCAGCCGGCTTGGATCGTACCGCGATTAATGTTGTGTACTCTCACGTTCTCAACCCGATGATTGTAACACGCTCGTATATGTGCATTGAGCCTATCGAGCTCTACTTGGACATCAGAAGCCTTCGTCGCGGTCTTATTTACCCCGTGGATCCCGATGCCGATCCTACTGCGCTTCTACTCCAGGACTCCGGCATGGTGCCTGTGAATACCCAAATCGCAATCGTGAACCCGGAAACTTGCACTCTGGCTCATGTGGGTGAATATGGTGAGATCTGGGTCCAATCAGATGCTTGCGCCGCTGGATTCTACAAGTCGAAGCAAGAGTTTGATTATGAGAGGATGAATGGCCGCGTTGCGGATGGAGATCCCAATGTGCCGTACGTTCGCACCGGTGATCTGGGTTTCCTCCACACCGTGACTCGACCTATTGGTCACGGCGGACAGCCCGTGGAGATGCAGGTTCTCTTCGTATTGGGAAGCATCGGCGAGACCTTTGAGGTCAATGGCTTGAACCACTTCCCCATGGATATTGAAACCTCAGTGGAAAGCTGCCACCGCAACATCATGAATGGAGGATGGTAAGTCTATATCTTTCATTACTACTTGCACACCTTTTGCTAACATTTGTATTTTCTAGTGCTATCTTCCAAGCTGGTGGGTTGATTGTGGTCGTGGTCGAGGTCACTCGTAAGGCCTTCCTGGCCTCCCTTGTTCCTGTCATCGTCGATACCATCTTGGGCGAGCACCAGGTGGTGGCGGATATTGTTGCTTTCGTCTCTCACGGGGACTTTCCTCGCTCGCGTCTCGGCGAGAAGCAACGCGGAAAGGTTCTGGCATCCTGGGTGACCCGCAAGCTACGGACACTCGCTCAGTTCAGCATTCGCGACATGGATGGGGACCACCCCTTCGCGGATGTGGTCCAGCACCGTGCTAGCAGAAGCTCTAAGCCTGGCAGTACTATGGGTAACAGCATGCGCATGTCGACTATGCACGAGGATGATACCCCTCCTTTGCCACATTCGCCAGTTGGAATGGCTCTGGAGGACAGAAATGAAACATCTCAAGGACCACCATACCAGGAAATGCCGCGCCGGGGCACTCTCCCTGAGCTTGACACCAGAACTGACCATAGCGTCCCCGCCACGCCAGTTTCTGCAGCCCATTCTGCGCTACCTTATATTCAGGAGCCTCAATCTGCTACAATTATGAGTGCAGACGATGATCACTTCAATTCGATGGGATACGAACACCAACAAGGCACTACCACAGACACGGATCGTAACTTCCGATTCAGCTTCGAAATGCCTAGCACCCCGATGGATCAATTACCTCAAGGATCGGCACAGCCCACCCGCCAGCATTTGCCGAGGGGTGACTCGCTTCCTCATCACCAAGCCGGCATCGCAGACCCCACATACGCTGAGAAGCCCCGGCCAGGTACCCAGGAAAGCGGCGTGATCGATGATTGGCCCGCCGAGGCCCTGATGTACCAGTCGGCCTTGGGCGATGACGGTCAAGCTGCAGCGCACAGGCGCTAGATTCAAGATGGCTTGAAACCCTGAAATTAATCACCGGGCATCATTAGCATTTTGTATATGAGCGAGCACTTGATTTGTTGACGAAAAAGAATTTTTGCTAGAGTTAAATGGGGTCATTGGCCCTGGTCCGGGCGAATGTTTGGCTGTGTGTTGTCGGCGGCCGGCAGGGGACTTGATCATTTTTTCCCTACATTTCTCTTCTCTTTTTTTTCTTTTTTTCTTTGCTTTTTTTCTGATTGCTTTAATTCCCCTCATCTGATCCCCGAATACCTCCATTGCGCCGATCTTGTTCTGCATGTGCGTTTGTTGTACATACCATACCCGACGAAGTATATCAATGCCTCTGGATCCAATTCAAGCCCCGCTACAGTAAACCCTTATTTCTGTGTACTCGGAGCGAAGTGAAGCATGATAATATAAGATACTGACAACAATTCTCAACAACAATGGACCTCCGGTTTTTTAGTAGACTCCCCACTTGGCTAATCAAAGCGTAGATCTCTCACCAACCAAACACTTACCTACCTACTAGTTCAATACTGCTTTTTAAATGGAAAAAGTCAGCTGATGATAGTATGTAGAGATAATGGCTATTAATTTCACATATAATTAAATTACTAATAGAGTAAGAAAATATTTAAAAAACACTTTCTTCTGTCCACGTAGGATGCACTTTGTTCTTAAGCAAGACTCCCTTTCTCCACAAAGCCAAGCTAATCTGAAGGGAATCATTTTTGCCGACAGAGGAAGCACTACGTATTTACTCGCTAAGCGAAGCACTACTCCGCTTGTCTCTAGTGCCGAGAACTGCCTGAAACTCTACTTGAGTGAGTACTCCTGAACCTGATCAGGAACTAGAATGTCCTTTTTTCACCTGGGCAATCCTGGAACTGAATTAGAACTACTGAAATGCCAGGAACTTCTAACTTAACCTCATCAGTTAACGCAGGCTTGTCTCTAAAGTATTACTAGAGGCTGTCTTCTCTAAGTTTCAAGTGCCGATTACTTTGTGTACATAATCCCTCTTAAGCTCTCCCGATTATCTCCACAATCGAAGACGTGATGCTACCCCACACTTATACAATCGCCCCACACCTATACAATGCCGCTGGCATCATCGCTGCACAAATTCCGCGATCTCGGGGAGTGCCCCTCCCAGGTGCTGAGAGAGAGGAACCCTTTGAAGATAATCCGATTATCTTGTGTACCTTCCCCCACCTGCCGCATGCTCGTCCACCTGACCCGTTGTGTCCCTCATTTCCCCATGTGCAGCCGTCGGTTAGCGGGCTCGCTTCCGCATTGCTCTATACTCAGTAGAGGAAGAATACCGGAACGATCGCAGGTAATTATCGGGATCGTAAAGTCCCGCGGATAAATGAGACAAGAGTTCTTCCACCTGCTTTCGTTGTGATGATGTGGGGTGCGAGGACACTCCTTCCGGAGAATTGAGCTATAATACAGCACCTCTGACCCTACCTGACACTCGAGCAAAAACCCCGACAATCATTGCAGAATGAAAATCCTCCGCTTATTGCTGCTAGCGGGGCTAGCTGTGGCTAAACAGCCCAATATCCTCTTTATCTTGACTGACGACCAGGGCAAGCATGTTGGAGGATTGGAATACATGCCCAAGCTTCAAGTATGCAACTATTCAACTTGCACCTTTCATTTTCCCTGATTGGAGTGACCGACTTGTCTAACCTGGAACAGGAGCTTCTAGTTCAGAAAGGAGCAAGGTATCCCAAGCACTATTGCTCAGTCGCCATCTGCTGTCCGTCGCGCGCAAATCTCTGGACAGGGCGTATGCCACACAATACCAACGTAACAGACGTCTCATTGCCATATGGTGGATATCCAAAGTTCGTATCAGCCGGCTGGAACGATAATTACCTACCCCTCTGGATGCAAGATGCAGGGTACAACACGTATTACGTGGGAAAGTTATGGAATTCCCACACGGAGGATAACTACAACAAGCCCTACGCGCGCGGATTCAATGGCTCTGAATTCCTTCTCGATCCATACACATACCAATACTACTTTGCGCGCATGACTCGCAACGGCAACCCACCCGTCCATTACGACGGCCAATACTCGACCGATGTGATTGCTGAGAAAGCAGCGGGATTCCTGGACGAAGCAATGGCGCAAGATCGGCCGTGGATGTTGACTGTTGCGCCGAATGCGCCGCACGCTAATGGCTCCTATGATCCCACGCGTGATGCGGACTGGTTCGGCGAGCCGGAGTTTGCACCGAGGCATGCCAATTTGTTTAAAGGCGTTAAAGCACCTCGCGATGAGAGTTTTAACGCGCTGATTGAGGGTGCTGTGGGCTGGACGCAAACTCTGCCTGAGTTGAGTCAAAAGGAGATTGACTATATTGATCTATTTCAGCGTTGCCGCCTGCGTGCTCTGCAGGCTGTTGATGAGATGATTGGTAATTTGGTCGAGAAGCTTGAGAAGGCGGGTGAACTGGACAATACCTACATCTTTTTCTCCACTGATAATGGATATCACCTGGGTCAGCACCGTATGCAGCCTGGAAAGACTTGTGGTTACGGTAGGTGTTGCTGAAATGCAAGTATGGCCTCATGGGTGGCACAATGCTGACTGGTTTGATGTATCAGAAACCGACATCCATATTCCTCTCATCGTTTGGGGGCCTGGTATTCCAGAGAACCAGGTGATTGATGTGGTGACTAGTCACACAGATCTCGCGCCCACCTTCTTGGCAATCGCCAATTCGTCGAGAGAAGGTCTCGATGGCAAGGCCATCCCAACCACCGTGGCCGCTGGCAAATTGCACAAAAAGAAGGAGCATGTCGCCATTGAGTTCTGGGGAACGGTAGGCTATTCTAATAGAATCATCAACAGCGGGTATCTTACTAATCACTGTTTATACGGATAGGGTATCCCAGAAGGCATCTACGGCTTTGCAAGCGATAGGGAGCAAGACCCATACAACAACTTCCAGAACAATACCTACAAGGGTGTCCGACTCGTTGCCGATGACTATAGTCTCTACTATGCGGTTTGGTGTACAAACGAGAAGGAGTTTTACAACCTTAAGGTACAATCCTACCTACATTCATGCTCATCCGATCATCCACGCATTAACAACCCCGAATAGGACGACCCCTTCCAGACAGTTAATCTCGCAGCCCATCCGAATAAGCATGCAAACTTCAAAATCGCCAATCGGAGACTTGCTCAGATCATCAGCCGTCTTGATGCTTTGATGATGGTTCTGAAGTCCTGCGGTGGTGATTCCTGTCGGGACCCATGGGGCCAGCTACACCCTGGCGGCCAAGTGACCACCCTTTCCGAAGCATTGGCTCCTGCTTTCGATACATTCTATCAGAATCAACCCAAAGTCTATTTCTCGGCTTGCGAACTTGGGTACCTCATTGCTTCAGAGGGTCCGCAGGAGTTCAATGCATACCATGGTGAACAAAATGAGACGAAAGGATGGTAATTTCTCGTTATTGATACGACTCCATGACAGCATCAAAGAGGTCAAGTCCTTGATGTACCCATGGTTCAATCCCTATCAAAATAATATGCTCGTGCTTCTCTTTGAGCGAGTTAGATTGATCAATCAAATTATGAGTCGGGCTTTCGAAGTTGGTTAGCCTCGTCATAGCCCTAAGAACTCCTGTCAACTTGGATCAGGTACATCAAGCTGATTTACCGCCTTTACCTTGCCTTTAAATCCGCCCCATATTCTACTGCCTGTATTTAATTCAGGCTCGCTAGCTGAAAATAAGGAGCTTAATCATCAGTATGCTCCGAGACCATTGCCAGAACGAAGGTCCTAGCAAGGCTATACGTGGTAGAAGATATTAACTAGTTTCCCACCTATATGTACCGTCAGATTCAAGGGAGAAATAGCACGTTAGCTAGAGGAAGAGTCTAATAAATATGAGCAGAAGACTTAGATGATATTGTATCGGAAATAAGCCTTGAATATCCGCGCAGTATCCTAATTAATATACGGGAAATTCCAAGATCTTCACAATTATTCGGCTACAAAGCTCTTCTAGCATTTTCAAAATCCGGGCGCCACCAGCTGGTAAAGTGAATTTGATCCCCGATTTCGTAAATACCAGCCTTAATTATTGACCTAATTCAACTAAACGGTGAACCAGTTTCGTGTTGGTACAATGGCCGACAAAATTAAGTTTAGCCAAGAGAAGCTTAGCGTAGCTCAAAACCTTGGAACGAGATGCTACTCTCAATGGTTACTAGTAGTATGCATAATGTACTTATGATCTGGTTTTATTCTACTCTCCATGAAAATTTTTCTAAGAATAATGGCGAGCGGTGGAAACTAACTTGTCTACATCGTTTGATTGAGTGTCATTACAACGTGAGTCATGACTGTGCAAGCGCTCTTAAGGAGCATGCTAAGAGAACATGAAAGCAGCGATCAACATCGAAACGACAAGTGCCATATATCCCCGATCACCACTGGTAGCAGCCCCAGAGTCTTTACTCAGTCCCAATGGCAGTCCCTGGTAGCTAAAAGTCACGTTTTGAGGAATGCTCTTGTTGTAACACTCCCCGTTCTCGATGTCCAAGTTCGTGAGGTCATCAGCGTTCAAGAAGAACATGTACTTCGACTGATCTAGATCCTTGAATCCGGAAGTGTCGTATGGGAACTTGTCGCCAGAATCGGTTGCGCTGGTGTTGCGGAGAAAAATGCATTGTACTTGGCCCGGGAATTCGGTCGCCATTTTAGGGTAATCACGCATCACGTCACTGTTACTGGTGTCTGCGACCAGAATAAACTTGCGCTCTGGGAATGTTTCGAACACCTTCTCCAGAAGGAACTTTCGAATGGAGAGGGTTGCCGAGACATCGCTGAAGTTGAGAGGGCGGGTGTCAAAGGAGCCGCCCGGATAGTTGGTGTAGATGAACTGCATGTAGTTTCTGGTGATTTGTTCAGGAGTTGTGGTCTAGAGGAGTTGTTAGTTGTTAGACCAAATCGACAATGGATAGATAATCATGGGGCTGAGAGAGGCCTACCAGGTAGTGGAAGTGCATGTGAGGGAGACTGGTTGACCAATTCCGATAAATATCCGGCATATTCTCCCACGGGGTAAAGGGCCTGGCGAAAGAGTTGAGCAACCCTTCCTTCGGCTCGTAAATCTTGGTCACGCGGAGAATATCATCAATGTCTGAAACAACAGTGAGACCTTTGGGGGGAACCAGATAGGCAGTGGAATTCCCAATTGTCGCGCCTTTAACGTATGTGTTAAGTCGCTGAATCGCCGAGGTCTCATTTCCAGCAGTCAGACCATGACTAGCAATGTTGACAAAAGTGTCGAAATCCCCCTCGGCTGTGGTATTGTAGGGCAATGTCACATTCTGCGTGCCTCCTGTTGTGTTGGATGAGCCTCCTCCGCCGGGCTGTCCACTGGCACCCTGGAACTCGGCCGGTTCGAGGTGAATGGTGTTCACGGCAACGTGAGGTTGTTGGACGACGAATATCTCAGCCGTCAAGTTTCGTGCTTGGTCTTGTTGGGACTTGGGGAGGTCGGAAATACTGGTGTTCACGAGGAAAACATCGGCGAGCTTATTCAGATCGGAGACGGAGGTATTGGGTTGTTTGTAGACATTGCCGTGGAAGCGCACACTCCATCCTGAGTTGGTCCAGTTGGCATAAGGGTCAATGTTCAAAACATTGGTCGGCAATGCAGCCAATTCTGAGCTCTGTAACCCGAGAGAGCTTGCGACGGCGTCACCTGTGGGAAAGCCCTGGAAGAAATTGGGCACTCCCGATGCGACCCAGGAGGGGAGGTCAGAGCCCAGCCCACTCAAAACACTGTTGACATCTGATTGGACATCTGATGCCGCCGATTCTGCATCACTAATCAAGCCTCTCTCCACGATCGGTGAAGGGTTATTTTGAACTGGAGATGGGGTGATGGCAGGATTGGGGACATCTTTGTTGTAGACAAATGCTGTTGGGGCGGGTGAAGCGCAAGCAATCGACAGCAGCGCGGCTTGCGCCAGCGCATAGCGGTTGAACATTGAGAAGGGCCGCAGGGATTTAGGGAAATGGAATAGAGTGAGGGAAATCAAATTAACAGAAGGGACCAGGAGAGTACTTATTCATATTTCCCTTAAACCATGGTCCAGGTACGGAGTAATGGTGGAGCCCAATCTAAACGATAGTACTCCGTAGGGTCCAATGACATCACCGACGTCAGCGGCGGAGACAGGTTTTGGCGAAATTGCCCTGAGACATTTTCGTGATACCGTGCATAGGAGTTCATTTAAAACAGCCAGTGTATGGAATGGGGGCTTGAGATAGGAATCAAAGATGGAAGAGATGGGAGAGAGTGAAAGATGAGATGAGGTTCTCCCAAGAAAGTCACAGAGATATCACGTGTGGGCATAGGACGACCGAGTGGACACCCCTCTGGCTTATAAGTCTATTCCAAGTTCTTTTTACAGGACTTGAGTTTTGCTTCAATGTTTTATTATCCTCATACCCAGGTAAATTATAAGAAACAACCCTTCCAGTGTTTTTTTTTTTGAAATAAATAATACTATTTTGCAGCATAAATCGGTACAGAGTTCCCTTGTCAGAAAGTTGCATATTTTATCTCAAATATACTATATTTACAAGACCCAATGTCAAGTTGACAGACCTAGTTCGGAAAATAACTTATCTAGGTAAATAACCTTGGAATCTAATCCAACCAGAATATCAACATGCTCTAAGCGCGGTAGTACGCGATCTATGGGATGCCCTTGGCATTGCAGGCGGTGTAGTGAGACGTTTACAAAACAGTCTCAACTACGGCATCATTTCAATGATGTTCATTATATTGGCAGTATTGAAATCTCGAATATAATGAGCATTATTGAAATGATGCCGTAGTTTAAACTTTTTTGTAATCGTCTCATTGCACTGTCTGCAATGCCAAGGGCATCCCATAGATCGCGTACTACCGCGCTTAGACATGTTGATGTTCTAGTTGGATTAGATTCCAAGGTTACTATCTAATGTATAAATCACATCGTTCATCAGCCAGAACTACCCTAGAGTAGGCCTAAACACCATGCTGTAGAACTCTAATTTCATCTAACAAAGCCCGCCCTCCATTCTCCTCCAATTTCTTTGCAAGGTCAACACCGAGAGCCACCGCATCATCATCACTCCGAACCACCGCCACGCTTGTCGATGAAACTTGACTTGAACCATGCGGATGAATAATCATACCCTCAAGTCTCAGGGAAAGTCCTGTCGGTTTCTGACTCTCGATAACACTATTCACAGCAACCGGAGACGAGCATCCACCCTGGAGAGTCCGAAGCAAGGATCGTTCAGCCAGACAGATCCAGCGGGTGGGCTGTTCTTCGATTTTTCGAACAAAGTCCAGTGTTGACTCATCCCCGCACGAAGTTCAATTCCAAGTGCGCCCTGACCGATAGCGTAGGGGAATTCTGATGCAGGAAGACTTTTCGTAATGCGGTGCGAAAGATTGATACGGTTTAAGCCGGCCGTTGCGATGATTATAGCTGTGAAGGGACCTTCTGGATCGTCCAGTTTGCGGAGACGAGTATCACTGATCACGATTAGTATACATTCTCGAGCAAATACTTGACCTGAATTCCAATTTCAAGGTTAATGCAAGAGATTTTCAAAACTTACAGATTGCCTCGGCATTCTTCCACGACCAGCTGGGGATACTTATACTTAAGCAGCGCCTTCCGACGCGTCGAACTAGTCCCAATGACAGAACCAGCGGGCAAATCAGTCAGACATTTATAATCAAGACCACTCTTCACGACGAGTGCATCAGTTGGATCTTCGCGGTGCACAATTGCACCTAGAACGCATCCGTCCGGCAGATTGGTCGGCATATCCTTCAAACAGTGCGCCAGCAGGTCCAGTTCGCCGGAACATAATTTAGCTTCCATCTCCTCGGTCCAGATGTTTTTCGCTGCATCTGATGGACCGCTGAATTTCAGGAATGGGCTTGTTTTGTCGACATCGCCTCGGACTGAGACTACTTGCCATGGGAATTTGATGGTGGGGTGAAGGTCGCTCAGGGCCTTAGAGATGCGCTCGGCTTGGACGAGTGCTAGTTTGGAGTTCCGGGTTCCTATTACTAGCTCTGGTTTGCTTGCCATTGTGCTTGGCTAATTGGTGGGTAGATCCGTGTCCAGGTATAGAATAGCTAAAGATGGTGATCTCGGGAATGGCCTCTCAGTACTACTAGCCTCGAGGAGAGATGTGTGTGGAGACCTCAGGCTCCGATACTACCTTAATGATGTCTCGGCTAAATTGGGGGCCAATTGCATCATTGCATTGTTCTGTTATTCTACCCATCATATCTTATACGTGTATGGATTGTTCTAAGTCTGCTAGCTTACTCTGAACGGATCTTCCGAGGTCAAACAAAACAAGATGGTATATGCATTATTGGCTACTTCGTATAATCACAAAAAAACTTTTTACAGCTTACTGGGCTTCCGCCTGTCTGGTCAGCTGCTCAATGTTGACCTTGGCGCTTCCCAGACCACCGTTAGCAGCAGGGGCATGAGGTGTCAGCTGCTCGAGAGCTTGGAGGTCCTCGTTGGTGAGGGTGTTTGAGCGGATGGGACGGAAGGGAGCCGGGGAACCGGAAGTGGAGGCGAGGAACTGCGGATATCGGGTTAGTTTTGAGGCTTAAGTATGCTTCGTATTGATTGATGAACTTACCGAGCTGGCGGCACTGAGCAGCGCGATCAGAGAAGCCTGGACCACATCCTGGTGCAGACCCACACCCCAAACCTGTGCCTTGCTGCCGGAGGCAGTGCACTGGATATATGTGGCGGCCTTGGTCTCACGACCGGTACCGATAGAGTGCTCCTTGTAGTCAACGACATCAAGGTCAATGCCCAGGCTGGAGAGAGCGGCAGCAAGAGACGAGATAGCACCATTGGAGACACCGGTGATAGCATGTTGGACATTGTCGATCTCGATGATACCAGTGAAGCGACGCTTCAGGTTCTTGGTGTTGAGAGCCTTACCAGGCTCTGGGGGAGCAGGGGATTGCGAGCGGTCGGTGGTAATGTTGTAGTCGATAAGGTTGAAGCGAGGGTTGGACTTCAGGTGGTAAGCCTCCTCGAAGAGAGTGACGATCTCGGCGGGGCGCAGTTCCCGGTTGGCCTTTTCGGTTTCCGTTTGCACGATCTTGCTGAACTCGACCTGCAGCGCACGCGGGAGATCCAGCTCCAGGCTGCGCAGAATAACCCAAGCCGCACCGCCCTTTCCACTCTGGCTGTTAACACGGATAACACTCTCGTAGGTTCGTCCGATATCCTGGGGATCCAGGGGCAGGTAGGGAATAACCCATTCTTCCTCGCCAGCTGCCGTCGCCTTCTCACGCAGATTGAAGCCCTTCTTGATAGCATCTTGGTGACTTCCAGAGAAGGCACTAGTGACCAGGGAACCGGCGTAAGGCCAGCGCTCGGGAACAGGGATCTTGGTGCACTCCTCTACAACCTGGATGACAGAGTTGATATCTGAGTAATCAACATTTGGTGAGACACCTTGTGTATATAGGTTCAGGGCAAGAATCATAAGATCGACGTTTCCAGTACGCTCTCCGTCGCCAAGAACTGTACCTTCGACACGCTGGGCACCAGCCATCTGAGCCAGCTCGGCGGCAGCCACGGCACATCCACGGTCGTTGTGGGGGTGCAGAGAAACGACGAACTTCTCACGTTCGGTCATGCTGGTGCAGAAATATTCAATCTGGTCGGCATAGACGTTGGGAGTCGACATTTCCACAGTGGCAGGCAGGTTGAATATGATTGGGTTCTCTACAGTCGGACCCCAGGCTTCCTTGACGGCCTCGCAAACTTGCACGGCGAACTCGGGCTCAGTATCGGAGAACGTCTCAGGAGAGAACTCGAACTGCCATTCTGTGCCAGCCATTGACGGGTCATCCTTGGTGATTGAACGAGCGAACCGGGCGCACTCGACAGCTCTCTTCAGACTCTCCTCCTTGTTCATGTTGAAGATAATACGACGGAAGCATGGGCTCGTGGCCAGGTAAATGTGCAGAATAGCCTTCTTGGCACCTCGCAGGGATTCGACAGTGCGGCGGATAAGCTCCTCGCGGCAGGGAGCCAGAACTTGAAGCCAAACATCATCGGGAGTCAGACCGGGCTCCTCAACCAGGCGGCGGGTGAAGTCGAAGTCGACTTGGGAGGCGGAGGGAAATGAGACTTCGATCTCTTTGTAGCCGATATCCACCAGCATCTTGAAGAAGCGGAGTTTTTGGTCGCCGTCCTATACGTAGTCCAGTCAGCACATGTTATAAAGATATTCAAGCTGATGAACCAAACAGCCAAGTCACAATTCCGTACCATAGGGTCGGGGAGACTCTGGTTGCCATCACGCAGATCGGTGGCCAGCCATCGCGGGGCACGCTCGATGGTCTTGTTAGGCCATTGGCGGTTAGGCAGGTTCAGCGGCTTGAACGGCTTATATTTTGTGGAGGGATCCTTGAGCCTGGAAAACGAGAACAGCGTCAATTGGAAATTCTGGGTGGCAAGGCAATTGATGAATTGACATACATTGGCATGGTGGCGGTTGGCGGGGTACAGTGGGGGATAAGCGGTAGAAGGTCGAGTCAAGATAAAGTAGAGTAGAGTAAATGAACAGACGCAGGACTGCGCTGGTAGGATAGATAGAACACAGGAGATCCAAAAAAAGAAGTAGGGAAATTGATTCCTTTTTAAAACCCAAGACCAATCAAACTAGGGGCATTTTATGACAGTCTGACTCAAAGGCGAATGACGAGTTTTAGTCCTTTCGGCGCCGACAGCGGAGTCACGTGGGGTTGTAGATCTGCAGGGCGCGCGAGTAACCAAACACGGTTTAGTCTCGCCCTTCATTCCAGCGAATGGGATAATTTTTGCGGATTGATACAGCTTTCTTTTTTCTTGTTTTTTGGTCTTTTGTGTTACCTTGAATTTATATCCACGATGTGGTTGTACTTATGAACGGTGATGGCATCTGGCAGTCCGCAGGCCCGACTTCGGAGTTCCTGGGGGAAGATGCCGAGGGTAACCGCGCCGAAGGGGAATCCTATGGGATGTCATGGTGGATTGAGTGGATTACTATGGAGAACTATTATATTCATACTGATTTTATACTGGACTACCCTTGGGTAGACAATTTGAACATAAAAAATGACCATTTTTGATCGCATTTTACAATTACATTCGGATATACATATACATAGTAGTACAGGTCAGCCACTGGTACCCCCATCACACTCACACAAAGTTCTTCTCAAGCTGTACCAATAGTGGATGTACCTCGTCCACTTTAAGTTTCACTGCTCGGGGATTCTGCAGCGCGTTCCCTCCTAATTGAGTGCGGATCACCGATTGGAATTGTTGAGCTTCCGGATCGGTCTTGCTTTGCATCTGCCCAGTGACATCAACAGTGACACCGTCGTCGGTGACATCGCGGGGTCCCACGATGAAGATCATATTATACTTCATCTGTTTGGCTCGCTGGATTTTCTTTCCCAGCGTCTGTGCACTGGTATCAACATCCATAAGGAATGTCGAATCAGCGGATGACAAGGGGCGTGGTGGTCCATCTGCTGCATCGTTCTGGAGCACACGGAACCCAGCGAACCTCGAAGCAGCCTCTTGTGCATGTTTCACGACAGCGTCATCCTGGTTCACAGTCAGGATGATGCCTTGTCGAGGTGATAGCCAGAATGGCCAGTGGCCACCGTGATGCTCAATGAGCAAGGCCAGAAAACGTTCGAGAGAGCCAAAGATTGCCCGGTGAACCAACACGGGCGTCGCAACCCCCGGTGTGGCTGGATTGTAGTCTGCCTCGCCCTCGGCAACCTGGTATTCCAACTCAAATCGCTGCGGCAGGTTCATGTCCAGCTGGATGGTCGATAGTTGATGGTACTTGCCAGCCTGATCCTGGAGTTGGATATCGATCTTCGGCCCGTAGAAAGCCCCGTCACCCTCATTTAATGCCCATTCCCGCCCCGTGCTATTTAATGCCTCGCGAAGCTGATTTTCTGCGTTGTCCCACATGTCCAGGGTTCCAATATAGTCCGTCTCGGGTCGAGTTGATAGTACCAGTCGATATGGGCCCAGTCCAAAGGTTGTCATGGCCATGTCGACAAATCCCAATGCCGACGCGATCTCCGATTTGATCTGCTGTGGACGACAAAAAATATGGCCATCATCTTGATGGAAGCGACGCACCCGAGTAAGTCCAGTGAGCGAGCCAGAAACTTCGTTTCGGTGTAACGGGCTGAAATCCGCATAGCGAACGGGTAGGTCCCGATAGGAATGATTCTGCGACTTGAATAGCAGGCAGTGGCCGGGGCAGTTCATCGGCTTCAGACCGTAGGATTCGTCTTCACCGATTTCGCCTTCCGTTTCACCACTTGCCCCACGACCAGTCACCTCGTACATGTCGTCTTTATAGTTTTGCCAGTGACCGGAGATCTCCCATAGGGAACGTTTGTAGATGGTCGGGGTGAGGACTTCGCGGAAGCCATACTGCATGTATTGGGCGCGGAGGAAGGAGATGAGCTTGTTGATAACGTGGGTTCCATTCGGTAGGAAGAGAGGTGAGCCGGGGCTATAAATGGACGAGGTAAACAGCTCCTGGCTCGTGCCTAGACTTCGGTGATCGTGAGTTGGGAGAGCAGCTTCAGGTTTACCATTGGCGGCATCAGCGCATGAACAACGCCGAATGGCCGTTGTGGACAGCCATTGTGATCGAAAAGCGACCGTGACAGGCTTTTGTAGGCGACTGTGAACAAATGGTCTGGCGCAAAGCTGCGGTCGAAGTCGAGTGACCAAGCGCATCGTTAATGACAGATGACCGAGGGGAGCTACCTGTTTGCTGCTGCTTGCCTCAGCCCATTTTTGCCGATCGACCTCCACTCCGCCCTTCCTCCACCGCTTTGCATCAACTTTATTGTAAGCGCCGTTGCACACACTCCCCTCCCTTCGGTCGCATCGAGTCCTGGTGATTTCCTGTTGCAAACATACCTGGTAAGGTGTTATTTCTTATTCCATATTCATTATCATCTACGACTTACGACATCACGAGGAGTAAGACCACTTCTTTTCTTTAAACGGATATGCTATCGACGTCATGTCAACAAACCCACCGCGTACCCCAGATCGCTCGGCCCTGGGTGAATCCTGGGTGATGGCCTCGACGGCCTCGATCAAGGAAGCAAGTTTACTTGAAAACGTACAAGAAAATGTACAAGAGAAACAAGCAGACCACGACAGACCAGAGCTAGCCAGTCCGACACCGACACCAAGATCTGTACCAAATAGCAACGTCAGGACACTCAACGAGGAACAAGACAAAGAGCTGAACAAGAAACAATACAAGGAATCGAAAATTAAACCAGGAGATAAACCATCGCAGTCTTCTGAATCACTGGCATCCTCATCCTCGTCGTGGATCAGCACATCGGGTCCAGAGCTCATTATGCCTTCCATCTACGAAGCACCCATCTCCGAGGCATCATGGGTGGCTCCAAAAATGCGATCTGCCACTGCTACTGCGGCTAAACAAGTCGTCGACAAAGGCACAGGAATGCGAAAGCGGCGCAAGATCACGACAAACCCCAACTCTGCTGGAAGCCAAGATGCAGGCTCGTCTACTTCAGCAGCAGAACAAAATATTAAGCGTGGGCCTCTGAAAATGTTCACCACCTCTCTCAACCAACGAACCACCCTTCGCAACATCATCAACACCATCCTCCTCGCCCTCATACTTCACATCCTTTTTCTCCCCGAAGTCACCTATCAAGCGCAAGGACTCTGCAGTATTCCGGGTATCAAAAGCCTATACCCTTCCAGCTGCATCCCACTCTACCCCAAACAACCCTCCCACAAACCCACCGACAACAACAAACCCATCACACCAGAAGAAACAATCTTCGCCGCCCAAACCCACCTACAATCAATCTTCACCAGCTCCCTCGCAACTCTCCTCCCGCTCGCACCCACCCTCAAGGAAAGCGAATCAAAGCTCCAATCCCTCCAATCTACCTTACAAACCACCTTCCCCTCCGCCAGAAACGCTCTCGCCCTCGAATTCCAAGGAGGCGACTCGGCCCTCCGCACCGCGGTGTGGGAATTCGACTCACTCCGTGCAGACCTCCGCTCTGCAATCGATTCCCTCCTCGCCTCACCCCCGACAAAAGAGTCGACGGGGACGTCTATCGCCCACGATACCAGGCTCGCGGCACAGCTTCGTCGTCGCGCGGAGTATCTTGATCGACTGCGTACGCAGATCCATGGCAAAGCCGATGCACTCGCTACGCGGTTCGGTACCCTAGATGACCATCTCACGGCGGTTGATGGGATTATCTCGCGCGAGAAGAGAAGGGCTTCGTTGGACACACTTATGGGTACTGGGGGTGAGAGTAATGAGCGGGATGGATTTAGGTCTGTTCTGAATTCATTGTCGAGGTATGCGTTTGGGACGAAGCTGTTTGTGGGGTCGGGATCGACAGGGTCAAAAGCATCAGCGGCAGCAGCAGCTGGCGAAGCAGAGGAAGAAGAAGGGGAAGATATGCCTGGGCCTGCTACGACCTTGGCAATGCTGAGATTAGCGGCGACACATCACGTCCCTGTTGCTGATGCGGTGGAGAAATTATCACGACAATTAAGGGACTTGCAACGTGCGAGGGGGGTCCACTTGGGCCCATTATGAGTAACCCTTGGTGATCGGCGATGATTTCGCATGATGGTTTGCCACCGAGCTCGAGAGATCGACAGTGGCCAGAACAGGACAGGGATCTAGATCTGGATCTGAACCAGGGTCGAACCCCCTGAGATAAGATGTGTAGTACAACAGAGTACGGGGTAAGGTAGGGATTGCTCCATCAGGGGGTGGCTGGCTGTACTACGTACATACAGTACATAACTGTGTTCCTCCTTACGGTGGACTGTTACATCACTTGTACTCCGTAAAGCTTGTGCAGTGGTGAGACCGAGGCAGAAGTACTTCAAGCTTGAATGCCTGACGATCCTGAGTCAGCAGGGAACATGTTGCATAGTAATTCAATGAGACCCAAATAAGACAGACTAATAATGTACGGAGTACAAAACCTAATGAATAACTACGATTTAATTTGGCCATGGATATTCATTATTCATTTACTCAATAATGGCACTACTGTTGAGATCGATACTCGCTGAACTAGTAATAAGTCTCGCGATCAATCTGTTTCTTACGAAGTGATCTATAAAATGACTCTATCAGCAACTCACTTTGCCTACTTTAGTATCCTATACCCCTATCAGTAAGACATGTATCGCTTCTTACAATAGATTACATATGGGGGCCAAGATAACTCGTCCGGCACTTTCACATCCGGAATAACTGTCAATTCTGGTTAACCCTCCACCACGAGGCTACAATAGAGGACCTCAGGCTTGTTCCAAATTCATGTATGCTGATTGGACCAGGGAGAGTGAGTTCCCCTCAGAATGCCAGATCGTGACTTTCTCGTCTATAATATAACTACTAGCCCTAGTACTTAACGTCACGGTAGCCTTCGCTTCCGCTAGCGTAGAGGCTTTGCGCATCATCAGCTGATCTGGAAAGCAAACACCCACTAATATTCCATGCTACCTAGGTATTTAAGACAATTCCCAGCCCCACAATTAGTCAAAGCTTAGCATTTGGTTCTCATTCTTTTACGTTTTGTATAGGTAGAGTAAGATGCGCTGCACTTCAGTTTCTTTGCTTCTGAGCTTAGCTCCAAATGTGATAGCAAAATCACCAATAGACTGGAATTCGTCGTTGCCTTTCCGTCCGGATAATATCACCGGACTTGCTTCCCTTTACGATTGGGTTGGATCGTACGTAGGGTGCAACACATTCTTAATCTCCAAATGCTGATCGTAAGAGTTCTAGATACTTCAATGCGACAACGGAAATCGAATTGACTCCTCTGATTGGAAATACTGTCAATGAGTCAGCATGTCCAAGCATGCGAGATAAGACATTCACAGCGTCTTTTCCATCCGTCCTCGTCATCACCGAGCGAGGACCGTACAATGTTGGCCACAATGCTGTAAACATGGGTCTCTCTCTTTGGAAACCCGGGTCAAACTTTTCCACTATTCCGGAAGAACCCCTTCTTGTTGGTGGTCCATCATTTGCGGGCGAGTTGACCTCAACACCGTAAACGCTCCCTTGTGTTCGTTTTCAAAGTAACGGGAGAATTTACTGAAGTTAGATAATAGATTCACGTACAGAGGATCAAACGACACCGTTTATACAGCTCTGACTGCTGAGGGGGCCCATATCTCTAACAATTTCAATTTGACCCTCTCAAAGACTTCTAAAGCTCCATATAATCTCACCGGAAGGATTATAGGATCCATCGCTGACTCTCTTACCTTTTATGCAAATATGAGCTCATGCAATACGAGCATCGAGAGCAGCCTGTTTTCTGTCGGTATTATCAGCGACCATTGGTGGGCTCCTCCGGGATGGAACTGGACGTATCCGTTCGTCAATCTAGAATTCGACAGCAAAACAGCAAATATCACCATGAATGGATATTTCTCTGCGATCTCTAGTATGTTATTAAATGCGACGGATGGATCGAGAGAGCTCGAATACGGGCCTCATCATGTTTACGGCAAGATGAGGTTATCTTTCAAAGGTGTTATTGACACCTACCATTCGGATATTTTGGTCAATAACAGCGCTGTGCCACAGTGGATCAGAACCGTTGGATTTGGTAACAATTCTTTGAATATGGGTTACGAAAGTGCAGCTTCTGCTATGTACAGTGTTACAGACAGGTGGACCTTTTTGCAGCTTCCTCTGTATATTACTTGGCTTTTGTCTTTGCTTTAACTTGAAAATAAACTTGCGCCTTTGAAACTATTGATCAGGGTCCGATGTATACTAGTAGTACCTAGGTACACCGACCATACGTTCTTCACGTAAGCATTTATCTCGAGGAGGTTATGGGAGGGCATAAATAGGGAGTTATTACCTTGGATCGCAAATGTCTTGACAGTTTCATCGTACTCGTAATTTAATTAACTAGGTTCGCTGCATTTACTCGCTCAGTCGGCGAACTATCTCAATCCGTATACCTCCTAAACGAAGCATACAGAGCCTATAAAAAGCTCAAAAATACACTACTCCCACGGCTCAACCCTATTCTAATGACACACTAACGTCCTACCCAGACAAAGAAACGGACAAGCAAGAATCATGTATTCTTCGCTTTTCTGCTCAATTCTTTTCTTAGAACCCACCAACCGGGCCACACCTCCGACACCCAACCACGGAACACAGCTAATGTACCCACCCCAGCCAATCGCACTACAAAGAGAATGAAATTCCAAGAATACTTTGGGTCGGCCGAAACGTCCACTTGAATGAATTGATTTCATCCGGTTTTCTTCCAGTGGTTTCCACAATTTTGTTGGAGTGGCCGGATGCCTAGCTTAGTGTGGAGAATGCGCAGAGTCCATGGTTGAAGGCATAGTTACGGAGAACGCCGTGGAGCTGAAAGAGAAATTTTAACAGAATCAGGCTGCAGAATTCAAATTAAATTCGAATTCGAATAGAGAGACAGAGTTAAAAATGACTTGAAAATTGACCGTTGGTTATCGTCCGAAAATTGGGGTCAGCGGTACCTTGAGGTAGATAGAGCCTGAGCCCTGAATCACCTGATACCTTGCTACTCCGTACATACGTCAATAATACATGAAGTATGGTATCGACAACCAGCGTGGGGCATGCATGTGAAACGCAAATAAAACGCATGATAAGTAAGTGCTTACTGCTTTAACTTCGTTATCACAGGATTATGCACATGCTGTACTCCGTTCCATCATGAATTTTGTACTTGTCAATTTGCTTTTTCGGCCTTGTTTACCGAGCCGTGCAGTGTGTAATGCAGATACGGGGTTGGATTGGGCGACTTGCATATGGGGCATCTGATGCGGCTGAGTGAGATCCTTGCGTCAGACATACTAAATTATGCAGCTTTTCGCGATGGTCGGCTGACCGATTTCTTACTGCTTACTCTCAATTTACTCTGCGCGGTTGGCGGGAGTCGAGCACGGCTGATTGTTTGTTCATAGGGTCCCGAAGGCTTCAATTAGGGGATCTAGTTGTAGGTACATAGATACAGGGGTAAAATCACTCGGCGCCAGTTCCGGTCTTCGCAAGGCTAAAGCAAAAAGACATCAAGGCATAACCGAAGAAAGATACATCACAGTAAGAAGAAAAAAAGAAAGCGCCATCATATCCAAGCTCGGTTCCAGCCCAGCGTGCTTCATCCGTGAGACGTGATTAATATTTGTGTTGCGTTGAGTTGCGTGAAGCTGTTTAAAGCTGGATAAAAGCAGAGAGCAGGGCCAGGAAGCCGAGAGAACCCATGCTGGCAGCCACGTTGGAGGCAGCGTTGAAGGTCGAGGTGGGGGTGGTAGCGCTGCCAGTGGCGGAGCCCGAGCCCGAGCCACTGCCAGAGTTGGAACCGGAGCCAGCAGTGCTGCTAGCACCACCAGAGCTAGAACCAGCGCCGGAGCTGCCAGCGGCAGAGGAGTTGCCAGCGGCAGAGGAGCCAGCGGCAGAGGAAGAGCTGGCGGTGGTAGAGCCGGCAGTGGTGGACTCAGCGGTGGTAGAGTCAGTCGAGGAAGACTTGGTAGCAGTGGTCAGGGTAGTGGCAGTGGTGGGAGCAGCACTGGTAGTGGTGGGAGCAGCACTGGTAGTGGTGGGAGCATCGCTAGTGGTAGCGGTGGTAGTGGCCTCGGTGGTGCTGAGCTCGGAGCTGGTAGTAGTGTCGCGAGTCTGAGATCCCGAAACAGCACCGCCCTCCTTGATGGAATCAGAGGAACCAGACTTGTCGGTGTAGGTGTACGACTGGGCGGGGTTGGCGTTGTGAACCTTGATGTCCTTGATGTACATGGAGAAGGGAGCAGCAGAGTAGTCGGTCTGACCACCGGCCCACTCAATCGTGCCCTTGCCGTTGGTGGGGTCACCACCAGCCCAGATACCGATGCGGATGTTCATGGGGGTCTGGGGGAAGCGAGAACCGCCCTGAGCATCGGCGTAGTTCAGAGTACGGACAGCAGCACCGTCAATGTACCAGGTAATGTGATCCTTTTGCCAGTCCACCTTGTAGGTGTGGAATTGACCCTGGGGGTTGGCCACACCAGGCCAAGTGTCACGGTCATAGGTCGAGGTATCGCCCTTACCGAAGTAGTTGGTCTCAATAGCACCAGTGTTACCACCAAGAGCCTCCTATAGAAGATATTAGATCGGATCAATTGAGTCATGGGGGAGGATATATCCAGTAAACTTACCCAGTCGACCTCATCAAGAGTATCGGACTCCAGGACAATGGAACTAACAATGCCTGTGCCGGGGGCAGCTTTCATGGTGACTTCAACGGAACCGTAGAACAAGTAAAAGTCGGACTGGATAGTAGGAGCATCACCCTGCTTGTTGATAGTGAAGACAGCACCGTCAGCACCGGTGTTGACCTTGCCGGCAGTGGTGGTCCACTTGTCAAGAGAGCCCTTGGTGAAGTCGAAGTCTTCATCGGACTGGGCCAAACCAGGATTGGCAGGGCATGTCTTCTCAATAGGGTTACACTTGGAGTAGGTCTGCGCAGAAGCCATAGGAGCGACTGCGGCGAAAGCCACAGCGGCGTACTTGAAGATGGAAGGCATGATAGGCAGTGTGCAGTATGCAATGAACCGTAAGCGAGAGTATAAAGTGCAGACCGAACAGAAGCAAATGCAGAATGCGAGAGAGGAATGAGGAGAGAAACAGCCAGTGTGGAGGGGGGGAGGTTGGGGGTTAATAAAGAAGCGCAGGAAGTGAGAGCCGCGGAATATGGGAAGGTGCTAAGCAGAGTCACCTTTTCGCAGTTCAGCCCTTAGTTGAGCATCATTTGGTACTAGCTGTGCCTCCAGTGCCTCCCGTATTCACTTTTTCTGGTAAAAGTGGAGCAATATTGACTGTCCCAGCCACCAAAGTGAATCATTGATTGGTGCTCGGCGAGGGAGTTACCCACTCAGGGATCAAGTGGACCTTCAGAGAGGCGTGGATGTAAAGTGGATTTAGTGGAGCCGCCTGATGAGCTGCTGGGGTAACCCTGACTGGTCAAATAGGCTGTTGCTAGTGAGACACGGATGATTTTGGTATCTGGGGGCCTGACGGAGTACGGAACAGGCGATGATAGTGGCACGCTAGCGGAGTCATACCGTAGATAGTATAGGTATACTAGTCCCATTTATAGATACTGCGCTTTCTCGTATACTTACGGAGTACGGATGACTCCGTGCCTACGGAGTATTCCTAGATACCATTAGAGAATATCGATGTTACATACAGATCACAAGTCTATTATTTATACAGAGTATGTACATAGTACGGAGTAGTATACATCAGCATCCCCTGAAACCACGATCGACAGATCATCCCAGCCGATCCTGTCACAGAAATATGTACTTCTTTGACCGGAGTATCCACGACCCGACTCTCCCGTGGGGCGCAACACGGCCCATCGTTCGCCAATGCAAGCGAGAGTCCCATTTAGTGGCTCCACTCGACCTCCACGGGGGCTTCGATCTAATCCTGTGACATTGCGCGATCACGGCGGTGGAGGATTCATATGTATTAGTACTCCGTACTCCATACATACATTACACTACTGTACAAAGTACCCATGCACATTACGCAACCCTCTATCAACCCGCGTAGTCTACAGTATACTCCGTACACACTGTACACTTCTAGGGTTACCCTTACCCGCTGATAATCCGAGTCATGAACAGACCCTGAAAATCAAATCAAATCAAATCAATGAAAACGAAAACGAAGATGGAATCATGGTTCGCCACCGTATTCCCGTACTCCGTACTCAATACCTCGCTTCTAATTGCCCTGTCTCTCGGCCCGAGCTAAATTAAGTGCCAGGTGCCTGAGCACCGCCATGTAACCCAGACATGTCTGACACTGTCTAACTTTTGTCTAACTCACAGTCTAAATCCGTCTCAGGAACCAGGAACAGGTGTATCATACCCCGTGCCACACAGCCAATAGATTATGCATACCCCGTAAAATCCTAAGGGTATCTGAGCTTTGCCAAGGGTTATCTCCTCCATCCACCGTACTTCGTCATTTGATTTATATTAATTGAGCCCCTTGCGGGCCGCACTGGGCATCCTTTGACGCAGGAACTGACTGGATACATCCAGTAAGACTAATCACTCAGTATGTATCCGTACTACTGTATACTGTAAACTTCTCCCAGGGCTTACGGGTCCGGGGGCAAGGGCGCTTTCGACTGGGGCGGGGGCGGGTTGGCTTGGGGCCGCTGAGTACCCTGATTGCTCACCCTTGATACTCCCGCTGGCCCACAACACTCTTTCTTTGTTTCATTTCCCCGATCATAAGCGCTTTGTTGTCTACGGTCGCTCCTAGAAGATAAAGCAAGATTATACCCTCATCGTACACGGCTAATTCTCTCTAGTGCTGACTTACTCGAATTTATCGCTTACTGACCATGATTCGCTGTGCCGTATGAAACGGAATTCCAGCCATACAGTCTCCGTAGTCATTTTCTCCTTCCACGTCTTAGTTTTAGAAGAGTCCTTGAATTTCTTTGATCGTGTTTCAAGAAATGAGCGAAAATCGAACCGATCATTTCGAGGAGATCACGACCGGCGATAGGAGTACACAAGCCGTTCCTATGTGTCCACATTCGAAGATCTTATTTCTGCACTTTGAATAAACGCCATAGACAACATCGCTAAATTCTAGCCCCGCATTGAGTTCCACCCTGCATTCAGCAAAATTATACTCGGCAGCTATACTGTACATTTTGTTCGTAAATTGGGTGAACACCAGCGGAGTTCAACGTAGAATAACAGTAGGGCCCCAAATATCAAAGCCTCAGTTATGAGGGCTCACCACATGAAAAGGTTAAGTCTCTTTCCAATCCAATACATTACCCATAAGGCCTTGGCAGCCTTATTTGCCCCGTATGGATAGCCCATAATATTGTTCCCCGCGATAGCCAACACCCAGTCCGAATAGAGAGCCCCAAATATCACCATAAATGGTACGAAAGCGAACCAGAAAAGAATGTTGAAAATAAAATCATCAGGGTCGCTGACACGCAGCTTATTATACAGAAAGAACGCCGCTATGTACCAGGCAATACCAGCAACTCCGAATGCACCAGTGATAATTTGCATTTTTGAGCCAAAGTTCGACTCCGCCAAAGAGATAGATCCTATAGTACCGGCCATCGCTCCAGGGATATAGAGAAATAGCCACCATTCGTGAGGATAGATGCAAATGACGCCGGATGTGAGTGCAAGAGAGAATTTCATTGCTGCCAATGTCTCGAACTGCCTAAGAATGACAGAGATTTCATCAGCATTGTGCTATGCAACTTGTGTTTGAAATGGAAAAGATCAATCTCACCAAGCGTGGCTACACCTCGCCATAGTGTAAAAGGAAGAAATGGACGTTATTATCAATTGTATGGTCGAAAGCGTAATGTTCCATGTTGACGGTGATTTAATATTAGAAAGGCGATTCCATGGATTTAATGGCCTCTTTTTGCAACACATGACGATTGTGGCATAATAAGTCATTATATGAGAGACAAATCCGAAGACCCCATATAGCAGAGAATAGCATTGGATCTCCTTGTCGTATGGATTTTCATCGCTAGTAGAGGTGCTATTGCTCTCTGCGGTCACAGTGCATGTAAAGAATATAAGAATGATCAGGGCGAGAGAATGCGACGTGAATGGTCCCATAGCTAATGGTTGCTGGTGGTTTTGCTTGGATGATAAAGCTGAGACTGTAATCTTCGCTGGGACATATCCTCCATATTATAGTACTATATATACCTACCCAGATAGGTACTACTATTTTCTCTGACAATGTTGAGTGTGACATTGCAGAAGAGGATATACGCCTGGGCATGCCACCTTCATGTTCTTGTTGCCGCTTACTGTTGAATCCGGTAATTGAAATGCAAAGCGGACTTGAGGCACATTTGCTAAATTAGATCTACGGATTGTTGTCATGCATAACAATGGCCCTATGCATAGTTTGAGACGCGATAATATCCAATAATTACCACTCAGCTACCCTATAGATAGTAATGGTGGTGATGCTACAAAATCGATGATTCGACTGTTATAAGCGCTGTAGCTGTAGCCCGTTGGATTAAGGTAGCCATCACTAAACGCACGTTTCATGATAAGCCTCCGAAGTTCGACTACCTAGGTATAGGTCACAGGAACACTGAAAGCCTTAGGCTGGATCGCAATTGATTTAGGGGCTAAACAACCCATGGTTACTTCCATTGGACGGTTGGTACTCTACCCGGCCAATCTTTGGACTTATCCGACACTAGTCATGCAAAATGCGGCCAATAGACATAGAGACTTAGTAGAAACCGCGCACTCCGCGCGTGTTAGAAGTGTTAGAACCCACTATGAAACATCGACCCCACTATGCGGCTCATGGACTGTTGTTCAAGAACGCCATCAAGTACTTATTCTTGGAGACGGCGTCCCGGCGCGAGCAGAGAAGAAAAGATTCGCTTGTCGAGCATCATCTGTACCTCAAATCTGCATTGTATACATGCCACCAGCTGTTCAAAATTGCACGTCCTTGGCGGGTTCAGTATTATGTCCTGAGGCTCACGAGGTCTTTCAGCTCGAGGTGTATTCCCACATTGAAGCGTGCTGATCCCTGCATTCCACAACTGGCAAGAAAGTATGATGTGTTCAATCGGCATTGCTTTTGAAGACACAAGATGTTCAGCTGAGATGCAGATTATTACTGTCTATTACAATAATTAGTATCATACAGAAACAAGGGTAGGTGTGGGGATTAGTAACTCACTACTTTTGAATACTTTGACTCACTTCTTTCTACTCCCGTACTCCAAAAACTTGAACCAGTGTCTCGTAAATGATAGATGTCTTAGTGCTTTTTTTTGCTCCCACTAACCAGCCTCGGTAAGACTCGTCTAAGACATTGTATTACTGTAAAACTCGGCTACTACGATCTAATTTTTACACGTCTTCAACATCGTTAAATTCGAGATATAGTGGCTGATAAATCACCTGAATTGAACGAGTAATAGGAAATTTTTTCACGAAATCGCAAGGATCGAGAAATATCGCTATTAATATGGGACTTTCAATTTTGACACGTCCTCACCATCGCTAAATCCGAGATATCGCTGAATCCGTGATCGCTATATCCGAATTTTACAGTAGTTGGCCTCTCGTAGGCGATCTCCTCCTGCACTCGCACTGTATCCCGTGGTGTGAGAACGAGTGTGAGCGCTAAATCTCCACCACAACAGGCCCATTCAACTCAATCGTGACCTTCTTGGTCACACTCCCCTTCTCTTCATCAAACAGAACAGCTCCGTCCGTCTGATTCGCGGCAGCACTGCGGTTCGACAGCCCGTTCTGCCCCAACACCGTAACAGACTCAATCACAACCCCAGCCTGATACCCGAACTGACCCCGAATACTCAACTTGTCCTTGACAAACTCAAATTGCACCAGCGAGGTACCGTTCGGCACCAGCGTCTCCCCATCATCAAGATACAACTCGCCACGTGCATATCCGATCGGGTTTGGCGCAACGAGGATCTCAAACCCACGCCGCCTCAACTCGGTGGTCGTCATGGCACTCTTACTCCGCAACGGAATAATGCTGCCCCCACGAATGTGAATCGGGATATCCGTGACCGAAACAGACTCCAGCTCAACATTCTCCTTCATCCCCTGCACAATCTTCCCCGTAAACCAGTCATAGAACCGATCGTCGGGAAAATACGCCTCAACACTCGTCGCACCAGCCTCAACAACCGGCGAAACAAGAATCGCATCCCCATAAAAGAACTGCGCCTCATTGCCAAACGTCCTCGCATCACCAGGATACAAATAAAACAACGGCTGAAGAAACGGCTCACCAGTCTCACTCTGCCGATGAAACGCCGTATAAAGATAATCCAGCAACCGATACCGAATATCAATAATCTTCCTCGCCGCCTCCGCCACAACAGGCCACCGATAGAACTCCTGCGGAATAGAATCAATGCTATTATGATTGCGGAAAAACGGGTAAAAGCCGCCGAGCATGGCCCACCGCGCGCAGAGCTCTTCGGTCGTGTTGCCGCCGAATCCACACACGTCCGAGCCTATCATTGGAATCTGGAAGATCGAGGCGAAGGCGAGCATTTGCGCGATTGATCGTCGGTATTTATCCCATTGGCTTAGATTATCGCCTAGCCAGTGTCCGACGTGTTTGCCTGCGCCAGCGAATGTGCTGCGTGTTATGACTAGGGGTCGTTTGAAGGGGCGGAGATTTTCCATTGCTTCGCGTGAGGCGGAACTCATCACTGGATTACTGTTAGCTGTGTGATGACTTGGTCTGTTTGGGGGGGGGGGACGTACTCGTTCCGTAGAGATTGTGAGTATCATACTCTGCGTAGCCTCTTTCGCCCGTGTGTATGATATCGGTATCAATGGTCTTGTTGCTGATTGAGCCGGCTCCGTTGGCGATCTTGTATGGAGGGTCAATGAGGTTTCGGCCTGGCAGACCGGCCTTACTGCGCTTGGAAGTATCGCGACGCTTGTCGCTTCGCTTGGACGTCTTGGGCGGCTGGAAGTCTTGTGGGAAGCCGGGGATAGGACGGGGCGGCGAACGCACAGCTGGGGGTGTCGGGGGGAGATTGTTGTCTTTGGCGTATTGCTCTGGGTCCTTGCAGGGCCAGGGGCAGAAGTTGGAGGCTTCGTTCATGTCGATCCATAGGCCGTCGATGTCGATGCCGTCTTGTGCGCTGAAGAAGCGGCGGAACTCTCCGTTCCAGAAACCTGATATTCCTGGGCTGAACCAGTCAGGGTAAACTGTGAGGCCGGGCCAGACGGCGCCTGTATCGATGACTTAATTAGATACATCGGTTGATGTTGGCTGTATCAAGCACTTACCGTTGTATAGTTCGCCATCGCGTTGAAGGAAAGCCTCCGCTTGTACTCCTCGTTGGAAGGCCTCGTTGTCTGTGATAGGTTAGACATGCTTAATATGATATACCATCATTGGTGGTCCAATCTTAAGACATACCACTATCACTGATAGCAGGGTCCACCATCATGATATAGTGCTGATGGTGCTGGTGGAGATGATGCACCAACTCCCGCACCTTACCCAGTGGGAAGCGCTCGGGGTCCAGGGTGAAAACACGACGCCTGTCCATATAGTCGATATCTGTCCACATGGTCTCCAGAGGGATATGAGCATGGCTATAGTTGTAAACGGCCTCGGCGACTTCGTAGATATCTTGGTATCCATATCGGCAATTGTGGAACTAAATCGTAGAGTCAGTATAAAATGGAAAGCACGGAAACATTATCGATTTTGCGGAGTTACATACACCAAAGGACCAGTAGCTCTGCATCGCAGGCAGTCCCACGACGCCCGCGTATTGCTTGCTCACATCCTTCGGCGTCGGACCAGCCATGAAGTAGAAGTCAAACACACCACCCAGCGTGTTGTACTCCAGATACTGGCGTCCGTCGTCCATCTGGTCGATCTTGATATCCATTCCGTTGGAATTCAAGAAGAAAACGCCATGAGTGCCTGAGTCACCTCGGTGATCCACGTAGACCGGGTGGTTTCCGTACAGATTTTCGAGCTCTGGAAGCCCATACGAATCTCGACTCCATAGTGTGCGAGTATAGTTCTTTGTCGGTAGCTGCAGCGAGTCAATGTGTTCTCCGAGTCCGTAGAGATGCGGGTTCTCGGGTAGCCAGGTGCGTAAATTCAGGTACTGAGATTGGAAGATAAGGTTCGTATCCGAAGTATCGAAGAGGACGTCGTCGCCACGCAGAACTCTGAACGAGAACGGTTCGGGTTCGAAGTCAAATCGAAGGTTGGAATTCTCATGCTGATTGTCGTGACGGTGGGGAGGGCGAAAAATAATTGTCTTGGGAACTTGGTAGACTTCCTCGTCCGCATCGTAGATCATAACGTGGAGCCGATCATCTAGGATACATCAATTGAGGTGAGTCCACGCTGAATATTTGTGAAGTACACTGACCTGTTTGGTACTCCACCAGAAGCTTGAGGTTTTCCAGGTCGGTACCGTACGAGTCGCAATGATCCCCGGCTAGGGTGAGGTCAGCCTCCAGAGAAGCACCACGCTGATTCACATTGGTAGCCTTGTATCCAGGACAGTCCATATTCGAAGATCGAGGTTGCAGTGGAACCATAGCTCCCACGAGGGAAGCCAGAAAGAGGACACCACCCCGCATATTGTGAAGTCAACTGGGAGCACAATAGATTGGTAACGTGGGAAGAATCAAAGGGATTGAGAAGTTGGGTTGTGCAGCTTTATGTATAAAGCAGTGCCGGCCTGACTATAAATCGGTGCAACTTGAGTAAGGAAGGAGAGTGGGGAAAGGTGAAAGATAATGACCGATGAATCCGTGATTGGTGAGAGATGCCTGGGATATGCCGGGTAGTGCTTTACAAGGATATTGTCTACGAACAAACACATCAAGTTGGCTGATCTGATTTTCAGGGCCAATTGCATACCTAGTGCAGTGTGCATAACACTAGCCCATACTAGTATCTAGCTATATTACTACATGTAGCATCGACGCGGGTCCTCCGAGTCGTCCGCAAGGTCCTTGCTATACCTACTTCTAGTATATAGGCATGAAAGTCCCTAAACATTCAGTGACTTTTCGCTAGCTGCTACTAGCATTTTACTTTGGAAACTTGAACTTTTGAACAAAGGAAATTCATTTCATGCTCTATGGCCCAAGCATCTCTAAACATCAATCATAAATCAACAGCCCCGACACCGGGTATAAAACAAATTGAAGCCATGCTTAGATCTTCTGACCAGCGGAAGCAGCCTTGACATCCTCCTCCGAGCTCATAATCTGCACCTTGATCGCGCCAGTCTTAGGGTTCGCCGCCGTCTCAAACGCCTTGAGCGCATCCTCTAACGCGAAGCGGTGGGTAACCAGGCTGCGCAGATCAATCACACCGTTTTGCACGAGGCGAATGGCGCGGGGCCAGGTGTTGGAGTAGCGGTACTGGTACTGAAGGTCGATTTCCTGGGTGCTTAGACGCATGAAGGGGATGTTCATCTCGTTCTTGCCGACGCCGATGATAAACACCTTGCCGCCGAACTTCATGCTCCAGATAGCGGAGTTGACACTGCTCTCCACACCGGTGCACTCCAGGCACAGCTTAGGTCGCAGGGCACCTACCTCGGAGCCCTTGCCGTCGTTGAAGGCATTGATAATGCCGGCTGCTTGTTGCTCGGCATCCAGACCGGGTTGCACCTTGTAGGTGCGCACCTCGGGTGCAATGGTCTTGGCGAAGGCCAGACGGCCCTCGTCGATATCGGTGATGACAATGGGGCAAGCGCCAGCGGCGCGAGCACTGAGCAGACTGATCAGACCGATGGGACCGGCACCGGTGATGAGGAGGGGGTCGCCGAGGCGCAGCCCGCTGCGCTCGACGGCCGCCAGAGTCACACTGAGGGGTTCCAGGAGGGCACCATCCTCGTAGCTCATGTCACCAATCTTGTGGCACCAGACGGAAGGGTGGTTAACATATCGGCGAAGCAGGCCGTCGACGGGAGGAGTGGAGAGGAAGGCGACATTCTCGCAACCGTTGTAGCGGCCAGTCAGGCAGGGCTCGCAGGCGTTACAGATAACGTTGGGTTCAATGGCGACGCGGTCGCCGAGTTTGAGGTGGGTGACGTCGGGAGCGACCGCGACAATTTGACCGGCAGATTCGTGACCGAGGACGTGGTCTCCAGTAACGATCATGGGGCCAATGCAACCAGCGTGCCAAAAGTGAACGTCGGAGCTGTTGTTGCGGTCAGGTAAGGAGATTGCAATCAATGGCTAGGAATGATGTATGGTTCATGACTTACCCGCAAATACCAGTGCTGCGCACCTCGATTGTGACCTCACCGGGCTTCAGGCCCTTTCCACTCTGCACATCCTCAACCTTGGGTGTCGTCTCGGCGATCCAGAGGTCGTGGTTGGGGTTGGTGTAAACACCAATGTTAGTCTTGGTCACGGTGGTTGCGGAAGACATGGTGAAAGGGTGATATGAAGGAATTAGGGGGAGATGAGAGGATGTACAAAAGCAGCAGCAAGGGCGCTTTAATACTCAAATGTCCAACAGTGCGCGTGGCAGAAATGCGACCCCCATGTCATTCCCCCCCCCATAGATGGACCAAGCATGGAGTAAAAAAGTGGAGTGGAGGGGCATTCGATTTAACCGCGCGGGGCCAACTTGCCGTGAGTCAGCCTAACCGGGCATCCTCCTCCGCTAGAACTGTGGCGATCGGTTAATTATTTTCAGGTAGTACAGTATTACAGATGTCTACTTGTATCTCCTAGTTTCTATATTCTATATTCTATGTATACTGGGATCAATATTCCCAGTTGTTCTTATCATATCTAAACTACTAGTAACCACTAACTACTATATACTATACCTAGTGCTAACTATACTACTGTACTATGGCCAAAAAGGTAATTCTCCGGTGGCCAACCTGGGAATACTTTTGTCCGTTTGATGGACTTAACCCTCCTTCAACTCCGCTTGTGTGTCACCCCTGGTTTGTCCCGTTTGCACAGGGTGACTCCCCTCCGCATTTGTCCATTTAACCAGAGTGGGACCAGCCAGCCAGCCCCCGGAGAAAATCCGTGACCTGCTGACCTGATTCTAGAAGCTAAACGATCGAAGATACCAGGTTAAATTATAATACTAGCACTTAGTACGGACTACATGGCTTACCGATGGTGGCCGACTATGCCGGTCTCCCTGCCGAAAGTGCCGATCTGTGCGTACCACAGAGTAGAATTGACCGGGCAATTAGGTTAATTTGGCCAAATTTATGATCATACTAGTTAGTGTCTCAGTAAAGTTAATTCAACCCGTGCTACTAGTTAGAGTACGAGTACAACTTGAACCTTCAGGTTGGAGATTCATTGACCGTGCCCAGGTGATTCGGACTCGACCTGAGATTCAATTTGATAGATGGTGGTGTTATATATTGCAGAGTAACACCGCCTCTTGACCAAAGTATATATTACCAGTGCTTCAACCTTGGAAGTGAGTTACTTCTAGTATACTTGTAATCTCAATATTGGAACATAAGGATTGGCACATTATAATAGAGTATCTCAACATACTCTCCAAGTTACACGGTTCAGCCGGTCTGATCTTGAAAGTGGACAGACTAGAAATAGGCGGCGGCTCGATTACTACTATGCACATGATAGTACTGTGAAAGTACTGTGACCTCACTGACCCATGCAGACTTAGTACATTGGAAGTTGCTTCCAGTCAGTCCAGCATACTTTACTCCATCAGAGCCAGTACTCTAAAAGAATAAACAATATAATTCTTAGCACATTTTTTCAATCGTCCTAGTGTGAGGTGTGCTGCACACTGTTTACTCACGTGACCACCTTTCCTGAACCTCCCGAGTCCGCAGATTCTGGTCCCGTCGTTGCGACAGACCAAACCCGCCAATTGGACCTCCTCCTCTTCCCACCAGCGAATATCCTGGGTGATCTGTGATCGACTTCTCGTCTCCGCTCCTTCTCCTCTCGCAGTCCCCAAGATGCCCGCTGCCACTCGCGCCGTCCTGCGGCAATCGCAGTTCCTGACCCGTCGGACCGTGGTCAGACACTCTTCCACCACTTCCGAGGCCGCCAACAAGGCCGGCCAGGCTGCTTCCAAGGCTACTGATGGCCTCTCAAAGGCCACTGCTGCCGCTGGACCTGTCATCTCCAATGCTGCCTCCGCCCTCCGCAAGGTTGGCGGCCCTGTCGGCAAGGTCGTCTCTTTCGTCGACTGTAAGAAACTCTCATACCAACACCGATCTCCTTCGAATGGAAAAGCCTGGGAATGTCATCAAGGATGCTATGAAGTATAGGAGGTGCCAATTGATATATCGGTGAAGACTGGCACTGTTCAGTGTTGGCCGATAACTTCATTCATAGGCGGATACTTCCGGTTCTCCTTGTTGACATCCCGAGCATGGACTTTTTACCTTCCGTTTATTTTCTGCTTTCCATAGCATCGCTAACTGATCACTCTTTACAGCCATGATCCCCCCTACCCTCTACTACTCCCGTGTCGGTCTTGAGCTCGGCAAGCTGGTTTTCCGTGGCCAGAACATGACTCCTCCGTAAGTTGCCCTGCGCTACACCATACCACATCACCTCTGTCCGACCCCATCTAACTCCATCTGTTAGCAACGTCGCCACCTTCCAGTCCTACTTCCAGCCCCTGATCAACGCCGCCAAGAACCCCGCCGCCATCAAGAGCCTGCCCTCCCCCCAGAACTTCCTGGCCCGCGTCCGCAACGCCAGCCCCAAGGAGATGGCCCTCGCCGGTGTCACCGCCGCTGAGGTCATCGGTTTCTTCACTGTTGGCGAGATCATCGGTCGCTTCAACCTTGTCGGTTACCGGGGCGAGCCTGAACACCACCACTAGATGTGGAACTCGTCCTTTCTTTTCGCACAACCACCTTTTCCTATGTTTCCCTTTTTCGCGTTTGTACTCTGTATGATAGACGATGGAAAATAAACTGTTGTCTGAGATAGAAATCGTTTGCAACTTTTGTTCCATTTCACAACCAAGCGTAGTTACACAATTTCCTTAGTAGATGTCTTGAACCAGGAGCCTCCCACCTTCCTCCTCTTCCTCCTGCTCTCTCTCTCTCTCTCTCTTCCTCAAACGCAGCATGAAATTTCCAGTTTTATACTATTTGGTCGCAGTTTTCGCTGTCTATCTCTTCTTCTGGATTCCTACGACCGTCACTGTTGTGTACATGCTATATTCTCTTTGGTACCGTACGATGCTTGGACACCGCTGATTGGTGCGGAGCTGTGACGGTGGGTCCGATACTCATTATATTTTTTTGCCTTGCGACAAAATATCGATAGCTTCCACTCCCTCGACTTTCCCCCCAAAATGGATGCATTCCGCTTGTTGACCCGGTCAGCAAATTTCAAAAAGGCCTCTGTGCCGACAGCAGACTCTGCTGCTCGCCTACCCTCCGCGGGCACTGCAACCAACCCGCAGCTCTTCCGGACCGCCGAAGCCGACGAGCTCGAGTCGAAGCATGGCAAGAAGAGGAAGCGCTTGGCTGCTGCCGAAGACGACAGCGCAATCACAGCCGATCTGGACTTTTTCCATACCACCAAGCGCTCTGCTGCAACTGCACCCCCGACCGGCGCATCTACGACGAAGGATGATCAAACCCCCACAACTGAGCAACGCGATGACGACTCGGACGAAGAGGATACAATGGACGAAGTGGAATGTCGCACGATCTTGAACTCGCACAAGATCAAAGTGACGGATCTGCGTGATCTGAGTGAGATCCAGCCCACGGCCACAGAAAAGGAAAAGGAAAAGGAATCAAAGAAGAAAAAGAAGAAGTCTAAGAAGGACAAGGCGCCTGAACTGAGCAAGAAGGAGCAGAAGCGTGCCAGGCGCATGTTTCCGCAACCGCTTGTTTCTTTCAAGGAGCTTCGCACCCGATACAAGATCTCCAGTCGACTCGCCAGCAACGTCGCAGAGCAGGGATTTACGATGCCCACAGAAGTTCAACTGTCGTCTCTTCCGCTTTTGCTTGGAGGATCTGCGAAGAATATCTCCGAACCGGATCTGCTCGTTGTGGCCCCTACTGGTAGTGGTAAAACTCTATCCTTCTTGATTCCTGTGATCAATAAGATTGTCCGACACCATCACTCTGGTGCTGACGAGCATGGAATTCTGTCTGTGGTCGTGGTGCCTACGAAAGAACTTGCCAGCCAGATTGTCAACGAAGGACGGAAGTTGGTGGCAGGTACCGGTGTCAAGATCACATTGATGAAGAAGGGCATGCGGGTGGTTGAGAGTGAAGGAGCTACCGCGAATGAAGAGAGCGATGCATCTGGATCCGAAGACGAGGAGGAAGAGGAGGAGGGCAGCAAAGCCAAGAGCCAGAACAACTCCCCCGTCACCAAGAGTGATATCCTGGTCACTACTCCCCTGCAACTTGTCAACTCACTGTCTGCAAACCAGACGAAGCCCGTGGCAAGCATGCCATTAGTACGAAGCCTGGTCTTCGATGAAGCAGATGTCCTCTTGGACCCATTATTCCGCGAGCAAACACTCGATATTTGGCGTTCGTGTGTGCACCCGGACCTACGCGTGAGCCTCTGGTCCGCCACCATGGGTTCCAACATCGAGGAACTCACCCGTTCAACGATCAAAGAGCGCCTGGAAAACATTGGCCAGACTAGCAGCACATTGCACCCACTAGTCCGCCTTGTTGTCGGTCTGAAAGACTCGGCCGTTCCCAACATCGATCACAGACTGGTCTATGCAGCCACCGAGCAAGGTAAACTGTTAGGCCTCCGCCAACTTCTTCATCCCACAGCGGCTTCAGCCACAGATGTCCGCCTTCGACCTCCATTCCTCATTTTCACCCAAACCATTCCCCGTGCCGTTGCTCTGCACTCCGAACTGAAATATGATATCCCTGCTGAAGCCGGTGGTTCCTCCCGTATTGCAGTGCTTCACTCGGATCTATCTGATAACCAGCGCTCGGACATTATGCGCGACTTCCGCAAAGGCGAGATTTGGATCCTGGTGACCACTGACGCCCTGTCCCGCGGTCTGGATATCAAGGGACTAAACGGAATCGTCAACTACGACATTCCTAACTCGGCTGCGATCTACGTCCACCGTGCTGGACGAACAGGTCGTGCCGGTCGCGAGGGTGGCATTGCCGTAACATTCTACACCAAGGAAGACATTCCTTACGTCAAGAGTATCGCCAATGTCATCGACGCCAGCGAGAAACTCCGCGGAACGGACGGCGCAAAGTCTATCCAGAAATGGCTGCTCGAGTCTCTGCCAGATCTCAGCAAGAAGGACAAGCAGGAGCTCAAGAGACATGGTGTCAAGGCTCGTCAGCTCTCAAAGCAAATCGGTGGTAAGGAGGGCAAGGACAAGGAACAGGAGGAGAGGGAGGCACGGAAGGCCAGGATCAGTACGAAGAGCGGCTTTGAGCGTCGCTTGGAGAATAAGAAGAAGGGGGCTATTGCTGCCAGTCGCAGCAGGAAAGCTGCTGTTTCGGGCGATGCAGTGAGTGACGATGGAAGTTGGGATGGACTTGAGGATTAGACATTGTGTATAATGAGAGTTGGCATCGACCATGCCACTATAACGCAGCTCATAATCATCACGGCGTATAAATAAATCACGACTCGTTACTTTCCAGCACTTCCCCCAGCCTGACCTTGTCCTTGGCTCTGACTAGGAGCCGGCGGCTCCTCTGCAATCTTCCGGACAAGCGAAACAGGCACAAAAGCATTATCCAGCATATCCTGCTCCTCTAAAACTCGCACCAACTCATCCCCATCCCGATCATAATACAAAGCCCACTGGCCCTCTTCTTCTTCCACGGCATAGAACGCGTTCTTTTCCTCCAGCAGAAGAGTCTTCTCATCTTCCGTCCAATCCCACGGTCCGACGGTGTGCTCCACGCTTTGCGTCCGATTGCCATACCTCAACTCATGTGTGTCTTTATCTGCATAGATCCAGTTGAGGAGAGGTGGATTGGCGCAAACGTATGTAGGTAGACCTAAGCCGCGGTCTAGATGCTTCGTTTCATCTAGTTCGGGGTATTCGATGTAGAATGCCAGGGCTGTGAAGGAGGGTATTTGGCGCTCAGCTGGGTCGACCATGTCGAGATAGACCTTTTTTGTTTTTAGATTAGCTGGGCTGAGCTGGCTAGGGCATGGTATGGCTTGGCTCACCTTGTCATTCCGAACTACCACTCTCCTCCCATTTACATCGCGATCATCATCTGTATCTCCCGAGCACACGGATTCGATGTTGAACTTTACCATCCGTCGTGCATCTTCTTTGCGCTGGTTCGACTTGCGCTGCTCGCTGACGGCGAAGGCGGTGCCCGTCACGGTGGGGATGGAGGCTAGAAAAAGAAGGCCGATGACCATGGTGTCGGTTTATATCTGAGAGGGTATATATTTATGGCGCCTCTTTGTATAGATGTGTTCACTTTGTGGAGTTGTGGTTGCTGTGTAATGCGGCTGGATCATGGATGCCGCTGGCTATGCATTTCAGCCGGATGGTGGGTTGTATGGATTGCGCGAAAACTGAGCTGATCTCATGAGGCTCGTTAGATGGTTGACGAGGTGGAAATTGAGAAATTTGCGGGCAGGGGAACTTGAATGTTGAAACTGGTGGTGGTGGTGGCTTGTGTCAGTCTAGCCAATACGTCATCGCCCCACGCGACCAAAAGGGTCGTGCAACGTCGTTCAGGTTCTTCAATTCTCCCCATCAACTTCATCTTCCACATCTACTTCTACTATTGACTGCTGATTCTTATAAATGCATGTTTATTCTGGTTCTATCTCGATGCATCTGCCGGACGGACTCGGTCGTCTATGTCAAGCGTCCTCTATCGTGTAGTATCGTCTATTCGTGATTTCATATCGACCTCGCCAGAGAGCTGGGCCGCCTTTATACCTTCTCGCTCCATCCCCAGACAGACCACCAGCATTTCACAGCCAGTGCCTCGCCACTCGAGTTCTCCCAGTCATCATACCCGACTTCTTCGCCCTCCTCAACCACCGCCAGTCCAAGATCGAGCATGCGTTGCCTGAACTCAGCAACCTGAGGCAGGTATGCGGCGCGCAGGGGCATCTCTGTGACAACACGCGCGTCCAGACCACGACTAAACCACGGCCCAATGGTATCGACTAGCAGTTTGGGATGAAGTGGCGAATAGAGCGGATCAGCGGCGAGGATGACATCGAATCTCTCCTCCGCAGTGGGCAGAGGATTTGGCGTGACGGACCAATCTAGAACACCAGTTGTCACGCTCGCCCCGGTCGTTTTCATAAGCTCCACGTTTAGAGAGGCATTGTGGGCAAGGTTGGGCACGATCTCGGGCAAATCGGTCAAGTGGATGGTAGCCGACTTGCCCTTAAGCGCGGCAAAGGACAAACCGACCAGACCTGTTCCCGAGCCGAGTTCCAATGCTCGAAGCTGTTTGTCATTTGGGGTGGACGGCTCGGTCGAGCTTGTGGGGACGAGTTCTGCTGGCGATTCGAGCAGTTTGTGCAGCCGGCGGGAAAGGAGGTAGGAGGAGACCCACGTCTTCATGCCCAGGTTATCCGATGTGAGGGAGGGTTCGTGTAAGGTGAGTGTGTGCTCCTCGCCGGAGGAATTGGGGATGCTGAAGATGCGCGACATGGCCGGCATGGCTACGTTTGTTAGCAACTACACTCCACTACGGGGGTACGATGGCGCGGTGTTTACCGGTACGGCCAGATCGCTCACTCAGGCGGGCTGATGCCGCGTCCCAGATTGCCTCCTGCAGTTCCTCTGTGTCGAGCCATGAGAGCGGACTGGAGATGATGGAGGTGAGATAGCGAGTCACGCCTTCGGGCTGCACGGCGGGGCCCTTGACGGCGTCTGCGGTTATGCCGAACGATCGTGGTTGTAGAGTTAGCAGGGCCAGAGCCTTGAGCAGCTCGGTGCCGGAAGGCTTCTCGTAGATCTGGGGCAGATCGAGCACTGAGGCTTATCAGTCACTATCTTAGTGTAACAGCCACCCTGGGGCAGGCTGCCACAGTGGGTATGGCTTGTAGATAATTGGATGTAGTGCTTACCGTGTATAGGCTTGTCGGCTGCTGTTCCGATCATGATAGGCGTGTGTTCTCTGGGGATCCGAAAGGAACTCGCATCTGGGGAATTTAAATATCCAGGCGGCGGTGGCCATTTCACGCAACCCGCGGCAATTGTCCGCCACGCCAGAAAAAATCCCGATCGGGAAAGGCGTGTTTCGGACCCGCTTCGGGCGGCTTGCCGCGTGTGATTGGTGTGCGGGCCGTAGTCACCTGATATCAATCTCCCCGAGGCTCCGGGCCGAATCTGACCCTCCACCTTCAAACTTCAACGATTCGGGCTTCAATAAAATTCTAAAAAATTTCAAAAAATGGTTGCTAGCGAATTAAAATGTTTCCAAACCAGCATATCTAAATTTAAGCACGCTTTCCCATTATTTTGTCGACATCAACTTTGATTTCTTGCCTCGCCGGCCTCGCCCCAGATCTGGACTGTTCAGCTTTAAAAACAATCAGATTGACTCTCAAATGTGCAACAATTGAGCGAGCAAAAAGAATGGGGTCAACCGGGATCGAACCGGTGATCTTCCGATATCTTGATACTAACAATTGCTAGTCTTCAGTCGAACGCGTTCCCAACTATGCCATAACCCCACTTTTTAAACTTTTTGTCAGTTCTGACTATTTGAGCGAGCATCTGGATTCCCTTGAAGTATGGTGGAGATTTGGGAAGGTTTAGGGGGGCTTGTAGGACAGGAGATAGACTTGGAATACGGCAAGAAACGCCCCGACGAAGGTGTTGATTTTGTAGCAGACGAGGACTTGGCAGAATTAGCTATTCGACTTTTCTTCTTTGCCATCATCAAGGGTACACAAAAATGACTTTACTCGTGACTTTTGACTTGTCATTCAATCTGGTTTCAAATGTGACCACCACAAGTGATGAGTCTATGCCCCGCCTGCTGCTGCCGCTTTATAAAACGTGTCCGAGCCTATTATTGCCGATACTGTCGCAACTACTGTTGCCATTATTGCTGTAAAACTGCGGGATTAAAAGAGGGTATATGACTGATGAATTGCAGAATTCTCGTACGGCGCCACTTGGCTCTCTAGCTCCGAAGTATTGCAAAGAAGGCACCGAAAGATCAAGGTGTTTATCTTCTGGTCTGAAAACGCGAGAGAAGGTTCCGGCGAGGTTTATCCAATGCCGAAGCGGCTCTATCTCCCCGGCATTGTCGGCAGGGTCCTATTCCACCTGGGTAGACGGTGGAAGGTTTCTGCATGAGTTTGCAAAACACTATGACCGACACCCAACGGAGGCCCGCGTGAGCTTGTTACCTCTAATGACGCTGAATTTAAGATATCCAATTTTCCTGCGGTGATGATGACGTTCAGCCTGGCCAATTGGTCTAACTCGGAAGATACATGCCCAATCTTGAGCCACAAATATACCTGGGCATCAATCACCCTGAAATGGCTTCAGATCAATACAAGTACTCACCGAGTCTGGCCCTTCGATTGATTGCTTCACATAACATGGTTGCGACAATTTTGGCTTGCTGAAGCCCCGGTAGAATATCAAAACCAAAATCAACCCACGAGCATGGCAAACGAAGGGAAGAGAGCTAGAAAAGAGAAAGAGAAGAGGCATGGTAAAGACGCTTAGGCGCGTTTATATCACGTGATATCAGACATCCGCGGTCCGGGAATTTGACACCCACCTTCGAATATCAACGACCCTAGCCCCAATAAATTCCCTAAATATCTTAAAGATATGTCTCTACCAAACAAGAATGAATCCAAGGCAATTCCCTGCAAAAATATATCGTAATAAGCAATTTTTACTGAGATAATCTTCGAAATCTTTGATTTCTTGCAGCGGCCCGAATCTCCACCATTCGGCTTCAAAAAAAAAAACAGGAAAATCTACTTTCATATATCCAGAAATTGAGTCTCTTTCATCAAAGCGGCGATGATAGCTCAGTTGGGAGAGCGCACGACTGAAGAACAACTTCAATCAGCTGATACAAGCAAATCGTGAGGTCGCTGGTTCGATCCCGGCTCGTCGCATTTTTTTGATGTTTTTGGCCTCATTACTGCTTCTCAAGCCATATGATAACTTATTTTCAAGCTTACTACGGTGACGTATAATGCTGGTGAAGTATGTTTGTTTTAAGCCAATTTCCTGGGAGCTCCCAGGGCAAATTTTTGGAATGAAATGGGCAGACGCGAAGTGCCTCTGAGATTTTGATATCAAGTAATATCAAGTAACCATGCTCCTTGATCATGTGACGCAATCCCGATTGTTCCTTTCTGTCTTTCAATGTACTTTTTTTTCTATCCTCCTTGGTAGTATCACTGCGCTTCATTCCAGTTCCATTGGTTACAAGTCTTCGCAGAATCGCTGTTTTGGAAGACCAGTTTAAAATACTACATTGATCTGGTGCCCAGGTGTGTGCAATACCTACCTAATAACTAATAGGTAGTACTAGTCGTGTTGCTGTGGACAAAAATATATCTCCGACTCCGACTTGGAGTCCTTAGTACCTACCTAATAGGTAACCAGCTAGTAGTATTCAAAAGTTAGTGCCAGTGCTTTCTACCTGGAGTTCTGATAGACCTCCAGGGCTACTACCACGATTCTATATACATGCCCAGAATTAGTCATGAATTGGAAGTATAACCAATCGTTATCAGGCAGTATCTAATGCCCGTACTTATCGGCCGATGCCGAGTCCGGCGGTCGGAATGTGTGGCTCGGCCGCAAAGCAACCATTGGGCCTCTTCAAGAAAGTACACGCGACTGCTGCGGCTATTATTACTATTCAGGATCCCTTTATATGCACCTCGACCCCCCCGCAATGCCACCTGTATCATAACTTTCGATCATCACCATGCTGCCAGTGTGCAGACGACTCGGGCTCCGACGGCTCCCTGCCGTTCGTTGGCAGAGCACAGCCTCGTCATCATTTGTATCTCCATCGCCAGCTTCCACTGCGACCGTACATGGGTCTCCCCCACACGCCACCCCCCGCCTCACTGCCCTCAAATCCGCGAAGCCCTTCTCCCAGTTCCTGACCGACTCCTTCAATCGCCAACATGACTATCTGCGCATCAGCGTCACCGAGCGGTGTAACCTGCGTTGTCTTTACTGCATGCCAGAGGAAGGCATCGAGCTCTCGCCACAGCCACGCCTGTTGACGTCCCCGGAAATCTTATACCTGTCCTCCCTCTTCGTCTCGCAAGGCGTCACGAAGATCCGCCTGACAGGTGGCGAGCCTACGGTGCGAAAGGATATCGTCCCGCTTATGCAGGACATTGGCAAGCTGCGGCGTGATGGCCTCCGCGAGCTCTGCCTCACAACCAACGGCATCTCCTTGCATCGCAAGTTAGATCCCATGGTGGAGGCGGGACTGACTGGGGTCAACCTCAGTTTGGACACGTTGGATCCATTCCAGTATCAAATTATGACCAGGCGGAAGGGCTTTGACGCGGTGATGAAGAGCATCAATAGGATTCTGGAAATGAACAAGGTCGGTGCGGGAATAAAGTTGAAAATCAACTGCGTCGTTATGCGGGGTATGAATGACCGTGAGATCATCCCTTTTGTCGAGTTGGGCCGCGAGATGCCCGTCGAGGTGCGCTTCATCGAATATATGCCCTTTGACGGCAACAAGTGGAACCAGGGCAAGATGCTCCCTTATCAGGAGATGCTGGCGGTTATCCGGGAAAAATATCCCTCCCTTGAAAAGGTTACCGACCACAAGAACGATACCAGCAAGACTTATAAAGTCCCCGGGTTCCAAGGCCAGATGGGATTCATCACCAGTATGACGCATAATTTTTGCGGAACTTGCAATCGACTACGTATTACTAGCGATGGGAACCTCAAAGTGTGTCTCTTTGGTAATGCCGAGGTTTCTTTGCGGGATATAATTCGCCGAGGGAACGACGGACAGCCCATTGATGAAGACGCACTGAAAGAACTGCGACTACTGGAGAGCGTGCAGTCTGCAGCTCGCCTCAGCGACGAAGGTGGCCTCGTCAATGAGCGGGAGCGTGAAATTCTCGACGTCATTGGCGCAGCCGTCAAACGTAAGAAGGCGAAGCATGCTGGGATGGGGAAATTGGAGAACATGAAGAACCGGCCTATGATTCTTATCGGTGGGTAGGCCCGACTTCCCTTATGACTGGAATGATTTATGATACATATTCATGGACTGGTGTTGGTGGCAATGGATATTTGATACCATGTATATATGAATGAAGCTTCAATGACTCTGCTGATCCCCGGATAGATAGTAGACCGGCTTCTCCAAATTATAAACCGGGCGTGCCTGCACCTTCTTCCTGGTCGAGGGTCCCTTCGCATCTCTTTGCCATCCCTGGCCCCCTACAGGCCCGTTTATACCACAATGGCACTGGGCGTCCTTCAAACAATATTTCCACTGCCACTACCACCACCCCAATCGCCGATAATAAAAAATCGCATTCCCTCCCTACAGTCTCAGACCCCGACCTTCCCCACCTCACACCTTCACAAACCGTACACATGACACAGATCACGAAGAAACCCGAAACTGCACGCAAAGCCACGGCCGCCTGCGAAGTATCATTCTCAAATCCACGACCATGGGAACTACTCCGCAAAGGCCAAGGTACGCACAAAGGTGACGTATACAGCGTTGCCCGGATCGCAGGAATTATGGCAGCCAAACGCACTCCAGATATTGTCCCCCTGTGCCACCCGGGCATTGGTATTACAGGCGTCGAGGTGACAGTCGATCTGGTCGAGCCTGGTACCGAGCCTCAGGATCATGGCTCTATGCAGATAGTTTCGACTGTCAGTTGTTTTGGTCGAACTGGAGTCGAAATGGAGGCCATGACAGCGGCGACTGGGGCTGCATTGACAGTATATGATATGCTCAAAGCTGTTGACAAAGGGATGATCATTGGAGGCGTGCGATTGCTAGAAAAACAAGGTGGAAAGAGTGGGCATTGGGTGCGAGAGGAAGAATTATAATTGCTCGGAAATAGTGCTTGCTAAGATTGGGTTCAGTGGTGAGGCCACATGGTCGAGTGTTGTTAGAAGGACCACCCCTTTTATTAGTTAAACACTCGTTTGCTTCCTGAACTACGGCAATTCACAGGCCCAGATTAGTATGTAATTAACATACACATTTGGATATCCGCTACATCTAATGCAACCCAGACGCCTAGCCACATTGTCCTCCACATCATCTTAATCTTATACTAGATAATTAGGCGTCTTTCTGGTGCTAGTAGCAATAGGTTTCCTACTTGTACTGAATTGTAGGTAGCATGACTTCTAAGATTGATCTCAGAAAAATATTCAATATTATATCAGATCGTGATTGATGGTGAAGAATAGATAATATTCATTTCCATACTTTGATCTTCACAATCCTTCTTATACTTCAAGCTCGCATTGTTCCCGCCAAGCCGCCTCGATTCTCCGGAGCTTCACCGTTTTTTTCTCTGCATGCGCCAACTCATCTCCTTTCTTTTCCTTAAATTTCCGACGGACTGCAGGCGAAACAATCTTACGCCCAGCTACTAGTACGCGAGTCATTCCACACCGTCTCAGCCCTATCTGATTTATTTCCAAGGGGCGAAGTGGGGCTTTGCCGTTATCCTCAAAAAAATTCATCAACAATTAGGAACCCACATTTCGCGTGAAACGGGTTGGCCCCTTTAAGCATGAATACCACCCTTCTCTCCTTCGCATCTGCTCAAATAACTCGGGGCCGTTAGTGGATAAAAGTCCAACCCCCGGGCGTGAAAGGCACTCGATGCATGGATTACACCTACACTTCAGCCTACCCGCATAACTACACCGACAAACTGGCTGGGCAAGACTAAGCTGATTCTTTGTTCGCCGAAATGAAAATCCACACCCTGCTGATTCGTATGTCGAATATACCGACTCGAAGGCCTCTCACTCACTGATTATCGCAGCACGAGGGTGGCGAAGCCCCATCGGTCGAGTTTTGACAGCCGTTCTTCCGCCCGCTAACTTCCTGACACTGCATTACCTCTACTTCATCGGAACTTGCCTGATAAGCAGTTTTATTTTCTACCTCACATCTACACCATGGAAGAGTGTATCCTACGTTGATGCCATTTTCCTGTGCGTGTCGGCTATGACCGGGGCGGGCCTGAACACTGTATGCCATTGGACAAGACCACACCATGCATGAAGCTTCTAACAGTAATTAGGTCGACCTGTCAACTTTGAACACATTTCAGCAGGCCATCTTGTTCATCCTGCTGATTATTGGCTCCGCCATTCTCATCTCCAGCACTGTGCTGATGGTGCGTAAGCGGGCATTCGAGGCTAAACTAAAAGGTGTCTCGGATGAACGCGAGGCTTCCAGGGAGGCTTCCAGACGTGCCTCAGTCTTGGAACTCCAAACGGGAAATACGGATGTCTTAGAACATTCCCCTTCCGATGACGACCACACCCTGTATCGCAAGAAGTCAGCCACTGTCCACGTCCAAGAAGCTTCGGCGGAATCGTCTGCCCGCCATGATCAACATTGGGTAGACGATGACCAAGTCACAGTGGCAGATCTACACCTACGAAACCATCGTCAACACTCTCTGTTCCCTATGGCGGGTGTTGGTGCCCGACCAGATCTTCAAAACCACCCCCGCGACGTGGCTGGTCCAATGCCTCTATATGCCGAAGATGAAAACCCAAGCTTCAAGCATAAAATGATTCGCGGCACACAGAAGTACTTCTTGTCTAAGGGGAAGATATCGCGCAACTCACAATTTCATGGACTGACATCTGCTGAGCGCGAAGAGCTTGGTGGCGTCGAGCTCAAAGCAGTTTCCTTTCTCTCCGTTGTTGTCTCGCTATACTTCGTCATGTGCCTCCTGCTTGGTATCATTGGCATGGGTGCATGGCTGCAAGCGAACCACCCTGATGTTGCTGAAGTGAACGGACTGAATCCATTTTGGACAGGTGCCTTTTTTGCCGTCTCGGCTTTTGCGAATAGTGGCATGTCTCTACTAGACATGAACATGACCGCCCTGCAATTAAAGTGAGTGTACTATACACCTTATCCACTGGTAACCCTACTGATATTTTTAGTGCCTACCCCCTCATCACACTGGGATTCCTCATTCTTGCCGGAAACACACTTTATCCCTGCTTTCTGCGGTTCATCATCTGGACCATGCGAATGATGATACCGGACCGACCAGCGTGGAAATCATGGCGCCTTACTCTAGATTTCATCCTCGAGCATCCACGGAGGGTATATACCAACCTATTCCCAGCTCGACATACATGGTATCTCCTCGGTACAATCATAATCCTCAACGGCATTGACTGGGCCGGTTTCGAAGTCCTCTCCATCGGAAACAAAGAAATCGAAGCCCTCCCATCCAAGTACCGCGTCCTGGACGGCTTATTCCAAGCACTAGCCGTTCGTGCCGGAGGCTTCTACGTGGTCACAATCGCCGACCTGCGCCAGGGCCTATTAATCCTCTACGTGCTTATGATGTACGTCTCAGCGTACCCAGTGCTCCTCACGATACGCAACACCAATGTTTATGAGGAACGTTCACTGGGAATATACGCCAACGATGAAAGCGAAGAACCCGCCAACACAAGTCGGAGCAATGTGCTCATGGACATTATCCGGCAGCACATGGGTCGTCCGACACTAACTGAGTCCTCGCGCGGATACTTCGTGCATCAACAACTGCGTTCCCAACTCAGCCATGACATATGGTGGATTGCGCTCGCGGTACTTTTCATAGCGATAGCCGAGAGCGACCACTATAAGAACCAACCGGTCGCATTTTCGACATTCAATATCATCTTCGAGGTTGTTTCTGCGTACGGATGTGTCGGCGTGAGCGTTGGGTATCCTGGGAAGAATTATAGCTTCTGCGGGGCTTGGCATACTATCAGCAAGTTGATTCTTGCTGCTGTTGCTCTTCGTGGACGTCATCGTGGGCTACCTGTTGCCATTGACAAAGCTATTATGTTGCCAAGTGAGTCTTTGGCGTGGGCAGAGGAGGAAGACGCTGCGATGAGAAGGGAGCGAACAAGGGCCTGGGGCCAGGAGAGAATGCCCGTGGGATCTGTGTAACCTCACTCAGTTCCCTGGGAAAATACTAACGACGTCAACGATTGCTAGAATAGACTTGCATAGCAGATTTGAGATTACTAGTAGCATCACTACCTTTGCTGCTTGAACACGATCACTTGAATTCTTGTAGCGGTGGGCTTGTAATTTTTCCGATTTTGTATACTACTAAACAATGGCCATTGCCTACGCATACCTACCTAGGCTAGTAGCTACCCAGTTGCCAAATTACTTCTTCGTACTAGTCAAAAGTAGAACTTGTAGTCGGCTGCTATAAGCATTGCACTACTATACTACATGAATTTTGCTTATATCAGATATCCTTAGAAACCTCGTAGCTGCAGTAACGCCAATTCTTTTGATGCCTAGGTATAAACACATGAATTTACAAATTAAACAAGACTAGACTACTCCTCTTCCATCTCTCCCTCATCCTCATCCTCACTCTCCTCCTCCATCTCAAGTTCCTCTTCATCCTCACTCTCAATCTCTCCCTCACCCTCACTATCATCATCACTGCCAAAGTCATTCATCAATTCATCGTCGCCTCCCTTCTTTGCCTCCTCCCGCCTCTTCTCCTCTTCGCGGCGGCCCTCTTCAAGGATAGCAGCGCGCTCCTCGCGGAGTTTCCGCTGCGTCTTGACAAAGGCACCGATGGGAGTAGTCTCCCAGTCCACGCCCTTCAGGAAAGTGTCCACCTCTGTGCGATTGCGCGGGGTGAAAGTGACGTTGGCACGACGCTCCTCAATCCAACGGGAGTTAGCCTCGACCTTCTGCACAAGCAGGAGAATCATTTGGTTGATCTTGGCGTTCTTGTTACCACCCGAGCGGGCTGAGACCTGCTTCAACCAGCGCTTAAGCGAAACGATGACAGGGACGGACAGCTCCGGGAAGGCAATGTGCTTGGACCAGAGGACGAAGAACTCAGACAAGAGTTCGGCAACCTGCTCACCGACGCCGTCTTGGTAGGTACGCGAACGCAGGTAGGACTTCGGGGCGCGAATGGCGGTGTTGAAGTCGAGGGGGCGGAGGGTGCTGGACTTGGGGGACTTGCGCATCTCGGCGGAGTTGAGGACCTCCAGTAGCGACGAGCCGAGCGGGATATAAGTACCGGTGGAGCGAGAGATACGCAGAAGAGCCCGAGTCATTTGGAAGCGAAGAGGGAAGTACTGCGCGGTGGGGATGAGGCGCATGGCGCCGAGGGTGATTTGGACGACAGGGTAGATAAGAGGGCGCAGGGCGGATTGCTTGCCGGTTTGAGCCTCGACGAGGCCGTCGCAGTGCTGGGAGAGCACACGGGACCAGAAGTCCAGAGAATGCACGTATTGCCAGTTGTAGATGGTCTTGTACGACTCCTTGGAGGTGTTGGTGATGCTGCTGCGCAAGTGCATGGCCAATTGGCGGATGAAGCTGAAGCCAGCGGTGTATGAAACATTTTGGTCGATGCCCCAGATCTCGGCGGCGGAGTTCTTCATCAGGTTGACACCGGCCAGGGTGTGGACAGTGGTGTTGCGGCTGCCCTTGACGACACCCTCGTAGGTTGCCTTCAGCACGGTCTCCTTGATACCGGCATCACCTACAACCATGAGGCGACGCAGGAGAATGAAAGCAGTGATACGAGTGGCATCAGCAGTGGTGACATCAGCCCAGATAGCAACGACAGTCTTGATTAGAGTCTTCAGGACCTTGCGGAACTGCAGCAGATATGGCAGCATGGGCTCCATAGCGGACAGTGTCATCTTAAGGGTCGATGCATCGGAGAGGTTGAGCAGAAGCTGGTGAACTGAGGAGGTGTAGGACTTGATCAGAGGAGTGAGAGTCTTGAACTTCTTGGAGTCCATCGACACCTTGATCTTGCCGCCCGCAGTCTCCTTGACGGGAAGGTGGTGCGAGAGAACCTTGGGCACGACATTCAACGATGTCATGAGAACCTGGTGGTAGACCTCGGGGCTCTTGATTGCGTACTTCTGGTCCTCGGCCTCGGCCTCGTTGACAAGAGCAGCGGCACGGAAAGCGAGAACGGTCTGGCGCATGGCCCGGATCGAGTATTGCTCCTTCATCAATGCTTCCCACTTCTGGATCATGGGGATGGTCAATGTGTTTTCCTCGGGATCCTTGTCCTCCTCATCGTTCTTCTTGGACTTCTTCTTCTTTTTCGCAGGGCCTTCCTCCTCCACCGGCTCGCCTTCACTCAACTCATCGACCTCTGAGAGATCGCCGTGGTTGGTAAAATCGAGCAGGTCGGCATCGTTCTCCTTCAGATACTTGTAGAACTCGGGGTCCTTCTCCTTCAGCGCCTCGAGCTGATCCTTATGTTCGTCGAATGCATCGGCGTCGCTGGCATCGTCGTCGTTGTCGCTGGCTTCGGCCTCTCCCTCAGCCTGGTCCGCAGTGCGCTTCCGCTTGCCGATCTTGGGGGTGGTGTCCTTCTTGCTAGCCTTCTTATCGGTGGGGATGTCGAAGCCACCGGCAAAGAAATCATCAACGTTCATCTCGGCATAGGCTTTCTGCTTCTCGATCTGCTCCTCGGAGGGCTGGTTGGCTGCCTCATGGGCCTCGCGACGGCCGGCACTTCGCTCCTTGCGCTTGTCATTTTGTTGGGCGCGTTGCTTGCCCTTGGCATTGGTCTTGCGGCGCTCAAGGATATCCTTGAGATGCCGTTGCTCGAATTTCTTGGTAGACTTTTTCGTTCCCATTGTGAGGTTATGGTGCTGTTTGATAGCAATTGAGTCTGCGGGAAAAAAAATTTGGGCTCAGGCAGATCGGTGCTGACCGCCGAGTTCACCGCCTTGTGATAAGCCGCGGAGGAGCTTCGGAGCCACCTTGAGGCACCCTGGCGCATTTACCTCAAACACCTTACGACAATTGATACCTTTTCTGGTTACTGGGCTGTGCTGCTAGGCCATCTTCTAGGCCATCCGCTTCCCGCAATGTATTCCCAGCGTCCCCTCTCTTATGCACCAACCCCCTACAGTTACACCCCCAACCCCGCCCGCTCGGCCTCGATCAATCTGGATGAGGTATGCATGTTCGTGGAAGAAAGACAAGGCCTATTCTAACCATCACTAGGAAGTCAAGCTGGTGTCAAGCTCCGGAGAGCGCGATCTCTACGAATCCCTTGCCGAAATCTACAGCATTATCGTCACGCTTGACGGACTCGAAAAGGCTTACATCAAAGACGTCGTGACCGAGACAGAATATACTGAGACATGCACGCGGCTGCTGAAACAATACAAATCGAGTTTGGGCGATGAGTCTGTATCGCAAACCTTTGTTGACTTGGAGACATTCAAGCGATCGTGGGGGGTAAGTCTGATCCCATCTTCACCAGCGGTTCATGTCTCATACAATGCACAGCTGGAATGCCCCCGAGCTACAGAGCGATTACGGATTGGACTGCCCGCAACAGTTGAGCAGGCTTCACATCACACACCGGCAGCCAATAATGCTACTTCCGGAGGTGCCCCCGGTGCATCGGGCAGTCTCATCCTTGCAGCCACGGAGAATTTCATCACCTTCCTCGACGCATTGAAATTGAACATGGTGTCGAAAGATGCACTTCACCCACTTCTCTCCGAGGTAATCCAGTCTGTCAATAAGGTGACGGATGGGGAGTTCCAGGATCGTGGGAAGATCATTCAATGGCTGATTGCGCTAAACCAAATGCGTGCGACGGAGGAGCTTAGTGAAGAACAGGCGCGAGAGCTGGCATTTGATATTGAACAGGCCTATCAGGGCTTCAAGGCTACTCTGAACTAACCTTGGAACCATCTGTCTCGGTAGATGATGATGCATTCACGATTGACGACATAGTATACCCGGAATTCCAGAAGCTCTGCTTCTGAAATCCACACTGCTTCGAATTTTCTTTGATCGATGTTATCCGTTAGCAGTAGATCTTCCCACATAAAAACCAAAATGATTATGGGATGGCTTCTGCTAGTAAGATCCATCCTATTAGGTACCTATTCTGGCTTCAAGGTTATATCATTACCTAGCTACCAGTCACTGAGATATTTAGTACTGGTATTTACTCAAGTACCTACCCAGCGGTAAGAAAGTAGGATTATGGCCTCCTACTGTAGCTCATGGTCATATACATACATCACCGTTCATAAATAGACAGGATAGGGTGTTCTAATAGCCAAAGGGGTGTCCACTTAGAAGTACCCGGATGGACGACAGAACAGATACTAGTAGGATCTCTTGTATTCTTTTGTACCAAATTCATTCTGGTTTACACTGTAATACTACCTAACCTTAATTCAGTACTCAAAACCTCAGTCATGAGCTTGGTATTCAAATCCGCATTCAATTCTGTACTAAAATAGCGAGGGTAATAGAAAAGGGAGAAATAGGTCTCCGATGGGTCCCCCAGCATCACCAACATTGCGAAACCACCACATAAAACCTCGCCAAGACGTCTACCAATACCACCTCATTCCCATGAGTCAAGGAGCATCCGTGGGATTATCCAAATATTCCCCACATATTCTCCATGTGTCACTGTCTCTGCTTTTCGTTGTCGGCTACCACCGCTCCCAAAAATCCACTAAACCGCATTAGGAGCCCGCGTGGCGAACAGTGCGATGTTCTTCATGTTCCCCCTTGATATGTGCATGGTTTACGAGGCAATATCGAATTGTGGGGCCCTAGTGGCTCATCGTGACACCTTTATGCACACGAGAATTCAAGCGAATGATTTTGCAATCCGTTTGAATCCATCCGAGGGTTACCGTAGGCCGTATAATAAGGGATCAGCCCGCACAGTTCAATCAATTCCACACAACCAGGTCGCTACTATACTCAATTCGATGTGAATTCTGACAGAATGACCTCAGCCCCTACCATTCTTGCAACCTGCAAACAAACGCGATTTCATCTTCTAGATGATAACCCTTCCGCCGAGGTAGGATCCAACGTACTCTCATCCACCTGACCTTAATTTGACGCTCAACCATCCTTCACCAGGTCGATGTAGCAGGTCTTGGAATCACCGTTGCATCTTCTTCCCCCGAGTCTACGGATGATGCATCAAAGTCCAAGCTTAAAGGGAAGTCCAAGGCCAAGACGCAGGGCAAGGAGCTTCTTCTTGATGCGCACCTACGGCTGAAAGGGGGTATACGCTATGGACTTCTCGGGCGCAATGGCACTGGAAAGTCCAGTAAGATGATCCCCTTGCCTCAAAAAAAAGCCATTTTACTGATCATTTCTAGCCCTTCTCCGGGCAATGGCCGAGAAACTCATTCCTGGCATCACACACCCTACTCGCATTTCTATTCTCCAACAGATTGATGGTGAGTATACTGCTGGAGGCACAGACGGACTCAGTCTTGAAAAAGGCGTCCTCGAGTCAGTTCTCAGCAGTGATGTGGCTAGGAACCAAGCATCCCGCACGGCGGATTGTAAGCGCCTCTCTCTCTCTCTCTCCTCCTCCTCCTCCTCCTCTCCACCGCTGCAAAGCAAAGCTAATATTGAGCAGTGCTGTCAAAGAGTTTCGAAACAGAAGATCCGCTACATCCAGTCCAAGCTATTCGCGAAATCCGACACGAACAGGCGATGAGGAAGTTATTCCTTGCCCAGAAGATGGCAAACTTGAAGAGTGGTGCGCGGGGTCTGCAAGCAAGGAAGGATCTCAAAGCAGCTGAGTCAAATTTGGAGACCTCTCAAGAAATGTAAGCCCCCCCCCGGGAAAATAACTCGGTATATCGTCAAATCCTAACTTCGACAGACTCAACCAAGATCCAGAAAGCATCGATGCCGACGCCCTCCAGACCGATACCCAAGCTGCAATTGAGATGCTGGAGACAGTCCAAAGTCGACTCGAAGCTGTAAGTAGCCACTTTACTTTTGCTATTTCTACCATCTCACATGAATAGATGAAACTATCCGACATGGAGAAGGAAGCCCGAAAAATCCTCCTCGGTCTAGGTTTCAAAGAAGATACCCTCGAGAAGAAGGTCTCGACACTGTCCGGTGGATGGCGAATGCGATGCATGCTAGCGAGCGTTTTGCTACAGGGCCCTTCAACCGATATCATGATACTAGACGAGCCGACCAACTTCCTCGATCTGTTGGGTGTCATCTGGCTAGAGAATTACCTCCAAGCCATGAGCGAAACATGCCAAACGACCATTCTGCTAGTTTCTCACGATAGAGATTTTATCAATTCTGTCTGCGAAGAAATTATCATCATCCGCGACCAAAAGTTGAACTACTTCAAAGGGAATCTCGCGGCGTATGAGCAAGACTTTGAAGAGCAAAAGCTCTACTGGGGCCGGATGAAGGAGGCACAGGAAAAGCAAGTCGCGCATATGGAAGCAAGCATTCGCGAAAACATCAAGGCAGGCAAAAAGACCAATGACGACAACAAGCTTCGTCAGGCCAAGTCTCGACAGAAGAAGGTTGATGATCGTATGGGACTCCAGGTGAATGCCAAAGGTGGCCGATTCAAGCTGAATCGCGATCTGGTCGGATATCATCTTTCTAGTCGTGCTGAGATAGAAGTTCCAGAAGACGAGCGAGGAGCATCAATGAGCATTCCTGATGCGACAGAGCTACGATTTCCGGGGCCGTTGGTTTCGATAGAAGGGGTTACCTTCCAGTATAAGAGGAATGATAGGATCATCCTGGAGAACATCAATCTAGTGATGCATATCGGGGACCGTGTCGGCATTGTGGGTTTGAATGGCTGCGGCAAGTCTACTCTGGTGCGCATCTTGATGGGAAGTAATGTGCCTTCCAAGGGTAAGGTGACTACCCACCCCCGATTGAAAGTGGGATACTATGGGCAGCACTCTGTAGAAGAGCTTCAGGAGCGGGGAAAGGGAGACCCATCTCTCACGGCCCTTGCATTGTTGATGGCGGAGGTGGAAGGGTCTTTGAATGAGGGGGCTGTGAGAGGAATGCTCTCTTCTATGGGTCTACCTGGTAGGGTTGCATCGGATGTTCCAGTCAACAAGCTATCCGGCGGGCAATTGGTAAATGAAACCCCTCACGCTTTTTTTTTTGGCATCACTAACAGGCATAGGTCCGTCTTGCCTTGGCCAGGATTGTCTGGAGTGCACCACAGCTCCTCGTCCTTGATGAAATAACCACCCATCTTGATTTCCACACGGTTACTGCGCTCGCAACGGCTCTATCTTCATTTGACGGAGCTATTCTGCTTGTCTCTCACGACCGGTTCTTGATCAGGTCAGTCATTGAAGGGAAACGAGACATCGACCACAAATTGGACGAGGAATTCGAGGGGCTGGAAGAAGAGGAGGCTGAAGAGTCTACTACTCGCCGTCGTTCGGTCTATGTCTTGAAAGCTGGGAAGATGGTTGCGCAGTCAGATGGAGTGGAGCAGTTTGAGAGGAGTTTGGTGAAGCGAGTACAAAAAATGTTGAATACGGGATAAGTCACTCATTCAGCAGTGTATTTATCAATTCTAGGTAATTTCACCGGAAACTATCTTATACAACTGCGAAGAAAGGAAACAAGGGAAGGTCAAAAATTGTCGCATCTTCCTCAAATGCATCACTTCTGACTATATATCACCTGGGCATGCAGTGCGGCTCAATTCACTGCGTTGCCGCCACCCCTACTACTATAGTCTGCACCTGCGAAACAACACCACCCAAGGAATCATCTTTATTTGAGTTACTATTAATGAAAACTCCAACAGGAATAAACCGAGCAGAGTGAAAACTTTGTAATGGAATTTTGGATTTCTAATAGAGATATCCTATTACCAAGCTACCGGACGAGCGGACGAATTGGTCCGGACTTTAGCATAGTATAAAGGCCAGTGTCGAGGTTATCTATCGCATGCTACAGATACAGCAAAAAAAATTCAATCACTCACAATGGCCACCAACAGACTCGTGAACAAAAATATCCTCCTGTTAGGTGGAACTTCTGGCATTGGTTTTGCAACCGCCGAAGCCGCATTGGCCAACGGAGCCAACATCACCATCAGCTCTTCTTCGGAAGAGAAAGTGGCAAGAGCACTTAAGCGTCTGCGCGAAAGCAACCCAAATCGATCTTCTGCTATCCGTACCTACGTTGCTGATCTCAGTATCAAAGAAAAGCTGGACACGACAGTCGAAGCCCTCCTCAAATTTACTGCGGAGATCTCTCCTATAGATCACATTGTCTTCACTGCTGGAAACATTCCGCCTCTTGCTTCGTTACCGGAGGCTTCTTTTTCCGATCTTGAAGCCTTCATGACCGTCCGAGTTTATGGGGCTATAGCCGTCGGCAAACATGCTTTGAAATACATGGCTTTCGGCAAAGAATCCTCTATTACTTTAACGAGTGGAACCCAAGCTCGAAAGCCATCTCACTGGCTTCCACCTGTTGTTGCTGGATCCGTTGAGGGTCTCATGAAAGGACTAGCAGTGACACTATCGCCTGTGCGAGTCAATGTTGTCTCACCTGGGCGTATAATAACGGAGCTCTTGGACCGCATTCCGAAGGAGATGCTCAAACAACAGTCAGAAAAGGCTAAAGATTTGTCCCTCACCAAGGATGTTGGATATCCTGCTGACACTGCCGAAGCTTATTTGTATCTGATGAAGGATTATTTCGCTACGGGGTCGGTGGTCACCACTAATGGTGGAGTTTTATTAGTCTAGTGCTAATAACGGAACCAGCGAGGTAGAGTCCTTGGAAGCAATACTACCGAGATGGAAGAAAAAGCTATTTTCCATTCCCCGATTCTTGTCTAGGTGGTGAGCATTACTAGCTGATCTATTTCAATGTGTCTACTTCTTGAGCATAGTGGTACTAGTAGTAACTTGGGGTCTACATCGCTGCGATCAACTCAGGCTGCCGCCGTGCTCCGAGTTCTTTCTCATCAAAGAATTAATGCCGAGCAAGAGATTGATTCTTTGCTTTCAACTTGAAGGTTTTTGGTTCGATTCTATGGATAAAAAGACATATCGTCCAATTTGTTCATTCATATTTACAGTGAAGCTACCTAGACTTCAATTGTTTTCAAAAAGGCAGGGCTTTCGTAGCCGTCAACCACCTTAGAGATAGGCGTATAGTAAGCCTCGGAGTTCTCCTGGCTTTCCTGAAGCCGGCGAATATATGCTTGAGCAACCTTGAGCCATACGGCTTTCTCTCTTGCACTGGCGCCAGAGCCTTGCCAAACCCATACTCTGGTGTTTGTGTCATAGAGAAAGACATCGTTACTATCCAGATCCGACCTGCGGACTTTCTCCCCGTCTTTGACGATATCAAACGTAAGCTGACCCGAGCCATCACTAAGCCGGAAAAGCTTCTTCGGAGAGTCACTGCGCTCAGCGTCTTGCTTCTGGAAACGACCGGGCCGAGGGCAATGGAATGTTCGCTCAAAGACGTCCTTGCCGCCGAGAAGATCAACGAAAATCTTGGATCTCGACTCGTGCTGCGAAATGATTTCGAGATCGCGATGGAGGTTGATTGTCAGATCATTCACAACCTGAGCTGCCTTTGCCTTTTCCATAGGGCTGCAGTCCTTGCCCTGCCAAACAAACAGCTTCTCCTTCTCGCCTTTATCTAGAACGAACACATCTTTATCATCGAGAGACTCCCAAGTGGGCTCCACTTCGTGCACGATGATTGTGCGAGATGTAGGGCCCTTCTTGAAGATACGCAGCAGGGTTGTGATTTCCTTCGGCTCCTCAGGCTCAACATGAGTAAACCCGCTTCGAACTCCACCCTTTCTGATTTGATAGTGGGTGAAGAGCGCAAGGAACTCGTCAGAGGGATGCGCTTGGACTTCACGGTGCTGGGTAGCCGCGCCGTGGAGAAACTCATCCAATTCAACCGTCTTGTAAGCCGCCGTTCCAGCCTCGTCCTGTGTAGTCTTGCTTCCGAGCCAGAAGAAGATATCATGCCCAAGCTTATTGTCGCCGACCTTGTACGAGTGTAGGACGATGAAGCTGTCGCCGTCGTAAAATTGACCAGTCTTCTCCTTGGGCCATGGAATGACTTCAAAATTCTCGATACGCCAGACATGAAGGCCTGGCTCTTGGCCTAGACCTTGCCACGCAGGTTCGGTCACAGCGGAATTGTACTTGACGCGGTGGTCAAGGTCGCTTCCGATAAGCTCGACATTGCTGTCTTTGATATCGTATTCTTTGAGGTGGACGAGTCCTTCGTGGGGCGGCATTTTGTATATGTGTGTGCGATTGAGGAGGGAGAGGAGGTTGTTGGAGGAGTGAGGTTTATTGCCTTGTGCTTGATGTATGTATGCGGAATGCAAAGGTGAATTGCCGCGGAGCTGAGGCTCACCCCCGCGGTTTGTGGCTGTGTAGCCACAATCAGCCACTCTACGTCATTCCTAATTTTAGAAACTTGGCCTATAATGTACATATCCTTATGCATTTGAGTCTACAGAACAAAGGAAGAATACGCTATATGGAACGACATTAGCGCCCCCGAGCAAAAGCAGTGTTCTCCTGAAGTGGAGACAAAATATGTCTGTACTTTGTATCCGGAATGCTTGAATTGTGGTCGGTATCCCAAGAATTGGAGAGAATCGGGAACGTCATTTAGCCTACAAAGAATAGGAAGTAGAATGGAGTCTGATTTTTGAAAAAAGATCAACGCAGTAAAAGAGCAAATTAGATAATTGATGGCGGGGAAGCGACTAGACCGCGAACAGAAAGTATACAGTGGTCGTTGAGTATAGGAAATCGCAGTATCGAGAAAAAAAAGATGGTGTTTTGACGTTGTCTTCTGACACGACGCACTCACATGTAATTGAAGTAAGCTTAGCCGAGACATCATGGGAATATTAAAATCAATTCCCCGAAAGAGATTATTTGTGCGAGGCTAGGTAGGTGGTATTATTTGTAATTTGGCCCAGCCATGAAGGGCATAGCTGCAAGCCCGAGAGACGAAGCCATTTTGAGAGCGTCCGTTAGAGAACTTTGCTAGGAGGTCAAGGCAGACTAATCCCCGCAATTGATAAAGCTTTATGTTCATGGTGCAAATCCTTCCTCGTTTGCCATGAACAAGCATTGCTAAGCTTTGCTGGTGATTCCACGTCATCTGGAACGCCTTGCAAGGCTAGTGTGGGACTGACGTAGATGCAGATACCCCACATCTTGTTGCACGCATCTCTCAAACCTGCAGCCAGCTCAGCCCGTTGAACGCCAACAAAGATATGTCTTGTTTTTATGCCACGCTAATTAATTCGAATTACTTTGACCCCAACATTTTGCGCACGGCCGTACGTAGAGACATGGCTTCTTTTGAGCGCTAGAGGCTGTCCAGGCTTGATACTACTTTCCATGATTATTGATATTCAAAGAAATGAAGCCGGATAGACAGAAGTAATGACGATTATAAGATAGTTCCTGTTATATCGTGGTAGAAGGGAGGCAAACAAGGGTTGATGCGGGTGACGTCACTTGGCTTGGTAACATGGTAGGGCTGAGGAACAAGGCACAAAATGGGATTGGTTATATTTCATAAAACATCTCGAAAGCTGCCAGTCTAGGCATCAGCATTATCTTCGATCGGATTCGATAGAAAACTCAGCTAGTGAGGGTCCCAAGTAATTTCCAAAGTTGAGCTTTGCGTGCCTGGGGTCTTGAGGACTCCAAATCATTTCCTACGTCATCCATTGCCCCGTCATGGACAAAATAATCATTGAGATGGGCGGTAGTCCGCAATTTCTCAGTGGATACATTCTTCCAAGTGCGATCACTTCCATTTTTCTAGTAGCTGCACTTACCTTTTTCTTTTGGCAATCACCAACGGAGTCAAATCAATTTCGCATCAACATGGAGTCCAATGCGACTGTAACTTCAGAACTAGCTAAGGATCCGAATCAGAGAGCCTCATCAGTCTTTAAGAGTATATGCCGTGATCACCACCATATCTCGAATGGCACGAAACAAGACTCCTCAAACCCAACGCAGGAAAGTGACGAGGGGTCTCACGAATCAAGTACATTCGAAAAGGCGCGAGCCCATGGAAAATGGGGCACAGCAGAGCCCAGTGAGATATTTCTTCGAGTGAGTATCATGACTATTAAGACAATTCTACGACAAAGACACCCTAACTCGATTTTCTCAAACCAGGTATACCATGATGCTCTGACCGCGGTTGAAAAGAAGCCCGAAACTGGAGTCGTGTCCCCTTCCCTGCTAGGAAGTACCGGAATAGTCCCTCTCACAATCGTTTCGCCTCTACCTGATCTTTGCCGCCACCTCGGAAATTGCATTGCAAGAGCTGAGCATGAGGTTTTCCTTGGCACAAACTTTTGGATACATTCTGGTGCCTCCACCCTAGTTACCAATGGAATTCGTGAGCTTTCGAAACGAGCAGGCGAACGTGGACAAAAGGTTGTGATGAAGATGGTGTATGATAGGGGAGACCCTCGTCAGGTTAGTGTTATTGCGGTGTTATCGAAGTGAGAGTACTAACGTTCGCAGTTGTGGGATAACCGATTAAGCGTCCACGAAGACAACTACACCAGCGATCAAGTTAACCTCCCACACCCCAACGAGTGAGTTTTCCACAATGAACCCATCATTTTCGCTGCTGACATCTTTCTCAGAATTCCCAATGTTGATCTCCAGGTGATCAACTTCCATCGCCCATTACTGGGCACTTTTCATGCCAAGTTTACCGTTATAGACCGTCGCATTGCCCTTTTACAAAGCAGCAATATCCAAGATAACGATAACCTCGAGATGCTTACCCACATCGAGGGTCCAATCGTTGATTCATTTTATGACACGGCTTTGCTATCATGGGGCAAGCCACTCGACCCGCCTTTTCCTTCTTTGAGCTCGCCGGCCTCAAATGCGCCAATTCCTTCTCATGCAAAAGAGGAGAAGGAATACCCCGAGAAAAACCTGCAAGATCTACCAGAGCATACGACAGAGTCTCAGCACTACGATGATAACCTCGACCTTGAGGCGCAGAGGGTGAACCACAGCATTGCACCTCGTGGAGATGAGACACCGACTCAAGCAGTGACGCGACATTTGAGTATGTGAAATTGAAATCCTGAAACTACCATGAGTATCAAAATTGACTATTTCAGACACAACTATCCAGCCTGACACAACTGGTGATGCACCTGACACTGACCAAGATCCGAGAATGAAACTTTACTCCATCTTGCCTCGCCATGATCCTGTACCCATGGCCCTTGTGAATCGGTATTCATACGGATGTGAGCGATCTACATGACAGCAATAATCATCAGCAAGCTAACGAGAAAACAGCTCCAAATCATGAAAGCCATAACACCCCACAGAACAATGCCTGGATCTCCGCAATTAATAATGCGAAGCACTCCATATTGATTCAAACCCCGAACATGAACGCTGAGCCACTTCTTGAGCCACTTCTAAATGCCGCTCGCAGGGGCGTGATAGTCTCCTGTTATTTGTGCCTGGGCTACAATGACGCAGGCGAACTTCTTCCATTCCAAAATGGTACCAACGAAATGATTGCAAATCGACTATACAACGCTCTTGAATCAGAAGACGAAAAGAGCCGTTTGCGCATTTGCTACTACGTGGGGAAGGATCAAACGCGCCCCATCCACAACTCTTTCAAGAAGCGAAGCTGTCATATTAAATTGATGATAGTTGATGAGCAAATCGCCATTCAAGGTATGCTGACACAATTTGGAAGTGTATGCAACTTCTAACAGTTATTTAGGAAACGGAAATCTAGATACACAGTCGTTCTACCACAGCCAAGAGGTAAATGTATTGATCGACTCGAGCTTGATCTGCAAATCTTGGTTGGAACAAATTCATGGAAATCAAAATACACACAAGTATGGCGCAGCAAGTACGAAGGATGGCTGCTGGCATGACCCTGAGACTGGAAAGATCCCAGATGGCTCGGTGGGTACAAACCCAGGGAAGTTTGGCTGGGCCAAAGGAGCTGTCGGGGCAATCAAACGCGTGCGAGGCGTTGGTGGGTTCTAATGTATATGCTGGCCTTCATATTATCGGTATCTTAGCCATACTTCTAAAGTTCATTGGAAAAATCAACATATTTGTTTATCGGATTTCCTTAGCTGAGTAGGCTCAGTGCATTACTTCCATGACTTGGTCCTGGAAAAGCTGATCGAGGAGTGACTGAAAGGTATTAATTGTATTACAAATTTCCACAACGCAGGTTTTGAGCCAAATTAAAGCTATCACTCTCGGCTACGACACGGCTCGCAAGAGACCGGTGGACGATTTCGTATCTCATTTTACGAAAAGAAAAATAATGAATAAAAGTATATGAATAAAACCAAACCCAACTGAGATGAAATTGGGGATCATCAATGTAAGATAACTTCGAGTTTTGAACCCACATCCGTCAAGGTACCTAGGTATGACTTGAACTTGAAGGTGTGGATCCCGGAGGCGTCCAAACCGCTAGGCTGCCACCCTTCCGTGGCTAGATAGCTTTGCTCCCTTCTCTCTGTATAACATCGTCACTTTTAGCAGTAACATAAACAATTGAGCGAATTGGAAGCGCGCAGGATTGTGGTCGATATCACATGACTGCATATACCCCAGTCACATGATATAAAACTTTCAACGACCCGAATTCCGGCTTGCATCCAAAGCTCAACGATTCCGGGCCCAAAGAAATCGTTAAAATTCTAAAAATACTCTATCCTAAGCTTAGACGTATCTCAAGTAAAAACCCGGAAAATTAGATTGAAATAATCCATTATTGCTGAAGGAAGCCTTGGGAAGCCTTGGAATCTAGAACTCTCGCCCCGACTCCGAATCTCCACCGTTCGGTTTCAAAAAACAGCAAGTCGGCCGTCATGAATCCAGAAATCCAGACCCTTTCATCAAAGCGGCGATGATAGCTCAGTTGGGAGAGCGCACGACTGAAGAACAACTTCAATCAGCTGTTACAAGCAAATCGTGAGGTCGCTGGTTCGATCCCGGCTCGTCGCATTTTTTTACGTTTTTTAGTTCTCCTACCAGTTATTTGGCAGTTATCCATACATTAGGGTCATTAGCGAGAGGTAGCTGTGTTTTTTTACCACCTTGGTAGGGCCACATCAAACCTGTAGACAGTTGAAATGTATTTTTAACCCATTTTCGAATTTTCACCTACCCAACCCCAACTTAGACCTCAGGAGAAGTGGTAGTACCCAAGGCCTAACTAAGTTGGAATGGTAACTTACTTCTAGTAGTTTATATAATATACATGATACCAGAGATTTAGAGTACTTCATATTACTACTACCACACCGACTCGGACGTTCAAGCCCTGGATTTTGAAGGTTGAGCCCAGGTGCCCAGATATTTGACCAACAATATATATAGGTACCTTCCGACGCTGGAATGGGAATTATATAGTACTAGTACTAGTAGTAAATCACATTCTACTAACTTGAAATTGATACATTGTTTCATTGGGCAGACTTCAACTCGAAGTTGTAGAATTGGTACTTACTAGTTACTACTATTAGTTAGTAGCCTCCAATCTATGACATACCAGTAGTAGTGTTTCACCTGGGCACCTCATCCTACTAGTACCGACTGGTAGGTAGTAGAGACCATGTGTTGCGGATGACTTAAAAAGTCGCGTTTTGACACCGATTACTGCCCAGGTGTCGAGAGTCAAAGGCTATCATACCAAATACAATTCCTCTCAAAGTTTATTTCAATCCGAGTCCGTTGTCTATGCTGCCACCCATCCAACCAAGCCCTCACTGCTGAGATACCGAAGGCGCAATCTGAAATTGATAGCAGCAAGGTGGCCCTCCGATGCACATCGTGATACGGGATTCTTGATCGTAGTACTTTATGATGGCTGGAATGTACCCCTTGATTCCTTTGTAATTTGTCTACCTAGTTCCCTTTGATGGGGCCTTAGGCGCAATAGGGTCGGATATGGGGGAATTGACAGATGTACGTGGCGTGTTGAAGATGTAGGGGATGAGTCTTACTGGGTAGTAAACTGCTGGAGTCCTTTTAGCCCCCAATAGTATCATGTCTCGGCGTAGAAATCCTACCGTGCTACGTATTCTAATTTCGGTTTAGCGCAAACCATTGGCTTTCTTCCATCTGACCTCAACCACTGGCATAATTTGCTGCCCATCCTCGACCTATAGAAACATGGCTCACATGGATGACTTGATATTTGTCACAGCTTCGAATCCCGATCGCTTTCGCGATAAAGACATCCAGCGCACCGTTCGAAAGCGCGTAATGCGCGATATCGGCAAGACGCGACGAAAAAGCAAACACACCCCTGCAGTGACTTTTGTCTGGCAACAATACACACTGCCGGAATCACCAAGTTCATGTCTCGGCTCAAATCCTTTCCCCGTAGAGATAGACCATCGGGGGCTGGAATTGATTCATTTCAGTACGTGACTCCTCTCCCGTTTCTGATTGATGTCTAACTTTGAGCCATCACAGTGAATGCGGAGGCAGAATACAATTACCGACCTTTTCGGAAGATTTGGTTCTCAATGGCGCTGAGTGATGAGAGTGCTTTTATTCTCTGCAAGGCCAATGCTGCCATGTTTCTAGAAGAGGCTCAACACCCTGATAAATTTCGCTATGAAACTTGCCAAGAGACTTTGACTTATTACGGCCAGTGTGTGAGACAAGTTACTGAAAGATTGTCGAATCCACAGGAGCGTACTAGTGAGGGCATCATTACCTGTATCTTGGGATTGATCTGTCATGATGTATGTTCTTCGCACTCACCGACTCGGCTCTCTCTGACGCTTTTGTCTAGCTATACGTTGGTACCTTGGATCGTTGGGCATACCATATCGAGGGACTGGCTCAGGTTATCAAAATCCGAGGAGGCTTTCATGGTCTCGACGAAAGAGTCCAACTTTTTGCTTCGTGGTTTGATGTCTTAGGGTCAGTGGTTAAGGATTCCCTGCCGAATTTACCTACTTCTTCGGCCTACTTAGATCGCCTGGTCGAAGATGCCAGAACCCCAAAACCATTTGAATATCTCTTTGATGAGCTCGAAGGGTCGTCTGGCGAATTTGAATCTCCCGTCGCGATACTCCGGAGAGTCCGAGTACTGGCGGAGTACATCAACGGTCGATGCAGCCAACCGGGATTCTGGAACGCCGAAGACGATATGAGCCCCCTTCAAGTTCTTGCACCAATCACGCATGATCTACTCTCACTGCCTCGGGTGGATGAGCTGGCATCAGACGAGTTTGAAATCGTCCGTGAGACCATGCGACTTGCTCTGCTTATCCTTCTCTGCAGATTGAAAGCAACTTATGGATTTAGTGCAGTTGAAATGACTACTCTGCAGAATAAATTCATTCGCTTTGTTGGTAATACCAAGGTTATCCATGAAAGTCTTTTATTTCAACGCCTGCAGTTATGGGCTCTCGTCACAGTCACTATGCTCAACCCTAGCGGGCCGGGGCGAGACCTCCTTATTGGGAAGATATTTTTGTGCGTGAGATCACTGGGCTTACCAGATGGTCAAAGTACAATCGAAGCTGCTCGGGATATTATATGGATTGAAATTATTTCAAAGGATACAGTTGGACAACTCGTACATGATATCGACTCGGGTGCGCATGATTGACTGACTACATGCTGGACCCCATCAACCACCGGTGATACCACCACTGACAGAGATGATCTGCCCCGTAATCCACCTGCTCTTCTCGGAAACAAGAAGTAGCACCGCATCGGCAATATCATCCGTCGTCCCAACTCTCTCCTCCGCTCTCGTCATCGGCACAAGCATACCGTGAATCTTATCAGCAACCTCTTTTGGCAAGGCGTCCGTTCCAACCGGGCCAGGTGACACAGTGTTGACGGTAATCCCATGACCACGGCCAAGCTCCATGGCCAACGAGTATGTCAGAGCATCTTGGGCAGCCTTTGCAGCACCGTATATGGCAGTGGGCGCCATGCCCAGCTTCGATGCAATTGATCCGATATTGATCACACGACCTCCACGTGGCATATAAGGGACGGCAGCTTGCAGCAGAAAAATTGGCGCGTAAACTGTGGAGGAGAAGATGGCGTCGAGAGAATCACGAGTTGCTTGGAGGGCTCCGTGGGGTGCGCCTCCGGCTGCGTTGTTGACTGAACAATAGACAAATATTAGTCTCTGCGATATGATAGAAAAAGGGGAAACTGACCAATAATATCGATATTATCGACGTTTAAAGATGCACGTGTCTCGTCAACGAGGCTCTTTGCGCCTTCTGCCGTTGATACATCTGCTTGGACGACAATTGCCTTGCCACCCATGTCACGAATTGCCTTGACTACACCGACTGCTCGTGGTGCAGTAGTATCAGAGACGTGATTGATGACCACAAGGGCCCCATTGCGAGCGAGTGTAGTTGCAATACGGGCACCAATCCCGGTCTCTTTTCCCGAGCCAGTGATGATGGCAACTTTGCCGTGGAGTTCGAGGGTATCCGGCGTCATTGCGAGGAGAGAGAATAGGGGTGGAAAATGAGAAAGAGAGAATTGTAATTGTAGAATCTAGATTGAGGAATCAGGCTGGATTTATGGCTCTATTTATACAGCAATTCTTGTTCTTCTTTCCATTCCTTTTGCAAATGTTCATCCTTCACAGATCATTGACCCGAATATCCTTACCCGATTCAGAAAACGGTGTTCCTTAGCTGCATCTCGACCCACAACCACGAGATGGCCAATTACTGATCGCCTGATTGCGAAACGGCGCCTACTCAAACAAGACTAGTTTGATGTTGTTAGGGTGATGGAAAATGACGCGTCGAATTTATCTCTGTGAAGTGCTTCAATGCAATTTATCAGCTTGATGAGGCTATTAATTGGTACGCTTGTGGTTATGTTTACAGCGGGCTGATTGTTTATTGTATGGATGTAAAATTCATTCTAATAGTTCTGCGCTAATTTCAAATCGTAGAGGGTATATCGATGTGTTTATGTGTATAATGTGGAAAAGCCAATATAAACTATGGCAGCAATTAGTATCGCAGTTCGCATAAAGTAGGGCAGATCTTGACACACCTGTGAAAGCCTGCAAGGCCAATATCCAGACATTGAGTTTGACGGATGGTGGCTGGCCATTATTCCGGCTCTCCACCGATGGCTGAGCCGGGGCGGAATAGGCGGGGAGGTGAGGGTCGGTCGTGTTGTCGTCAAGTTTCTTCATGTTGAACATGGTGGATGTGTAGTTGAAGTTCTGGAGCATGCCCTCACTCTGCGCGGTCTGGAAAGCCGCCCACCACACCGATGCCATCTTCTCGTAAGCGGCATCATCCGGGTGAACCCTATCAACGAGCTCGTCGACCTTGATAAAATGGCTCATGTCGGCGAGAACGATCCTGTTGTTCCTTGCGCGGCGATAAGCGACGAGGTTGCGAATTTGCTCGTTGATGGATTCGACCTGTTCGGGTTTTCTCCCATTCGGGAGGAGGGTCGATAGAATGATAGTTGTTCCTTCGATGCTATCGAAAAGCTTCTCAACGAGGATATTCATTCGAGTACCGGCGGAGTAGATGCGGTGGTTTTGAAGCGCATCGTTTGTACCAACGCTAGCCGATTTGTTAGCATGTGTCAGTGGGGACAAGAGTAAATGATCAACATACTTGATAAGGATGAGATTCGGTCGTTGGGCAAAGTCCTTCTCTGCCTTTGGCAGCATTTGATCTATCCTGAAGCCGACATGGCCTTCATTGAACTGGATCGAAGTCAGTATCAAGTCACTACCCCGCCGGACAGGGGGGGGGGGGCTGGCGCAGGGACTCACATTGTCGCGCATCGTGCCCGCTCGTCGAGTTCCGACCATTTCAACCGGCCATCCTTCAAAGCGGAGTTGTCGTCGAATCCACTCTCTGTAGCCGTTGCCATCTGTGGATTTGTATCCAAAAGTAATCGAAGCGCCGAGGGGTAGGACCCTGAGGAGGAATTTCCCATTGTCGGCCTGCGAGGTGGTCGAGGTGGTCGAAATAACATTGGCTCTGGTATCAAGTAATTCATCGGGTGTCGCAAGAGCCCGAACAAGAGTGAAAGGTGATAGTAATGACAGCCATAATAGACAAACCTGGACAACCCAGTGGATGGGCGCCGGCTGCCTCATGGCGAATCGAATGCAGGGAAGTTGTCGCGTGAGAAGATAATCGCATACAAAGCGGGCGAGACGACAATCTTAACTTAAAACCAGATAGCCACAGCTCGAGACTAAAATAATTGGGGAGGTAATCAACTTGCCTTGAGTAGTTAGCCAGACCAACGGTACGGAGTACAACGATCCACCGGGAAATCAGGCGAGACCTTTCAGGAGTGAAACACTGCCCGCTTCGATGCAAGAAAAAAAAGAAAAAAGGATCGATTTGCCCAACTAAGCCTCTCTCTAAAATTACCGCGTGCCGGAAAAGGATGGTATGATAGGACGTAGAAATCACGAGCGTGGGCATATCTTGGTTGATTCCACCGAGTTGCACTGCGCTAGTTTCCGTGGCGACGTTTACTATTCTCAACCTGGTTTAGTACGGTCGGCGACCCCCCAATTTGATTTCTAGCATTTGTAGTGGTCTGCAAATTTCTTTCGGTAACAGTAAGCTAAAGTGTATCTACAAGTTGCTCATTGTGACTTCAAAGAAGGATTTGTTTGCCATTCCAAAGGATTGCTTCAGGGGCGAGGCTCCGAATGGCACAGCCTAATCAAAGCACCAACACCTAACACTAGCTCAAATCAGAAAATCAATTTTGGGGCCAGGCACCACAATTTGCAAATCTTATTCTAGATACGCTTTTACCAGGCTGCTGGCTTGAATCCGTACCGTACCGCACCGCACCGCACAGCCATGAAGCTATTTTCTCCCTGTGCGATGGGGCCGGGTCGAGGCTACAACTTTACCAAAAGACCCTTGTTTTCGGTACTCCTCCGTCCTCCGTGAGGGTCCTACGTGAGGGTCCTCCGTAGCAAAGGTGAGAGAAAGTTTGGGGGAAAATTTTGCCGTCTCGGCTTCGCCCGAGACCTTCGAGCTTGACCGCGCCCCCAACTAGCAAGCATTAGCCCGGGGCTAACTGAAAACCCCCCCTGTGGAAAATCAGCGCGACCGACGAGACTTTGAGAATCGTTGGATCATGCATGCACGACTAGTAGACGATAAGCACTAAAAGGAAGGAGATACATCTGTACTCTGTACGGACCCTGACCAGGTGACCCGCCAGAAATATTCTGCCTACAATTCGCAGCTAAAATGTCTGAGAATGTTACATACATCGAGGCGGTTTGCCTTCGCGTGGGACTGTCACGGTAAAGCTTATGCACGCAGGAATGTGGATCAGTGGGTATCCCCAAGGGTATCATCCATTGCTAAGCGTGGCCCCAAGGAGGTATTCTTAGACTAGGGTGTAAGCGATTTGGACCCTGTGCCGAGTTCCTTTCACGACATGCGACAAATAGACGGACCTGGACGCTAGAGACCCTGAAGATGGGTGGCAAACAACCTCTCGCTGCCTCCTTGAGGCCCAATTTCGTACTGCAAAGTACAATCGGAAGAATTTTCACTCTCTTTTGGGGGCCAGGCCGAGCTCTAGAGCATTTATTGAGCCGTGGAAAAATATCGTGGGGGGGTCTACTATCAAGTAACTGGATCCGTCTGCCATATATGGGTATCCTCTTAGGCATCGGTCCGTTATTATTGTCAGTACAGTCACGGTGTAGATAACTTTTGTGATCAAAAATATTGGTGAACCACGAGCAGTGATACCATTGACCATATACAACCGCATGTGCAAGTAATAATTTATTGCGACTATGCATTCATTCTTGCCAGTGGAAAAAGAAAAGGAAAGAAAAACAGAAATTCAAGTTCGCGACTGGCAAGATGAGCCTCTTTCTTCATTCCCCCTCACTCTTCACTCGATCTCAAAAGATCTCAGCTTCCCCACATTTTTAGTTGATTTTGCGACCACAGGGTGATTATGTCAAGGGTAATGCTACTGCCACTATAGTTTTTTGTTATTTCGACTACAATATACTCATGTCATCTTTTCTTGGTCATGTAAGCCAATTGTTTGCCCTCGTTTGCCCTGGTCACCTGATCCAGTCAAGAATACAATACTTAATACAATCTCAAAATTCCATCTTCATTCTCTCTAAAAGTGCTTAGATTCTACTAATTAAAAGTTTCTTACTTTTTCTGCATTTTATCCCATTTTTGGGATTATTATCGGCTGAAAAGGTGTTACAACCAACAAGGTGCAGTTGTAAGGGATAACCATTCTGTGGTCGTAATAAGGAAAAGTGTGGTTGTCCCCACCAAATTTTCACCGCTCAAAACAGTCACTGTCAACAACCAAGCAACAAGACAATACTCGCCATCTGACATCCATAGTCTGCCAGTTCATCACTTGATCAAAAAACCATGCAGGCTCCACCCGAGGCTCATGATAATTCCTCAGAGCCGAAACTTGATGACGGTTGTGCTCTGACAGGGTGCGATAAAGCAGAAGAGCTACAGCGTTGCAGTGCTTGTAAAATATTCTTCTATTGCACTCGCGAACATCAAGTTAAGGACAGGCCCAAACACAAATCTACCTGCACTGGCATCAGAAAAGCAAGGGATAATCTTGAGAAGCAAAGGCAGGCTCTCATCGACCAGCCCGATTTCAGAAATGACAACCCCTTCGAGAACCATGTTGGGCGTTTTTGGAAATTGCGTGAAACGCGGCCCTTCATGATGGCGCTGAGCAGTGAGTCTCTTTGAAATGTCATTGCCTTTCTTGATTACTTATGTTCCTTAAAATTAGAATTGGCCCAAGCTTTCCAAAACAGTAATTATCGGCCTGCACTCGAAGCCGAGCTCGAGGTCTGCATGGAATTACTGAGATTATGCCCAGGAGACAACATGGGTGTGCGCGAAACTGTACCTCCGTTGTTTATACGTCTCAATAAGGACCAAGAATGTTATGATTTCGTGAAGTGGTGGGCCACAACAGCAAAGGAAGGAGACTACGACTGGAGCACACATGATCGTTACCTCGATATCAAAAATGCGGACATATTCGAGCCTTGCAATTTCATCAATGAAAAGTCCCTCTGTGGCTCATTATCTCTCCACGCTTGTATGATGATCTTGAAAATCAAAGTCGTGGTGGATTTGATCAAACTACGAGCCACCCAGAATCAAATTGAGGAGATGAGCGCCAAATTTTGTTCCGAGACCGGTCCACCACCTGAGGAGCTATTTTTGGGAATCAAAAAGGAAAAATGCAGAAGTTCGGCTACTCTTGCGCGTCCCGAGCTCTTTTTAGAGCCGAACCTTACGCCGAAAATCAATGCGCTAAGGAAACAGATCGACTCATTATCGGAATCTATTGATCGACAGAACAAGCACTACATCCCTGCGCTACTTGGCCCCGACATGGAGCTTGGCCCAATTACGATGTTCCAAATGGGCAGCCCGGAAGAAATGCGAATGGCTTTGCAGCATACTTGGTATGCCTGGATGGAATCATTCGGTACACTCGATTACCTGGTTTTGCAACGTGCAGGGGAACTTGATGAACATTTCGATCCTGATGCTGATATGAAGGATTCTTATTGAGTGCTTTTCGCCCGTTTTCTAGAAAACATGTATTCATGCTGAATCTGGAAAATACGCAAAAGAATCTACTCATTCAAGCCAAAGGCAACCGTTGTCCCTGGTGAAATTTTCTCTATCTTTCCAATAAGCTCTTTGAAAAATGCTTTCTCGATAGTTGTGCCGTTCTGGCTGGTGACGATACACGAGGGGCTATGAGGTAATTAGTAAGGTCATGCGGTTATGGGCGCCAGAAATCCTTGCTAGTAGTTGGTACATACCGTTTGATTTGACAATTGTCAATATACTGCCCAGAGCTTTCAGGGCCCGATAATATCCCATGAACTAGAGTGGGGAAATGGCAATTAGCTTTGATGTGATGGGATACGATCTACCTCGGGCAAGAGAACACTTATCAACATACCTAAAGCTCGGCTGCCCATTTCCGTGCTACGAGCAATGAATCGTTCACCAACTCGCACGCCGAAACTTTCATTCTCGCGCATCAACTGTGACTTGCACCAGCTGGGGTTTGGTGCATTCAAAATGACCAAAGGCTCTTCTTTGCATAGCCGGTCGGCCAATGCCCTCACTCCAAAAAGCACCAGCAATTTCGACAAAGGATACCGCAACCCCATTTGTGCGGTTCTCTCATCGTTAAGACGAGAGAATATGTCCGACGTGCCATCACCTTCGATCTCACTTAACGGAGCGATATAATGAAGAGCCGAGTTGACAATGCTAACGCGAGTATTCTTCGAATATCGTTGCGCTGATTCCCGCAATTTCGGAATAAGCAGTATAACAAGCAAGAAAGTACTGACAACATTGACAGTAATTGTCCTTTCATTGTCTTCTACCATCTCAAAGGTCTCAGTCGCGAGGCCAGCATTGGCAAGAAGAGCATCGAGGCGCGGGAGAGTTTTCGCACGCGCGGCAAAATTCTTGACCGAAGTATAGCTGTCCATGTCCAGCTCCCAGACCTCAATTGTGCTTGGATCCCGACCAGTCAATTGCAAAAGTTCCAGTCTTGCAGCTTCTCCTTTTTTCATGTTGCGGACAGCCATGATAAGTCGATGCACGCCGAGGCGCAGAAAATGGCGACTGGCCTCGAATCCTAGCCCTTGGTTTGATCCGGTCACAACAATAGTCTCTTGAGAAAGGTCTCCTTCGGGAATGGGTAATTTCACGAACATGCAAGAGGCCATGCTCGAGGACAGACCTTCTATAGAGGAGAGTACTGCCATTGCAGATGAAAAAAAATCTTGGGAATGGGAGTAAAATAATTGTAAGACAGAGCCAGTTTTCGATGGGAGAACTGTAATATCATCAGAAATAGTTGAATGGGACCAAGATCCTTCTTTTTATACGTAGGGAGATTGATTCATTTCTCAAAGCTATGATAGGCGAGGGACGTAGACTTAATCGGGGCTATTACATCCGCTCCGGATCCATGCATTGGGGGGAAAACTCACCCCAGATACTGATTTTGATTTGAGATTGCCAGATACTCTTATTGGTATGAAGGTTAAAATTACTACAAATAATCAGCAACAAGTATTCAGAAATTAAGAGAAATGCCCGCCCGAATGCCAAACAGGGGGGCTCTATTCTCCTATATCAACTATCCGTAACAAGGACACACTTTCTTACGACAATAACTTGCTGGTTATTTTAGAACCATTATACTGATAATTGTTCAAGTCGCTTTCAGATAGATATCTTTGACGTAGTCTGGTAGGTGCTTTCAATTTCTAGCGATTCCATTGACTCTGTTGGTCCTGTGGCGGAGTTATCCATAAAATCCGGCGATTTCTCGGGTTTATTAAATCCGCCCCCGCCTCACCCTCGCCCGACGGATTTACCAAAACCAACTTTGGAACAATGACCTGAGTTCTTTCTCCATGGACAAAATTGAGAAACGAAATCGCCCACCGGTCTCTTGCGAGCCGTGTCGTAACCGAAAGTAATGAATCAGGCCCAAACCCTTGCTCCAGGCAACATCTGATACGCGCCCTAGATTGAAATGCAACCGCCAGTCGCCTTGTGATACCTGCATCAGGAGGAAATGCGCGTCGACTTGTTATTATGCTGCAAATGCCGACCGTAACAGAAATTTGCCTGCGCGAAACGGCAATCTGAACGATAGACTCAGAAATATTGAACACCTGGTGTCTTCTTTGATAGGGAAACGCCCCGATGAGTTGACGCCTTCAGATCATCTATCGATTTCAACTGCAAAGCCACCTGGTCATCTAACTGAGCCCACGGAGCCAACTATTACGGATCACCCACCCAGGAAGGAAACTTTGAGGGTCTTGTATGATCTGAATGGTGACGCAATCTACACTGATCCAAGTCACTGGATGTCAATCTTGCAAGAGATCAAATTTGTGCGAGAGAGTTTGCCTTCTCCGGAATCTAACGCACTTGATGGGACCCTCCATTTTGATGACGGTCCTGATTTTGATATTAATCTGAACATGGGTCCAGGTGCTAGATTTAGTATCTCCGACGCGTTAACATCTCTTCCGACGCAGCCTGTCTGTGACATGCTACTGTCCAAATATTTCAACTCTCGTTACATGGTCTTGGGTGAGTGGCCGAGCTCCTTTTGACTGACGCCCACTCATGTGCAATAATTTAGGAATTGTGCATTATGGCAAGTTCCGCAAGGAGGCAAGTTGAAGGATCTTGTATTCAGAATTGCGAGATGTTGACCTACTAGTACTAGTACGAGGATTTTTGGAAGCACCCCCAGGGGGCATCTTTTTGCTGGCTTGCCCAGCTCCTTTCTATACTGAGCGTCGCAGTGACTTGCTATGACAAAGCAAGCCCAGCCAATGACTCAACCCTGGGTCGACCTTCGGCGATCCTCTTACAGCAAACTACCGCCCGGTGTTTGATATCTGGAGGATATGGAACTGCAAAAGAATACTCGATTGAGGCTTTGTTTCTCTATCTACAAAGCAAGTTCATGAATGAGTCTAGCTCTACCACACAACTATGGCTGGAGCTAGGAACCATCATCAGACTCGCACTTCGGATGGGGTATCATCGCGACCCTGATGGACTTCCAAGTATCTCTGTTTTTGAAGGAGAGATGCGAAGGCGTGTGTGGCTCAACATATTCCAAATCGATGCTCTGGTTTCATTCCAGATGGGGCTTCCGAGCATGTTGCCCGCTGAATACTGCGATACAAAACCCCCAGGAAACTTTCACGATACAGACCTTTCGACCGATATGGACCACCTTTCAAATCCCCGGAGTCTTGAAGAGGCAACTCCATTGAGATATGGCATTGTCAAGTGCAGAATTATGAGCGTCTTTAAGAAAATTGTCAGACACACACAGCCTCTTTCATCGCCAGAGTACATCACCACGCTTGCTCTTGATAAGGAGATGAAAAATGCCTACGAGGGAATTCCTGATGTTCTGAAGCGAAGAAATATATCGGACTCCTTCATCGACGCTTCGGATATCATTATGGAGCGGTGCACATTGGAACTACTCTACCTCAAGGGCATCGTTGTCCTTCACCGACGATACATTCGACATGAACCTCATAGCCTCCAGTTCGAGCCCTCACGTCGATTCTGTTTGGAAGCAGCGCTAGAAATCCTCGCCCGTCAGGCCGATATCTACAAAGCGACCCTTTTCGGAGGGCGTCTCCACGAGGAAGCCTATATGGTGACCACCTTGACAGAGCATGATTTCCTTTTGGCTGCAATGGTCGTCTGCTTAGATCTCTCGGTGCAGATGGAGTCAGAGATACCTGAGATCTCGAATATCGAGGGGATTGAAAGCTTTACAGGGAAGAAATACCATGCCCTTCAGATGTCACAGCAAATATGGGCAGCGAAAAGAGGTTCGCCATCGCAGTCAGATATCGCTTCTATGACACTAGACTTGATGATTAGAAAGGTAACGGAGAGACAAGCGAGCGTTCGAAATTCGATTTCCCTCGGCAAGGACCCGTGGATGGGGGCTGGGCTGCCTTATATTCAAATGGAAGGAATGATTGATGGCTCCGAGGCTATAGACTGGGTAAGTCGTTGCTACATTGTGGAAATTTGGAACACAACTACTAATATCGTTCAGTCGCTCCTGGATCAGCTTTTCCAGAACCAAGTTACGGAAGCAATGCAATGAGTTGAGATCCTTACCATTCCAAGTTTTCTTTAGATCAACCTTTTCGACGTAGGGACGGGGTTTTGTGAATGGCTTCAACTTCCATACGATGAAGCGGCTCTCAAGTTGTGATCATCACAAATCTGCATTTACCCAGACTAAAAAAAGGTTTGGGGTATATTAATCAGAAATGAAATATTTTGACCTTGTAATATCTCTAATGCACAGTAGAATTCACATAGTACACACTGGGTATCTCTACTAGTACCCAAGGTACTGACATACTAGTACTAACCGCCCTTATGCTCCAGGGCTGTCACCCTGGACTCAGACGCCCGGGCGGTTCTATGTAAACTTGAACTGACCCGATCACCGACTGGCTCAATTGAAGCTTGGGGTTTGCCATTTCAGAACTCGAATAGATGTGCAACTTCCGGGATGCCAATCTAGGAGTCAATTTCGAGTTGTCTAATCGAACCTACAAGCTAATCTAACCGCCGCGTAAATTTGCGCGACATATTTCCGAATCTTGGTTGAAAGAATCATCGATTTGTTCTAGACAAGTCATCGAGGCCTCAACAGCCAGTTACTATGATTCCTTCGATCGGACCTCATCACAAAAAAAGATAAAAGCCCGGGAGTCGATCCTACAGAGACTGCCACGTAAACGCCATGCTATTGGGAGTGTGGAGTGCAGAATCGTCAAGAAGTTCCATTGCTTCTGGAACTTCTCAATGGGCGTTCGAGACTAAGTAGAAATGACGGTCCGCAATTTAAAATATTTTCGTCGAGATCGATTAAGCTCATGGATGATCTAGATCTCGGGTCCTAGATCGATTTCCTGGGGAGGTCTCGTCACACCATTAGGCCTGGACCGAATTTCAAATCGGTCTAGAAGCTGAACTCGTCAGAGAACCAAAACTTCAACGAGACCTGACCCCCCTGCTGGGAATTCGGTCAAGGGTCTTGGGGTTGATGGTCAGGGTTGGGAGATCAGGGCCTGGCGGGGCGGGCAGGATGCGTCGTCAGACGACCAAAGGTGCAGAAATCTCGACTCGGACTGTTGTCAGCAGGGTAGTTTGGTCGATATTTCCATCTTGACGGCATGTACGGGGTACATAGGGCGTGGTTCGCCGCAGTTCTGTGTTCCGATTATTAACAAATATCTCGGTATAGGTGATATTTTTTCACTATTGAAATCTGGGACCCTGGACAATCGGGATAAGATATTATCAGTAAATAGTGTCCAAACTACAGACGGTAGACAGTGGGATAATGACTGCAGTGGAGGCAAAAACGTGCCGGAAACCCTATTGTGGATACCGACCCAGGAACCAAACCCAAACCAAGGGCCATCTGATTCCTACAAAGCCGAGACTCGGCATCGGGAATCGATGGCCAGGGAGAATGACCCGCAGTTGGCAAGATCAGGAAGGAGGAATTCCGAGTCTAATGTACAGAGTACGGTGTACAGTGTGTACACCGATGGGCAACAAGCAACTCGATGATCGCCTGACTATTGGCGGCTCACAACGCCACACATGGTGAGATGATGGGGGGCTATTTTTAATTGAGTTAGATCAACTCCGTAGTTTACATTGTAGTGTACATTGTACACCGAACTCCATACCCAGGGTGTATCAGTGAGGCGCAGACAGTAAAACGCAGTAGGGGTGACGATTAAGCTCAGCCTCAGAATGGCTTTGCTTTGCTGTGGGAGTCTTCGAGTCTCAGCCCTAGGTGATCGTTGCTAAAAAGGGGGATTGAAGCCGGAAATCACCCAAGTTTAGCCAAGTTTAACTCTGGAACAAAGTTCTGATCTCGGTCGATCCACTCTTTGGGCCGAGGCCAGGGCCGGGTATAATTTATACCGGAATACGAACTGCGCATTGGAATCGCCACTGTGAGGGCGAGTGCCAGAAAAGCAGAATTGGAACCGATGAGGCATTGAGGGAGGCGAGGTCGGCATAGCATAGCGCTAGTAGGTGTGAATTATTCCATGTGTACTCCGTACTCCGTAGTTTATTCGGGATGAGTCCAAGATTGAAATTGAAGCTGGGACCGAGACTAGCCAGATTGGGTAGTTCGCCGATTAGTCAGTCGTCTCATCTTATCCCGAAATTAAACCAAACTAGACGAGACCAGACCAAGCTCGATTGACATTTCCTTCGAGAAAAAGCTTATTGCAGATGGGAAGAATAGCAGCGGCCAAGTTCCGGACTTCTGCCGATAGCGAAACAGTGTCGGTTTGATCTTCACACAGAAAACTTCTGCTACTGGTTAACTAGTAACAATGGTCACGAGATGCTGGTCAGTAAATAGTACCTAGTTATCCCATATAGTAGTATTTACTAGTAGTATTTTTGGGGTCGAATTGATAGTATCTTCGTACTGGATTCAATGTTAATTATGCTCATAGAAGTATCTCTAGACCCTAATTATCAGGGTCCTTTCAAAGTAGAGTGCAAGTACTAACTACAGGGAGGCACTCTACTTGGTACGAGATGCCGGTGGCCGGTGCCAAGATCTCGGAGGCCCAGTTGTTTCGGGAGCATCCACAGTGCTAGTGCTAGTACGGAGTGTAGTATACGGAGTAACTGGTTTCTAGTTATGCACGGAGGATGTAATCTATGGATCCGTATACCCCCCTGCTCAACGAGGAATGCCGTTGGAGGTGCGACCACTAAGGATCGGGGAGAAGCATTCCTCAGTAGCCAGGGGGAGCAGAAAGAGTGCATACTAGTAGATGGAGGAGGCTATGGCGATATGGTAAATATTGCTATCACAGTTACCTTAAGGTACCCTCCAGGGCTGTCAATAGTACTAGGAAAACTTGAAGTATCATGATAAGAATACTAAGAATAAGAATATAACACCGTACGGATACACGGAATACATAAATACGATACATACCAATTTGGCACAGCCGGCCCGATTATATCAGCGGGGAGGAAATCCTCCACTCCTATTGGCTGTGACAAAGGCAGGTTAGTCGCTCCGGCGGGCCACGCAATCCTTTCTCGAACTGAACCGCTCTCCCTCCTTTCTCACCTCTCAAGATCCACTGCTTGAACCGTTCTTTATTATTATCTAGGACCCCCATCTAGACCACTGTTTCGCTCTTTTTCTTTTCTCTCGTTTTTTTCTATACCCATACCCATATTTATACCAGCCTTATATCCCCATTTCGCTGTCCAGGGCACAAGGGTCTCGATCTCGATCTCGACACCATCACTGCTACACTACCATCACCCATCACCCATCACCACACATCATGGCTACTCTCGCAGAACATCCCATGCAGCCGACTATGAACGCCGCCTATGACCAAGATCTCGACTCCTTCATCAACTTCGATCAACTCGCCTACACATCCGCCGACCCCGCCCGCCCCAAGGTCGCCCTTGCCAGCCAACCCTCGGTCGCTGGGACCGACTTCAGCACAAGCGACGCTCGCAGCGCCAGTTTCGCCTCCAGCGGTCAATCTCCCATGGCCTTCCAAGCCCCTAGTCATCACTATGAAGAACACCGCCAGCAAACTGGTTTACCCCCTGGCGCCCTGGCCATGACCTACAACCAACAGGTAAACCACATGGGTTTCGGAAACGCCAATCCCGGCTATCCCATGAACGCCGAAATGTTCCCACAACAGATGAAGCGCGAGGACGCCCCATTCGATTTCAACACAGCCCCTGCCCGTAACCCATCTGAGATGGAGATCGAGTCCGACGGCATGACCAACACCCCTTACTACTTCCCCAACAACGCGAACAAGAACCAATACATCGATCCCAACGCGCTCGGCGGCCATGAGCTGGCTCAGGCTGGTCCTTCCACTCAGGTCGGTCGTATGTACCCTGGTATGCATCAGCAGCAGGCTGCGATGGCCAAGGCGGCGGCTCAGCAACAGAAGCAACACGAGATGGTGCACCAGCAAGTGCCTCAGCGCCGCGTGGAAGAGAGCCCCAGCGCCCCGTCCCATCGTGGTTCCCGTCAACCCGATCCCGTTGTTGAGGAGCGCATCTCCCAACTTCTTCACCAGATGCGCCAAAATGCCATCGCCAACGGCGAGGCGTCCCCGTCCCCGTCTTCCGGCATGCCTCATATGGCCAAGGCCAAGAAGGACGAGGCTGATATGGATGAGGATGAGCGTCTGCTCGCCAGTGAGGAGGGAAAGAAGCTGAGCAGCAAGGAGCGTCGCCAATTGCGGAACAAGGTGTCCGCTCGTGCATTCCGCTCTCGTCGCAAGGGTAAGCCGCTGCGTATGATCCTTGTCTATCTTGAATATCTACTAACCTTGTACAGAGTACATCGGTCAGCTTGAGAGCGAAATTGCCTCCCGCACCAACGAGGCCCATGACCTCCGCATGCAAAACCGTGCCCTCTATGAGGAGAATGCCCGCCTGAACGACCTCGCCCGCATGCTCCTGGGTTCGCCCCATTTCTCCTCTTTCCTGAGCGACATGCCCGAGGCCGTCGCCCCCCAGGTTCAAGCTCAGCAGGCACAAGCCTCCCGTCCCCAGCAGCCTCAGCAGGCTCCTGTCCCCAAGGAGGCCGCCGCTCCTCGTCCTCAGGAGTTTCAGATGCAACAGAACCCCCAGGCCAACATCATGATGGTTCCCCAACAGGGTATGGATGCCTCCATGGCGATGAATAACGGTGGCTGGAACTCCGGTATCGACATGAACTTTGGCAACGCTTCTGTCTTTGCTGTTCTCGAAGTTCCCCAAGGCCCTACTCTTGACGCTGAGGTTTTGTCTGGCAAGTCCTCCTCCCCGATCGATCTCTCCGAGGGATCCCCCAAGAACGAGGCCCCTGCTCTCGACCGCCCCGAGCAGTCGACCGAGAAGTCTGATATCGGTGTTGCCAACCCCGATATCGAGATTGACGAGTCCGACCCCGCCTTTGCTCTCTTCCTTGATTCCCCTTCTGTCGCTATTTCTTCCGACGTCCCTGCCTTCGACGGTGTTCAATCCGAGAAGGCTTCTCAATTTGAGCTGGTGGTGGACTCTACCGAAGTCAGTGCCTCGGCCAAGAGTCGATTCAACTCTCTCTGCCAAAATATGGAAGCCGCCTTCCAACGAGTGTCCTCTGTCACTTCTCATCTTCAGTGATTCCCCTCTCTAGCATTTTTTCTTTGTATATCTGTCTTTTTGTCCTGGCATCATATGTTTGACTATACAATGTCTGTCATCATTCTATTTTACTTTAGCTACATCCTGCGAGTGGTCGGTCTCTTTTGTCAGATGTCCCTCGGGAGTTTTACGGCGCTCGTTAATTTTATGTATCTCCTGGTTGGGTCTCTGGGTGGAAATTTAGTAGCGATTACTGGGCGTCGAAGGATCAGCGATACTCAAAATTGATTCATTATGATTATATTTTCACTTCTCAAATCCCTGTAATCAGAATAAACACAATTGAAGTGCTCCAAGGCTACTAGTAGTACCCTGATACTCGATAATACTCAATAATAACAACTTGAAGGTACCTGCTAATCGCTCGACCTCCGCCTCCGCCTCCGCCCGCCAAAAAAAAAAGTCGTCCAACGTTGAGTCAACCTACACTTCTTCACCCCTCCACCTCCCTCTCATGTCGTCTCTCCCCTTTCGCTCCCACTGAATCTCCACCCACAGCCAAATTGGCTTCTCTACAGACCAGCGGTACTTTCTTTACCGCGGCTTCTGGCGCACTCTCGCGTGCATTTCCTCGACCGGCCATCGCGACCTCCGTCCGCGTCGCCGCATTTCAAACTAAGACATACCCCAAAAGTCGAAGTCGATCGGTATCCAAAGCTACACAGCGCAAAGTCGCTGCTCAAACTTCTCGTTTCAAGTCTTTCCCACGAAAAGAACCTCCCACCCTCTGCGAACAGCGACAACACAAGTTTCGAGGCCTCGACCAGAGAAACAACAACCAGAACAAACGACACATCGATCCGAACACGCCTATCGTCCCCACTAGTCGAGTTGGAAAGGCGGAATACCTCCTCTGTGAACCTTCCCTCCTCAAATTAGAAGAGCTTCCCCAGCCGTCCACCGCAATCCACCCAATGAAGTTCTACTGGCAGGCTTTGACGACCCCAACGGCCGACACCCCCGGCACGTTCCTCAATCTACACTTCCCCGAGAAGAGATACATTTTCGGACAGGTGTCAGAGGGAACCCAGCGAGCATGCGTTCAACGGGGAACAAAGCTTAGTGCCCACTTGAATCATCTTTTCCTGACAGGCCGCACGGAATGGGCGAACAATGGCGGTTTGATTGGTGTCATCTTGACTGTCGCAGATGCAAGTGCGTCAACCTACGGTTCCATAGAGACTGCTACGCGTGAAAAGATGGAGCGCGCAGCCGAACGCAAAGCCACGGAGGCGCCAGGAAGAAATCCGGGGCCGCTGAACCAAGCGATCCCACGGGCCTGTTCGATGCAGCCATTGACAGGACTCATCTGAATATTCACGGAGCGACCAACCTGATGCATACTATGGCCACGGCCCGGCGCTTCGTCTTCCGGAAGGGGTTACCCGTGTATATGAACGAGTACAGTGCCAAGGATATTGAGAAGCGACTCCCTGTCGGTGCAGAGGACCCGTTCCAAGAGCCGACCTGGGGGGATGAGAATATCAAGGTCTGGATTCTTCCCATCAAGCCAGAGAACTCAAAGTATTCTTCTCCTTCCCTTTCTCAGAGCCCACGGAAGCGTAGCTTGGACGAGTTCCAAGAGACTGTCGACTTGGAGGAAAAACAAACCCAGGATAACCTACTTAGACAATCGGTTGTCCATGACATGTTCAATTCGACCTGGAAGATGGATGCTTTGGTGGAGACTCCTCTCGCACAAGTGAAGATGCCCGCAGCATTGTTCGTTCGGAACCCTGAAACCAAGGACTTGGAGCAGTACAAGGGACCCATCCCCGGTGACAACAAACCACTTCCCAATATCAACGTCCTCGTTCGGAAGCCCTGGCCTGGTGCGACTGTGGAAACTCTGCCGCCTACCACCCCCTCCCAAGAGGCTCTGTGCTATATTGTGCGCAACCACGACGTCCGAGGCAAATTTGACGTGCAGAAGGCTATGGCCTGCAAGGTGCCTAAAGGCCCTGCATTTGCCAAGCTTGCAGGTGGTGAGAGCGTTATGTCGGACGATGGCAAGACCATCACTCCAGACATGGTCCTCGGTGCCCCGAGATTGGGCCAGGGAGTTGCTATTATGGAGGTTCCATCTGCGGATTACCTCGACGATGTGGTCAACCGTCGGGAATGGAAATCCCCCACCGTCATGGCTGAGCTGAAGGTCTTCTTCTGGATCCTTGGTCCCGGCGTTGGCGAGGACCCTAGGTTCCGAGACTTCGTTGCCCGCATGTCCCAGAGTAAGCATCTTGTCTCTGGCACAGACTACTGCCCGAACTATCTGGCGCTGGAAAGCACCGCCTCATCTACTATCCGCTTGAGCTGCCTCAACGGCGATAACTACACAATTCCCGACCATGACAATGAAACACTTCCCCAGCGCGGAATTGCAGGCAGCGCCCTGCCGGGATCCATCGACCTGAATAATCTTCCCTTCGAGCCGGTTAAGCCTGGGCTGATTATCGATATGGAGCCTACCTTCAAACTGAATACTTCGGAGATCATGAAGCCTGTCAACACGGCCATGGCCGTACGTGTTCCTCGTGCGGTTGCGCAGCGTCTGGATGTCATCAAGAAACGTGTCGTGAAACCCGAGTTCAAGAAGCAGTATGCTGCCTTCCGCGAAACTCTGCCTGGTGCTGACGCCGAGATCTTTGCTCTGGGCACAGGCTCTTCTGCGCCGTCCAAGTATCGTAATGTCTCGGCCACCTTGGTCCACCACCCCGGGTACGGTTACTACCTCCTTGACTGTGGTGAGAGCACTCTGGGTCAATTGAAGCGGGTTTTCGGGCCTGAGAAGTTGCGCGAGGTTTTCCAAAATCTTCGTATGATCTGGATCAGCCATCTGCACGCCGACCACCACCTGGGTACGGTCTCTGTCATTCGTGCTTGGTACCAAGAGGTCTACGGCAAGGACGCCATGCCTGAGGCTCACCCGGAGAAGGACATGGCGAAGATTCTCCAGGAGAGGCGCTTGTGCGTCGTCTCAGATGAAATGATGATCACCTGGTTGGAAGAGTATTCAACAGTCGAGAACTTCGGTTTTGGCAAGGTGTTGCCCATCTCCGCACACCCTGAAGCATCCGGACAAACCATTGTTACTAGATTCAGCTACCGCACTAAGCAAGATGGCGGCCCTCCCTTTGGAGCACGCCACGCCACCAAGATCTCCCTCGATTTCCACCGTGACTCTGATCCTCTCACACAGCTTTTCAAATCCGCCACCGGTCTCAGCGACCTACTCACAACCAGAGTCAAACATTGCCGCGGTGCTCTAGCTGCGTCCTTTGTCTTCCCGGATGGATTCAAAGTATCCTATTCCGGCGACTGCCGACCTTCAGATAAATTCGCCTCCATCGGTGCCGGATCCACAGTCCTCATCCACGAAGCAACCTTCTCAAACGACATGGCCGGATCAGCCCTCGCAAAGCGCCACTCCACCGCAGCCGAAGCCCTAGAAGTCGGCAGGCGAATGAACGCCCGCTCAATCCTCCTCACCCACTTCAGCCAGCGCTACCAAAAGATCGCCCAGATCAACGAAACCCCCAAAGAAAAGGGATCAATCCAGTTCTCACCCTCCCGCCAAGGTGCCGAACCTCAACTCGCTGAGGCTACTACCGGCGGCGCAGCCCCCGATATCCCCCTCGACGACGAGGCCGAGGCCGAACAGCCATCCTCCCGGAAATCCGCCTACGAACTCCTGGACGACATCGCTTTCCCCGAACGCGGTCGTCCAGGTCTCTCGCCCAAGGGCTCCCGGATCCCAGGCCAAAATGCCCCCGTCGCCGCGGCGATGGATTTCATGCGTGTCAAGGTGGGCGATCTAATCTACGCCCAGGCGTACGCGCCTGCGTTGGAGAAAATGATCGATGTCATCGAGCGTGGTTCGGCCGCCGAAGCTGAGCTTCAAAAGAAGAAACGCCAGTTTGAGGATGAGACGAAGAAGGCTAAGAAGAATAAGAAACATTCCAAGGAGCGCGCTGCTGAGGCTGCGGCCGTTGCTGCGGCGCTTGCGGCTAGTATTGCTGCTGACGAGGACGAAAATAAAAAGTCTGTTTGGAGTGCTAGTGAGAGTGAGGATGGATGGGAGACTAGTGATGTCGAGGAGGAGATGTGAATAATTCGCATGGGCTGAAAAGAGTGCCGTTTTGTGTTGCTTGGATGCATGCATGATACCCTGTCGGTTGGGATGGTTGTATTATTATTTTTCTAGAAATGTATAATCTCACTTCTTCATTTTTTTCAGGCCGAGCTAGCAAACGCCAGGGCTACGCCCACACTCAGAGGCAGTGCAAGGCGTTAGAAACTAAACTTCATCAGATGCCCCCCTCCCAGCCAGGTCTAGTACCTTGAAAGTGACCCCAACTAACTATGGCGCCCCATACCCCAACACACCTAGACAGACTCACCAATGGGAGTGCCGAGGATTGCTTTTGGTCTCATTGATCTCACTCGTTTCGGCCCCGTTTCTAGTAATATTCTGACACCGCGACGCTCGAGGGCGTCATTGAGACTCTACCTCCAAATCACATGCGACCCTGATCGATAAAATTCCGAGGCTGATAAGAGAGCCAAAGTACGATGATTTCCACATTTAAACAATCTTCGCTCCATCCAATTACAAACCATCACACTTTGATAACTTGAAAAGAAACCTCGAAGAATGTCACCCAACACCTCACCAGCAATTATTTTCTTCGATGTCTTGGGCACAATTGTGGAATGGAGATTTTGCATCGCGAAGCAACTCAATGCCGCAGCCCAAAAGGTCCTGCAAGATCGAACACAATCTCTGAGTGAAGATATGCGGACACGTGTCTCTCACATGTCTACTTCGAGCTGGCGCGGAGTAGCTGAAGAGTGGCATCTTGCATATATGAACTTTGGGGACAATTATGATACATCTCAGCCTTTTGTCTCAGTGGACGAACACAACCGCATATCTTTAGAAAACATTCTCACCAAACACCTTCTCCGCGATTTATTCAATGACGACGATCTGCAAAATTTAACACTGGCTTGGCATCGACTTGACTCATACTCTGACAGTGTACCTGGCCTTGCCTTGCTGAATACTAAATTTCTGACGTCGACATTATCAAACGGCAATGTGAAACTACTTGAAGATCTACAGAGACACAATTCCTTGCCTTTCAAGCATATTACAAGTGCCGAGCATTTTGGTGCCTATAAGCCATCTCCCGAGGCCTATAATGGCGCTGCTCGCAGGTTCGGTTTCGAGAATTCGCAATGTTGTCTCGTCGCGGCTCATCTTGAAGACTTGCAGGCTGCTAAGAAATGTGGGTTCCGGACAATCTATCTGGAGCGAGAATTGGAGGAAGCTTGGGATACTGAGGGCGTTGCACGGGCTAGGGAAGAAGGGGTTGTCGATCATTGGATCGATGTTGGAGGGTCTGGTCTTATTGAAGTTGCGAAATACTTCGATATCACGGAATAGACGGTGGATATGAAATCCAATCCCTTCTCGAGCCTGGATCAAAGAATCGGAGATACTAGGGCATTTTCCGCTCCTGGGCGGATGAATGCTCATTTTATCACCACGGTTGTCTCACTTCCCAGGTTTACTTTTCGCACGCGCCATCTTGACTACGGAAAGAATTCTCACAAGAAATATATTTTACTCAGCAAAATAGTAGAGCTTTTTTTTTTTTCATAAAAAACAAGGCCGGCCTATCATGTATTAAGAAAATCATCAAGATTTGGTGATTTGCCAGTGCTTTGTCAAATGATACCCCCAGATGACACGATTGATATTTCAGCCACCCTCAATGAGATCAAGAAAAGTGTAGGGCAAACTGTCATTTTCTCATTCTATTCCAAGTCGAGGAAGAATATCTGAAATATTCAAGCAATAATACTGGGCAGAATGCAAATAACATGGACGGGCTTCCCGAAAAAGACTTTTACGAACTGGTTAGCGCCCATGGTCGGAAACAGGTAGATGCCCCTTTTCTATTCTTTAAAGCTTAAAAGTATACTAAGTATACTATGGTCAAACGGTTCAGTTTGATCTAACCTTAATGAATCAGACGCTCAATATGGCACGCGGAAAGCTGCAGACTCCGACTCGGAGTCGCGGTGTCGACTGGTAAGATTTAGATATGCCTACTAGGCGTTCTGGACGGCCCGTTTTCAGAAAGATGTGAATACAGATATGGAAGAAATAATTTTTGTTGTCTTATCTATATACTTAACCGATAGAGGATTTTCTTCTTCCAGTCAGGGATCATTAGTTGAAGTTGAAGTAAAATTTTTTGAAGATCATTCTACATGGAAAGATGAGTTTGTGACTATTTCTGCAAAAGTAGAACTAAGAACTGGATCTTCGCAAGTTACAACCTTGTTGAAATATCATGGATGGATTTTGAAATTTTAGTGACAGAATTAGGACAAACTCCTCCTCGCATGGACATGTTGAAGGGATCTCCTCCCTTCTATCCCAACCCCGCTCGTGGTAATTTTCTCCTCCTATCACACCATCATGTGAATGTCAGCTTGCCATTTGATTCACCACCTTACTGATAGATCTCGCAACCGAGTGCACATTTATCCTTTTCTTCTCGGTCGCATGCATTTGACCTCTACTCTTGCTTCTTCGCCGCTGAATTGGTACGCCTGACCGACCGGCGGGGTACGGCATATCGCGACAACTTTCTCGTTTCACATCAGTTCTCAACTCAACAAATTTAACATCCGCAGTAATTTTTGCTTCCGAAGATCTCTTCCAAGAGAGTCTGCAAAATGAGCTCAGTATTAACAAAGCTCGCGATCTGGATCTGGGGACCAGATAGTAAGGACCGAGCCCTGCTAGCAAAACTCGATGTCACCCTACTTCCCTACTTTTCTTTGATATGGTTTTTATTCGGTGTCACAAGGTCAAGTTACTCCTCAGCCTATATTAGCGGTATGAAAGAGGCACTCGGTTTCCAGGGAAAGGAATACAATTACATGAGCACCGCATATCTGGTGGTCTATGCTGTTTGCCAGATGCCAGGGACAAGTCTCTTGACTATCGTGCGGCCGAAATACGTTTTTGTAACAGCTAACTTGACCTGGGCGGTCTTAACATTGATCACCTATAAGATGACCAAAGCCTGGCAAGTGATCCTGTTAAACGCGATTGAAGGAGGGTTCTCTGCAATCGCATAGTAAGAACCCTGAGAATGCATGTTTGAAGTGTATGGGGATGGCAAGTGCTGATATTTTGACAGTGTGGGTGCGCATTTCATTCTCGGCTCCTGGTATAAAAGATCCGAGCTCGGTATAAGGGCTGCAGTATTCTGCGTCTTTGGGCATATAGGAACTATGGCTGGTGGCTGGATCCAAGCCGGATTGCTAGCATCATTGGCGGACAAGGGTGGTCTTCCTGCCTGGAAATGGATATTCATTATTGTTTCTGTGATGACTATCCCCGTTGCATTATTCGGTACGTCTCCAACCCGATCATTCAGAGATGGAAGTACTCAGCAATACTACAGGTTGGATATTCATTCCAGATCTCCCTTCTCATCGCGCAGCCTGGTTCTTGAACAGCGAACTGAAAGAACATGCAATCATGCGACTAGGTGCGCCCCGCAAACAGTCTTGGGATTTGACGGTATTCAGGAGAGTGCTTTTGAGCTGGCAATTCTGGTTACTGCCCTTTATTTTTATGTGTAAGTATTTAAATTGGGAGATTGAGTGTCCAGTGCTGATATCAGTTAGTGTACTCTCTTTGTGTGCAAATGCTGCAGAACAACGTTATGGCATACTGGATGGCCTCGCGGGGATACACCACTATCCAGCAGAACAACTATCCTACCGGGATCTATGCAACTGCCATTATTGGTACAATTTTCTATGCCGTAATATCGGACAAACTGCAATCTCGCTGGGAGGTCTCCATTGCGATTGGGTTGACTTTCATCATCGGGTCGGCGATTCTCGTATCTAGTCCTTCGACAGATGCTGGATACTTTGTGGCATTTTATCTGCTCGGGACCACTTTCGCGCCTCAGGCGGTTTGGTATTCTTGGATGGCTGATGTCACGAGTTCGGATGTACAGTTGCGTGCTATAACCACGGGCTTCATGAACTCGTTTGACTTCGCCTTCGTTACTTGGTGGCCGCTAGTATTCTATGCCGCTACTGATGCCCCTGATTTTCACAGAGGTTATATTGCAAGCTTGGTGACGGGCGCATTGACCCTCCCATTTATTGGCTTGATTGCCTATCTGGAGAGGAGAGATCGAGCACGGGGTGTGATTGGAAGAGTTGCGTTCGAGAGCCCGGTCAATGACCACGATCGTGATGGGCGAGATGATGATTCAGGCAAACTTGTGGACACGCCAGTTAATGTACAGTCGGCCGAGATTGGTGTGTAGTTCGTTTGGGAAGAAGTGAACTAGAGAAAAAAGCCCTATCTTCCTTAGTTTAGACGAAGACTTGAATTTTTATTATGTATCGAGCCGCTATGCAAAGCAAATATCTATCAGTGCTTATGTACTGCCCGAAGCCTCAGGCATTTCTATTCCATATGTATCCTGTACTGTGCCGAATTGAGTGCTCAGCTTTAACCGCTGACCAAACGATCGGGAGTAAGGTTTTCGGCTCCAGTTCCATTCGCTGGGGTGGAAGTGCCTTCCGAAGTAGATGTCTGAGTTTCGGTGGATTCCTTCTTCTCGTTGTCGGCCTTCCCTTTAGATGTAGTCACCGTACCCTTAGCAGTGAGGGCACCACTCTTTATAGCTTCCTCGGGTAAAGGTCGAACATGGGGCTGACACACCCACCAAGGACGACCATACTCGGCGATGGTAGCCTTAGAGCCTGTTAAAGACTCATCCGGTTGCTTCTCAAACTTCTCGGGGTTTTGTTCATATTCTTTCAGTCCAGTCTTGATCGCTCGCTCAATGAGAGTGAGAACTTTCTCAAACGCGGCCATATCACCAGGCCGGGATTGAGCAAGCGCGTCTCGAACATTTGTATGGGTTCCAACCATGGGCCGGAGAACTTGAAAAAGGTGACCTTGCATGAAGCCAAGGTTGGGGGAGTTGGTCCTCTTGACCTTCTCTCGTCTCTGTTTCTTCTTTGGTGGGCCATCTTCCTCCTCGTTCTGTTCTCCTTCCTTGAATTCTTCCGCTGCATCGACAGGGTCGGATGGTAAGAAGAGCGGCTTGCGTTCTGGAATAGGTTGCTCGAGGACGTATTTGTAGATAATGTCGTAGTATTTGCGAACAATCGCATCAATCCGGTACCCACCCTTTCCATCTCGGCCCCGCCAGTACTCTCGACCTTCACTTCCAACGGGTGGTGGCTTGCTGAAGACAGTAGGGTCGGAAAGGTTTCCCTCGGCGCTCATGACTCCGTCGGCTCCGGTTGCCTCGAGACAACGCTCGATATCATCATTGTTCAAGATGTTACCATTGGCAAAGATGACAGTTTCTGATGGTAGATTATCGCGCAGGTAGCGGATGTAGCTCCAATCTGCCAGGCCTGTTTCATGACCCTTCTGCTCTCGGCGACGTCCATGGACTGTGATAATGTTTGCGCCGGCAGAGAGAATCATCTTTGCATATTCCAAAGTCTTCTCCTTTGTTTCCTGGATGCGGAACTTTGCAGTGATTGGCACTGAGAGTTCAGTCGATAGCTTATTGATGAGTTTGTAGATCAAATCCCAGTCCTCCTGGAGAAAGGCACCGTAGTGTCCCTTCCTGGCAATGCCTTGCGGGCAACCGAGGTTTAAATCGACGGCGTCGCAAAAAGGTGCAACGTGTTTTGCTGCTTCCAGGAACTCATTTGGGTTGTTTGCGCAGAATTGAACGAAGAGGGGACGGTCGAATGAGGGGTTCCCGTCCAGGAAAAGCTCGTCCTTCTTGTTCGTATCTCCGATGGCGGCCCGAGTGGGTTGGAAACACCCGGATCGGACACGTTCCTGTTCTCCGAATAGACGTGCGTGATACATAGGTGAATATGCGAGGAGGGACTTCGACTCGTTCTCGGGCATGAAGGATCTTGTGAGCATGCGCCAGGCCTGAAAGAAAGAGAAGAAAAGTCAGTGTAAATTTCTCGTATGTGGCTTATGCTAGACTCACGAATTCGGATCGATCAACCATCGGAGCCACGATATACTTAGGGCTTCCAATGCTTTCATAGAACTGTCTTCCTAGTAGTTTCTTTTGAGGTGCCACGGCGGACGGCAGTTCGGTGCCATTTTGCGCCTTCTGCTGCTGCACGGTGTCGGACGCCATTCTAATGTGCGGTCGGGTATTTTTGAAGACGAAGCGCCCCGACCAAGGGGATGATCTGGTTATGAGGCCTATTTTGACTGCCGAAGCCGAATTCCACTTCATCGGAGAAGGACGACCATCTCAACTTTTTGCCGGCGCGCTGCTTATCTCGGAACGGAGAATAAAATATTCCGTGTTATCTTATCGGAGTGGCAGCTTATCTAAGTACTCATGCCTGAGGCAGTAAATGTGGATGCCTCACCCGCATTGGATTGGATGAGACCCATCTTGATATATTCTCTAAGACGTGCAAAATAGCGACTATTTTACGGCTGGGTCGATGGGATTTTAAACCACTGGCACCAGAATCTCTACTTTACAAGTCCTATCTTTCTTCTCCTTCTGATAGACTTGCCTACGGTCCCGGGTTCTTGATATACCATTGAGCGCATACGCGACTCATTGTTGACAGAGCATCAACAATGGATGCCTCGACTGGAACCGGAGGTAAATTCTTTCTTTCAAGATCATTAATCAAATGCTAAGTCTAAACCAGCTCCATTTGCCCTCTCCTTATCCAACGATGGCCTTTTTGCAGCTCACGTCGATGGCAAAGATCTTGCCGTCTATTCAAATTTGGCATCCGAGCACAAGGAAATGCAGACTGCTAAAGTCCTCGAGACAAGTGTCAAATCTCTCAAATTTTCTCCTACACGAAATTCAATAAGGTCGTTCACGGATCGACGTCTTCTCAGCTCCAATGAATCCCGCATCTCCGTCTGGCAATTAGAAGAATTGAAGCTGTTCGCCGAGATCGAAAACCTTGAGCCTGGAACACTCAATGTTGAATTCGGAGCCGATGAGAACGAAATCCTTGTATTCCATGCGTGGAATACGAAAATGACTATTCACTCCCTAGACACAGGGCGCAGCTCCATGATCAAGTCACCGAAATCTTCCCACCCACTTGGATTTGGATATCGCCCGCAAACCAAGCACTTCGCGATTCTATTAAAACCGGATGCATCTGACCTACTTACCATTCATGACCCCCAATCCTACAATCTGGTCAGCCGAGTTGTACTCTCTACCAACGATGCCCAGGGCTTAAAATGGAGTCCAGATGGGAGGTGGATTGCCGTTTGGGATGCTGCCAGCTCTGGTACCAAGGTGCTCATTTTCACGGCGGACGGACAGCTCTTCCGGACTTATAGTGGCCCATCCGAGATGGATGATTCATTTGATCTAGGTGTTAAACAGATTGAATGGGGCCCTGTAGGGAAAGGCGGCACTTCCAATACTCTCGCTGTGGGCAAGGTCAATGGCAATGTTGACCTGCTGCGAACCCGAACAGTATGTACCTCCTCAAAGAACTGACCAAGACACCTCTGACTGTATCAGTTTACTTGTTCCACTACACTTTCGCATGTTTTCCCGCTCGATCAGTCTTCGCCTAGAATCTGGCGCGAGCGATCCACCAGCGCCCTCGGAGATGCAGAGTATGCCGAGACGACATGCTCCTCTGCATTCAACATGAGTCCCGAGTGTTCGGGTCCACCACGAGGTGTACAAATTATGACATTCAGCCCCGACGGAACGATGCTCGCAACTGTGGATACTATGCGATCTAATGTTGTCTGGATATGGGCATTGGACAACACGCCCAGGTTGATATCTGCGCTGGTGCATGAACAGCCTGTTCGCCAACTAGCTTGGCACCCTTCGACGCCGCAGCTGCTCATTAATGCAATTACGAACAATTTACCTACGATTCGATGGTGGTCGCCCAATGATCAGCCGGTGATCGCCCGCGTTCCTACTCAAAAGAGCGAGAGTGGGAAGTATGAGGTGAAGTGGCTTGTTGAGTCGGAGAATGATGCGACATTTTGGTTTGCTTCGACCGAGGAGTATGTGGTTGGGTATTTGACTGACGAGAATGGTATTTCTGGGTTTGAAGTATTAAATTCTGTGACTAGTCGAGGATATGGGAGTCATACGGGGAGTTTGAGCCGTTAGATAGAGCTACTAGTTTGATGTAATGTGTAGTAGTTCTATACACAATGCCCTAGGAGCGCTGTGTTCCACGTTCCACATTACCACCAATTTGAACAGTGCAATAAGCATCAAGTATCAATCAACAATTATCCTTCCTTTCACTTTAACATTTGTTATGCTGAATCGTAAACGAAATCCACGAACAATTTGAATGGACTTGTAATAACCCCAGTATCCAGCATCAGTAAGCATATGGAGAGTACATATACGGTACAATGTATGCTCTGCGTGAGTCAGCCAATCACATGCGCCAGACTAACCGAGTTTGCACCACACGTGACCTGGGGCTTAGGGCTTGGTGAGATTAGTCATGCCCCACGGCCATTTTCGCACTGCGATCCGCCGTTCGAGACTACCTTCCTTCGACTATCCGCAACCGACAGACAAAATGGTGAGTGACCATCTCAAAATGCCTCAATATCGTCGCAAAGACACGAGCTAATCATTATTCAACTATAGCCACCCGCAGGAAAGCAAAAGAAGAAGTGGAGCAAGGGCAAGGGTACGCTATCACCACCATCATCACCGTTACCAGCACCAGCACCACCAATATCGCCATGAGCATCCATCCATCCATCCATCCAGCCGACCGTGACAGCGACCATCAAACCCTTATTCTCGCCCGGCCCCAACTACGCACGAAGAGGACGAGATTTTGAGTCGTTTCGCGATCGGACATGGATGGTGGTTCAAGATCAGGACATGGACGAGCATGGACATGGACATGCGAAATACCTTTGGAGCAAACGGCGACTAACATGATTTTCTGTCTCTAGTCAAGGACAAGGCTCAACACGCCGTTGTCTTCGAGAAGGCCACCCTTGAGAAGCTCAACAAGGATGTCCAGTCCTACCGCCTCGTGACCGTCGCCACCCTGGTCGACCGTCTCAAGATCAACGGCAGCCTGGCTCGCCGTGCTCTTGCCGACCTCGAGGAGAGAGGCCAGATCAAGAAGGTCACCAGCCACTCCAAGATGAACATCTACAGTGCGTTTCCCCGAATTCAATATCTCGACTTTTTTTTTTACTCAGGACTAACATCTCCCCTCTTAGCCCGCGCCGTCGCCGCCGAGTAAACGCTCCGTTCCTCCATTTCTCGCGGTTGTCTATTTCTCTTACGAATGATATCATTTCACATGGGAAGCTCAGTGTGATGCTTAGTGGCCTGGCTCTCGGCACTGTGGACCTTCGTCCCCTGGCCTAGTATCAGGTTAAACGAAGAATAAAAAAGTTTCAAAACTTCAATTTTTCCCCCCGCTATGTTCTGCGTAATACGTAGATTTCAAGTCCACTATATCGGACCGACAGTCCACGCCATCAAAAAATACGCCCCACGAATGCTGTAAATACGTTCCTCCTAGGTCACCATCCTTACATCCTCCTCGTTTCATCCAAGCGGCATAACACCCCTCTACTTCCCCTCCATCTCACTCCTCTTCGGCCTCTGACCCGCCGCCGCCTCACAAAGAGCCCGCTTCCCCCACACCTCATCGCCCTCCCCTGGCTGACCACTCACTCTCCCGACCTGAAAATACTTCGCATGATTCCGGAAGAACCCCTCCCATCTAGCAACCGTCTTCTCAACCTGCTGCCTAGCAAGTCTAACCTCGCGCTCCTTGCGAATCTTCCTCTCCCCATTCGTAATCCCCTCATCCTCCACATCCTCCACCGGCACAAACATCAACTCCACACCCCCAAGATCAGGCGTAAGATCTTCCTGGAAACAACCCGTGACAAATGCGCGCGTTGCGTCGCGGCCGGAGAAGAATCCGTACCCGCCGCCTGGTCCGTACATGCCCGGGTTCGCGGATACGTCGAAGATGGACCCGTTGACGGCGAGGTAGATTGGTAGAGAAGGGTCGCTGCCATTGTAGAGGGATAGTTCGGTCGGGGTGAGTGATATAGGTCCGGTCTAGGGGAGAAGTCTGTTAGTTTCAAGTGTCTCACTTTGTAGCGTCGAGTGAAGTTCTCACCATGTACGACTTCAGTACCGGCCACCGTGTATACCACGGTCGGTATCCCCATAGGACGGATTCAGAGTTTGTGATGTAGTATGAAAGACTGCATGATGCGATGATGAGTGTTGCTAGCACGCGGATAATGTCTAGGACGCTGATGCCGCGGTCTTCGTTGGGGGTGTGGCGTGATGGTTGTGGTGCTGGTGTGTTTGTCTCGCGATTGGAAGCGGAGGACGCGGCTGTTTGTCGCTGACGGAGTTCCGACATCGTTGGAGGGTAGTTTTTGTCTGCGTTTAAACTTGAAGGTTCAAGTTGCTGTTATTGGTCATTGGAGGAGGTGGTGGTGGCCGCTTTCAAATTTGTGGTGCGGTGGAAATCTGGGGAAGATCGCCTCGGTTCAAGTTGGTCTGAAGATGCTAGTACTGCCTAGTAGTTTGGGTGCGCTGCAATGGATGTAGCACACACATCTGATCGATCCCTAAATTATATTTTGTTTTCATGTACCTAGTACTAGGTAGTATCCTTTTTAAAATATCTAGGTACTAGGTACTCTGCCTTCGAGACTTATATCACTGACAGGAAGGTACCAGGACCATACTAATAGTTACATCTCACAACAAACTACTACTACTAGTACTAGTTCACTAGTAGTACTTGTCTACTAGTACAACTTAAACTTGACCTTTCGACGAAAACGCCGAACTTGAAGCAATGGGCGTCTGATCCTTGGTTAGAAACTTGAATATTCAAGTTTTGTCATCAAATTCATGATTCTAGCTAGAAGGTATTCATGAACATGCGATGTGCCGAGTCTGCTCTGACACAACCAGCTAGACTTCGTATCCCTACATCCAGCTTAATGACCATCGCGATCCCGCGCCGCCTGCTCTTCCTGCTCCTGTTCCCAGGACCGAGAGAAAACTTCATTCAACGCGTCCTGGAAGGTGCGACAGTTCATATCGATAAGTCCCTTCTTCTCCTTGGCCTCGGGGTTCCTAATCACCGAGACAAGGCACAAGTACTTGTTCATTTCCATGAGATGAATCATCGTCTCGTCGTGCAGTACGACATGACTCTCTGCCTCCTGCACCTGTTCGCCTTTCGCCTTTCGGAGCGGGTGGTCCCATGAGTACAGTTCGGAGATATCGACAATCACATCGATGTAATCGGAGCACATTTCGTAGCAGGCCATATCGACAGGTCGGGTATCGGAAGCAATGTAAATCTTACTGAGAACGTCGAATAGATACGTTTTCTCGAACCCGCAGTTGTTCGAGAGCGTGTTGATCAGGTTTTCGAGGGTGGAGAGGTTGGGGATGAGCTTTTGGATGACCTTGCTGAAGGCTTCGAAGACGGAGTAGTCGTAGATGGAGGTGAGATAATAGTGAACAGGCGCGTTTTCATAACCCGCGTCGCTCAATTCGTCGGAGATTCGCTGGACAATGTCCTGGAAGGTATCTTGGCGGTATTCATCGGATAGCCCGTCCACTTTGTGGATGAAGACTTCAATGTTGATGCCGGGGTAGTACTGTTGTACAGTTAAAATGGTGCGGTTCAACCGCGCAACCGAGTCGAGGTAGTCGTCTTGGGCATCGATGACCCAGACGAGTGCGCCTAAGCTTCCGAAGATATCCTCCAGATCGAAAGACGGCTCAAGGTATTCCAACTGTCCGGGAAAGTCCCAGACTTGGAAGTCCATGAAAGAGCTATAGCTAAGATTAGCCCGAGAGTTCAAATGAGATGCATTGGCCCTTACTGGATGGAATCCTTCTGGATCCGAGTGGTGGATTCAAGGAAGAGTGTCTCGTTGGGGGGGCATCTTGTGAAAGACGACACTGGCGATGGATGACTTGCCGCTCCTAAACATAGTTAGCAACGCTGGCCTCTGGTAGGCGAAGTACAATGTCGACTTACCGGCGAAGGCCCATCAGAAGGAGACGAGGTTTGGCATCGCGCGGCTGAGTATCGGGAACAAGGCTTGACCGGGCATGTGCCGAGGTGCCGACTTGGTGATTTCCCTGTAGGTTTTTTTCAAGGCTTAGCTGGGCTTCGGACTTGAGATGAGATGATTGCCGGGTGCCAAAGGGCTGTTCGACATCCCGATCGACCGACCAGGCTCGCTCGACAGCTGGCCAGGGCATATTGGGCTCAAAAGGTTCCGCGCATAGAAGGGGAGGAAGCAGAGTGCGCGTGCCAAAGGGCGATCACATGCTCGATATAGCAATCGCGTGTGAAGTGAATACAGACATGAAGATTCCGGAATCATTGGGGCTGGGAATACCCTCCGATGTGGTCCACGGGGTTCCGGGCCATCACAACTCACGGGGCGCCATATGGACACCGCGCGTGCGCGCCTTAACACACCTGGGCGCCTCAGGCTGGGATTTCCTCTGATCTTTGCACCTGCATACTAAGAGGCAATATACACCGATTTGGATGGATTCAGAAATCAAAGAGGACCGGCACTGAGCGTTTGTCTCACCATTGATGTGCCTAACACGCAGGCGAACGCGGTGCGCAAGTGATAGTCACGGGCAGAGCGGGCAGAGCGGGCAACAGCGAGCAGCCGGGGAGGTGACAGTGGCAAGGCAAGAGTAAAAGAAAAAGAAAACAAAACAAAACAAAACAAAACAGAGGAGAAAAAGCAAGGAATTGGGCAGATGCGAACATAGGACATAGGATAGGGCTTGGGTCCCCAGATGAGGTGGAGTGGAGCGGGGAGAGCTTTCTTACCTCCATTGAAGCAGACGATCACAGCGGGGAGGGTTCCTGAGGCAAGTTAGCATGCACCACTGCAACAGACAGGGAGGTACTTACAGAGTACAGGAGTTGCAGGGAGCCAAGAGCGGGGGGCCGACAGGTGATGATCAAACGAACCAGTCGAGATCGAAGAAGTGCATCCGCCTTCAGGCTGGGCAAGATGGAGATGTAGTAATGGCAATGGCAATGGCAATGGCAATGATAATGTAGGGATTATCAGGCCTGCATCATCTATTTGAAAGAGGTAAAGTAAAAGAGAAAAAAAGAACGGGAAGCAGGGATTGCCCTGGTGTTGAAGTGTGCAGTGAAGTGATGTGAAGTGAAGGAGGGGACGAAGGCGGAGTTGCTATCGATAAGAGTTACATTAGACTTAGAGAAGGTACGGAGTAGAGGCTAACCTATAGCTATGGTAGTACTAGTAGTTAATTAACTAGAGTTAACTATTAACGATGATACTTAATTTAATAGCGAGTCTCAAGATTGAATATGAATTTATCATTGTATATCTATAATCATAACTTTTACCCATAGCTACCTATCTACCTAGGTATAGGTATATTCAATGGTGAAGGTGCCCACGACCCCCGGAGCGGACCATCTCGCTGGTGCGGTGTTTTCCCCCGTGACTATGGCTCCCATTATGGCTCCCATTATGGGCAACCTCCTCAACCTCTTCAATCTCCAGTTCAGGCCACTCCTCCCAGCCATCTTCCCAGATCCCTGCTAGTTTCTTGTTTTTGCGCTCAGGGCTGAGCTTTTGATTGTTCATGATCTTCTCCCATTGGTTCATCTCCGCATCATCCAACAGGCACTCGTCCAGAATGGCTGTCAGCTCAGTCTCATCCACCCCTTCGCCAATAAACACTATCTCCTGTCGTCGGTCACCCCAGGGTCCCTGGAAGTCATTCTCGATCGATTGTCGCACATCCTGGTCCTCAGGCCACGCCTCATCAGGGATCTCTGCGAACCAGGGACCTCCGCAGCCGACCGTTAGCATCCCGCCCGCTTGGCTCCACTCGCCAAACTGGAACGCCCGCGTTGCCAACCAGAAAAAGCCCTTGGATCGAAGCACTGGCCCAAATGCCGCGTGATGACGCTTGTTTTCAAGGATCTCTTTGGGATCTGGTTGATCAAAGTCTTCTAATGATCCGCTGTCGCCGTCGCTCTCGCTCTCGTCTCCGTCCCCCATCTCTTCATCTTCGTCTTCATCCTCCTCCTCGTCTTCCAATTCATTATTTTGGAGCAAGATGAACTTGTCGTGAAGCAATGAGAAGAGTTTTCGAGGGTGAAAAGGTCGTCGCGCCGAGTAAACAAAGTTGTTGATGCCATATTCCAGCGTCTCCGGCTTGGGCGCCAATCGCTCCCCGTTGCCGGTCCTTTGCATCGTCATCTCATGCAAACTGCGCAGCCAGCCAGCCCCCGAGGCGGCCCGGATGAAATCAAACTTGCCAGTCGATATGATTTCACGGACGTCAATTTTAGAGTAACTTGATTCAAGCACCTTGGCGTCTGGATTGAGCAGTTTGAGAAGCTGCACGATTTTCTCGCGGTGGGCTTGGTCGATGGTTTCAACCTTGTTGATGATCAACACGTCGGCGAACTCAATTTGATCCACCATGAGGTCGGAGATTGTTCGCTCATCCTCTGGGACGATCTCGTCTTTGCCGTATCGGTCGGAGAGGAACTCGGTTGTATCGAAGCTGGAGAGAAGGTTGAAAGCATCGATCACGGTCACCGTGGTGTCGAGGCGGGCCATGGTGTGCAAACCACCCAATTCCACGCTACCGAAATATTAGATCATCTTCATCCCTGCTAAGAAGTGGCTGGAATTTTAGAGCACCTACATCTCGTTCAGGATCTTCTTCGCCTCCTCATCGTTCTCGGCGCTGATTTGGTCTTCGGCCTCTAACATGGCAGAGCTGAACTCTGCTGTGAAGGTCTCGGCCACCTGCATCGGCTCACTAATACCAGTGCTTTCGATCACCACATATTCGATCTCGTTCTGTTTTGTGAGGCGGGCTAACTCGGCCAGCAGATCGCCACGGAGTGTGCAACAGATGCAGCCATTTTGCATCTGGATGAGCTTTTCTGTCGTTTGGGAGACCTTGTGGTTCTTGATAAGGGTAGCGTCGATGTTCAGTCTAAGGATAATACAATCAGCGTTATTCATCAGTCTGGCATATGCAATACTCACTGGCTCATGTCATTGACAATGACTGCAATTCGCATTCCATGGTCTGGGGATCCAAGGATGTGCTTCAGGAGAGTTGTCTTGCCACTACCCTGTCTGATGGTTAGTATTTTATCTGATGCACACGGTCCTTTGAGTCAATCTTACCAAGAATCCAGAGAGCAGGGTGACCGGTAGCTGCCGAGCCTTGGACTTCTCAGCCTCCTGATTAGGGACCTGGACATGGTATGCCACATTCTCTCGACCCGAATCAATAACCATTGTGTCTGTGCTCGTACGGTTTGCAATTCTCTGAAAACAAAACGAGAATAAAGAAGAATCGCAAGACTTTTTCTCTTAGAAACCTTGCGGGCGACTCATTTATGCCTCCCAGGCCTCGCCTCCAAGTTCCTCATCGTCCGATGTCGTTGGTCTCATATCCCATGCGATACGTATACAGATACCAGTCCCCCAAGGTTGATATTGAAATAGTGGAGATGGGAGTAGTCCAATGAAGACGAATCTTCCCCGTGATGCTGATAAATCGAGGGTTTTGTGTGGCTGGCGGGTGCGGTCCACAAGGTACCTGAATGGCGCCGCTGACCTTCACGGTCCTCAAATGACGGGGGCAATTCTGTAATCTGGTATTAACGATGGTTCTATTGGCTGCGAATTTCCACCCTGTTTTAATACTAATGCGGACCACCCTGACTTCAGCAGCACTGGAATCCGTGTGTTTATCTGAGAGGACACTTTGCCATGGAGCCGTGGTGGAAACTTGACGATTGTAACTGAAGATTATTTTGAAGTATGCTAAAATGAAGATCGTAGATAAACCATGATATTCCCTATTCCTACTCGTAGCTACTTGCCTGATAAACGTGGGACTGATAGCAGCCGTCATTGGATACTAACTAGTAATAGGGTTAGGGTATAGTTCATACTTCCCGATATGGCCTCAGAATGAGCCGCCCTTAACGTTTGAAAGGAAAATTCGAATGCATCTACAATTGACATCGCAATGATACTAATACGAGTGGTAGGTAATAGCAATGACTATAGTAACTATACAGGTCTACTACTAGTAACTAGTTAGTTTACCCGAGTATGTACTTAGTATACTCACAGTACCCCCACTCCCCCCACGGGGCCTCCTCACCGCCCAACTGGGCCCATCCTCGGCCCAAGCTATCCTATGCGGTGCTCCGCTTTAATCTTCGAGTTCGACTCATCGCTCGAAAGCATGACAACCCTAATCCCCCGTGAGCCTTACTCCCCAGAGGAGCTGGATAGGCTCTATCCTAAAGGTCTGAAGTTGCAATTGGTCCAGGTTGTGAGTTTAACCCCCCCCCTATAGCTCATCCCGCCAGCTCCGAGCTAATCCTAGTCAGTTCCTTCGTCATGGTATGCAACAGCTCCGCCCTGTATGTCGGTTGACCGTTGAGCCCGATCGCATTTTTAACCTAACATAGGCGAACGTACACCCGTTTCCTCGCGATTTCAAAATGTGAGTCGCCAATCCTCTCGCTATGACTCTATCATACTAATCGTTCTCTCAGACAGGCCTAGCTCCATGTAATTCCCCCTCACCCCCCGTCCCGCTCCACACGATGCGGCCACCCAGCTAACTTTTCTCCGATATAAGACTGGCCATACTGTGGAGTTGCGAGACGTATGGTCCAGATGGCCTCCAGCAGTGAAGATCTCTCTTCCTGGAATGGTTTTCAGTTTCGCCGGAAAATGGAGTCCTTTGGGAACAGAGACCAGTCCGTTGTTGCAGTAGGCGCGGGCAATGAGATCGAGGGAATCTGGTCAGTTGGTCCAAACGAGGGTCCCGATCGACTTGAGGAAGACACAAACAGCTAATACTCTCACAGCCAGCACGGAGAACTCACCGATAAGGGTCGCGAAACTACCTACGCGCTAGGCCAGCGATTGCGCCATCTCTACGTTGACCAGCTCGGATTTATGCCTGCGATCAAGTCCGATAGCGAAGACATGTACCTGCGAGCGACGCCGATCCCCCGTGCTCTCGAGTCGCTGCAGCAGGCCTTCTGGGGCATGTACCCTACCAGTGCTCGCACCCTCGACTTCCCGCCGCCTGTCATTGTCGCCCGGTCCGTGTCAGAGGAAACCCTTTTCCCCAATGAAGGCAACTGTCGGCGATTCCGCCAGCTGGCTCGGCTCTTCGCCGACCGTGCAGCCTCACGATGTAAGTGTTTAGTCCTGGAAACCCCTACCCCTCCTGATCAATAATAGCTCACGCCCGCGACAGGGAACGATTCGGAGCAGATGGAATATCTGAACAAACTTTGGTCTAAATACATGCCGGAGACTTCACCCAAGGTGGCGGTGGATGCGCACCCTCGTCTGTCTGGTATTATGGATACCATCAACGCGACTGATGCTCACGGACCGGCAACTAAGCTTCCTTCTGAGTTCTACGACAAGAAGGGCCGTGCGGTGATCGATCGCATCGCGGTCGAGGAATGGTTCGCCGGCTACAACGAGAGCACTGAGTACCGCAAGCTGGGCATCGGTGCCCTCATGGGTGACGTGGTAGACCGCATGGTTAGCACTGCCGTTGATGGCGGTTGGCGCAGCGAGACCTCTGCCTCTGGGTCGGGTAAGCCCGAAAATGGCAAGTCAATCAAGTTTGCCATGAGCGGGTGCCACGACACCACCCTGGCCGCAATCTTGTCCAGTGTGGGTGGGTTCCAAAATGGATCTTGGCCCCCTTTCACCTCGTCCATTGCAGTTGAACTATTTTCGCAAGCTCCCGATAGCCGAGCCTATGCCGGATCCATGCTCGAGGAGTTCTCCAACCCCCGTGTTGCTGCTAAGAAGCCCGGTCTCTTCTCGTCTCTTATCGGAAAGAAGCCTACAGCCCAGCAGCAGTTGGCCCCCTCTGAAACCGCCCGCGCACCCATTGAGTCGTTCCCCGAAGAGACTCGCGAGTCCCTGCGCAAACACTATGTCCGCCTCCGCTTCAATGACCAACCTGTTTACATCCCCGGCTGTGCTTCCAAGCCCGAAAACCACCTGCCTGGAGACGAGAGTTTCTGCACCTTGGACGCCTTCAAGGAAATTGTTGACAAGTTTACACCTAAGAATTGGCAAGATGAGTGCATGCAGAACCTAGGACAGGGTCTGCACGGTCCTAATGACCAGGAACGTAGCACCGCTGGCTTTTAGACATTACATGTTTTCTTCTTGTGCGCTGAGCTTTTTAGGTGAGATTTCCATGCAAATAAATTAGGTACGGTTGGGCGTAAATATTGCCAACGCATTATTAGTATTAGATCAACGCTTTCAAGAATATTCACCTGTTCTTAGCTTTCTCCTCTTCTTCCTTCTTCAGTGCCATAAGCTTCTTCGAGGAGATCATCATCAGCATAGACCGGGGTAGAATATCAAACGAAAGTCCTTGCAGCCAATGCCAAAAGTATGCCCAAACAATGACTCGCCCGCATCCAACCCGGTTCAATCCAGCACTGGCTAGAGTCCTGGCATCCGGTACAAAGAGCCCAGCCTGAACATCGAAGCCAGCTGTTTTGACTTGACCAACGCGCAATCCCAAAACCTCAATGTTGCGCTTCTCAGCCTTACACTCAGCCTCAAGCGCCTTGGTAAACGTATCCACGAACCCCTTGGTTGAAGCATAAACACTGATATAAGGCATACCAAAAGCCGACACGGACGAAACATTGGTGATAACCGCTCCACTCCCAGCCTCCAAAACAGGAAGCAATACACGGGTAATCTGCGTCATGAATCCAGCATTCATCGAAATAGTCCTCTCAACCTCCTCAAAGGAATAATCACTCAAGACCGTATACGGCCGAACCTCGCCGCCAACATTATTGATGAGAACGGAGAGCTCGCCGCCCTGTGCCTCAAGAATGCACTTAACCTCCACAGCAATCTCATCCACATCAACCGTCAACCCGACAACATCACGGACAACAATCTCAACCCGACGAGTCGGGAATTCGGCCCTGAGCTCCGCCGCGCGCGTATCGAGTTTCGCGCGATTGCGCCCGTGGAGAATGACGTTGAAACCGCGTGCGCAGAGTTCCTGGCTGAAGCCGAAGCCGATTCCGTCGCTTGCGCCGGTTACCAGGGCCCAGTTGTTCTTTGTGCGGTTGTAGGTGTTTAGAGAGGTGGGGAGGAGGAATGTTGTTGCCGAGCGAGTGAATTTGAGGGTTGTGTAGGCTAGTGTTGCCAGGCCGATGTAGCTGAGGGGTGTTTGCCAGGGTGAGAGGTCCATTTTGGTGTTGGGTGGGTGAGGGCGTGGAGGGAAATGGTGAGGTTTGGGAGCTTGTGTCACAAGGGCCTGTTTGGGTTTTGGTTTTGGTTTGGTGGATCGTGAGGGATCGGATCGCGATGGTTTCGAGGATCAACAGGGAAATTGCTAGATCGGGATTGTGAGCTGTGCTCAATTGTGTGCAATTCAAAACAATTGCATGTGGTTCAATGGGATATTATAACGAACTGGTAAGGCATTCTGTATACTTGTACTACTAGTATTTTATATTATGCGCATCATCGGTGATTCGTCGGCATCGGGCCGGTCGTCACGCCGAGCACCGACTTTCGGGCTCGCGAAGCCCGATCTGATAACAATAGAAAACTATTGGATTAGGATGAGTACCTTCAAACAGAAGGCTTGAAGTAATATGATTGTGATAAGTATTACCATGTTTGGAAATTTGTTAGTATAATCAATCCGCTCCGGATGAATAGTAACCGACGGACGAAAAGTCGGCGGACTCACGTCAATTAATTGCTAACTGGAATATGACTAGTAGAATTTATACAATTTTTGGATCTCTTTGCAATTTCTTCCTCCTCTCATTTCAATCAAAACTCTTTGGAATCTTCTAGTATTCAGTGAAATAAGATAGAAACCGGGCCTCGCACGAAACCATGAGATACTAGTATTGTCATTTGAGTTTACAGCATTGGCTTCGATCTGATTAAGAGATCATGCTTTGTGTTGGCAAACCCGAAGTATTTAATTATTCACGTCTCATCTCTAAATTATTCATGAGTCATACGCAGACAAAAGAGAACTAGAGAGCAACATCGCATTTCAATCACTCTCAAACCACACAAGCCCACAGTGGTAGGTGGTGTGTCGTCCATTCCTGGATCTCAGTATATCAACCCTCGTTGTCGATACTTTTCCTCCATAACAGCACCCCTCTCGTAATCAGGTAATAATCCTTCAAAATGCTTTTTTCTAAGCTGGCCCGTCCACATGTCTTTCACCGCTCGTCCCCATGCAATGGGGGAGTGGTATAGTTCGGTTATGCCATGATCGCTCGAAACAGCGGCCATTTTATTCAAGCCTGCAAGGGCACGAGAATTTGGTGAGTTGTATTCCCCAACATCGGAGCTAATAGCGGCATGCAAAAGCCCGAGTGTGAAAGTGTGGCAGTTGTTTCGAATAACATTATACTTTGCTCTCGGGGAAGATGATGTCGGATCAGCGGTTCTCATGAGCGATGCGACTCCCTCGGCTAGGTCCGTTAGTTCCGTATCCAAAGCCGAACACTTTTGATTCCCAGGGCCCAACTTAACTTACACATGTTTGCTAGCTCAGCATCTGTTGCTGTTGTTTCTCCGACGAGTCTGTCTGGGGTGGCAGACTTCCAAGACTCCCACCTGGTCTCATCAACATAACGCCAAGTTATTTCCAGGTTCTCGTCGGTCTGGAGCTCATAGAGATATGGACCAATCTTCAGTGCCCAGTGCATCTGTAGTTCTTCTGGGGCGGCATATTTAGTGATTCCGATTCCTCGAGCCACGAAATGGTTGTATTGTGGATATACCCCGGCCCATCCATCGAGCCATCGGGATCTCCAGATAATTGGGCGCTCGTAACGGCCAGCGTTTGTCTCGATTATTTGAGCTTGTTCAGGCTGTTGGCGGGACCTGCGACCACCCCCCGAGGACGAAGGGAGATGTAACATTGTAATGTTGTCGAGTTGAAATAGACAACTCTTGATGTAGAAAATGATTCAAGATACTTTGGTGGCTTCTCATCTTCCCTTTTAACTTCTTCACAACAGAACCATAAACCATTTTCCTGTTCTATAATCAGGCAGAGATCTTTAGCCAAAGGGAAACATGCCTCGCCTTGTGGGCCAGTGGGGGTTCATGGGGGCCAAATGAGCCAGCTCGAGTCTTCATTGGTTGGGAAGGCCTCATCGCCTCTGTGGGCTGTGTAGAAAAGCGTGCATGAGCTCGGACGTAAATAGAATGATCGGCAAAACACCGGGCAAATGGCATGCAAATTACGAAGTAGCCAATCAAGAACTTGTGCACATTATCAAGCAAATTTAGAATCTTACTTGGGTGGGACTGTTAGGGCAAGGCACTCAAGGCAGTGAATAGCTAGCTCTCCATTTTTTGTACTTGATTTCAGGCAGATTCCGAAGGTTGGTTTAAATGGGTGGAATGAGTCGCCCTTTTTCAGACTTCGATTCTTCAATCTTTCCACCATTCACTCTGAAAATTCGAAATGGCTCGACTCAATGACTTGCTTTACTGCTTCCTCTATCTCTTCACTTGGCCATACTACGCAACATTTGTGAGATACACACTTGAGCCACTCAAACGCATAGCCGGCCCACAAAATGACTTGGTGGAGTTGAGCCAATGCGTGCAAGACTTTGCATTGGGAAAAGCCGCAGAACTCAAGTATATCGGATTTGCTGTAAGTTTTTACTTCCGTTGCAGTCTAGATCTAGTCATATTCTTGTCAATCTACTGCGAAAACTCGCGATGCTTTGTGTATTCCTTACTGACGACCTTCAAAGGCAACCATCAATGCCGGTCTCACAGTCGCTACATTCTCCTGGCCTCGACTCGATGGCGCACCATGGGCCGCCCCTGCGCTGCTGTATGCATCCCTCTTCTTTACGATCGGAGGTCTTGTGACTGGCTCGCAGCACATTATGTTCTTCCACAAAATGTGCCCCTACAAGACCGAGGAAATCGCCGATGAATTGGATGATGCCACGAAGCACAATGTGTATCAAGCTGCCCGCGCACAGCTGCTTGATGAGCGTAGTTCGTGGTCGGTGATCTTTAGGCTTGATGCTAGAGCCGGTGATATGAACGTACCTGTGGGAAAGGATATCGACAATATCCTAGGGCAAAGGAGAATCAATCCCGGCATGATCCTGACTTGGCAATGTCCTATTATGTTGATGGCTTGGTCGTGGGTCGGGTACTTGGTGGCGATAGTAGTACTAATTTCGAGGCCATTCATTGCACCTGTCAACAGCAACACAGATGAACGAAAGGTGAGTGTTTATATCGACTTTTTATATATTTCGCATTTGGGGACAGTCAAGCTAATATTTTCCTAGACTGCGATCTTTAGCTTGACCTTTGGTACTTTCATGTTCTTAGCTTTCATTTGGTCATCGTGGTTCATCTATCAGGCTAGCAGAAGCTTCAAGATCATCAGCCCGCGTGCTCGGTTATTGCCTAAATGATGACTTGATTTGAATTCTTCCAACATTTAATCTCGTTCATCTCGAAAGATGTTCACTGATGGTTCATGCGAGTCGCATAATTGAGTTCTGGTATTCCCCATACGGTGCACGCATCCGAGTCACCTGAACAGGTTCTACGCTACTCTGAGGCGAGCAAGATTTCTTCGACGTGACACTATGAAATGTGATCTTTTCAAGAGAAATACACGCGTGAAGCCTACAAGTTATGTGAACGTGCATGGCGCGCAAAGGGTTTTGATTGCTAGCATGTTCATCGCTACGAAACCAACAAGGGCGGTTGGTCATGTTGCTATTATCGCTCCAGGAACTGCCCGTCCTCAATATCTCTGGTTGGGGCAGATAAAGGGCAAGGGCTCACAATAGAAAAAAAGGCCGAGTCATACTTGGTCTTAGAAGAGCAAGCGATCGGAAAGCAACTTGATCCTCGGTTCCAATTGTGATTTAGCTCGCCTTTGAATTAAATTCTCATCGAGGCAATTATTTTGATTTTATTCTTATAAACACAACCCAGACTATCAATTTGTGACATACATTCTATAGATACCTAATTAACGGTTTTTTGATGTGCCATTTTTACAGAATAGAGCGAACATCACGTATAACGTCTCTCCTGTAGCTCCCTTGAACCAATTCAAGGTCAGTATACATCGATGGCTCTGGGTAGACACCTCGACGGTCTCTCCATTTGGCTCGGAACCCCATTTCTAATCGGAGAGCAGTTCTAAGAGGTTGAACGTATTTGGCAATTATATATGGTACTTTACTAGTATCAAGCTTATGTGAGACCCAAACTCCATAATTAAGACAAGAGAAAGTTTCGTTTTTCAGATAGTTCAGCCTTGCCGATGCACCGAAATATAATAGCTTCACTAATTAGACGGGCCAGCAGTATATCCATCGGAATATTCAACTGCCTCATCATATTCCTCGGGCGTGAGCCTCTTCAGATAACCTCCCTCCAGCAATCCCATGACATTAGTATACGTAACGAATTGAGTTCCCATGCCGGGCTGCTCAAACCAAGGCGCAATAGGGCCCAAACCAACAACAAAACTCTTCTTCACTTGATAGACATGATAATTGAACGGATATTCTCCGTCATAGGTGATGAGATTGCTCGGCGGCAGTGAACGCTCGATATATGGTGCACCCAGCGGTGCAAGGAACGATCCATACTCAGACCCAAATCGATCAACCTTTTGTCCGACTGGAAGAGTTGCGTTGCCAATGATTGCTTTGCCAGCTGTGTTTTCGACATAGCCGTTGGATGGCGGGTACTCGTATGAGTCACTGGAGTTTGTTGAGCCGGCCCATTTTGTGAGGAACTCTGTCGGGCAGAGGGCACCGAGTCGGGCGTAGGTGCGCAGTTGATTGTTCAGGGGGAATTTCTTCGGTGCGTGGACTGGTCCTAGTCGTGGGTCGCCGCAGACATAAGTCTTGTTTTGGGAGACGATGCCAGCGCAAGGGTCTGGGTAGCAGCGAGCGGGAAACTTGAACTGTTTGTTTATTAGCTTCTGGCCTAGTGAAGAAGATTGAAGGGAGGGGGTTTACATCTCCATTTTCCCGGGCATGAGGAACGGCCGCTGCCGAGACAGCGAGGGTCAATAAGGTGCTGAGAGTGAAAAGCTGCATTTTAAGCCGGACTAGAATTGAGGAGATTGGGTTGAGTTGCAAACCGCGGTGTTTGCTCCATCTAAGTACTTATACGAGCCCCAGCTGCCAAGTCACACTGCGGAGCCATTCTGCAACCCCATTTCGAAAACCCTGGAGATCGGGTTCGTTATTCAGTTCTTCAGGTGGGGATTGTTGAGGACCAGACAGCATTGAGCGACAAGATTGACGCATAGTATTCCCTTTTAGGTACTCGGCTAGGAGATGAGTGGGGAATGGCGGCAGGGACGGGATTCTGCAAGTCAGATCAGAAAAAGAAACAGAAACCATGCAATCATGCGAGACTTGCAGATTGGCAATTAGTGGCGACATCCTATGGCGATATTCTCCGACCTTTCAAGGTTAGAGTCGGGCGAAATAGTCCATTACATATGATTTGGATCGCCAAGAGGGTGTTTGGGTGCCAACTTTTCAGACTCTAGTCAGCTTTATACTCGCCCCACCGTTCAGCTGCCCCATTTGAGATCTTGGCAATGAACCTTGGAAAGCATGACGTGCACAGCACAACGAGCCTAGTACAAATCGCGAATGTGGGAATGATAACTCAATCTCTATCATGGCAGAAGTGCTCCCCGTCGATTGGGGCCTGGTTGAACCTTGGAATCCGAGTCCCTGGGTCTTGGTATCTCAAACTTTGAAGGTTGACTACTTAGTAGCTGGCAGATGATACTACTACTAGTACTAACTACCTAGGCGTCTAGAAAACTCAAACTTGTCAACAAACACCTTAAAGGCCTCATGGAATACCTAGGTAGACCAATTTTAATAAGAACAAGATACAGTATTTCCGGGAATCGGTGTCACCGCTTTTCAATTGTTTCTCGGACTCTGCCAAAGAAGAGCTAAACTACTTTTGGAAGACACCATAACAGGCTCATTTGTTTTGGGTAGGTAAGGTACATTAACGGACTATTGTATATGGTATATGGAAGTAAAAATGCTTATTACTTGTAAGGTCTAGAAGCTGCCACGGGCGGGAAGAAGCAGCCGTGGCCCCAGGGTCCCCTGATGGCCGGGCCAACCAGATGAGATATTCGGAGCTCAGATCTTATAACAAAATACCGACAAGGTAATGGAAGATATGTCTTCCTCCAGGGTAATCCGGCCGTGGCCCGTGAGGTCCCGATCACGTTATGTCTCGGTCCACCGTAATTCGCTAACACTCGACCTCTTTGTAGCTTAGTGGCAGCTGATTAAGTCTTGAGGGGTAGCACGGAGCTACGGCTCCGGAGCCGGACCCCGGATCTCAAGCTCTGATAACACTAGTATCTATGCCAAAAATGCTCCGTTTCAATCGGTATATAAGTAGGTGCTGATAGTCTGTCTCGTACCTACTTGTCTATATCTTTAGTCTTTATCAATACGCGTCAACAGTAAGATACACCTAGTCGTTGTCTAAAATATTGTGCTAACATCTCTAGTGTCTAACAACAAGATCGTTCCTCTTACCATTATCAAGGGCGCCGGCCATGAGCACATCCCTATCCCGGAGGGCGAATGCGCCATTATCGCCGACTTTCACTCAATTAAATCCCAGAGCTCACACTCTACCCCTTACCTAACCACTGGATTCTACCGTGTTGTGCCCGGACCTACACGATACGGCGAGTACGACTACGAGGAGACCAAGTATGTTCTTAAAGGTCAAATTGACATCACAGTAAGATCCCACTCAATTTCGCAATCCGTATTACGAATGATACTGATTACATACAGGATGAGGCCACTGGCAAGACCCACCACCTCGTTGCTGGAGACTGGGCCTTCTTCCATGTTGGATCCAAGGCTCAGGTTAGTTCTCTATACACCAATAAACTTGTATGTACTTGCTGACCAATCTATAGTTCTCAACAAAGACTGAGGGTGTTGCTTTCTACGCTGTCACCCGGCCAATGAACGACGGTCACCCTAACCTTGTTGGCCGCGAGGAGAGCACTTCAAAGTTGTAAAAAGGCAATGCTTTCATAGCCTGTTAGATCAACTTTAATGCCAGATTCATGATATTAGTCTTGTCCAGAGTAATTGTAGTTATAAGTGGTTACAAGTCCCAAGGAACTGATATTTACTGCCTAGGTGGATTTCGCTGAAGAACCTCGCGACAGAAGTGTCAGAAGATTAGGCCATCGTATAAAATATTCCTTCTTGGCCATAGTGATGACTAAACAAAACTTGGCCACGAGCCTTGTGCAAGTACAGTGACTCTTCTCGACCGCTCGAGCCGTCGAGTTTCAATTCTGGCTGGATCCCACCTGTGATTAAAAGCGGCCGTGGGCCTCAGCCAGTCATACACCTTTGCAGTTGGACTGCTTTTAGAGTTCTGGTGATGGAAGTTCGACTTTTTATTGGATAAAGATATGCAGAGCCCAGGATAGGGGACACCGCGAGAACTATATCCACATGGATGTTGCGCACGAGATTGCCAGTCGTTGTCCTATCTCTCCGTCTTGGGATTATGAGACCCAACAGACATAACAATGGTTTACTTGAGCCTCTGCGGTTCGAGCAATACGCCCCCGCGCGTAATTTAAGCCTCACGCAGAGACAAATCCAAGTCCTGACCAACGACACTTCCGCCTTCTAGTTGCACTTGTTCAGTAGGTTGAAACACGAAAAAGACACGCAAAACACTAGAATTGTTTTTCTTTTTAGTCATATTCGGCCAAGCATGAGGCGCTTCAGACATGGCGGGTCTCGCCAATGTCTTCAAGAATAACATCAGTCGCCTTCTCACTGATCATAAAGATGGGAAGGACAATGAAGTATCCAGGAATGCGCGGAAAGACAGATGCATCAACTATTCGCAGGTTTCTCACGCCGCGGACACGAAAGCGAGAATCAAGAACGGCGTTTGAGTCGTCATCTGGCCCTATAGGACAGGTGCATGAAGCATGATGACCCCACGACTCATCCTTGATAAACTGCTTCACCTGCTCTACAGAAGAGACTTGATAGCCCGGTATCTGCTCCTCAGGAGGTTTATTATCGAACAGTGGGGCATTGTCCATAATGCGGCGCGCGAAGCTGACACCTTCGGCAACGGCGTTAAGGTCCCGCTCGGATGCCTCTGTCGCGGCTTCACTCATGCCAAAGTAATTGAAATTGATATCAGGCATGTCCCGAGGATCGGCTGACTCGAGCTTAACCGTTCCCTCACGGTTACGCGTGTGAGCCTTAAGTATAGCCCACGTGAAATGTTTCTTGTCAAATGTGGCGCGTTCAGAATGCCCAGGATAGTAGCCTTTGAAGAGGGTAGGTCCACCGAAGATAAAGAGGTCGGGGTCCCCATCAGCATATCTGGACTTCTTCGT